TCATTGTTAAGAAATCCCACGCAGCCAGCCAGTCCGCCTGCAGCAAGCAGCAGCCCAAGCCGCGGCCAGGCCAGGTCTAGGCCAGCCAGGCTTATCTATCTTATCACCCCTCCTTTTGGGTGCGGTTGGAAGGAGGGGTTGTGGGTAGTGATCGACCTGCTCTCCTGCCCTCTCTGCCGCCTGCTCGGACCCTGATTGAGAAAGTGGATTCAAATTGACAGACCGACTTCATTTGAGACTGCCTGCCTAGCAACTGGGATCCAATGCAGGGAACATGAATTCATCCAATTTGCCCGACCCACGGACAGCACATACATCGCCCACTTCATCACCAATGTGAAGTATCATGGTTTCGAGAGCCAGTTGCATTGCTATATGAATGGAGGGGCGAGCGGCCGGGCGCGTGCAGCTCAATGCAAAAGAACCAGGGCGCTTGATGCGACTGCGAAGGGTCGGTGCTGGTGCTGCCTCCTCTCAATTGTTGGATTGATTTCCTTCTTCGCCAAAGCGAACTACAACAAGTCAATGCACATTGCCTGAGGTAGCGCGAACTGATCGGGTAAACAGCTCCAACACTGTGTCACAGCTCTCAATCCGTTTCGGCTGCTGCGCCATCATTCCATTGCAGCAGCTCGGGTCTCACGGATGGCCGGCCGTCTCACGATGCAGGGCGATGGATGCGGAAGGGTGGATGGATCTCACTGCCCATGCTGCCATGCTGCAGCCAGTAACTCAGCCTCCAAATTTGGAAGAGCTGCGTGCCCCCCCTACTGCAGCCAACATCCTCAACGGAGCCAACAAGTCGAGATCCTCCACGATCCTTTGTCTAGGCCAGCTGCAGGGCGCCGTGCTGCAGTCCTCGCTCCCCATTCCGCTCACTCTTCATCGCCCTCGATTGGCAGCCACGTCTCAGGTCCAACATGCGTTACTGACCACTGTCCACATAACAAGCACGCCAGACACTCAATTTGGGCTCTGTGTTTGCGTCAATGGCCAAGAGTGTTTTCTGACACAGGCCAGCCTCTCAATTGTCTCCACCAATTGGCCAATTCGTCCAGGGGATCACTTCCTAGGCTGGAGCCGGCCGCCAAATGTGGTCGTCCACCGGCCAGCATCGGGCCCAGCCTGGCCAGCTCAACCAACCGAGATGCCAGTCAGTCAGTTGTTCCAGGAATGCGTTTCACGTAGCTTTGATGATGGTTCAAGCGCCAACAGTTGGGAAATTGCAGCCACAACGAAGACAAGCAGCTGCGTCTTACTCGATTGCCAGCAAGCAGTTCCAGAAGCGTCACGGAGAAAGGGCCAGCTACTACGGAATACCCACTCTTCTCCACTCGGCAGCAAAGTTCATCCCAATCGTGGAAGCAATATAACGCGGTAACATTCAGGGCTCAAAGCGTGGTGCCATCGCCTGATCGCTGCTCAATTGACTTCGGGAGGCCACGGTGACAGCCTGACCCCCCGGCCGCAAAGCCTGAGAACCCAATCTTTGCTTTGCCCTCATCGGCGTCCTCCAAACGTAAACCGATGGATGCAACCCTGAGTCTCAGGCACCGATCAAGGTTTTTGTCGGGCCCAGGCTCGGTATCCGGAGAAACCCAGAACACAATGACCGCGCGAGCAAGAGGCAGGGAACAATGCTGCCTCTAGACTTTACGGTCTCGAATCATCAAGCGACACGATTCGGCTTGCATGATGTCATGGCCAGAAGCGTCGCCTGTGTTGACACTGCGCGTCGACGGGCTTGCTGAGGGACTTCTCGCCTGCACAAACATGTTTCGTCGCAGCTTGATGAACTGGTCAATTGGAGCCCTTCCCGGCGAGAACTTTGACACCTGGACAGAGTCAATTCGCTAACCAGAAATGCTGGCCTCTGCATCGCCGTCAACCTTGCCAGCCAGCCTCCCACAGCTTACACCCTGTTTGCCCTGCGGCGGTGGGGCCCAAGGGAACGACAGGCCGAGCAGCAAAGCAGCCCTGCAGCCGTCGGGAGGCCGGGTTCTGGGCTGCCGCATGCCCGCTAAACCCAAAAGTGAGGCTGCAGAACGCCCCGGGTAACCCCAGCGGTCGCGCCAGGGTCGAAGATCTGCCGGCCCAGGGATCGAGCAGTGATCGGCCCCGGTACGACGCATTGTCCGCATTCTGCGCGCCTGCAGCCCAGCAGGCAAGTGCCTTGCTAGGCCGAGCGGTCCGAAACGGGGCCCCCAGAGCTGGGAAGCGCTAGGTAATTGGGTTTCTCGGAAGGGCGGACAGAAACAAGGTGGAGGACTGAGCATGTGCTAGCCTTAACAATTTCCCACACTCGCGCCCATGCTTGCCAGTCAGCCAACTCGTTTCTACACTCTCAGCATGCTCTTCGGAGACTTCTTGATGCGTGAACCTTGCGGTACGTAACTCGAGACCAAGTTGCGATCGTCAAGGGCTAGACCGGTCCATCGAGACCGGGTACAGATTCTTTGGTTCCGTGATGGATTGTTTCACAGATTCAGGCACGTGGTTGATGCCAAGTGAGCCTCCCCGAGAGTTTATTCGACCGTTGCGTTGACAAGATGGTTCTTCCCGAGGCAAGTGCCGAACACGGTCGATTTATACGTTGATGGAAAATGTTTCCCCTACTCTTTTCCACTCCTATGCCTATGGATTCATCTATGCTAGAGAATTATTGAGCAAGCCTCGCGAACAGTCTCGTTGCACTCTAGCAGACGGCGGCCAGTCAGTAAAACCGGCCACCACACTCGGGCATCATCACTGCGCAGCCGAGTGGCACCACAATGTCCAAGCTTGGCCAATCAGTATGACATTCTGTAATGCGCTCTTGAATAGCAGCAGCAGTAGCTGCTCACAAACTTTCTGCGGGACTTTTGGGCCAGTGAACAGGCCGCCCGCTGCCCTCAATATAGCTGAGACATCTAGCGTACCATTCCAGGGCAGCAGCGAAGAACAAAACACAAAACCCTACCCGCAGCCCTGTCAGAACGAAGGAGCGCAACCGCAACATCAAAAGCTTTCGGTTCCTCTCGACGGCCCGGCGTGGGGGGATCGCGGCCAAGTCAAGGACTGAGTCGGGGCGGGGCGTACCTGCAGCGGGTGCGAAAGTTTATGCCCCTCACCCATCCAGTCGGCCGCCTACCCCCCCTTCTCAAAGCCCAGTTTGAAGTTTGCTGGGGAACATGCGGCCGGTGGTGTATCATCGGATGGATGATGTGGGCTGGCGTTGCGTCCGCGGGAAGGTGGATGCGGTTTGCGAATCGGTTAGCTTTGGCGATGAGAGTTCTTCATTGTGACTGTGGTCTGTCGCAATCTAGTTGTTGTTGGCACTTACAACAATGCGAATACAACATGAGAGCCTTGTGGTTTTGTTAACTCAACCTTTTGTCTCATCTCGAAGCCGGCCGGTAAGTATCTAGGGCGAGGGAATTGATACCAGTAAGAGCACAAGAACGAAGTCAACGCAAGGAATCGACAGAAACAATCCATAGCCTTTACTGGCTCAAGATTCGCTTTTGACTTGGTCAAAAACCTATCGAGTATTACGATCAGCTCAGGTTTCGCTCCTTCAGATGAGCTTACGTATATACGCTAGGCTCGCACCTTGCCTCTCATCACGACTAATAATTATGCGTTTCCCAACATGTGCGCGAAACAAAGCCCGAGGCTTCTTGCTGTAGAGGTGACAGTCTCATTTCAAACGATAATATCATTGTCCTTCTCGTCACTTAGATTGCATATTTCCTAGTAATTAACCTTCTGGCCTCTGGGCTTGTGCGTGCCGTCTGCCGTGGCCAAAGTACAGCCTCCCCATTTAAGTTATGTCGATCAGCTCAGCCAGGCTCTCGGCCACGAGCACATAACGTGTCGTCTACGCGGCCCTCGCCGTAAAGCCGAATCACCAGCCTGCCATTTCCGAGCTGTTCAGCTGGATTCGTGATGGCCCCACGCCTGCGGTGGAACGCGACAGCCCGTCAGAGCCGATGGGGCTGTGTTATGGGACTAGTAGTTATTATGTGAAAGCGTTTTGACGACGCGACCTCGGTGAGTGAGGGTGGGCTGCAGGATATGGAGATCGCCTGACGATCTTGATAGCTTTTGGCGCGATGTATTGTCTACGGCTGAGCTTCAATTCCCTTCTGTGGGCGTTCTGCAGCAGAACGTGGATGCGGTGCTAAGTGACAGTTTCTGGAATGATTATAGAAGTGTCGCTCTGTAGGATATCATTGATATTGTAGTGAAGTCAGCCCTGTGTGTTTAAAAGGACATCAGTGATAATTTTCCTGAATGCATCGCCGGGTTACGGCTCCGCGAAACTGTAGAAGTTTGCTGCATTGCCTAGGCGGTAACGATATGGAAACTGGCAATCCATTCACATTCGCCTCGCAATCGCTCATTTTGTTGTTTACGTCGGACGCCAGATAGATTTTGCATATCACACTGGGAGAAGCAGAAGAGAATCGTGACCATCTAATTTGCAACGAGATATGCGACGGAATCATCCTCCTGGCGTCCGTCCTCCATCTCCAGTGGCCACGGCCAAGTCAGAGGCAATGTTCTCACGATCGTAGACGCGGAAAGCCAGAAGCGGACCCAAAAGGCTGAATCTTAGCGACAAGCGTTCCACGGAAACTCGACACCGAACGACATCTCCTCCACCACGACCCGCCTAAGATCGGACCCACAAGCTGCTACTGGAGCGGCGCGGCGCCCCTTCTGCTCCTACCACTATCGAATGCCCCAGCGGCTACTGCACGTGCGAGTTACGGCCGCAGCGGCCGACGGCAACTGCTACCTTGACGGGCCGCAGACCGCACTGCCGCGCCGGCGACCGCGATAGTTGTCCGGACCCGGCAGCGGCCGTCGCCGCCGCGGTGCTTGCCTCGAGCTAGTCTCGCGCAGGAGGAAGAAGACGCATCTTCCCTCGTCTCTGGAGCATGGACAAGGAGACTTGGACCATAAAGTATCGAGGATGAGACCGCCCTCGTCTCCATCCGCGCGACATCACAGATATGGGCGGAGGGAATGGGATAGAGGACGACGTGGACAGCGTGGACAGCGTGGACAGCGTGGACAGCGTGGACAGCGTGGACAGCGTGGACAGCGTGGACACCGCGGAGGCGGCCGCGGCGAGGTGCTGCGCCAAAGGCCGGGTTTGCTTCTGGAGTCTCACGGCGGAGTCCTGCTACATGTCGCCACCGCGCTGCCCGAGGTACACTGAGTGCCGGACGGGCTACAAGACGTGTTGCTGCTCCGGCGGCGGGTGTGGGTCTGTTGGCTGAGACTGTGAACCGAGAGTGATACTTGTGGTTTATCGGCCTTGCAGAGGCTGATGGAGGCGAGTGTCGCCATTGGAGACTGTGGCAGGTAGTTTACTGGCTGGGACGGGATCTGTGAGCAGAGACTGGATGTTGTGGGAAGATGAGAATGGAATATTGCCTGGGCTTCTTCTACTCTATCCTGCTGGGGTATAAGTGTATACGCAGCGTTCAAATCCAAACATCTAAAGCCCCAAATCAAACACACCATTTATGATCACCAAGATGAGATCCCTCCACATGATGCGATGATGTCTACTACGTAAAATCATAGACCAAAAGGCTCTCCCTGCCACCCCTCGCCTCCTTGAGCACAATGACCATCTCGTCATCGAAGCCGACCCAGTTCCTCCTCTCCTCCCAGTCACCCCCAGAGGGACGCTGCTCTTCATGCTCCGCGCCTCCATGCTCCCTCCCACCTCGCGACGAATCGACCGTCGCAGCCGGGTTCGCAGCTCGGACCTCGACGCTCCTGCTGCGCACGCCGCTGGGCCGGCCCTCGAGCTCCCAGACGCGCATCTCGTCGCCCCGGCTGCTGACGCTGACGGCCTTGCCGCGAGCGGTGATTTCGGCGTCGCTGATGCCCGAGGTGTGGCCCCAGAGGCGGATGCCGGGGGAGATGGACAGGGCGGCTGCGGTGGAAGTGCAGAGATGCAATATTAGGGTGTTGTCTGGAAGGGTGGCCAGGAGGTAGGGGTGGGTGTAGCAGAGTGTCGTGGGACCTTGGCTGCTGTGGGGGTGCTGGCTCCTTGGTGGTGGTGGTGGTGATGGTGGATTTGAGGGTTGTTGTGTTTGATTAGTGGCGGAATCGGAGGTTTGCTGGGACGGTACTGCTGAACTTGAGGAAGCCGGGCCGACTGGGTGGTGGGGGCCAGCTTGTGCTCCCGAGGCAAGACCAGGCGCGCTCACGGTAGTGGGGGCGGTATAGGCCAGTCGTGTGGTGATGGCGGGAGCATTCTTCGAGGCTTTATCTGGGGTGATGTGGAGATCCTGGATGCCGATGGACCAGCCATGCCGGGTGAAGAACGTATATGCTATCGATGCGACAGTCGCGCTGGCTGTCTTCCTTATTGACAGAGCCAGCGGCGGACTAGAGCTGTACGACTTGAGCGATGTCATGAGGTATGGCGCGCGTAGTTGAGTCCGTTCGGTGGGTGCGTCTTCGTCCGCGTAATCGCTCAAGGCGTTCTTGAGCTTGGATGATATTGCCTGCGCAGGGGTGTCCCGCGCCTGCTCGTCCTCACCATCCCCGGTTTTCTCTGGCACATTGAATGTGTAGAGTGATATCAGAACGGCTTCCGTGGCTGTCAAAAGGTAAGGATGCGAATATGCCATGCCTATCAACTCGCCATTGCTCGACTTCTCGTGGCGGTACCTCCTGGTGATGGTCTTAGATTGCGTGCTCAGCGTCCAGACACCAAAGCTCCCGTCTAGGAAGCCCACTGAGATATCCAAGGTGCCCTGTTCAAGACCTTGGTCGTCGATGGCGATGCAGCTCGGCTGCACGGGCTCGGTTTCCTTCTCGTCGTCTCCCAGACTGGCTTGCGCCACCACCTCCCTCGTCTTGAGGTCCCAAGCTCTTAGGCCAGACGCCCTGTCCGCGGTGACAGCCAGACCTTCCACGACCTTGACCAGCATCTTGCTCCTGTCCACGCCATCCGGAGTGTCCTCGCGCGCGTTGTCGCCTCCATCCTCGGGCTCCAGGCCGAGCCGCAACTCTTCAACGGCGCACTTGCCCCTAGCCCAGTTGTGCCGTATCTTGAACTGCCGCTTCCAGTTGACGCTGTCACTCTTCTTGCTGAGGCCCTCTTCCTCCTCAGTCAGCCGTATCTTCCAACCATCGGGCCCCCCGGCATCCCTGACCAGTCCGCCCGAGCGCCCGCTGGCCCACAACGTCCTCCGGCCCTTGTAATGCAGCTTGTGGTCTTTTAACCTCTCTGCAAGCTTCCCCTCCCGGAAGCCGGGGATGCGCATGGCGCGCGGCAGGACGAAGCGCGCGTAGTAGAGGGCCTTCCATAGCTGGTTGTCGCGGGCGAGGCGGCGGAAGCGTGTGCTCACGGGGGCGATGGCCAGGAGATGCGGCAGCGACAGGTAGCTCAGGATGCGGATGAGTATCTCGGACGGCAGCTGGGAGAGCAAGTCGGCGCGAGGGGCGGCGGGTGCGGATTCGACAGTGCGCTGCCGTTTTTGGCGCGGTTGTGGTGCGGATGCGATGGTGTCGGCATTGTCGTCGTCATCGTCTACGCGAGGGCGCTTTGGATGCATCCTGGTGTCTTTCGCGTCCTGATCTTTGCCTGCCCACTTGCGGCGACCTCGTGGCCTTGACTCGCCTCGCTTGCAGTCAAGCCGGCGACAGCATGCGATGCGGTGAGGTTGACTGGGCTTTGTTGTCTGCGACAAGGAAATTGTTGGAAGGTCGAGGTGCGGGCAGAGTACCGGAGATAAGGAATTATTGACCCGGCGGCGGTGGTGGACGGCCTCCGTTTGCCTAGTCAAGAGTGCAGGGTTAATTCCTCCACAGCCACCATTCCACGGCTGGACAATAACATCAGCTCATGGTTACTCACTGTCACTGGACTAGACCATCTAAAGGATTCTGTCAACTTCTATCTGAAACTCTTTTCTGACTTGTACATAGTATACTTGGAGCCCAACTGAGCCACAGGGGAAGGGCGGATCCAGCTTACAACAGTGGGCCCACGGGGGACTGCTGAGGTGAGGCCTCTCTCACAATGCAAACAAAGTGTCTTGAACCCATTTTCCACTGTTGTCAACCATTCTCTCTTCGTGTCTACTACGAGTGTACAAGAAACGGGCAAAGGTCTTTATGAATCGCAAGCTATGATTTTTTTGGGCCTGACCTCTCAATGAATGAAGCTGAGAAATGCCTCGAGATTACGCTGTGGCTTCCGACCCCCCCAGGCTTCATCCATATCGAAGAGCCACAAGAAGCTAGGCGTATCCTGAGTCTTGCGCTGTAAATTGTGGGCGATTCTAATAGTCGAGCCAATTCCTCAGCAGTGGTGCACCTAGTCGAAGTGCTCTGTGGACTCGAAACTCCAAATCTGTTTCCAAGAGCAGCAGTTTGTCCTCAATCATGATGTCGTGCCGTTCAGAACTGTCAGAGAGCTTGTTGACTGAAGCTATTCAGCGATTTCTGCAATAGACCAACTTATGTGCACCAGAGCGGTCGGAAATCGGCTCTTTTACTCCACAGCAGTCCGACTTACCTCCGGCCAAGGCGTCCATGTGCACCTCGGGTGCCCATATAATTGGAGTACGCTGCGCCTAAGGCTGACTGACAGTCAATTTGTGTGGTATGCTTACCTAGATTCACAAGGAGTTGTCAGATGCAGTCACGGCATCCTCATCCAAAAATGGGTCCAATTGGTGAGACAGGGATGTTGTTGACTTCTGTGTGCTGACATCCTTCGGAGTCAACCAACGCGGGTTTACTTATGGATATAGTATCCGGATGAAATACCAGCGGCTGTATAGGCTGGGCCGACCGAATGGGGAATAAAAGATTGCACGTTTTTACTGGCATGATCCCTAGCTTCGCGAATAATCTGCCACATGCTCTTTGCTGAACCGCTGAAATTGTCGCAATCTAAGTCCAACGTTTGCAAGACCAAGATATGAGGAATTGGTGGAGCTGTGAAGGGACACAGCACAACAAGTGAGTCCAATCCCTTGCAAGCATATATCACTTCCTTCTCGTGTATGAAGGCCAAGCCTTGCAACTGCTGCCTGTTGACGTCCATTCGCGACTAGCTTCACGAAACAAGCAGCTCACAGAGGTGTCGTGGACTCTTCCATTCGGTATGCCTCTTGAGATGAGCTTGTGTGAGCCTTGACTTCGTTGTTTTGGGTACTTGGGTGTAGAGCTGAGCTCTTCGGCAAACCTTGACGGCAACATCTCGCATGCCGGAGGAACTAATTTGAGACATTTGAACATTGCGATCCCATACGGAAAATAATGTGTACCTGCCAGAGCCCAGGCTGTCGAAATCCCTCCGAGGTCCCGTTTCCGCGCAATGCGATGCCTCGGGGCTCTGCTCATCCCGTTCATGCAAACCTGGGTCGTGGTAGGATACGATGAAAGACGACGAGGCGCAGTGCACAGACGCGGCACCTTGTAAGGTCTTCGCACCCAATCCATTAAAGTTACACAAACATTGCGCCACGATCGCATGGGGTTGTCCATGGAGGAGGAACTTGAGAGATTTAACTTCGTGGGTAAAGGAAGAAATCAAAGAAGAACAATTCCTGAACCGCATATAATTCACTTGAAATGAACGAGAATTGTGGTTTTCACAGCAAATTGTGATGATAATAGATAGACTACTAGATTATTGTATGCTGGTCTAGTTGATTTAGCCGTCCCCACAATACAACAATATTCTAGAATGGTTCCATCGTCTTACACGTGGTAGGCCCGAGCCCCCTCACGGCCCCGCCATCCCCTGTGTCTCGGCCCCCGCGGAATGCCGAGTCAATCCGCTCCCCCAGACCCTGAACATTACCGGTACACCCTTGAGCGCTGGGAGATGAACGAACTACAGCCTATACCGAGCTCATGAAAGCGCCGATTCAGCATTCAATCTTAACGTTCCATCCGCCCCGGCTTTCCTCTGGCGTTCTGGTCCCAGCCAATTGACCTTTCATCATCTCCCTCATGAGCCCTCTCCGTGACATGCAGCATGGGCACCGGTAGCACCCCCTCAGACCACGGCCGGAGCGACTCAGGGGCACCGGCCGGAGGAGGAGGAGGAGGACACGGAGGAGGACAAGGAGGAGGAGCAGGGCCCTTGGACCCTGCCAACGCCGCCATTAGTCGCGCAGTACGTACGACCGGTCATGTGCATGGGGGTTGTTGTTGAGATATATAAATATGCCCCAACGTTCAAGATGTTGCGCAGGCCCTGAACTTTCACATCTTGACACTCGGGAGTCCGAGGACCCCCTGAGATCCATCCCGCATATCCACCGGTATACCACCTCAGAAAAAAGACCCCTTGCTGACGGGTGATCCTCTCACAGTGTGACCAGTGCCGGATACGGAAAGTAAGTACACACCAATGCTGCATACCTCGTACAAGGTTGCCCGTCCGCGGACGCCTCGGGTCCCAGCCAGACTCGGACGTCGAGGCCTCGGCGCCTCAACAACGGAGATGAGTGGGACTGACAGCAGGCCGATCAGATACGGTGCGACAAAGAATCACCATGCTCAAATTGCCGGATTGCGAATCGGGTGTGCAGCTCTACCGGCGCCGGACAGAAGCCCAGGGAGGCAAGGCAGAGGGTCTTGATATCTACACAATAGTTTGTCTCTCATGTCTCTCTCATGTCTCTCTTAAGTCTCACCCACTCATCCAAGATTCTTCCCCATATACCCATTCAGGTCTTCAGTGGAGAGGCACTCATGAGAGCTCGACTGACCACAGACCAGTGAACGAAAAATCGACCAAATAGAACAACGCCTGTGCTCAATAGAGAAACTCCTCCGCGACCTGAGCAACAACAGCAACTTCCGGCGGGGCGCCGACCTCCCGCTGCACGAGGCGCCCCCGTCGGCAGCATCGTCGTCCAACCCGATGGACACGAGCGGGGCCGGGGACGACCACCGCAGGGCCGCCGCAGGCGACTCCCCGCTCACGGCCACGGCCCACGACAGCAACGACGACATCGACGACATCGACGACGACGCCGCCAGCACGCCGACCAACGAGCTCGACTCGTCCGCCTTCGAGGGCAACTCGTCGCTGACGGCCCACACCGTGTTCGCGTCCGAGTTCCTCGAGCACGCCGTCGAGCGCACCTCCCTGCGCGACCTCAACCCCAGCATGGCCGCCGCGCTGACCTCGCTCAAGCAGATCGTCGGCCTGAGCCAGAAGCAGCAGGGCAGCGGCGCGGCGCGGCGCGGCTCGACGGGTGCGTCCGGTGGCAGTGGTGGTGGGAGTAGTAGTGGAGGCGGCGGCGGCGGGAGCAGTAACGAGGTGCGGTTCGCGCACCAGCGGCCGCTGCCTCGCGGAGGGTTCCGCGAGCTGCCGATGCCGCCGGTGCAGGCGGTGATCCCCGTGCTGCGGGAGGTGAAGGAGACGCCGCCCGGGACGTTCACGCTGATCAGCGTGTGCTGCTTCATGGCCGTGGAGAACTTTGCCGAGGCGTGCCGGCGGGTGTACTTCGCGCTTGAGGATTTCAGCCACGCCAACTTCATCATCGTCAACATGGGCCTGTACTATCTGTTCCAGGAGAAGGCGGTGGTGGCGGGCGGCTCAGGGGACACAGCGGCGCGTGACCGATACACGGGCTACTACGAGCTGTGCCGCGACAACCTCGAGACCGGGCTCGCCAACCTGCGGTTCTTCCTCGGCGCCAGCATGGAGACCATCGAGGCCCTGCTGCTGGGCGCCAGCTACGCCATCGAGGTCAGCCGCCCCAGCCTCGCCTGGCAGCTCAACACCACCGCCGCCCAGCTGTGCCAGGACCTGGGCTACCACCGCGTGACGGGCGGCACGGTCAATGTGAACAGCGCCAACGGAAGCGGCGGCGGCGGCAGCAGCAGCAGCGCGGGGGCCGGGGCCCAGGACGGCAGCGTGCTCAGCGACAAGAAGGCGATCCTGTTCTGGTTCAGCTACATGCTGGACCGCGGGCTGGCGCTGCGGCTGGGGCGCGCGCCGACCATCCAGGACTTTGACGTGACACTGCCGCGGGTCATCGGGCGCGTCAACGCCCCCGACATGTGGAAGGAGGTGCTGCGGCTGTGGATCGCCCATGCCGACATCCAGGGCCAGATCTACGAGCGACTGTACTCGCCATCCAGCCTGGGACACCCGGTTGGCCAGCGTGTCGAAACGGCGCGGAGGCTCGCGAGCCGGCTGAAAATGATCGCCGAGCAGGCACTGCTGCTGCGGAGCACCGAGATGGGCAAGCTGAAGGCGGGCGGTGGTGGTAGTGCGGAGGGCGGTAGTTGGGCTGACGCGAGGAAAGCTACTGTGATGGAGATGGTCATGAAGAGCGACCAGGTCTCGTTCCTTAGCAGCCTGACTTTGGTGTACCGGGCCATCCCTGCTGGTGTGGGCGGGCATGGGTTCTCAACGTTCACGCCTGAGTGCATCGAGACAGCGAGGCTGGCCATGCAGACGCACGAGGAGTGCATGAAGCTCATGGGGAGCAACCTGTGGGTGGCGGCTTCGTACATACACTGGTAAGACGTGCCTTGCTACATCCAAGACCGCTTTTCTCTATTTTCCTGTTGCTGACTTCCCCATTTCCATCCAGGACAATCCTCTACGCGCCTTTCGTCCCCTTCATCGTCATCTTCTGCCACATCATCGAGACGTCCAACATGGCAGACCTGCAGCGGCTGCGCGACTTTATCGCCTCACTCCAGCCGACGTGCGCCGTGTCCGAGGGCGTCGACAAGCTGCACCGCTTGTTTTCGGTGCTGCAGAACGTCGCCACGCTGTACGTCGAGGCCAAGACAAAGGCAAACTCGTCCGAGCCCCAAGACACCGACATGGCCCCCATCGGCAACGAGTTCGACGTCTATCTCTCTGCGCTGGGCTTCATGCCCGTCGACGGCGACCTATCAGCCGCGCAGGCCCAGGCACAGGTCCATCAAGCGCAGGTTCATCAGGCTCACGCCGCAGCTGCGGCAGCCGCCGCTGCTGCGAGTGGGGCGCTTCCTACGTCCCCCGTCACTGCTGGGTCGGTATTTGGTGCGTCGCCAGTGGCTAACGCGGCGGCGATGAATCAGACGAGCCAGCTGGGCGATTGGTTCTCGGGTAATCGGTATATGATGGGTCTCTTGGAGGAGGATCTTTCGCAATTCCAGCCGAATAGTTGGACGAACGCATAGGAACAATCGAGGGATCGAATCGCCAAGTTGTCTTCTCCAATTTGCCGTGAGGAGCAGTGACCAATTCCGCGTAAAATGTCCATGACATGAAGCGAATTTCGTAGTCTCCCAGAAAAACGGCATTTGTCCAATGTCCCAGACACAAGCGGGTTGGGCGAACCATTTGGAAGAGTACCACTTTGTCAAGTGCAGGGTCTGTCGATTGGGCCCACGAGGCTCTCCTCCACCGAAGCCTCGTGTTCATCCTGCCAACTCAGAGACGCCAGTCATCCGTCGGGCGCTCGTCCAAAGCCGTAAGCTCGATAGTAAATCGTTCGGTGTAGTTCGACCGTTGGCGTCTCAGTCGGTTGGAAACTTGGGGTCGTACATCTCGTAACCCTCGTCCTCCGTATCACTCTCAGCATCACCAACCTCCCCACCACGACCAGCACGCTGCAACTCCAAGCTCTTGACCTTGACATCGACAGCCTCATCCTCATTCTTGACCTCCTTGTCCTTGCCCGCATCCCCATCCCCATCCGCTGGCGCAAAAGCGCTCTTGAACCCAGACTTCTTGAACCCGCCTTTCTTGAACCCACCACCACCTCCCCCTCCACCGCCGGCTGTCTGAGGCTTCTCGCCCCCGCCGCCGAGCTGGATGCTGATGACGCCGTTCTCCCGGGCTTCGGCCTTGCGGGCGCGGGCAGCGGCGGCGGGGTCACGCGTCATGGCGCGCATCTCCTTGAGGCGCACCTTGTGCGAGTGGTCGTAGGACGACAGGTGGGCCTCGTACTCATTGTGGCGGCTGTAGCCCTTCTGGCAGAGCTGGCAGTAGAAGGACTGCAGGGCCTCGCGGGCGGCGGCGGTTTGCGCTGGGGGAAGGGTTTGGTGTCGCTGTCGGGTGGGTGGGTTAGCTTGTGGGTTGGGAGGGGAGCAGGCAGAAGTGTTCAAGGTCTTACTGGAGGCATCTTGGGTGCTTGTTGCTTTTTGTAGCCGTTAGCAGGCAATGTGATGCTTGATCGTTCTGTTATTGGTGTCGTGTGCCATTGACGATCACGGCTTGAGGGAAGGGCGACAAATGATGGAGTCGTGGTGGAGCTTGTCGACTGAGGTGTTGAGATCCAATACAGGCTGCAGTAGACTAACAGCACAACAGTACAGGGTCCTCGCTGCCGGCCAATGCACTAGGCCTTCCAAGGATAGCGGCCCAGGGTCCTGTCGCGTGTGTAATTCTAGCATCCTAACAGGGCAATGCGGCATGAACTGGGCGGGTCTCAGTGGGGTCCCATGACCTGGACCTGGACGGCCCCAGTGTCAACGTCACAGAGGTACAAGGGTACGAGCGCCCTAAGCCTCGGCCGACTTTCTCAACAGTTCTTCTATTCCACTACGTAGACTAATTCTCCCCTTCCCCACGCCCAAATCCAACCCTCATGATACCCTCATAAACCTATACCACGCGTTTTCGAGAAGGAGTGGCACCCGGGCCAGGAGCACACCAACATGGACTCCAGGTCTCTGAGGGCGACTCCCTCGCAGGAGACGCTGATCTCACTGCTGCAGCTCGAACCGCAGCCAATGCCAGACACCGACAAAGATCTGCCACCGTTGCCCGAGGAGTCGAGCGATGGGACCAGGACGGAGGCAGACACCGAGAAGGAAACGGCCAGGTCAATAGGGGTTAGTGGAATATCAGGTCACGCCCGTACCTCGTCGCTTGGGCTGAGTGGGAGTGGCCACGGCTCTATATACTATTGTGAGTAGATTCCTTTTTTGCACATCACTCACCACGACATTGCCAGCTCCTCTTGAAGTCACGACTAACAGGCTGAACTGCCCAGTGACGCGCATACAACGGTATTCAACCTACGCCCTCTCCATATTCACTGGCCTCCACATCGCAAACACCTCCATAATACCGCTGATCACCCGTTCCGTGCCCGCCTCCGAGGGTTACCTCCTGCTCGCGCGCGAGATCTACCAGACACCCCTGACCGAGCCCCTCTTCGTCGCCCTGCCCATCGCCGCACACATCGCCTCAGGCATAGCCCTGCGCCTGGTGCGCCGCTCGCAGAACCTCAAGCGCTACGGCGGCGCCACGCCCGCCGTCCTGCCCACGAGGTCATCCACCGGCCGGTCCACCGCGTCCTCGGGCAGCGCGGGAGCGACTAGTGCGTGGCCGCCGTTGACCTGGGTGTCGGCGTCGGGATACGGCTTCGCGGCGTTCCTGGCCGCACACGTCGCCATGAACCGCCTGCTGCCGCTACACATCGAGGGCGACAGCTCCAACATCGGCCTGGCGTACGTGGCGCACGGCTTCGCGGCGCACCCGGCCACATCCTACGTCGCGTACGCTGGGCTATTAACCCTTGGCTGTGGGCACATGGTCTGGGGCTGGGCCAAGTGGATCGGGCTGGCGCAGCTGGCGGGCTGGCGCGCCGACATCAAGACTCTGGGCACCACGCGCGACAGGAACGAGGACGTGCGGCGCAGGAAGCGCAGGAGGAGGATATGGCTGTGGATCAACGGCACCGCGGTCGCTGCCACGGCTGTCTGGGCGGCCGGTGCGCTGGGCGTAGTCGCTAGAGGGGGGAGGGCGGACGGTTGGGTCGGGAAGGCTTATGATGAGCTGTTTGCCGCGGTTGGGCTCGGACATTAGCGGGTAGGCGCCTGGCTGGCTTCGGATAGAGCTGCATTGCAAGCGTATATACTTAGAGACCATTTCAGAATCACAGATATTCGCAGTAGGCCTTGGGCCGAGACTATACTGTCGACCACATCGCGGAACAGAATCGAAGAAGTTTGACAACCGTCCACGCTAGGTCCATCGTCTCTTGGCTCACCACGCGTCAGAAAAACCCTTACGAACTGCAACGCCGCAGAGAGTTCTATTCACGACTCACATAAGCTGTACAAGTGGGAATTGTACTCTTTGAGGCAGATAGTGGTGTTCAAGGGGATGCTTGTTGTGTGCTCATGTAATGGTGGCCTGGGCATTCTCCGGCAGATTGAGGCACGGTGCCACAATCAAGATTGAGGCAGCTGTATTGAGGACACGGCTCCTCTGCTGAGGTCAAGTAGGCTCGCGGGAATCAAAGCAACCTTGGAACCAGTCCATCTAAAACGAAATAAAGATTCATGAGCATAGTTCTATTTTGCAGAGAGGTGGGCTGCTGGGTTGTCAAATGTCTTCAAACTCGTACTTGGACCAGGCTGAGGATCAGGTGGCCAGTGTAACCAGCTCTAGAGAAGACCGAACTGAGACAATGAAATGGGATCTTGGCTCTCAAATTCAACCATGAATAAATTGGAATGGCGCTCTACAAGCCCTTCCATTCATTGCTGGTAGTTGACCTGTCGCCCCAACGACAGGCGCAAGACATAGTCGTCTCACTGAACGTATGTGCCTCCGAGGCTACCTAGGTGCCAAGCACTGCTCTAGTTCTTCGAGCTGGATTGAAGTGGTTTCCCCCTTCCATATTGCAGAGGATTTACTTGAGATGAGTCGCTTCTGGCTCCAAAACTGGATTGGAAGGTCTATCGCGATGTTTATGGACGATTTGATGCTGTGACAAGCAATGTCCTGGCGCAATTGTCTGCGGAAGACTTACAAGTCGATACGTAGAGCATTGGAAACGTAAATAAGGGGAACCAGCCGTTATAAAATTGAAACCTAAAGAGTGAAATCTACCTGCAGGGTATTCCGTTCTGAGATCGACCCGGATCCCAACTGCACCAAAGAAGCCTCCCGGCTCTATCGCCTGAGTTGATTTACTTCTTCTTGCCCTTGCCCTTGCTGCTGCCCTCTCCATTGTCCTTCTTGTCCTTCTTCTTCTTGTCATCGTCCTTCTTCTTCTCCTTTTGCTTTCTAGCCTCTTCCGCTGCCGCCCTTTGAATGCAGTAAGGGCATCCGTTAGGGTTGAGAGACGGCGGGTAGTTCTCCCCGCACTTGCTGCAGCTCTTAAGGTGCTTGTTCTTGACACAGCTAGACTTGGCAGACTTGTGACAAACAGGGCTATAAAAAGAAATTAGCGATGATCTATGAATGCTGCGGCTGAAGAGAGGTGTTACCAGTGATGGGTGTGGCTGCCCGCCGTGAGACCAATGACTGCCATTGTGGATGATTGTTGAGATGATGTGTATTGGAAGGTATTCGGAAGTTTTTATACCGAGTGATGCTCAGTGGAAGATTGATGCGATAGTGTGATGAAGCTTGTTTTGTTGTGATGATGAACAATTTTTTGATAGACCCAAAAGGACGAGATCGAGGGCAGTTATATACTCTTCATGAAGATCTATTTTTGTATCGAAACAATCGTCAACGCACGTAACTGGTTTCATGAAGTCCAGCTCTCTGAGACCATCGTGGAGCTGTTCTAAGTTCGTCTTGAAATTCCTAGGATACCGGCCGCTTCAAGCCGCCAGGTGTGCAGCCTCCTTCTCCTCCCACTCCTGGCATTGCAGGTCCGTAGGCCTGGCAGGGTCATGTCCCTGAAAAGCAGAATGTGGGGCATATGGGTGATGTTGTTTTGGCCCCCGTCGGGGCTATCCTATCGACGATGAAAAAGACGCCACTTGGGGTCTGGTAAGATTCCTTCGGATTGTCATGAGAGACAAAATTAGAGATTCTGGGATTTGAAGGGAATATTCAAGTGGATACATGAGGCTGACATTGTGGATACTCCGGCCATATATCCTTATTTCCGCTTGAGCAGATGGGCGTGGAACAGGACGACCGCTCCTTTCGCGACGATTGGCTCACCTTGGGAGCTCGCCTATTTCCATAGATGGCGTGGGCTCCAATCTTGCGCCTCTCATTGCGCAGCCTTCCGACCATTCCTTTCATTCCTGTGCCCTGGAAAACAAGGCCGACTGGCCGACGGCTCCTGTATCAATAGGCTGGCCACTCCTTTGAATAGATGGTCAGCTGGGTTGCTATTTAATTTTGTGATATGTGACGACGATTGTATGGCTGACTAAGACGCGGTGCACGGGCTACCTGCATCACTAGCCTGCGTATTAAAACAGCTGAGGTCTTAGAAGAAGAATCAGGGAGACACAAAGCGAGAGAGAGAGTGAGGGTGATTAACATCAACCTGCCGGCACCAATCCAATTTTGCCTCGCTTCTTTTGCCATTTCTTTTACCATGTCTTCGTCTAGCGGCTCCGATTCTGGCTCCGATTCTGGAGATGAGGCCACCTTTGGCCGCTTGTTGAACATCGCCGCGGCCGACCTCGTCGCCCTCGGCTCACGGATACGCGAGCTTCTTTCCAAGACCAAGACCTCCAATGGTAGCCTCAGCGAAACTTTCAGTGGTTCTTTCAATCTCGTGCACATCCTTCAGCTTGACGAGGCTAAGATGGTCATTCGCATTCCAACAACCGGTCAGTTTGGCGACTTGCCTGGTCCGGCGAAAGAAGCGCTTGAGTCGCAAGTCCATACCTTGAAGTATATCAAGGAACACACAGGCATCCCCGTGCCTGAAGTCTTTCACTTCGACACGACGGCAAATAATGAGATCGGCGCGCCTTATATTGCCATGAGCTACATCAGCGGACGCACAGTCTCACGCCTTTGGTTCGACGCCAGTGGACCCACGCCGCTCGAGGAGAGGCGGCAGACAATCCTGAAGCAGCTTGCCCAAACGATGTCGCAGCTCAATAAACTGCGATTCGACAAAATCGGATCGCTGGTCCCAAGCAGCCAAGGCAGCGATTACGAACTCGGACCGTGCTATGAATGGGACGAAGCGGAGGATGAATCAATCAGTATTACCTCTTCAGGTCCGTTCTTAACAACAAAGTCCTTCCTGGAGAAATTCTGGGCTCCAACAAATGAACAAAGCGAGTATGCTGTTGGTGCTGCTAAGGTCTTGGAGGAAATGCTACCCTTCTTACCCCAATCTACTGAGTCCACGTACGTGCTGGCTCTCCCCGACTTCGATTCTCAGAACATCATGGCCGACGATCAAGGCAACATCACCGGTTTGATCGACTGGGACAATGTGCAGACGGTGCCTGGCTTTATGGGATGCCTACGGTATCCCGGCTGGATCACTCGCGACTGGGACCCACTCATGTACGCTTGGCCTCAAGACAACGAGAACTCACCAGACGAGTTGCAGAAGTACCGGGCGTACTACCTGCAAGAGATCAAGCAGGCCCTTGAGCCACAAGGTAGCGAAGACTACAGGCTCACCGAGAAATCCCACATCTATGAGGCCTTTTGGATTGCTGTGGCGAATGTGGGAAACAGGACAAGCATTTGTCAAAAGTTCGTCGACGAGGCCAAGCGAATGGTCGACGAGGAGGAGATGCCGGATGGGTTGGACCAAGACGCTCTCAATGTACTTTTTGACATTGCAGAGGAAGAGCTGGAGGATGAAGATTGGGAGAGCCTAAGAAAAGGGCTCGAGGCACTGATGACAAGCGAACAATGAATGATCTGTGCCGTGGGACTAGCATTTTGTGATGACCACAATGGACATCATTCAGATTTGGAAATGGCTGGGTCTTCCGTTGTTGTCGTCAAATAGAAGATTCAATCCTGCGTCTGTGTCCGTTTAGTGTGATAGACCCGTAGCTAGTACAGTTGATGGGTATTAACGTTCTCCCGCCCGGGAATAAGATGGCAGTAATTGGTTCATCCTATCTCCTTTCAGCTCTTCGCAAAAAATGAGCGACTGTTGTGTGGGCAGCATCCTCGAGTGAGATTGGTGCATGAGACGTGCATTGGATATGAGTAATCTCCCATCATTATGAAGCAAGTATGCATGGCAATACAACTTCTCACAACGGGAGCAGTGTAGTTGGCCACACCTCACGCGGCGAGAGGCGACCACTGCCGAACATCTCGCCAACCGAGCCACAGACCGCAGACCATAGACCGTATTTTTCTCCAACTCAGCCAACCTATCCAGGACCGTAGCAACGCGCGCCGAGCGCTCGGATCGACGAAATGGCGGGATCGTCCCCTTTGTCTCCACGCTTGACCTAGCGAGATCGACACGCTCCCCTGCTCTTTGCTGGCATAGCTGAATCCTGCGTCAGCGTTGCTTTCCCGTTTGGAGTCGCACCGCACCGACGGGCTGGGTCAGTGTCTCTGTTTGGCGCCTGCAGGCTGGGGGAGCAGCGTTGCAGGGCGTCGGCACCTGTGGCGGATGAGGGCGAATTCTGGGGGAGAGACGGCTCGGGGATGACCGTGGTGATCGACGGTTTGCATTCCTCCCGAGCGTATTCGGTGTGGTCAGCTCTCCTCCCCCCTCTGATGATATAAGATTTCTCTCCTGTTTCAACCTCATGTCTTCACCCTCGAGCCGGTCTTTTACTTGTTTCTTGGCATGAACCAGCACACAACACAGCAAAGCAGGCCGACACGCGTAATTGAAGCCGAACAAGACAATGATTACTCTCGCCCTACGTATACCCGCGCGCCGCAGTTGTGCTCACAGCGATTGGTGAGAGTTGAGCGCGCCGAGTCTCACGGTGACGCAGCGCGTCACCTCGCCTTGCCTTGGCTGGCCTCACCCTGCCCAACGGCCACCACCACGGAAACGTAGTCTCCTGACCCGCTTGGCCAAGACTTCGCATCGCCCACAATGTCTCCGATATTCTCCAGCGACCCGGCCATCTTCACACGCGATAGCGGCGCCAACAGCGGCAATGCCATCCCGGACGACCCCCCAGACTCCTCATCCTGGCTCACCCCCGGCGCAGGGCTAACCCCGGAGGAAAGCGACCAGGCGCCGGCGCTACGGATTTTCATCGTGACAGTGGGCGTGCTGGCCGTGTACAACGCGGCCGAGATAGCCTGCATGGCCCTCCTCACCTTTAAGCACTACCGCGGGCTGTACTTCTACTCGGTGATCATCTCGGGACTGGCCATCATCCCCTACACGATCGGCTTCGCCCTCGACCTGCTGGACGTCGCGACGGGCCGCGCCCGCTGGGCCGCCGTCACACTCATCACCATCGGCTGGTGGCCCATGATAACGGGCCAGTCGGTCGTGCTGTGGTCGCGCCTGCACCTGATCGTGCCCAAGGGCCCGCGCGGCGAGCGCATCGTGCGCTGGACCGGGTGGATGATCGTCGTCGACGCGGTGATTTTCCACTTGCCTACCACGGTGTTCACATACGGGTCGTCGGTGGCGGGCCCATCGGCCGGCGTATTCGCGCATGGGTATGATGTTATGGAAAAGATCCAGATGAGCGGCTTCTTCTGCCAGGAGGTGGTGCTGTCTTCGATCTATGTCGTCGAGACGTTCCGAATCCTGCGAACGAGTCTGCAGCCTGACACGCGGACTACGATGCGGCAGCTGCTGGCTATTAATGCGGTAATTATTGCGATGGACCTAGGACTTTTGGGGCTGGAGGCTGCGAGCTTCTATATACTTGAGACGATGCTCAAAGGCGTTGTGTATTCCATCAAGCTCAAGCTTGAGTTTGCTATCCTTGGCAAGCTGGTCAGTTTCGTTGGGGGTGGGCAGCGCGCTGTCGGAGGGGATTACCAGGGTGGAAGTGAGTACGACCCTCGAAAGTACTCTGTGGGCTTTGTGTCAACCACTACGGCGCCGAATTGTCGGAAGAGACGCGACCGCCGCGAAGAGGACGATGAGGTGATGCTGGGGAATATGGATCATATCAGTGAGTTTGTGGATCTGGACAGGGTCGCGGGTGATGTCACCCGCCCGTCGAGAAGTACCGATTCTGGTCATAGAAGCAGGGGAGGAGTTTCTGGGTTGGACGATGATGAGCATGACTTTGCTAGGTTCGAGTATGTTGAGGACGTCACCACGTTACGGGACAGCCTGGTTGGTGGTATGAAGGGGTCCAGAGAAGGACCTTTGCGATATCCAAGGGAAGCATCTCTATGACGAGAAATGTACGCTCTAGCTTCCACGATGAGCATCAGAATGGACACATTCAGCACGACCTTCTTCGTTCAAGCCTGTATGGATGATGCAGTACATGGTTCAAGAGTAACCTGAACACTTCCTCCAAATGCCGTTAGACAGTGCTCGACAAAGATACACTGTGCCGACATCGCGGTAATAGTTCGGCCCAGGCTGCCAACCTGTCTGTTCCAGCTGAAAATATCGAGAAACTACCTGGTGTCACTATTTCGTCTCCTCAACTCCAACATATTTATGAAGCAAAGCTTGAGCTGAACCTTTCTGTTCCCTCCATGACCACTCTCTTCCATCCTGAGCAGATACTCATCGGGCAGGTCGGCAGATACAAGATCGTAACACAATTACAGAACGCAATCTGGCTTGCCAGGTACTTGCCTTCCTCCCCGTCCAGTAAAGAGAACATTTTGTTCACAAGCAGCCACGCAGAAACGAGTCTCATAAGGACGTTATCATAAAGAGTGTACAAGACCATCCGTGCGTGGCTAATGAGCGCGATGTGCTCAAATTGTTCACACCGCGGTCCAAGTTCATCCGGCCGCTGCTGGATGAGATAGTCGACCCTGCCGAGCCCACGACGATTGTCCTCAGTCACTTGCGATCGACACTCCTACAAGCTTCTGTCCGACAGAAGCTTACCCATACAGAAATCAAGTATGCATGCCGCGGTGTTTTGGAGGCCTTGGTGGTGATGCACAGCGAAGGTTATGTACACGCAGGTCAGTTCCCACAAGCGCAATACGGTACTCCTATCCTTTCTCCTCAACATCTATGTCTTTTCGCTGCTACCAAGCCATTCTACTGAATATCGGAATAATCTGATTACAGACGTGAAAGCGGATAATGTCTTGGTCAACCTTGACGTGAGACCACATCAAAGCAATCGCTTCACAGATGTGCAATTGGCAGACATGGGAAATTCATATCCACAGACCCATGAGTACTCTTTTCGGAGCGAGCCTATTGGAGCACCAATGTGGTCCAGCCCTGAAGTCCTGATGCACATGTCTTGGGATACAAAGACGGATATATGGTCTTTCGGAACACTGGTAAGATCGATGTTTTGTGCTTTTCAGTCTGGCAGGAAATGATCTGACAACTTTGTAGCTGATCAGTTTAATATACGGTGGCGACTTCAATATATTTGATTCCAAAGATACGCCTACCGATCCGATCGACGACTACAAGTTCGCTGTCCTGCGGAGACAGGTTGAGATATTCGGCCCTTTCCCGTCAAATACCAGGAAATTGCCAACAAGCATGTCATGGAGCTTGTTGTCTGGATGTTGGAGAATCTGAAGGAAAGTAGGACTCCTTTTCAAAACATCACGGACAGTAAGATTAGCCCAAAGGACAAAGAGTTCGTTAGCTGGATTATGCGGCTGGATCCGCGAGACAGACCAACAGCCCCAGCCATATTGACACATGAGTGGTGGCTTGAAGAGTAGGGAAGGCAAGGGTGACTACAAGTTCTGAAATGAGACTGCAAATCTAAGTGAAAGAAGTATAACCCGAAATTCTTGCGCCGCTTGTCCAGCGGATGGTTGAGGCCTTTTTATTCAAGATGACACAATTTATTCCACTGAAAACCCCACCCTGTATTCTAGCACTCTTACCAACTGAATCTTCGTCGGCCATCTCCAATTTGGTGCCTGCCACAAGACGAGCAACGTCCATTCTCAATTGCTGAAATCTTTTGTCCTTCGCCTGTGGCTGGACTGCCATTTACTACAATCACAAAGCCAAGACAGTGAGGTACGCAGCGAATTCTCCCGCCACCATCGCCGTTTCACTCCAATAAAGCGGTGAAGAAACGCAGCTGTCTGGTAAATGAATGTCACCAAAAGGCGTAGGAAATGCGTCGCTCGGACTGACAAGAATGATCCGCATATTCGAAGGTTTAAGGTTAAAGTTATTCAATTTTTCAATACACGCATACCTGGATTTTAAACTTCACGTTTTAATTAACTCAGATAACGAACTGAATTCTAATTTATATCTAGACAAGGATGTGGGTTACTTTTATCCGGGCTTTGAAGCACGTTTGATCAATAGATCATTGCGGTTGACTTGGACTTGTCCCTAAGGAGGTATATGTAGATTGAGCTCAGCCTGAGCAGATTACTGTTTCTTGGATACGGTAAGCAAACGCACTTCGCTGAAGAGTACAAGACATGACAAACATCATTTCTTTTGATGAACTAGTGGTTCATAGCTTCTGGCGATCTTCGAACTCATGAAGCACATGTTCATCTAATGGCTACATTTTGCGGTGTATCGGCAGATGAGAAATTTGGGCCTTGGGCGGGGAGGGCTTGCCGCGGTGGGTTCGATTTCACGTTACTATTCGAACAGTCAGTTCTCACCATGGCGCCTTCGATGCTCTTCTTATTGGCTTCACCACCGACACTCTTCTTCCTGAGCAAGAGAAATATTGCCACCCAACACAGTTGGTTTCGTGGCCTGAAATTGGTAAGACATGACCAGCCGAAGCCACATGAATCTTGAGCTATTTCTCCATTATTCACGCCATCTATCAGTCCATAGTTGCCGTGTTCACAATTCTACAAGCTGGACTCCTCATTCTTTGGTCCTCTGATAACGACTTAAAGACCAAGGTGTCTGTTCCAGTTGCCGTCGTCAACCTACTTGCCGCCCTTGTGATGGTATGCTTATCATGGGCTGAAGATGCACGTTCTGTACGCCCATCGTCGTTACTTAGTCTTTACCTCTTCTTCTCGGTCTTTCTCGATCTGGCACAGGTACGGACATTATGGCTCCGAGGAACCAGTCTTGGCATCAGCATTGTATCCAGCGCCGCCATCGCAGTCAAGTTCATCCTTCTTTTTCTAGAATCACAAAACAAACGGAGATATCTCATGGCCTCTTATCGTCAGCTGCCCCCAGAGTCGACAAGTGGTATCTTGAATCGAAGTGTACTATGGTGGGTCAATGAACTGTTCCGCCGCGGCTACCAATCACTGATTAAATCCGATTCCCTCTGGGTCCTGGATGAGGAACTGACATCGGAGGATCTTTCCCATAAAATTCACCGGGCATGGGATCGACGAAGGATTCCGGAGCGTCGAACTGAATACGCGCGGGCTATCTTCTACGTGTTGTGGTGGCCCTTTCTTCAAGCTGTCATCCCTCGCCTCTGTTTGATCGCTTTTACGTTTGCACAACCTCTTTTCATCTCCGCAGCTTTGGACCTCCTGATACAACCGAGAAGCCAAATGACTGATGCAAAGGCATATGGGCTCGTAGGAGCAGCGGCCCTCATTTACATCGGGCTTGCTATCTCAAGACTATTGTACGACCATAAACTTTACCGAGCCATCACAATGGCCCGGGGAGCCACGGTGTCGATCATACACAGCCGAGCTTTAGAGACCCAAGGTGGACTATACGATGAATCCGCCGCCATTACTCTGATGAGCACAGATACTGACCGAGTTGTGGCCATTCTCGAGAACCTCTTCGAGTGTTGGGCTCAGGCTGTCGAGCTTTTTGTTGGGATTGGCCTTCTGGCTCATCAAATGGGATGGGTGTGCGTCATGCCTCTCATCATTGTTTTCAGTAAGTATTCTTTCTTGGCCTCTCGCAACGCCAGAGATCCAAGCTGACGCTAACTTTGGGTCGGTCTAGTCTCACTCACTGGGAGTATTATTTTATCGACTCGAGTGGGTGGGAATGCGAAGACGTGGCTCGGCGCCGTACAGAGGCGCATATCCATCACGAGCTCCGTACTTTCAGAGATGAAATCGGCCAGAATGATGGGTCTAAGCGGCTTCCTAACAGCGAAAATTCAAGACGAGCGCAACAAAGAGACACAACTCATGTCGAGCTATCAACGCAACATCGTAAGCAAGAACGTCCTGGCCAGTCTTCCTTTGATATGGGCACCTTGGGTCACATTTTCCGTTTACGCCCTCCAGGCCGCGGCTAGTGGATCGGATTCCATAGACACGAATAAGGGCTTTACCAGCTTGGCTATAATCAGTCTTGTGTCCACACCAGCGTTCCAGTTGATCGACTCGATTATAACAACATTTGCGCGCATTGCGTCTTTCGATCGTATACAGAGTTATCTCATTTCTGAGTCACGACGAGACTTGAGGCGTCTTTCTTTGCAAGAGACAGGGACACTCGGCATCACACAATCTTATACCCAGCCTGGAGAGAAGGGGCTTTCTCCTAAAGAATCAACTGCAGACAAGGCAACGCAAAGCATCGCCATCTCGGTCGCCCGCGCAGACATTCGACCGGCCCCATCAGCAGACCTCATCCTACGCGACATCAGTTTTGATTTATGCCAGGGATCTCTCACTATGATCGTCGGGCGTGTTGGCTCAGGCAAAACGACATTGCTTCGAGCCTTGCTTGGAGAAATTTCCTGCAGCCACGGGCGAATTAGCCTATCATCCCTGCGGGTAGCGTATTGTCCCGGGTCCGCCTGGCTTCCGAACACGACAATTCGCCGGGCCATTTGTGGTCCACGTGACAGTGCCAGCGTCGACGAGGTTTGGTACCAGTCGACTTTGAAGGCTTGCGCTCTAGACTATGATCTTTCGATGCTTTCTGATGGGGACCAGACCGTCATTGGAAGCGGGTCCACAGTTCTTAGTGGTGGTCAGAAACAGCGCGTGGCTTTAGCTAGGGCTGTTTATTCCCGACTGAGCATTATGCTTTTCGATGATGTTCTCAGCGCCCTGGACGCGAAAACCAAGAGGACTGTAGTAGAAAGACTTTTACTCAACAAAGATGGTCTCTTGAAGAAACTGGGCTCCACAACTATACTTATTGTTAACGACTGTCAGTGCACAAATATTTATCCTTTTTCCATCCTATTTAAGTACATTTGCGTGATATCGACAGCTGACTCTCCTCCAGCGACTTTATTAGCATACGCGGACAACATTATTATTCTAGCAGACGGCGGAATCAGATTTAAAGGGACTTATCAGCAGATGGTCTGTTGTGGTATTTCTGAAGCGGTGGAAGTAAGAGGTTCAGACAACATTGTGGAAGGGGATATCGCCAAGGCGCCGTCTTTCTATGAGGAACGGACAAGGGAAGTAACCGAGCCTGCTCAACTACAAGATCTCACCCGAGCCACAGGTGACACTGAAGTGTACAAGTATTACTTCAAGTGCATCGGCTTGTGGAAAAGTTTAGTTTTTGTTGGACTTACAGCCCTTTATGCATGCTCGATCCAGCTCAGCAGTAAGTGTTACAGAAGGCAATAATTTGTCCGATACACTGACGTCATCCTTTGTTAAGGTATTTGGATCAAGTGGTGGACTGATGAGGGTGGAGATCATATCACCCTACATATCGGTATTTTTTTCTCAACGTCAATTCTTGCCTGTCTGGGGCTAGGTGGATATATCTGGTACTCGCTTTTCCGCGATCGATCACTATGAGGAAGAGGTTTACTGATGCCAAAAGAAGGTCTATGATGTGTTGGATCGGCCCATCTGCTGGTCGAAGCCTCCATTATATTCTTTTGCGGACCGTCATGATGTATGAGCATGGTACAAGTGTTCGCTGGAAGATAGACACAGCTGACTAAGTCTATCTGATGTAGGGCATCTCAGTCGTTTCTATCTTCGACCGACGTCGGCACGATACTTAACCGCTTCAGCCAAGACATGACGCTGATAATAGCTGATCTGCCAGTTGGTATGGTTTTCACAGTGTCAAGTAAGTTTAATCACGCCGTCGAAGCCGGGTGAATGAATGGATTGGCGACTGATACCAATGGTCAGATCTCTTCCTTACGATTACAGCAGCAGCTTTAATCACAACCGGATCTCAGTATATGGCCCTGACTGCGCCTTTACTCATCGCAATAATCTGGGCCTTGCAGCACGTTTATCTGAGAACTTCGAGACAGTTACGCTTGTTAGACTTGGAAGCCAAAAGCCCCTTGTATTCGCATTTCCTCGAGACCATTCAAGGTTTATCAGTCATACGTGCTTTCGACTGGGTGACGGAGAACAAGAAAGAAAACTGCAAGCTCCTCGATCTTTCACAAAGACCTTACTACCTCCTCTATTGCATCCAGAGGTGGCTCAACTTAGTCCTGGACCTTGTTGTTGCCGCCGAAGCAATCATTGTGGTAGGTTTGGCTTTTGGGCTCAGAACGACAACTACTGCTGGATTTCTTGGCGTCTCTTTGAACAGCATCCTCGGTGAGTTCAGGACCGTCTGTCTAAATTGATTAAATGCCTTGCTCGGAAGCCTGGTGGACGGGCTGTTGTGATCACTGAATCTGTTAATTGACATCGATGATTGCAGGCTTCAGTCGTTACCTATCACAGCTCATTGTGGGCTGGACGCAGCTGGAAACATCTTTGGGTTCCGTCTCCCGAATACGAAGCTTTGAAATGGATGTCGAGCCCGAGGCAAAAAGCGGAGAGCAGAATGAGCCTTCTGCCAGCTGGCCTGATCGTGGTGAAATTGAATTTAGGGAAGTGACAGCGTCACATAAGTATGTTTCACAGATCGATCATAACACCAGCATATTGATTGACATATTCCAAAATCTAGCTCACGCACGATTGCTCTGCGTAATGTCACATTGAAGGTTGTCCCTGGACAAAAGGTAGGCATTTGCGGGCGCACGGGAAGGTAAGGTTACGTCGAGTTGCCACTTTCACGCTTCTGGCTCTGGTTATCCGCTGATATCAGCAAAACAAAAGCGGGAAAAGTTCCCTTGTAGGGACACTTTTACGGCTCCTCGAGATAGACTCCGGCTCCATAATCATCGATAACGTGGATATCACCACCATGCCTCGTGAGACCATACGTCGGCAGCTTTTAGCCATAGCTCAGGAATCCCTCGTGCTGATAGGCAGCCTTCGACTCAATGTGGATCCTGCGGCCGCCCATTCAGACGAGGCCATAATCAGAGTCCTAGAGCGGGTAGGACTATGGATCTTATTTTCGGAGCGGGGCGGATTAGCTGCGGATGTCACAGCGTCGTCTTTTTCCAAGGGGCAGCAGCAACTCCTGGCGCTTGCCCGCGCGCTGCTTAAGAAGGGTAAAATCCTATTGCTTGACGAGATGACAAGCAACGTCGACAGTGAGACGGACGCGGTCATGCAGCGAGTGTTAGCCGAAGAGTTTACAGGTTGCACAATAATAACGGTTGCTCATCGGCTGAATACGATCATGAGTAGTGATCTCATTGTCGTAATGGACGAGGGTAAGTTGGTGGAAGTGGGGCCACCGAGAGACCTGTTGGATGCGGAGGGCGGTTGGTTTCAAAAGTTGGTCAAACAGGATGGCTCAAATCGTTATGCCCCATGAGTTGCTGGATAGGGATGGAACATATTTGGGATTTGAACTCGTTCACAATCTATTCAATTTGGGCAACACTCAAGCTATCACAACCCATTTCTACTCTGCATCCTCTTTTCTCACAATCAATATGTTTACAAAATACTAATGAACGCATATCTCTTGATTATATGCATGACATCAAGATACCAGGCTACTCAAACATAGAGCGCAGGTGATCAATGGTAACAAATGTGTTGTTTCTGCCATTGATGACGACAGTTTCAGACCAAGGGTTTCCTATACAGACATAGACTTGCACGCCTATTTTGACGTGGTTAGAAGTACAAATTGACTGTCCTCAGATCGCAGCTTGAAGCCACACTCTAAAACCCTCCGTTGATTATACAGGCAGTCATTATTGCAAACTCAAGGACTCAACTGTCTTGTATCCTTTTGAGAAGCAAGCTCTTTGTGGGGTCCGGCAAACACTTGGCATTGAATGAATCCAAAAGTCAGTGTTGGCTGACATTTTGAAAAGACAATGGGCGCTTGTGGTATTTTGAAGTACTTACGGTGTTCCCTGAGTCAATATTTTTATATCTCTCATTGACGACCCCGACAGTTTTGATATCATAGGACAGAATAATCTTAGCGAGGATCATCTTCACAATGTTCACGGTCAGGAAACGCCCTGGACACGCGTGACGACCGTAGCCGAAAGTAAGCTCTGAAGGCGAATAGCTAATCAAATTCGCACCTTTGATCCTTTGGCCTTCGTGATCTTCCTGGTACGATCTGAAAGGGTTGAAGTGGTCCGGGTCAGGAAAAATGGTCGGGTCTCTGCTTATGCTGTAAGTCGGGATCTCTGTGATCACACCCGGGGGAATGGTCAACCCGTTGGAGAGCGTCACAGGCTTCAAAACCTTTCGTTTAAAGGAAGCTGCATAAAGTCTTATTAGTCAGAGTATTCACGAAGATACACTGCAAAACAGAAGATGCCCAAAGAGTCCGACAACAGGTTTTTGCTTCGTAAAGTTATACTGTAGGGCATGTAAACAACTCACTCAAAACAAGAGGATGGAACCTCATCGTTTCCTTCAGAAAGCTTTCCATCTTTCTCATACACTGCACTGCGGATACAGTGAATTGATTTCCGTGATCTAAAAGGACCTTTCGAATTTCCTTTCGAAGCTCGGGAACTAGTTCAGGCATGGCCGCGAGGTCATACAAACTTTGCAGCGCATGAAAGAGTTAGCCAGGCGTTGTTTCAACTTTAGCAACAGCGTCATGAATGTGGGTGAAGAGTAGACTGACGCATTTGCCAAGAAATTGGTGGTTGTGTGAATCGTTGCAATCGCTAGCTCAAGCTGCAGAGCCGTGATTTCTTTGTGTAATTGCTCCCTTGGAAGGCCCTTGCCGTGGTCACTTTCTAGCAACCACTGCAAAAGATCGTCCGGTTTTTGGGAACTTTTACCTTCTTCCATATTTTCCGAGCGTACCTTTACAACTGGCTGAATCATATCCTCGGCTTTCCGGACCCGTCGCCAAACAGCTTTTACGTCTGGCAGCGCACCTGCTATCCACCATCGCAGCCAAGGACTTAGCTGAGATACTGCTCTGACTGCCCGCATCATATCTTTAACAAAGCCTAGGGTATTCTCAACGTATTCCTTGTTTTGGAACAGTTCATTTCCGATAGAACACCGTCCAGTAACTACAGCAACGAGTTGAAGCATCGTCTCGTATATGTTCACCTCTTTCCACGTATCGTTGCTAGGTAACTCGCCCATGAATGCATCAATATCTTCGGAGATTCTTGGCGTGATGCGGCCTATGATTTCTCAATCAGCTTCGTAAATCTCGGTGCAGACTTTCTGCGTCCCTGAGATAGAAGAGAACGCAATCGCACCTAGAGCTGGATTCAGGCATTTATTGAGCGTGTGGACGAGGACTGGGCTAGCCATCGGAAACTTGATATACTTTGTATGCATCGACTTCATCCACTGTGAGCTGGAATTGTTTTTCCCGGACGGAAAGTTCTCTATCGCCGGTTTCACCGACACGGACTTACATCCCCTATGGCATCCTTGACGCTAATAACATGGTCTGGGAGATTGCGAAGCTCTGGAATCCATCTAGGAGTAATAACAAGCGATTCGCCACCCGATCCTATGTACAGCAATATGTTAGAAAGGGATACATGATTAGGTTTTCCTCCCTTGTCTAACTTATCGATCTTTCGGGGGAGGGGGGTGCGGGGAGGTGTCTCTTGCTTGAAGTGTTAACTCGAAAAACATCTCCGTTGAACTATGTAGCTTAAGTCAGTCACGCTTCAACAGATATGGCACAGACTGCTAGTCGAGTCGAGAACATGAGATCTTGATTACTTGACAATAACCTTCCGTGTATATCCGCTTTGCTTCCTTTATGTATGCCTGTTGGCGCTTCGCCTTATTGCCAAATTCGAGACCCGCTGTGGGGATCTCATGAAGTGGCCGCTGGGAGGGCAGAAGACGAGCACAGACCCAGATTACGCTGGCAATAAGAAAAACAAACATTGTGATCCTCCACGGACCACCAAGGTAAAGCTTCTCTAGGTCTGTTAGAGTTGCCATTTGAGCGATGAATTTTTCAAGCTGATAGAGTGTTGCAGATGGACCCGCCTCACAGTGGGTGTCTTCAGGAAGATCGCCGATTTTCAAAGCATTTACAACGGAATAGGACGCATTTCTCGAACCCGCGATCACAAATGTCCTCTTTCTGAGAAGATGACGAGCATTGGGTGGGTAACCCTGCCATTCGCATGAAAACCGCCGGCGGCGCTTTGTCAGAAAACAGCCGTTTACGACAAGCTAGCAAATGCCCCTCCACATTATGGGAATGATGCCTGTTGGAGAAAGACAAAATACCAGTAGACAATCCACGTATGAATTCTCATTGCACACCTCAAACAACCCGATTCGGACTGATCCTGAGACGGACGCGTGCCATTGAAGGCTTGCCTCCGTCGGCGAATCCGACAGTGGTTTCAACAGGAAGTACGCTTCCGGAAATATCGCAAGGCAATGGCTTGGCCGGCCAACATGTACATTTCATGGAATGGATGTGACACACGTCCGGGCTGACATAACCGAAGTTGCATCAGTTCTGTTCACACAGTTGCTGACGTTCAGAGGGTGACGCTAGCGAAAAGGGAAAAGAGTGCCGAGGCAGTAAGAATTTAAATATTTAGCTATCAGGGTTTACTAGGGTGATGACTAGAAATTATTTCATGTCGCACCTCACACACGCTGCAGTACCATAGCAGCATTTTGTTTCTTTCTGAGCAATAAGCCTTCAGACTGGGTGCCATCTCGAACGCTCGAAAACATGGCACATCTTGCTACTATCCAGCTCCTTACCCAGGCATCATGTCTTGCCGTATGTTCAGCGAGCGGCAAATTGATTGTGGACGAACATGATTAACTAATGCTGTTTCCAGTTGGTCCTATATCTAATTACAGTATTCATATACCGTCTTTTCCTCCACAAACTGTCTCGTTTCCCCGGTCCGTGGCTGAATGCGGTATCGGAGGTTCCTATTTGTGTTGCGTTGATGTCAGGCCGACAGCACGTATGTTTAGCAGACGAAACCCGCGAAGAGAAACGCCATCCTTACATATTCAGAATACTTGCATGAATATTCGATAGAACTTTGCTGAAATCTCTATGTAGGCATATCTGAGAAGCCTGCATGAGTCCTATGGTCCAGTGGTTCGCACGTCTCCAAATGATCTTTCCTTTTGCGGTGGGACTGCCTGGGAAGACATTTACGGCGCCAAAGTACGATTTCTTTATTGATCCGTGAAGCAACAACTCATTAAATCTAACAAATTGTCTTCAGAGTAATATGGAAAAGTCCTCAGTCGTAACGGGTGCCATCCGCTCCAAGACTGGCGCCGTGGCGATGAGTGTCGCTCGTGCGGAGGCTCATGATCGAATGCGAAAAGCTTGGGCATACCCCTTTTCCACCACGGCATTGCTACAGCAAGAGGCATTGGTCACTGGTCACATCGATGAAATGATCAATCAGTTGCGTCTTTTGGCTTCCCAAAAACCAAAAGGTGCCGACCAGTCACATTGCTTGGGACGGGCTGTTGTTGATCTGTCGAGCTGGTTCAAGTACCTTACCTTTGACATACTAGGAGAGCTAACATTCGCTGAGCCCTTTGGGTGCCTTGATCAAGGTGCAGATACCAAGTGGTCGACATCTGTTTCTCAATTGGGACGAGCGGTGATGATGGAACAGCCGACAAGGCGATTAGTGGGCGAAGGAAGGCTCCAGAAGGCACTATTACGCCTATTAGTGCCAAAGGACGCTATGAAATGGCGTCTGACGCACTTCGAAAACAGTACCAGGAAGACATTACACAGGATAGCGGACGAAGATAGGAGCCACAAAGACTTCTTGTACTACATTCTGAAGAACAGCGATGCCAAAAGGGCCTTGACGGTAGATGAAATTGTGGTCAACTCGTCGCTGATGATGTAAGTGCCACTATGTGTACTTCTGCTTACTCCACGGAGTTACTGATGACCTGGATCACAGAGCCGCTGGGAGCGATACCACCGCGGTCATGCTATCTGGATGGGCGAATCTCATAATGAGAAACCAGGAGGCTTATCAGAAGCTCATTCATGAAATTCGCACCACATTCCAGTCCGAAAGTGACATCACGTGGTCATCCGTAAAAGACCTTCGCTATCTTGGGGCATGTATCAATGAGTCTATGCGGCTCTTTCCGCCTTTCCCAATCAGCTTGATACGTGTTACACCTACAGGGTCTAGTCTCATTGACGGTAATATGGTTCCTGGTAACGTGAGTTCACCTGGATTGCGGGTTATCTTATTCATCGAAAAGTTATTCGTGCCTTTTTTGGTGCAGTTGGCTGAAAGCTACTGCAAGCAGACAAATGTATCGGTGGCACCTTGGGCCGCAAATTACTCGTCCTCGAATTTTAAGAATCCGGAAGCATTCATCCCGGAAAGATGGCTGGATACCGAGGCAGGGAACCCTTATAAGAATGACAACAGGGCCATGTCACAGCCTTTCAGCCTTGGGCCTCGTGGCTGTTTGGGAAAGTGGGTGATTTCTCCGCACGTGTTCTGCCCTTAAAATATTTCAGAATTCTCACATAGGTCTTTGATGCAGGAACTTGAGTCATCTGGAGCAACGGTTGATTATCAGCCGCTTGGTATGGAATTTTGACCTTGAGTTTGAAGGTGGACAGAGCAAGGCTTGGCAGTGGCACACCGCAGAAGACTTCAAGAGTCTCAAAGCCTTTATATCATGGATAGTTCCGGCATTGATGGTAAGGATTCAAACGGCGAATCAGTAAGAGGAGGAGGAGGAGGGTTGCGAGGTTTAATGGCTGAATACGTGCTAGCTAGGTAAGTGTGTCAAACTCCTAGGAGCGAACTAATTTAATATACTTATTTAGGTTCTCGACATAGTAAGGGGCATTTGCACAGTTTTTCATACGCGACTTATTATTTGGTACTGGCGGGCTAGCGTAGGGTTGGCGTCAGAAATGCGTAGATGCTCAGCTATTTCCCGCCCGAAACAGCCAACTCATTTATCTTCACGGCCACTGATTTCTTACTTCTATTGAATGATTCATGTAGTTGGGAGGTACTCATAAATGGAAACTTTGCACCGCTAGATTCGAGGAGGGCCAAGTGAACAGGATCTTTCATGGTTGGCACGGGTTTCTACTCATTTCATCTTCAATTATACAGTTATGGACACTGCGGCTTCAGGGATGCATAGCAAGTATCACGAAACTAAAAATTGTTACCTTTTGCCTTGAGGAAGTGCTAGGTGTCGTCATAAATGTGTGGCATTGAAAGGGGTGATGCAAACCATTATAACCTCCCAGATCCACTGGCGCCTGGAGTCGGGACAAACCTGACTCAAAAGTGTAGGATTCTACAAGCAGCATTCTAGCCAGTTGCCCATGAGTCACGCAACAAGATCTTCAAATAATAGTCAACCATTGGTTTTCAGCAAGCGCGATGAGGAACGAGACGACCAGTATAATCAGCGTGCCCGTAACCAGCCGGCACGTCACCCTTGGTCGATAAAAACCATTCCCACCAAAGATGTAGGTCCTGGGTCAGCTTTCCCGCAACCTCCTCGTCACTCAAATCGAATGGTTCATAACCCTGACCAATGGCACGAATCTGTGAGTACGCAGCTCTCACGCTCAAGATAAAATCCGAATCAAACGGTGTCACTGGCCAGATCGCCGACGTCACTCTACCGTCGAGCAAGTCCCCTGCCAAAGCAGGCTCCTGCACAGCTGGCCTCGCGATTCCGACCGCATCCACTACCTCCAAAGCAGCAAGCATACCTTCGGCTGTCCTAAGCCCCCCCGTAACAACGACTTTAGTCTTTCGTTTATGCTCCGGTCCCAGTGCAGGAACAATTCTCTCTGCAAATTCCAAAAAGAACGCTTCTCTTTTCTTTGTGCTCTCTCTCTTCCTGACTCCAGCCTTTTGAGCCAACTGCTCAAAGGTACCACCGCTAAGCTCTACGTAATCGACTGCAGCGTCTTGCCATCCCTTGACAAGTTCAGCCGCATCCTCTGTCGTCAAACCATCTTTTTGAAACTCTACAGAGTTCATCTTAATGGACAGAACAAAATCCGGCTGAGTACAAGCCCTGATCGCAGTACAAATCTCCTTGACGAGACGCATGCGGTTGGCTATGCTACCGCCATACGCATCGCTCCGCTTGTTGGTGGCCGGGGAAAGAAACTGAGATAACAGAAATCCTTGTGCACATTGGAGCTGGATTCCGTCAAAACCTGCAGCCTCCAGATAGGCAGCAACGTGAGCAAATGTTTGCGTGATGTTCTCAATGTCGGAGACTGTGGCTGCTCTCGCTGGAGCGAAACGTAAGAAACCTAAAAATGGGTCTAAAACATGATTGATTGGTTGCATAATCAATGAATCTATTACAAAAGTGTAGATAACACGATGAAGTTGCTTAAGATTGCCGTACCTTGTGTGGTGGGTGAGGCCGATATTGTTTCTTTGACCCATACCTCCCGGACGCTCCGACCCGGGTGGCATACTTGAGCAATAGCAATGCTCCCATTTCTCTTCATGGCTACAGCTAAGGCCTGGAAGCCTTCAAAACGCTCTCCATGGAAGGGGGCACTGATTGTAATGGTGGGTCGAGCGGCGTCGGTTATGTGTTCGTAGTCGATCATGACCTCCCCGGTTGTGATAATTCCCCATGTTGATTCACCCCATCTATGCAGCGCACCAGTATTAGAGTTACTAAAGCAGCATGAAATTTAGAAAGCAATCAAAGCTTGGGCTTTATGGTTCACACCGTTTGTAAAGTTCGATGAGCTCCTTTGTTGGCAGTCCTCGGGCGTCAAGTGTTGTTGGATGCCACGATGCAAGTGTTTCGCTCATAGCAGTTTTAACGAGCCGGTTGGGGGCGGTCCTTTTGGAAAATTCGAATTGCAATGGCTGAGCAAGTTTTGCAACATCGACTGCGTGAGAGTCTAACTGATATCGTCGAGCACTCATGTTGACAGCTTCGACAATGGAAGCACCTGGCAAGAAGAACGCCAATATCTGAATGTGTTCATCAGCCCGACCGGTGCAACTGACTTCATTCATACCTAGGAGTTCATACCTCAATCTGTGATGCAGAGGGATTGGTGTCTGCAAGGGTCAAGCTTACGGACAAGGAGGAAAATAGAACGGAATAGAAAAAGGCGCCGTCGGATTGAATTGTTTGCGTACATTCGTACAATGCGGAGGAGGTGAAGACTATCAACAAGCTCCAGTTTTATACGGACAAATAGACAATGACTCTCATTCATACTGTGAGCTGTCAAGGGGAAATTCTCCGTCGGCGACGTTCGAACACACGAGACTCAACCAGCATTTGTTGCATTCATCCTTGTATCCCGCATATTTCCCCAAAATTTTCAACAGTGTTAAATAAGCATTTCGTACTCGGAAGCGTTCGTACTCGGAAGCGTAGGTTTTTTGTCACCGTCGCTTCCATAGCTAACTTTTGAGACTGCCCTCTTCCCGTGGCGGAGAGCATGGTGTAGGACTTGTTGGAGGGCGTATGGGTCGGAATGATGTGCAACGCCTTCTTCATCCCATGCATAGGCAGCTTTCTGGTAGCATTTGACAAAACTCTACCTGCCGTTATTCCCTGCGTACATCCGGCTCTTCCCGCACCAATCCATGCCAAAGCCAACGCTGAATCGCTTGCTGCATGTCCCCGCACTATAAGCGCAAACGTCGGAGTGAATCTTGCGTGAATTTGTTCAGGGTCTGGAGTAGTCGTTGAGTTCGATCGACAGAAAAGACTTCGGCAGTTCTTGCCAAGATAGAGCTTGTGGTCCGTGGCAGGCATCACACGGGGCGAGCAGACAGACCTAATTCCAGGCATCCAGCTAGCCATCTGTTTTACCGAAAGCTTCTGGCCTCCCACATGCTACACTATGGTCCGATCTGAAAATATATTTCTATGCAGTGGTACATAGTGATCCACCTTTACCGTTCACTAGATACTGTACACTACATGCTTTGAATTAATATGAGGGACATGTGGTCCAAGCGACTTGGTTGGCCAGGTTTCATTCACTCATTAAGGTACTCGAACTCACATGCCTTATATTAATTCAAGAATTAGAATGTAGGTGCGGGAAATCTTTGTGCCTGTAGGTGAAGCAATCTGGTGGGAAGTTGGGTGCTCTACCGCGTCTGTCAAGCCGCGTGGAAGCCGTTACTCAATAGCGGGCGTCAAGCTTTAGCACATCTGTCACGCATAGCAGCGTCAAATTGACTTCCGGTAGACCTAAAGTTTACGCAGGCTAAGGAATGCAGCCGCCCAACATTGCGGTGTATTTGGATGACAGCACTTTGGGTATTTGCCGCTACGTTGTTTTCTTCCGACGTAGCTCGAGTGCCCTGCACACTTGCCGCCCTCACACATTTTGATGGCCAACGTGTGCTGTTTGACAAATTCGGCGCTGGTGTCCCTTAAAGTATTCTTGCTTGAATGTTTCTTTCAGTGCCGCAAAATAAATCAAAGCAATGGCTTCACGTCGCGATGCTTGTGACAGGTGCCACAGCTTGAAAACGCGTTGCGAAAGAATCGGCCCTGAATCGGATCAGGGCTCTGATGCTTGTCATCGATGTCAGCGGCTGGGCCTTAGCTGTGTCTATAGCCCACCGCTTCGGCTTGGTCGTCCGCAGGGGAAACGGGCTAGACTCTCTCCAGCAAGGACAGTGAACCGGCGACTAGAGCAACCTTCGCATGCCACTATTTCTGCGGCTCCATCACCAATTAGGAGAGGTCTGTCAGAAGATGTGGAGGAAAGTGAGGAGCAGGGTGATGGGACTACCTCGCCGGTCTCAAATCTGCACACCTTGGAACAAATTGATGATCAAAATCATCAAACGGAGCAGACGCCAACATCAGATCCAGAGTCTACGGTGTTTCTAAGCTTGCGGGTAGATCAAGATTGTGCGAGTGTACTAGACAACGCGTTGGGCGAGTTGGATCCGTCACTTTCATGGCCCGCTGGTGTCGAGTTGCAGGAGGAATTGCCACTGGCAATGTCGGTTTCGTCCCGTCATAATGATGTTTGGTCATCAGCAGTCGAGTCTTTCTGGACCACAGAATTCAATGTGGACCATGGTCGTCGCTTGAATAAGACGTCTGTGGGTGCCACACTGTCACCAGGTTCCCGTCTGGAGGTCTTGAGCCAAGAAAAGTCTGGTATAGGCGGCAGCACAGACGTCGATGCGAATCATCGTGGGTACTCGAACAAGACGCCCATAGATGCTGCGTCGTCAGCAAGCTCAAAAACGATCTTGACCGATGAAAATCCCAGCACAGAGGAGCTCTTATGTGGTCTACAATTGAAATTGCTGCGGGTGCACAGAACGTTCAACTCGCATCGACACGGGCAAAGTTTTGCATCCCAGATTCACGACATAGCCGGCACAGGGCTCTCTGGATCTGAGATGTGCCGAGTCATTGATGATACATATACTGCTACTGAGGATCTTCTGAACATCATGCGCAGTCTGTGTGGCGCTGCCTTAGACAGCACAAACGGAGTCAGTCCGGCTGAAGCCCAGACGAACTCAGTACATCTCCAATCATCACCAGCCCAACCAACGCGCTCATCACCTGTGTCTTCACTGGAAGCTGCCACCACCCTTTTCTTGTCGAGCTGCTATGCTAGTCTGATTAGCGCTTACGAAATCATCGTGGAGACTATGAAGGGGCAGAGCACAGAGGACACGTCTACCTTGCCCTGGCAGCTCGGCCCTCCAAGTGCTTCGGCCAGAATCCCCGCAAGCGGTGGAAGCTTCCCTACATTCAGCATGAACAACTCGCGCCTGGCCATGCCATCTTCAGTCAACTTGGGCTTGCATCTACACCTTATAAGCCACATGGTCCAACGACTCAAAGATTCGATGCAAATGTGTTGCGCTTGTCACAATATCAAAGGCAGAAATAGCCCGGCCACAGCTCTTGTTCAAACAGCTTCGTCCGAGCTCAGCCTGAGCCAGGAGAGCCTTGAGGATGCACTTCGCAGAGCCAAAATAGAGGTCTTTCGATAGACCAGCTCTTTCTGGCTCCTTTATCCTCAGCTCTCGACCGCTTCAGGCACTTGATGTATGTCTGGATAGAATAGAGTTCAGGGTCACCAGATCATCTTCCTGACTTGAACTTGATTTTTTACATGGATTTCTGTGGACATAATCTCATCAGCATTCATTCAAGTTGGATGTCGGATAGTGTTCTTGATCATTTTGCTCTATTCTTGATTGAAAATAGAGTATGTATGAGTTGGGCTGATATTACTTCCTTGTCAATCTGTACACGAACTTTTGGCCTGACGGGCTCTTTTTCTTAAACGACGCTATGCCATAGAGCAATGCCTCCAAATTACCTTCAGTGATTTTGACTGGGTGAGTCCTCAGGAGTCGGGTGTCCAGTAACTTCTGAACAGTGCTGTACCAGGTCTTGGCGAATTCACGCAAGGATGGGTCACCTGCCCTCTGCATAGGCGGAGGCCATCCGATGGGCTTACCAGGCAGCGTTGGGCCAAGAACCCAGCTGAGGTTCACTGTTGCAGGCCGTTTGTGGACATAGCTAGGCGGAGGCTCGAGTGCCGTCATCTTGCCTCCTGTACGCCCAAGGCACGCGTAACAAAACTCCATAGTCTCGGGTATTGAGACACAGTCGAGAACGTACTTCAAGGAATTCTTGGTGTATGCCTTGATTTTCTGCATGCAGTCTTTCTCGCGGTAGTCAAAAGCTTCTGCTGCACCGCAAAACTTGACCAGCTCGAAGTTGTCGGGAGAGCAGGTTGTAATCGGCTTGAGTCCTGAACTTTACACCTGAAGTCAGCCTTTTCATCCAATTTATGAAGAATCCTTGGCGATATTTAATACTGATTTTAAAAAGGCCAGGCATCACCCACAGCTTAAGTAGTTGGATCGCCAGAGTGCCCACTGACGTGCTACCACCATACACCAAGACCGTTGTCTCTTGGCTGGCAGGCTTAGTAGGGTATCCAGGAACCTGCAGATCGTGAAAAAGAGCTAGGCCTGCTGTACCAATGCCTATCCCTAGTGAAGAAGCATCCTCCATTGCCATGTAGTCAGGTATCTTCAACAGAAGTATGTCGAAGGCGGCAGTGTATTCGGCGAACGCGCCGATTCTCGGTGTAAGAGAATGCATCCCCTTTCGATTGATCAGCAACCACCTTCTACTCTCCGAGATATGTAAATCAGTCGTAGCTCACCACCACAGCACCGCAAACCCGGTCCCCAACAGCAATCGGGGCCGCTGTCCACGACTCGGACCCGATGGCGACCACAGTCCCTGCGAAATCATGCCCTGCAACTGCGCCGGTGGTGGCATTGCGTCCTTGCATTTTGATGTCTACTGGGTTGATGGCCACAGCTATAACCTTCACCATCACCCTGTCTGGCTCTAATTCAGGGACTGGTACATCACAAGATAGCTTCAACTCCCCCTTCTCGTCACTGATAATGGCCTGCTGAGACTTCAGAGAGTCTCCGTCGAAGCCCTCTTCATTCATGTCTGAGGTTGGCATCTGTTGCAAAGGATCCGATTTCTCGATACCGTCAACATGCAATGAGGGAAAAGCACAAGGCTGAGGTGTCCGTTCCTGACACACAAGAGAAAGTAGTGCACTAATCAAGACGAAAACGAACCAGAAGACGGTCCCACTGGCTTTCCCTCTGCATGGTTACCCTAGATAAAGTCACCGAGCAAGGTGGCGCAGCAATTTGTACCCTGTTTGAACAAGCTGCATCTGGGCGAAGTCAAAAAGCCGCCGACCGCCTACGGCGAGAATACACGGCGTCATTCCCATCAAGGACTCCGTTGAATGCCATGATGTCGCGAGCTTCATATCGGTCGGTGTCGGAGACATTACCCTGTCACGTTAGAATTTCATCCTAGTTAATGCATGCTAGATATCCGAGTAGAGCAGATGCCCTGGCTTCAAGGATACACATACACAAATGGTGGTACTGTAAGAAAACAGCCATGGGATCTTCTGCATCGGAGACATAGATCACTCGAAAGTTTAAATAAGACAGACTTGGTCCAATTTTGGGACTTACCACCAGCTTAGACTTGAACTATCTTGTCTCTGTGTCGTTCAAGTGGGACAAGACCATCACTATTGCCGCAAGCAACCATTATTTTGCCTAAGATCCATTTGAATATCTCCAATTAGATTTGGACGTCTTCTGTTCCCTTGCTGGTCAAGATGTCCCCCCTCAACAAGGAATCTAATGAACCGATAGCCATCATTGGATTAGGTTGTCGATTCCCTGGAGCAAAGTCGCAATCTCAACTATGGGATCTGCTCTGCAAACCGCGAGATATTGCGAAGAAGATTGATCGTTTCAACACCGACCGGTTTTACCATCCAGATGGGTCGCACCATGGCACTACCAACGTCAAAGAAGCTTATTTCCTAGACGACGATGTCAGTCAGTTTGACTCGGCGTTTTTTGGTATTCCCCCAGCAGGTCAGTAATACGCCTTGTGTCTTCAATTGAAACGAATCGACTGACAAAAGACATGTTTATCTTTACGTAGAGGCGTCAGCTATGGACCCCCAGCATCGTATTCTAATGGAGACCGTCTATGAGTCACTTGAAGACTCAGGTATGACGATTGCGGAGTTGCAAGGTTCAGATACCGCCGTCTATGTGGGAATCATGTGTATGGACTATTACATCTTGCATGGTCTGGACTACAACAGTATCCCCACTTACAATCCGACTGGAATCGCCAATGGCAATGCTTCCGCCCGAATTGCATATTATTTCGACTGGCACGGACCATGTATGACCATTGATACAGCTTGCTCGTCCAGTCTTGTAGCCGTCCACCTGGCTATTCAGGCCCTCAGAGCAGGGACTTCACGGGTTGCTGTGGCTGCCGGGTCAAATTTACTCATCTCTCCACTGGGGTTCATCTCCGAGAGTAAACTCAAGATGCTTTCACCGACAGGTCGTTGTCGAATGTGGGACGAAGCTGCTGACGGGTACAGCAGAGGTGAGGGAGTCGCGGCGCTGGTGCTGAAGACACTGAGCGCCGCGCTGGCGGACGGAGATCACATTGAGTGCGTCATTCGTGAAACGGGGTTGAATCAGGATGGACGAACAAAGGGAATCACCATGCCAAGCGGTGCCGCACAGGCGGCTTTGATTCGTGACACGTACGCCCGAGCTGGTCTTGATCTCCATAAAAAGACCCATCGACCTCAGTATTTTGAGGCTCACGGGACTGGTACTCCCGCCGGAGATCCACAAGAGGCGGAAGGTATCGACACCGCTTTCTATTCAGACAGCGATCCTGACACAGCAGAGAATACTCTCTTGGTCGGATCCATCAAGACAGTCATTGGTGAGTACCTGTTGTTTCGTGTTAATACAAGAATGGTTTGCATGAAAGCCAACACCTGCAATATTGGCCTTCCTTCCCAGTCTCTTTTTTCTCTATCCCCCCCCCCCCCCCAGTTTCCTTCTAAATATTCCCCTCAACTTCTCACTTATTCAATACACTAATTGCTTGGGATGCAAAGGTCACACTGAGGGCACAGCTGGAATCGCTGGCATTATCAAAGCCTGCTTGGCCATCAAATATGGCTCGATCCCGCCAAATCTGCATCTTCAGAACCTTTCATCATCCATCAAACCATTCTATAAGCAGTTGGAGCTCGTCACTTCTCTGAAGCCATGGCCTAATACTCCTGTTGGGACACCCCGACGAGCCAGTGTGAACAGCTTTGGTCAGTTCATCTCTCACCTAGTTGCAACATCATCTCAGTGGCATGTCGTTCATCTTCCAACTTCAACGACCATAATATTGATATGGAAAACTATATGAAACTGACCAGTAGACTCATTGTGCCTTAGGATTTGGGGGAACCAATGCTCACGCCATTCTTGAGAGTTACGAACACCTCGACTACACTTCTGAAAACTTTGTCTTTGACCATGAAATGATAACATCAGAACGAATTTGCTCCATTTTGCCTTTCGTGTTCTCAGCGCCTTCGCAAAATTCTCTTCAAGCTATCCTGGAAAGTTACAAGATCTACCTCCACACACCTAAGGTCAAGGATTTGCGTTCCCTTGCTTACACTCTCGCTTGTCGCCGATCGAGCTTCTCTCACAAGGCCTTTTTCACTTCCGTAAATCAGCCAGACCTGATAGCCAAGATAGAAGAAGCCATCGCTTCTGGTGTCGATAAGAGCAGCACATATTCAGTATCCGCGATCGATAGACGGCCTTCCACCCTTGCAATTTTCACTGGTCAGGGAGCGCAGTGGCCAAAGATGGGCCTGAACCTGATACAAGCATCCTCTCTGGCACGTCGCATTATCCATGAGCTCGACGATTCTTTGGCATCACTTCCAGAGGCTGATCGACCAAATTGGACAATTATGACCGAATTGGAACGTGGAAGCGGCGAAAGTCGTCTCGGAGAAGCTGCGATTGCCCAGCCTCTCGTTGCTGCGGTTCAAATTCTCCTGGTCAATCTTCTACGCCTTGCCGGTGTGGTCCTACGTAGGTGAACTTCTGACTATTTCATTCTTCCTAATTTTCCAATGAACAATTCTCGAGACGAGATCAATGACCTCGTTTCATTTTTTAAATGGCCCTTTTAGGCCGGAGCTCGTATCACTTCCAATGGCACACGTCTCCCTTGCGGTACACAATACTCGTCCTGTTAGATTTCAGAGCTCCAATTCGCGCCAATGAAAAGATCTGGACCTTTTCGGTCTGTTAGCTAATTGGAAATCATAGACACGGTTGTTGGCCATAGTTCGGGAGAGATCGCTGCAGCATATGCGAGTGGTTTCATCAGTCAGTCGGACGCTATACGCATTGTAAGCCCAATTTACACTCCTTGTTCACGTTAAGATCGGTCTTGAACTGGGAGCTTGAGCTGTATAGCACAATCCATTCATGCACATGGGGTCGAGACTTGCTGAATAATTAAGTCTGTGGGTAAGTAGGCTGACGAAAGCTTTAGGCGTATTATCGTGGCTTCCACAGTAGCAAACATACCAAGGCCGGTGCAATGTTGGCTGTTGGGACGTCTTTGGAGGACGCCGAAGAACTATGCAGTCTCGAAGACTTCAAAGGAAAGATTGTCGTAGCGGCTTCCAATTCGGCGACAAGCATCACTGTCTCGGGGGATGTCGAAGCGGTCAAGCACGCGCACATCATTTTCCAAGAGGAAGGCAAATTCTCCAGAATCCTCCGGGTTGACAAGGCCTACCATTCGCATCATATGAAACCGGCGGCCGAGCCTTTCCTAGAAAGTCTCAAAGCCTGTGAAATCGCAGTTTTGGCAAGAGATTCATCAAAACATTACCCAGCGTGGTTCTCGAGTGTACGTCCAAAAGGGGAGGCCATGAGTCGCAATGATGCCCTCAATGGCCAGTATTGGGTCGACAACTTGAATAGCAGGGTCTCATTCTCTCAGGCCCTTGAGACGGCCATTTATCACGGCTTGAACGATGCCGTCGATGTTGTCATAGTAAGTAGCAACAATGCCATTGAACGGTGCCCTACCGTCGTCCTCCAAAAAGAAGAAGGGTGGTCGGCGCTTATTTTGGGCACTGAACTAGACTTCTAACACCCATTAGGAAGTAGGACCTCACCCGTCCCTTAAGTCACCCGCAACAGAGACCATTGAAAGAATCATGGGTACTACAGTCCCGTATACAGGTACACTGGCACGAGGACACGATGATGTTGAGGCATTTTCGGCCAGTCTGGGTTTTGTATGGATTCATGGTGGAGACGTAGAGTTTGAAAAGCTGCAAAACTCCTTCCACGCAGACAGCGGTCGTCATAGCACTATCACACTCCTCAAAGATCTCCCTACCTTTCCGTGGAGCCATGACCGCCAATTGTGGTCGGAGTCAAGATACGGGATTCTTGGACGTCAACAACGTGGCCAATTCCATGACTTGCTTGGAACACGAACGCCTGATGGCACAGATGAGGAGTGGCGCTGGCGCAATGTCTTGATTCCGAAAGATCTTTCTTGGCTACCAGACCACGCCTTGCAGGGTCAAACGGTGTTTCCTGCGACGGGATATATTGCTCTCGCCATGGAAGCTGGCATGCAGGTCGCCGCCGCTCAAGCTGAGTCCCAAAAGCGGGAAGTTGTTCTTCTGGAGCTAACAGAGCTCAATATTCGCAAAGCCATTGCAGTCGATGGAAATGGGACAGAGACATTATTTTGTCTGACAAGGATCTCCCGTGCAGACGACATCATTGCGGCCGCCTTCTCCTGCTTCTCGACCGTCAGCAAAGATGCTGCCGCACGACTTATTCTGAACGCAACAGGGGAGATTCAAATACAACTGGGCAAGGTTGACCCAAGCATATTGTCCCCACGTGCCCCTGCACCTCTTGGCTTGGTACCCGTTGACCCAAAGTATTTCTATGACGAGGTTGACAGGATTGGATACAATTATGGACCAGCATTCCGAGGTATCACTACCATGAAGCGCAAACTTGGCTTTTGCAGTGGTACCATCAAGGTGCCTCCCACTAAAGGGGCCGAGACACAACTTCTATTTCATCCTGGTATGCTAGACGCTGCTTTGCAGGGCATGATGTGCGGATTCAGCTCCCCAGGAGACCGTCGTCTCTGGGCTTTGCATGCACCGTCGACCTTCAAGAGTATCTCACTTGTTCCAAGTCTTTGTGGCGCCAATACAACAGAGCAGGTTCACTTCGACACGTTGATCACCGAGTGCCCGCCCGGTCAAAATAGGCTCACAGGTGATGTGGAGGTATTCCAGGGCGACGAGATGGGCTTCAAGTCCATATCGATCGAGGGTGCCACATTCATACCTTTCACTGAAGCCAATCAATCCAATGATATCGACCTCTTCTCCCACACAGTGTGGGACGTAGAAGATCCCGACGGCAGCCTAGTCCTAGATGAGTATCGCGCGACGAAGTCAGAGGTTCATGCAGCTATGGACGCAGAACGTGTCGCATACTACTATTTGCGTACTATTCACCAGTCTATCACAGCGGAAGAGCGTTGTGCTCTGGATATACCCACTCATCTGCAAATGCAAGTCGATTTTGCCGACCATGTATGCAACCAGGTCCGTCTAGGAGATCATCCATACATAAACGTCGATTGGAATGCCGATACGTGCGACGGAATACAGGCAATCATACAAAGATATAACAGAAACGATCCAGACTTCATCCTTATCAAGGCGGCCGGAGAAAATTTGCCCGGCGTAATTCGTGGTCAAACAACATATTTGGAGCACCTGACAAAGGAGAAAAGGCTCGAGAACTACTACAAAGATGGGCTTGGCTTGGTACAACTGGATCGTCAGATCGGTGAGATGGTGAAACAGATCTCTCATCGATATCCTCAGATGAATATTCTTGAAATCGGAGCCGGTACAGGGAGCGCAACGGAGCAGATCCTCTCGCGGCTCAGTACAGCCTTCATGCTCTATACCTTTACAGATATTTCTGGCGGCTACCTGGAGAAGGCCCAGGATGACTTTTCAGCTTTTAAAGATCGAATGATCTTCAAGACGCTGGACATCAGCAGTGATCCAGTGGAGCAGGGGTTCTTAGCCGGCTCATATGATCTGGTCGTGGCGGCCAACGTCCTCCATGCAACCTCGGACATTAGGTCAGCAACACGAAACGTTAGAAAGCTCCTGCGGCCGGGGGGATATCTCGTGTTGATGGAAGTGACGGATACAAATCCCATACGTCACAGTCTTATCTTTGGCGGCCTCCCTGGCTGGTGGCGTGAGCATGCGAACCAGACGCAGTTCAAATGTGTGTCACTCGACCAGTGGGACGAAGTACTCCTCAAGTCCGGCTTCAGTGGCATCGACACCTCTACTCCCGTTCTTGACCCGGTAGTTATGCCAGGGAGCATCATCGTTTCTCGGGCCACCGACAAAGATGTTGCGGCACTGATGGATCCGCTGAACCTTGGGATTATGACGGTTCGTGACAAGCTCGACAAGGCATCAAACCTGTCCCGGACCGTTGTGATCATCGGGGGCAATCGCACAAATGTCACGGAACACCTTGTGTCTCACCTTGTGCAAATATTGCAGCCTTATCACTGTGAGTCCCATCTACAGCGCGGGATTATTCATGCGAGGTCATGGGAGGAACTTGACTTGAAGACGATCTCAGGCAAAGAACCATATAGCATCATCAGCTTGAGCGATCTGGACTTGCCATTCTGGAACGGAATCACCCATGGTCGATTCGAGAAGCTGAAAGCAGTTCTTTTGGGTGCTGGGTGTCTACTCTGGGCGACCTGGGGCTCTGATGGAGACAATCCTGATGGCGCGATGACTCAAGGCTTCTTCCGCTGCCTGCATCATGAATTGCCAGAAATACCTTTACAAATCATCGACTTTGAGAAGTTTCCGGACGACACAGCCGCCATAGATTGCAGATCCCAATCTGAGTTTTTGGCTGGAAGGCTCTTGCGCCTCGAACACACAGCAAGCCAATATAAGTCTAGGGCTATGAGATATATGACAGCCGATGAAGATGGACATGGGGAAGGATCGTTGCTGTGGACTCTGGAGCCGGAGATTCGAGTGCGCCAAGGGCGTTCGTTGATTCCAAGGCTGTACCCAGACATGGAGAGAAACCTTCGGTACAATGCTATCAAGCGAGATATCCTCCAAGAGGTTGATCTCGACAAGGCCATTGTAACCGTCCATTGGGATTCACACAAGAACAAATACGCCACACGAGAGGAGGTTGAGCAGTCTACGGTACCACATATTTCTGGCCATAGGAGGGTTCGAGTGACGTCTTCCTTGCTCGCGTCAGTCCATTTTGGCGCCGTCGGTCGCCTTTTTTGCTCATTGGCCATCGACCTTGACACCGCGGAGCAGGTGCTGGTCGCCTCCACGAAGCGTTCTTCTGCCATGTCCGTCCCTGAAGACTGCACAGTAATCGTCGAGATGGGACGGGGCATTGATGCGCAGTACTTGTCATTCCTTTCAGGTTATCTTCTCAGTCGATACGTTGTATCTCTGGTTTCCCCTGGCGCCATACTTGTTGCATATGATGTCGATCCCGGGTTGGGCTCTCTGCTCTCCCGTCAGCTCACTGACAAGAGGTGCAAGGTCCTTTTCATTGAGTCGTCTGTTTCCACTACAAGCAAAAATGTGTTGGTTCAGAGTCGGAGAAATCGGATTACTGTTCATCCACGGATCATGGATCGCCAGCTCCGAAATCTGCTACCCATAGACGCTGCCATCTATATCGACTTTTCACGAATACCTTCCTCTGGATCACGGCAGAATCTATCCGACTCTTCCTCCTTGGGTAACAGGATCGCATCTTTGCTTCCCGATCTCTGTAGCAAACACAACGCATCCTTAGTCATCGCGAGAGAGAGTTTAGTCGAACCATCCATGGTAGCTGAGCACTTAGACACGATCAAGCAGATCCTTCACGATGCAAACGAATTTGCATCGGCGCAGCTCAATGGAGTTCCCGACGGCATGCCTCTGCGTATGGTCTCCGTGTCCGACTTGGTCTTGAAAGATAATCATGACGGAGACGAACAGCAGCAGGACTTGAAGAGCATCATTCACTGGCCAGCAAAGGTTCCAGTGCGCGTTCAGCCCGTGGATCATCGCAAGGATCTATTTGTAGGTGATAAGACCTACTGGCTTATCGGCTTGGCCGGAAACATGGGCCGGTCCTTATGCGAGTTCATGGCCCAGCACGGCGCTCGCCACGTGGTTCTTACGAGCCGCAACCCCAAGGTGGACGAGCAATGGATTGAGAGTCTGCGTCGACAGTGGGGGCTTACCGTTGCCGTTCTAAAGGGCGATGTATCTTCTCGGGATGACATCCGACGTGTGCATCGCGAGATTATCGCCACAATGCCGCCCACTGCAGGCGTGGCTAATGGCACATTGGTGCTGCGTGACAAAGGGCTTGTGAACATGGATCTAGACACATTCCATGAGAACACGCGTTGTAAGGTTGAGGGCTCCATGTACCTCGATGAAATCTTCTCGGATAACACGCTAGACTGGGTAAGGCGTCACGTTCTCTCTCCTCAATCTCTAATATCTGTGATTCGCTAACCTAAAAGAAGTTCATCGCATTCTCTTCAATTGTGGCTATCGTTGGAAACATGGGCCAAATGGCCTACAGTGCCGCCAACACTTTCATGAAAGCTCTAGTCTCACAAAGACGAAAGCGTGGCCTTGCAGGATCTTCTATCGACGTCTCTCACATTCTGGGTGTCGGCTACGTCGAGCGAGAGCTCATGGCCATGCCGACGCAGCAAGCTCGTGACCACGCAGTCCGTCTCATGAATCACTCTGGAACGATTGTGATGTCCGAGCCGGATTTGCACCAGTTATTCGCAGAGGCCATCATTGCCGGAAGACCGAGCCCAAGCAACAATTCGGGGCCTGAGATCGTGACGGGCATCAAGACAGTTTCTCGTGATGAGTTGTCCGAGGTTATTTGGAGGAACCAGATCAGGCTCAGCCACTTCATTCGACACTCCCAGACCTCGACCGCTCCCGCGGCTGGCTCGGCAACGAGGGCGGAAACCGCAAGTATCAAAGAACGTTTGGAAACTGCGCGAGACGATGGGGAGTTTCGCGAGATAATCCAAAGTAGGACCACCATTTGTGATTCTTATAGACTTGAAAGTCTCAAAGGCTCTCTGCTAACATATTTTGTGATAGATGGTCTGATAAACAAACTTAAAAGTGGCATGATGTCTGGTGAAGGCAACTTAAGTGTCACCACATCCTTAGTGGATCTGGGAGTCGACTCTCTGGTTGCCGTCGAAGTTAGGACCTGGTTCTCTCAAGAGATAGCGTTCGATGTGGGAGTCCTGAAGATACTGAGCGGAGTATCTATTGAAGACCTGGTTGATGATGCAGTGCAAAGTCTTCTTTCCCACATTGGGGATAGAAGGGCCTCTGAGTCGGAATCTGGTGCCAGCAGTGACAGCACAATGCAGTCGGACGACAGTGCTGTGTTGGGTGAATTACTGTCACCAGTCACAACGTACGATGCAGGCCAACAAGTCAAGAGCGTATAATGATCGAGTATGGGGCACGAATGTTATCTAGTCGCAGCAACAATTCACAGTCTTTTCCTGGTCGTATAGCCAACCGTACCAACCCTACACGGTCTTCCATTTGCTCTTGCCACAAAGTTCCCTCCATACTCATCTTGACTTGAAAATTGATACAGGATTGGAAAAGTCATCTTGGTGCCACAAAATCAATAAATAGGCGTGAGTCGTCAAGGATGCCGCCGAGACAGCAGATATAGAGACTAGGTATCTAGACTGATACTTATCCGCGTGGATAGATAATTAGGGGAAGAAATATCTGATCCATTAATTAGTATGGCAGAGAAGTGCCTTTTATATCGCCGAATGGGGTGAGGCTTTCCCTGCAGCACAAAACAGTTCAGTTCTGGTAAGAGCCCCGGATACATCAACTTGCAGACAAATGAGAAAAGACATCGATTGACTAAGCCCTTTAGACTAGCAGTTAATATCAAAAACCCACTTCTTCTAAAAGAAAACCCTCAATTAACTGGTATTTAATGGAGCGCCGAAGACTTTCGTTTACCGCCGACGGCGCATTTTACCCAAGTCCAAGCACCGTTGGATTTCCATCCACAGAGGTCAATTCTGTACCTTGCAAAACACATATGAAACTTGCTATGTCAATGAAATTATTTTTTTTGAAAGAAAAACTTCCCCGATACATCGTTGTTTGGAAGAAGGCAATCTGTACACAATGGTTGGAATCTCAGCAATTTTGACCAGTTTGAGCGCTGCAGCCACATCCTGGTGGGACGGGGGAAGTCCTTTTGCCGCCTACACGGCCTTATGGCCAACGGATGGAGAAGGCAAATATATCATTGAGGCCGAAGGAATTCGAATGGCCTTCACAGCCCATAATGGTGGAGCACCGACAAATCTGTGGATCAATGACACAAACGGCAATGAAGTGGACATTATGCTTGGACTTGATAAAGCAGAAGAATATGTTAATTATACCGGCATTCTAGGCGGTACACTTGGTCAGTCAGCTACAATTAAGTTGAGCACAAGCCTGCGTACGAGAAAACTAATTCTGAAGATACTCCCAGGCCGTGTGACTGGTCCTATCAGTGGAGCGAGTTTTCAGATAAATAACAAGACATACTACACCTTGCCCAATAGTCCAGATGGCAAATCGACCGTGGATGGGGGCGACATGGGGTGGTCAAGAAGACCTTTGGATCTGGTGTCACACACGCAAAACAGTATACTATTCGTCAAATTCGACCGAGCGGGCAAACATGGGCTCCCCGGTACAGCCGCCTCCAGCATTGCCCACGCCGTCTACCCTAACGAATGGCGCATTGCGTACGGAGTTACGCCGTCTCGGACTAGCGATCCGATACCGATCAATTTGAGTCTTATGACTTTTTGGAATTTAGACGGATTTGTTTCTGGGTCTTCTGGGACGGTCAGGGAACATGTATTGCACATGCCATTTTCGGGATTTCGTCTGGAGGAAGACGAACATGGCATTCCGACTGGGGACATCAAAAGCAATGTCAAGGATTCCCGCCATGACTTTTGGTCTCAGCCCAAAGCCATCTCGGAGGCTTTGGACAAGAAGCAAGAACAGGATCATGAATACGATATACTTCATTTGATCAATCGTCAAGAACCATTCGACAAGGATACTAGCCCAGTAGCGACGCTTTCATCTCCCCTGAGTGGAATCATCATGGACTTGTACACAGATCGTGCAGCGGTCCGACTCCGGACGTGGGATAACAGCACGGCACCAAATCTCACGCTGAAACAATGCCAAGGCGGTAGAGAGAGAAGAGTGAAGAAGAGTGCAGCCCTATCACTACAAATGCAGGACTGGCCAGATGCACTTAATCATCCAGAATGGCAGCGTCAAAATCATGTATTGTTCGGGCCAGAACGATTGATGACAACATTCACTAAATTTAAGTTCTCAGTCAAAAAGATCGACGGCTTATAATGGAACAACTGCAACTTTTCGCATATGCCCTATTGTCTTAATCCAATCCTAAGGTTTCAATACCACGAGCCAACTGATAAAAAGTTGCCACAATCTCCTTGGTATCTTCATCCCTGATGGGGACTGCATGCCCTCCTTTGAACTCGATTTTCGTGGATAATCTGGTATCATAGAAGTCTTCCAGTAGACCTTCAGACTCAGGGCGCCACGGATCGTAAGATCCATGGAGATGCAGTGAAGGACATCCTACCATGGCCTTCCCTGCCGATGATATGTCATGCTCTGCTTGGGTCCAGCTACTCTTGTCTTCCAAGAAAAGAGGTGGGTACGTAGCACAATTGATGATAGCAAATCTGAAATGCGGAAATTCTTCTGTCAGGACGTCCATACCGTGCCGCCTTCGTTCCTCGACGTAATTTAATAATCCGGTAGCAACCCGAGCGCCTTGAGAGAACGCAAACAATCCGACAACTGGCGCTCCACGCCCCGGCTCATGGTAGTGGAGTAAATTCTCCACCAAGTATTCCTTAACCTTATTTCTTTCCTGATGGACTTCATCTCGGGTTATGTCGAAGTTCTTCGCAGCAGACTCATCACATTGCCAACGGTAGAAGGGACCCGAGTCTTTGAACACAGGAAGCATTCCTGGACCTGGCGATGATGGGAAAGGGGCATCTAAAAATATGAATTGGAAATTTTCAGACAGAACTCGAAAGATCTTGCGGCCTTGGGCTTGGAGAATGGCGCCCGACGACCCGGCGCCGTGAAGGCAGATGACCCGCGGGAGGGGCTTGTGGTTATTGGATGACATTATGAAGTACAGATTACGTTGGCTTGATTATGAAAATTTTCATTTACTGGCCCTTAATTAATAATGATACCAGTATATTCCAAGCTGTATTCTATGGCATGGAAGCGATTCCTTGACTTGTGGCGCGGCGACTTTTTCATCAAGCGCTATGAGCCCAAACCTTAATCACCAAATACCCCGTACGCAGAAAGTGGTGATCCGACGGCGAGTTTATCATCTTTCTTCAGACTGACTAATCAAAGGACAGCTTGGACAGCTTCCAACGAGACTACCATAGCCCATGACGGATAATCAACCCTCCTATCCCAGAATACATGCGCAAGCTTAGTTCTCTGGTGTAAACGCCAATTCAAAAACACAATTCTTTCTGACGGATTATAAGGACTCATATATTCAAGAGAGTGTTGAAAACTGTATTGCTTGCTAATCATCAAGTCTTGATCATGAACCTCGTCACCCGGAACATTTCACAAGCGATGGCTGCCTATCAGTCTGAACTTTCCCTCGTACTTTTGGTCCTTGGGGGGTTGATCATTACGAAAAGCTATTTCTCCTGGTCCAGAAAGCAAGAGGCACAACAGCAGCTCCGCAGTCTTCCTTACTTTGAAGCAAATCCTCATGACTCTTGGCAAGAAACGCTTCGCAAGGCCTCAGCTAAAGTACGCTACTCTGTTATACCCCTAAGCAGATCATTTAATAACTTGAGAGGCACACAATCAGTACCCACATACTCCTTTCGTATTGCGTGTACACGGGTCTCCCAGGATCATCATTCCAAATCGCCTCCTGGAAGAGATCAGAACACTACCAGAGGACCAAGTCTCGCTTAAGAAGGACCTCTACGAGAAAATGCACGGTAGATGGACTGAGTTCATGGGAGACGAGATACCCCTAGCCCGCGAGGTGGCCAAAAAGGAGTTGACCAACAACGTCAATCTCCTTCTGTGCGATATGCAAGAAGAAGTCAACTACGCTCTAAACCGAGAGTTGCCCCGTTGCCAAAATTGGACACGAATTGTGATCTTTCCTCACTTGATGAATGTCAGCGCTCTGTTCAATGGTCGCTTCTTCGTAGGCGCCATGGGGAGGGACAAGACTTGGAACGAGCTTGCGCTTGGGTTTGCACCTGAGGTTTTCAAAGCTGCGCAGGCTATCAACCAGGTCAAAAAGTGGTTACGGCCTGTTGTGGCACCGTACCTGGTAATGAAATTGACGGACTACAAGGTCAAAGCAGGGGAAATGCTGAGGCCGCATATCGAGGCCGCTCTTGAGACTCGTAAACATGGCGCAGTTCTGGACGGCGGAGGCAGCGTGATAAAGAGTGATGAGAGAGGAGCTTGGAATGCTATTCCTTGGATGTTGAACCACATAGACACTTCCAGGACGAAGATCGACCAGATGGTACGTGACATTACTCGCGAGCAGTTATTTCTGGGTACGTACAGTCTTCATCGCACCTCTTTATTGTGCTAAATCAGCATTTCCAGCTTCTGGATCAATTCGCCAAGTAGCCATGAATGTATTCGATATCCTGTTTGATCTCGCCTCACGTCCAGAATATATACCGGAACTCCGCGCCGAGATTGATGAAGTGATGGCAAAGGAGCCCGGACGCACAATTCGAAAGAACAGCTTACCAAGGATGCGGAAACTTGATAGTCTCCTGAGAGAAAGCCAGCGAATGAATCCGGGTACGTGATCATTAAAGTCCACACAATATTTGTAATGCTGAGTTTAAGGAGGTACTAACTCGTGTGGCATCAGTGAATCTCAGTAAGTATACCACGGAAAGTAGCCAAAATTTGGACTCATTCCGTGCCGGCCTTCTTTCTACGTACTCGAGCACTCAATACCCCTATTTTGGTCTAACGATAAAATAGCATCTGTAAATCGGCGTGTCACAGCCCCCAACGGAGTCCGTCTGTCAACAGGGCACATCCTTCCCTACGATACGGCCCTCAGCTTCATGCATCCACATGCTCCCTATTCAACGCCGCCGCCAGATCTGCCCCTTGTCGATCCCGAACTGGCGAGTAAACAGCCGCCACTGACGGAGTTTTACCCCTTTCGCTACTCCGAGGCGCGAGAAATGGACGGCGAAGACAACGAACACCAGTTCACACACACTGGACGGACAAATCTGGCATTTGGTTTTGGCAAAACTGCGTGTCCAGGTCGATGGTTTGCCGCGGCTGAGATTAAAATCTTTCTCATAGAGATTCTGTCCAGGTACGATGTTGCCTTGGGCTCTAATGGGGAGGGAAAGGGAGGAGGGTTGAACAGGCCGAAGCAGCGAATATTGCCATCTTTACAGGCTATGGTGGACGATACAGCGGCACTATATCTAAAAGATCGGTCTTGATTTGGTAAAGCTGTATCCATGAACCTACAGTCCCTGTTACTCGTGTCTCTTATGAAGCATGTCGCCAGAATACAAAACAAATATCGAAGCTTCATCCAACTTCTCCATGGAATCGTGAGAATTGTAACTACTTCTTGGTTAACTAGTTATCGGGCGGGCTGCATGATCAGAGCGTTCGATGCTACAGACATCGCCTTACAAAGGAGGAGTTTGAATGTTTGTCAACAACAAGTTCCAATGTCTTCTGCTATCCCCCATATAGACTGGGACAATACGAAAGCGAGTCTCAGCCTATTCGTACCAGCACATGAGTCTGCGTTGAGGTAATGGCGGGGCCCGAAAATAGGCCTCTGGGTCTGGTGCTGGGACAGGTTCAGAAGCCTCTGATGGAGGGTCATGTACCTGGTGCTACTACGGTGTCCTCTCCTCTTGACCCACGGGACGAACTAGTTCTATCAATGCTCCCAGACTTAGCATTGTATCTGATGTCTACAAACTCTATACTCCGACGTGGGGTTATGATTCCACTCTAGTCATTGATACTTGCTCATGGCACATCAAAGAGACAATAACACAGTATGAACATTTCAAAACAGGGTCAGAAAGTATACAAGGATATAATTGGGTAGCACATTACCTATGGTGTGCGAGATGTGCGTCGACGCCTAGCCGCTCCGACTTGAGTCAGACAATCTCCACATATAATCCACATTCTTTGAGATTCGAACACATACGGCCATAGATACAGGAAAACACGGGATCCCGTCCGCTCTCCCTTAGTTAAGCCTGTAATCGCTGGATTAGTAGTTGAGTCGGTGACGATCAGCGAATACCCGGTGCTGTATGTTTTGCACTTTTTGCCCACGCCTCCTTCGACGTTGCGATGGAGGCATTTTAGATAGACAGAAGGTACATTTTCAGGGCGTAAAATGTCCGACTTCCCGCAAATGATTCCAACTTTGAAGCTATAATTATCTAGGGGGGCGGATGACGTTTGTGAGAGCTGGCAGGCTCTTTGATTCTTTCAAAACGCGACTTATACCACCAACCACGCTAACGGCTACTCTCTTCTTCCTGGTATCACCACCTTTCTCACCAATCAATGTTTTTGACTACAATCAAAGCAAAGGAAGTTGCATTTGCGGTCTAATGACAATTCAATGCCTTGCACAGCGTCCCCCTTCGTTAACAACGTTATAAACTCGAACCCATGTATTATTATCAAATGTAGGGTTATTGAGTCCATTCACTAGACCCCACTTTGAAGAAGTATCTTGGATAAAAGTTCTCGAAAGCACCTCGGAGGGGCCAGGATCCAGATAGATATACAGATTTCACGGCTCTTTCAGGAAAGGGAACTTCTTGGCCAAGGGTGGCTAATCAACCACGATGGACACAGGGCTCAGAATTGACATGAAGAAGGAGGCTAGTTGCGTAATTCTTTGCAATCAACAACCAAGATATGCGATGAGAGGCCAGTTGCCCCCATTTTCTGTTTGGAAAGTGTTCAATGGATCAGATTCTATCGTAGCTCAGTCCTGTCGAGACTAGTAGGCCTCGAGTAACAATCAAAATTCTGTACTTAGAGCGCCTATATCTTTCGCACCTGCTGCTGACCGTATGCTAACACAGGTCGGGACTCACGGTCTGGGTGGCCAATAACCCCGCCCCTCGCGGCCAGCTCGAAGTCCAAAGACACCACCCCGGTTTCATCAGCCTTCACTGGAAACACAAGATTTTGTGACTGGGAAGGATTGCAGGAGAGGATCTGTAGGTTGGAAACTCCAGCTTCAAAGATAGTTGTCAAGTCCAACCTGGCACTCACGTCTCTACCAAATCCCGGCTGTCCCGGTTCCAAAGCGAGCTTCTGTATCAACAGGTCCTGTTGCTGCTCCACGGAACCTGAACCGAAGACTGGGGTCCGGTTCTGCTCATCGTGCGCTTCCAACCATGTGGTGAATCCTGGGAATCGAGGGTGACATAGACCGTGATAGTAGGGCAAATTACTAGGCGGAATACTGTCGCAAACTTTGTGAAAGTGGGACACCCAGTAGCCTGCCGCGTATCGCAGCAAGTAGGCGACCTCTTTTGTTGGGTGACCAAGCACCGCCCCTTTGCACGGCTTTGCTAGCATGTAGAGATATGCTGTGCAAATTTCCAGCATGAGAGCGTGGCAGGACTTCAGGGAAAACGTATGTTGCCAGCCATCACCAATTTCGCTTGTTACCGTCATGGACTCAGCGCCATCGGCGAAGTCAGACCAACTCGCTCTGCTGAAGGCTTCCTTTTCAGAGTCTGAATCAGAGAGTTCCCAAAGTTCTTCGTTTGCCTTCATGTCGCTCGACACTGTTTCCAGATCCTTCCATGAGGCTTCGTCGAGCAAGAACTCCCTCGCGGTTTGGTGCACTAGATAGACCTTATGATGTATGATCCGTACAAAGTGGCCACAGACCGACTTGATATGGTTCTCGGAAGGATAGACTATCTTGTATTCGACTGACTGGAACGTACGACTGCTAGGTCTGCGTCCAGATGTAGATTCGGCAAAAGTGTCGTGGTCAGGCTTGATAGCGAGGGCAATGTTCAGCTCGTCGACGGTGAGCGTCCTCATAGCCCCAAGTATCAGGCTAAGCATCTTTCTCGCTTTCGCCTTGGCAGCGGATGCTGCTCCTACTTTAGATTTGAGGAGTGCTGTGTAGATTGAGTATATGTCCCGGCTCCGGAGTATCGCATCCATCTCTCTCCTCGATGCCCCCTCGATGGCTTTGTCTTTCAATAGCTGAATTATTAGAGTTGCCCACAAGAAAGTCCGGTCCGCGCGTGTGATCAAATCTCGCTCCACATCTTCCAAGAGATCTAGAGGAAGACCCCCCGCTGCTAAATCACCCATCGCGTCCTTGACCACGAGCTCGATGTCTTTGCTGATTGCTTCAGACTCGTCTTCTCCCCGGAGCCTGACTATGGCGCAACTGGGATAACCGGTGAAAGAGCCTGTCTCCTTTTCCTGCGGGACGTGCCTGTCGAACCTTATCTTGATGGAGTTGTCTGGTCTGCTCAGCACCAGCATCTTAAGATTGTGCTGACCATCTTTCTCATCAAGCTGCTTCATGAAGTACCTTTCGATGCACTCAAGAAGTTGTTTCCTAGACTTTTCCTCGCATTCGTCAAGGCCGTCCAAGAGACAGATCGTCGTCGATGATGCTGCTGCTTTTCTAATCGAGTCTTCAAAGATCCTCCAGAGATTTGAGACACTTTTCAGGCTGGTTCCAGGTACACCCAGATGCTTGAGAGCCACATCAAGAAGTTCTTGGTTGGCTGAGTAGAGTTGGTACAGAAGCGCGGACATCCCAACGATGGCATCACTCTGCTCCACATTGTCGTCCTTGAAAAAGAAGTAGCATACATTGATTCCTGTTGCAGAATGCTTCTGGAAATGATTTATGAGGTAAGATGTCAACACAGACTTTCCACAGCCGGCATCAGCTGAGATCCACAAGAGAGCGCGTTGAGGACTATTCTCCCATGCTTTCAGCTTCTCATGTTGGAGGATCCAGGAACAAGTTCCCTCAACAGCAGTTGGATTTCGGGCCTTGTGAGATTTGTGATTGCTTCTTAGAGCCGTTGTAATCTCTCTTCGCGATATAATGGAAGAGGCTGTACATGCAATCAGTGAGAATTTATACCTGGAAATGAGTTTTCGAAATGACCGTTGGCCGTATTTGGCTTGTTCTTGACGCTTGAAAGGTAGTCCACACGAATCGCTCGAAACATCTGCTGGATGTTTGATAGCACAGGGGCAATTCTGGGGTCCCTCTCTCCGGTGAATCTGCAAATGTTACGATGATTCCCGTCTATGGGCACGATTATCTCTCCGGGCCAGCCCAGAGTCGCCGAGTCCTGGTCAACAACCTGTGAGTAGCAACCATCAGTAATTCTCAGTGAGTAAAAGCCAAAAAAAAAAAACAAGGAGCAAAGCTTTTGGTACTGCACGTACCAAACAGCTTAGCCAGTCCATCTTTTCGGTCTCCACAAAGCTCACGATCTTGATCCGGTGGCCATGCTGAAGGAAAGACTTTGATATTTGGCTGAGAGAGGAAGAATTCCGTTCGAGGTCCCTAGTGAGTTGCGAGTTCGTGTGACTACCCATTGATCCAGCCTTCAAAGCGCGGCTGGCGATGTACCCCAGTGGCGCCAGCTCTGAACCACGATGCGGCGTTCCGAAGAAGAATATTCCGAAGACACGGTTCAAAATCGTGTCTCTGTACCGCGAACTCTCAGCAGCTCTGTTCAGTGCCTAATACATCAAAAATATCAGGGCTGTCTTGCTGTGCCGAGGATGCAAGTAGCTCACCTGCTTCACCACGATACCACCTAAGCTGTGGCATATGAAGACAATGGGACGACTCTGCTCTCCTTCTTCTTCGAGTTTCCCGATGAGGTGCTCGAGTAGCTGATCTGCAAAGACAAACACATCAGACGTAGATTTGCTGAACTGGACCGACGAGTTGTACGAGAAGGCCATGATGCGGGCATGGATCAACTGATGATTGGGCAGCACGTGTACCAACCAGTTCACCTCTGTACCGTGCGGCCTGGCAGTTGTCCATGTATTCTTATAATGCCCATTCAAACCATGCACTGCCACAATATCCACGATACCTTCGCCTTCTGAAGCCTTATCAACGAGCACATGGAGGCCATAATCTCCCAACTGCGCCGGGGCAACCTCATGGAAGAGACCCTTCATCTGACCTGATGCTGAGGGCTAAGCTGCTATATGAGGATGGACGAGTCCATAAAATATCAATATCAAAGTGTGGTGATTCTCCGTAGTGAATTCTAAGCTCGGGTATTCCATACACACTTGCGACGACAGCTGAAGTGCCAGCGGAGGTTGGAGAGTGCCGACGCGGGGCTACTGATGCACAGAACTTGAAGTTGCCGCACAGGAGAGGACGGAATATGATTGGGTGTTTTTTACTGACATGCATGATCCACTACATGCAGGTCATCACATGATCCCGCCCCTGTTGAATTTGATATTCGTCAGATATAGCTGCTTTGCAACACTGCGATGACCAAGGCGAAACCTCGAACCTTCGTGAGGCACTGCGAGCATGAAATCGGTCTTGACGTGTAAAGTAAACTGGCCAATGCATATATAGGCCCGTAAAGTTGAAAGCTATTTCTCATTCTGTCAAAGGATACCACAATCAAATGAAATGCAGCAGTAAAACCTCGAGGAACAGCCTGTGTGGGACAACTTGATAAAGACTTCTACTGGATGAGCTTCAGATATTGCTTTGCGCCCTGCGCCGTGCTATGTGAGCTGGGCGCTGAGAAATATGTAGGTAGTGACAAAAGGCACAGGACACTAGACTATTCTTGGAAAAGGTGTTTGTATGGCAAACCCCAATGCAGGCCGCGTGGAAGACGGCATCGAGGCATTCATGCAGTCAGCTCTGCATTCTTGGGAGATTGGACGGGGAATAATGCCGTATCTCTGTCCCTACGTGTATTTGGACAGTCGACTATTTTCCCTTCAACCTCTCGTCTACCCACATGACTAGACCATGTCACGATTCTGTTTGACATTGACATTGTATTTGAATGTTGAAAAAAAGACCATGAGAAAAAGCCAATATTGAGATTTCTTCTCGAGGCAGGTAGCACAAGACGCAAGGTGATTCCTAGAGAGATCGACCACTCTTCTCGCCAGCCTGCCCCAGAGTCAACATTAACCATCCAAAAACACCGTTGCAGACCTCCTTCACACAAAAAGACAGAACAGCTGCAATATTAACGACGAAAGCATATACGGGTAGTATGAATGGGGTCTATTCGTCCCTTGAGCCCGGAGCTCACACTGCTACATCTCGGTATACATCGACTAAAGACCATGCCAGCATGATTATTGTGTAAGGGCTTTAGGGAGGACCATGGAAGATCTTGGAGGCTAAATCAAAAAGCAAAAGAAAGTTTTGAAGACCCCGTCAGCAGTGCCACCTCTGTGGATGGGCCTTCGCACTATAAGCAAGAAATATCAAGACAAAAGTCCTGGCCAAGGACTCCGCTACCGTCAGTCGTGGAGAAGGTGAAAGTTTTTGGCTTTTGGTTACGATTCATGTCTTCAGCTAGATCGAATACAGTACGATTGTCCGTCCAAAATAGATATCTCCTTCCATTGTTGGGGTGCCAAGATACTGGTGGATGGGAATACATCATGTTGAAGGATCTCTATGAGAATTTCAAATGTAAGACGGGGCAGGAGACCTTCTTAGGATACTGAAAGTGATCAAAGCCGTTGCTGGATAATGTCAGACCCATCTAGGTAATAGTGAGAGGGATAGACTATGTCACTTAGATCAAAGGCACTTGAGTCTTTCGAAATCAAAGCAAACGTATGCGTGAAGATAGCGGGAGAGGATCCAGCTCTTGTGTGAACTAGCTTAATCTCGGGTGTCCGCTTATGGGCAATGGTCTTGTTATTGAATGAGTGAGATTAAAGGGGTGAATCATGCAAAGCCAAAAAAAAAAGGTGTTCTCCCCAAGATGACCGCCTGTCAAATAATCCATAGGACAAGCTCGTATGGGATAACTGATGACCTTCTACGGGATACGCTTCTGCACGATGACCTCTTGTGAGGTAAACTCCTCTTAATACTTTTCTACATAGGCAAGTGAGCAATAAGGGAATTCACGATGGCGTGCTGTGACTTTTAATAGTGTGGTGGTGTGGTCCCAATGATGTACCTAGGTATATGATGGGTCAGCAATTCGGTGGTTTCTAAACACAATTATCAACTGCCCGTAAGTAATAAGGAAATGGTAGAGCAGATAAATAGTTCCTGAAGCTTGAGATGTGGTCAAAGCTGCCCCAACAAGTACTAAATACTGGTCAGATGGGATCTCCTGGACATACCACCGGCGAATCGAGAGTTTAACAGGCCTGAGAGGAAGCTCATTGTAGTCTGTGGGTGTAAAATTCACGTCTGTAACTGCTGTTAACAATTCACTTGCTCCATCTGGGCAAAGCCAACAAAAAGCTTTCCACTTCAAATCGTCAACCAATTTTTTTTTTTTGGTTCAAGTTGCATTGACTCCATCAATCATAAGCCACCGGAGCTTTCAACCCATCTGTCAAGGCCACCACATCCACCGTTGCTACTTACAGCTACCTGCTGCCATCATGTCTGAGTAAGTGCATCAGTCCCAAGGGCTGCTCGCGTCCATTGTTCTATTTTGTTTCTTCTATGAGGTCTTATTGGGTAGCAACCATGCTGCTAAGTGTCTTTCGATCCAAGGCACCACCGCGTTCCCTGTTGTCATGTCGCGTCAAAACCACATCACGGTTGCACAAACAAATCTTTTCTTGCCCATCCACAAACACCAATGCTGGATGATAGTGGCTGCATGAATCTTGCCATTATTTCATCTCTATAAGGGCAATTTTACTAATACCACACAGATTGCTGAAGGAAGCCGAGACGGTCTTTCGCGAGATCCTGCAAGGCGAGCTGGAAAAAGCCTGGGGATATCACTTGACCGAGGCCGAGCTAAATGATGTGATTGATGTTTTGGCAAAGACCACAACCCGATACTTGGAACTTCGTCCCAAGAAACGGCCTTGGAACACCGCGTCTCCAGATAGACTCTGCGTGGGATTTCGAGGATTCATCACGCCCATTCTGTAAGCTTTTCCTCTCTGCCTGTGTCCTCAGCTCCCTAATCAGTGAGGCAGAGAGGACCGCTTTCACACAGTCAATGCATTTGTCATTGCCGACGACATTGCCCAAATCTCTTCTCACGCCTTCTACCAAGTCAAGCTCATTGTCGACGACGGCAACAACGACAGCACCGAAGCTACTCATGTCGAAAGCGACGGTGAGACCAACGACGCCGCCGATGTGCAAGACGAGAACGAGACAGGCATAGCAGGACAGGAGGAGGAAGATGGCGATGACCGTCCCCGGTACAGCAGCTTCCTGATGAACTATCTTAATAATGAGCTGGTGTCACCCACGTCAATCATCAACCAGGCGGAGGTGCCAGTAGGTAGCGAAACGGTGTCAGTGGATGAGCATGTACCGGATTTGACAGGAAAGAAGAAAGGAAAGGCCACGGCCGAGCCAGTCAAGAAGTCTCAGCAGGGAAAGAAGCCCGAGGATGTCCATGGCGACACCGACCTCTACTATGCCGTCGCCAACGAGGACAAGCCGAACGGACCTCCTAAGTTCTACAAGTGCAAAATCCCTAGCTGCAAGGGTTTTCAGGGGACCTGGTACCAACGGAAGCGACACTTTCGGACGAAGCACCCGCAGGAGTGGGAGGACTTCACCGGTGCTGCTGTTTAGGTGACCAGTTGCCCGGTTCTAGGTTGCGACTGGACTTCGGCCAGGCCTGAGCTGCTGCCTTTCCATCTGCGCAACTTACACGGCCAGGAGATACAGCGCAAACAAAAGGCCTAGTTCTGCTCAAGATGGAAGCCTGGTTTTCAAGTGCTCTGAGGGATGTTGAGACGATGAAGGGTTTGCATTAGTTTTGTCACTCAGCTATGGGTAGTAGTGGCCAGGGTACGCTTTTATTCAGATACTCTTTATGTTAGACTTCGATTCGAAGAGAGTTATCAATTCAGTCTGGCATCTGTACACTTGTGTGCTGGTATAGACAAAGTGCACTCATCTGTGTCCTGTGATGAGTGACAGTAGAACCGGTATGGCATGGAGTAGCTGTGTAGATCTTTTCTAGCCATAACAAACGGTCGCTCTGGTGCAAGCTTCTGGTGCAAGCTCATATCTAATACTTGCTAGAAAGCTTGAATACTTCCTGTTACAGTGGAAAAGGTGGCCCTCACCAGGCAGAAGCTAAGCTGTGACCCTTTTGCCCTGGCTGCCCTAACAGCCCAATTACAAACACAAAAGGGGAGTGACTTCGTAACATTTTAGCCCGAAGAAATTTGTTCCTTATCATCCACCTCCACTTCTTTCCCTTCACTCCTTTACCTTCACTACTTCACCTTCACTCCTTCACCTTCACTTCTATTCCAAAGCGTTGTGCCTTCACCACACCTTTCCCACCATGCTCTTCACAAAGTTCCTCTTGACTGCCCTTGGCGCCTCTAGCGCCCTCGCCTCTTGTGTTGTCCATGCTCGGGGACAGGCAACTGTGGCGAGCAAACTCTCTCCAGAGGCAAACGGACTAGGAAAGAAGGCATTCAACCGCAAGCCCAGCTTCCTTACCTCGAAGACCGAGAGTAAGTTCTTTTAGTGCTAGTTTCTAAGCCCACTTCTGTCCTTTTCTGTTCTGGTATGAATACCTTACTAAAACATTCTCCCTCTAGAGTTCGTGGTCAACGGCACTGGTGTTCCTGATGTCGACTTCGACTTGGGCGAGTCGTACGCTGGAAGACTGCCCATCAGCGCACCCGACTTACACAACATCTCAGGCGCCAACGAGCTTTTCTTCTGGTTCTTCCCGTCGAGCAACCCTCTTGCCAGCAATGAAATCACTGTCTGGCTCAACGGCGGCCCAGGCTGCAGCTCGATGGACGGTTTGCTGCAGGAGAATGGACCTTTCCTCTGGCAACCTGGCACATACTCGCCACAGCCCAACCCTTTCTCTTGGACTAACCTCACTAACATGGTTTGGATCGACCAGCCCATTGGCACCGGTCTGTCATCAGCAGAACCTGGCGCTTCCGCTCAGATCAAAGACGAGCACGAGGTAGCAACCCAATTCGCTGGGTTCTGGAAGAACTTCATTGACACCTTTGACATGCACGGGTACGATCTCTACTTGACAGGCGAGTCGTATGCAGGTATATTTCTACCCTACATTGCAAACCACTTCCTCGACAAAGACAACCAGGAATACTACAACCTCAAGGGCGTTCAGATAGATGACCCAGCTATCGGACCGCTTCCCGTGATGGAGCAGGCCCCCGTCGTGCAGTACCTCAACAAGCACAGCAACCTCTTTAACCTCAACGATACATTCATGTCCGCCATCAATGACCGCGCCAAGTCCTGCGGATTCACCGACTTTATGGACAAGGCGCTGACCTTTCCTCCCGGCGGCAAGTTCTCATTTCCCCCTTCTATCAACGAGTCTGCCGTGGTTGATGCCGACTGCAACGTCTGGATGCAAATCGCCACCGCCGCCTTATACGTCAACCCGTGCTTCAATCCCTACCATGTCACCGACTTCTGTCCCTTCCCGTCCAATCAGCTCGGCTTCCCTACCCTGGGATGGGGCCCTAACAACTATTTCAATCGGACCGACGTGCAAGAAGCCCTCAATGTCTACCCTCGCGCCAACTTCAGCCTGTGCCGACCCAGCACTTTTGGTCTCGAACACTCATCGCCCCCAGCCTATTCTGTCCTCCCGTCAGTCATCGAGCGAACCGGCAACGTGGTCATCGCAAACGGCGAGCTGGACTTCATACTCTCGTCAAACGGGACTCTTGCCATAATCAACAATATGACTTGGGACGGTGCCCAGGGTTTCGAGTCCTCGCCATTTACCGACCAGTTCTACGTACCCTACAATCCCACCATCGCCCAAGCCCTGAAGGAGACCTTGTTGCAGAAGACCTTTCCCACCCTTCCGGTGGGCATCGTTGGTGGCGGAGGCTTCTTTGGAAAGACACACGTAAGCAGCTCCCGGACACAATCTCAACACTTTCATGACCAAACAACTGCCATCTGTGGTCTGCTTGATTACTTGCGCCAAAGCGTTTGGTCAGGCTGCAAATTCTGAGACAGGCCATGAGCACATGGTAGCCTTATTGTTCCTCCCAGCTCCATGATAGCTTCTCCTTTGGTGCTTTGATAGCTGACCCCGAGTGCTGCAGTCCGAGCGGGGCCTGACATTTGTCAATGTAGAGATGGCGGGCCACATGATCCCGCAGTATGTGCCCGGCGCGGCCTACAGGCAGTTGGAGTTCCTGCTGGGACGTATTAACAGCCTTTCTCTCATTGGCGATTTCACCACCCCGATGGGCGATTGCAGTGGAAGCACGCCCGTTTGAGTTGACGATCAACAACGAGTAGTGATGTCGGCACATCCATTCTCTGCTATTCAGTATTGCACTATTTTTGGGAGACGGATCGTCTTGTCAGGTCTGGGAAAGCCTGTGACGACGACGAAGATGCAAGGCCTCTAATACCTTAATTGAGTTCTCTTTGAAATTCAGAGCAGTTCTCAGTGAATTTGTTGCGAGAGCTCTGTCGTAGCCGTCCACATAAAGTGACACCCAAGCATATGCTCGCTCTTTCCGCTTCCAAAGACCTGCACAGTGCTCAAATGCTGTAAGGCCAAACAAAGGACGGTCGAAACAATTGCTTTTTTCCCCTGCCGTGGGAAACCTTCAGCTCCTTCACACGTGCCGATATGGTCATTGAATGTCCACAGAATAGGACAAAGGAACAATGCTTTCTCGTGGTAAGACCTGGATGAAGAAATATTATACTATGAATGGTGGCCTACACATTTAAATGCTCTCGTCAACGTCTGCAATTCAGTCACAAGCCATCTCCATAAATCCAAGTTTGACCACTACCTAACTGATAGCTTCCAAGCCAACTACTTTGGAACAAAAGTGAAGAATAGTATACATTTTTCTTAAGAAGCTGACTGAGATGGTAAGGCCAGGCGTAACATCCAACATGTCTCTACGAGGAGGCGCTGACTCCCCCGTACAGACATTTCTCGCAGCAGGTCCCTGGCCAGCTGGTCCCACCCACGAACACAACATGTCTCTAGCCGCTGTTAACCTCTGTGCAGGTGAGGGGAGCATCTCCCAAAGACGATCCGGCATGCCGGACAACTCGACGGCCCGCGGCCATCAGGCTGAACTCAAGCTCTCGGACAACGCCCCTCCCACAGAGCCTCTCACGTACAGTCGCAGCTTGGAGGAGGCTAACCCGGGTGACAGCCCCTTGCCCCCGCCAGCAGCTCTGCTCCGAGCCCTCCCAGATTTCTCGGCTTGCAAACCCGATGAGTGTGGGGGTTACTATGACCACAGCGATTTAGACGATCAGCAAAATAGCTCACTAGTGGACTGCCGTAAGTGTGGCAATCTCGAGCCTCAGGCGTCCATGCATCGCCTGCCCTGCGGCCACCAACTCTGCAACACTTGCTTATCCATCACGGCCATCAACGCGACCGCGCAGGCGCACTGCACGGAGCCTTGCGTCGCCTGGCGTATCGGCGAGGTGGCAGGCGAGCTAGGACGGCTGAGACGTGATCTTGTGCCTCGTGATATGACTCGGCTGCGGGTGTTTCAAGAGGCGCGCATGGGGCGGTATCGGCGGGAGCTGCTCGAGCTGCTGGGCCTGTCGTGCTGCGGGCTGGACATGAAGCTGCTGGAGCGGTTCATGCCGTGCCTGGATGAGTGGGTTGCGCGGTCTCTTTGGGCGGCTACCTGGGAACTGTTCAGGGGTGCGGGCCAGGAAGGGACAATGCGTTGTGGTTGGCATGACTGCGGCGCGGCGGTGCCGATTTGGTGCACCTTTGAGATGGAGCATGAAAGGCGGTGGCACTGTCCAGCTTGTGGCGGCAACTCGATGAGGCACAGCCAAAGGCTTGGTCCGGCTCGGTAACGAGATCACGGCCCTGTATTGGTGTTTCTTTTTTGTTTTTCTTCTGTTCCTGGCGTTTTGATGCTGCTTTGGGGCTTTGTTCTCCAGTCTTAGATTCTCTTTGGGTACAGGCATAGAACATCAGCACCTCCTAAATTGTACAATGACACATTCATCTTCCATACAACTCCATGTTCTGATCAGGGATTCCCTGTTCTCCGTGCTGTATCTCAATTACATATATCGACACTGTCATTAGCCTAAATCACATACACCATTGTCGTTGATAATATCTGTATCTGCTGTAATCTAGAGCCAGCCGCTGTCCCAGGTGTGCAGACAAGACCAAATAGCAGCTGCTTATCTTCTTTTCTTCGAGTGAAAATTCTTTGTAGACTCCAGTTGTGCCACAATGAGAGGAAGTTTGCTTATGTGATCACTGACTTACATTTTAGAACATTTGTCCTACCAAGCATTAGGAAAAGCTGACAGGAACCTGTGCTTGTCGCTGATGATAAGGACAACGTTGGTCCTGTTTTAGGACATCTGTCTCGCATCAGTAATTCGAGTTGCAAGCTTCCAAACCTTCACTGTCATCCACCCACCATGGCGTACATGGCTTACAGACTCGTGTGGATATAAGATCCGTATACTCTACTGTCGAGAAAAATCTTTTCTGAGCTAGACAACCTCTCCAAAGGCTTATTTGTCAGTACAGACTCTCTTTATATGTATTGTTCCCTGCCACTTGCCCAACAAGAGACTAAGAAGAAACCAAGCCGTATTTCCAACCTCAAAATGCGCCCAGCTCTGTGCCTCCTCCTCGTCAGCCAGACCCTGTACTCCACCACAGTCGCCATCCAAAACACATACGACCTCCAGATCGGCTACATGGCGACCATCGTGCCGGGCCTCCCAGACCCTCTGGGCGGACCAGGCTGCGGGCTCTGGGCAGAAATCACCCTGGTCGGCGACAGCCCCGAGGTCGCTGTCATGGATGGTAAGAGCCCGTCGGACGGGTGCCCGGCCGCCGACATGGCGTTGTTCTGCGGACGGTGGGGGTGCCCGTTCACGATGACGTTCGAGCAGGTTGTCCATATGACAGTGCTGGCGGACAATGGGGATGACAAATCGATGACCGTCCGCGCGGCTGCGCTCGAGGCGGGAGAGGTCGATGTTGTTTGTCCTTACGATACAGCTACAATTAAGAGTACTGATTCTATGCAACTTTATCAGACTTGGCGGTGCACGATTGTTATTTGACGTAGGACGAAACAGTGGCTGAATGTGCTAGGACATCATTCCTTGATTGAATTGGGAGTATCATGCGTTGGGACAAGGCTGTTGGTTTTGATGAGCTACGATGTTTGGTTTGAAGGCCGATTGTATTTGGGTGGCGTTGGGTGTTTGCCTGGTAGTTTGCTCCCGTGGAAGATGAAATGCCCGGGCTATGAGAACCGTGTAAATGTTGATGCGGTGACTACTGCCTTGGACAGGGCCTTCATGTGTACATGTGGTCATAGAATGTCTCCAATAGCGACGACATTTCGACTTCCATGTTCCAAATTTGTGGATTATGGTGACAACAACTCAAGGCGTCTGTCTCCGGGGTATTGTCTGTGCAAGTGTGAAAAATTTGGGCAAATCACCATCATCATTTCAGGACAAAAGGACAGTCACGACCAAATGGAAGCAAAAATGAGGTATCACTAGGTTGAATTTAGGTCGCTAAAGTGATGATAACTGCAGGTATCGCAGCAGAACCCTCCCAAACAATGCCATCGGTTGGTGTATCCGTTGATGTGCAAGTCGAAGCATTTACTTCTTAATCTGTGTTGGAACCATGTTAACAACCACCCTCTCAGCAAGCCAGCAAGGAATAGAATTCATCTTACGCTGTGAGTGGTCTCAGAGGCCTTGTCGCTGACAGCGTCCTTGGCCGCGTCGGCGCGGGTGCCTGCGGATGCGTTGCTGTCCTTGGCAACCTCCTTGTTTCCCTCCTTGGAGACGGAAGAGACGCCCTGCTGGACGGTCTCGGAGGCAGAGGAAGCGGCGTTCTTGATGGCGTCCATGATGAAAGACGAAGTTTGATTTGTCGGTTTGGTTTGGAAGTGTTTGTTTGACTTGAGTTGATTGAGTGGATGAAGAGGGAGAAGAAAGGATAGTTTGGACAGAGAACGTTGATGCTTTTTGTAGTTTGTGAGAGGTTGTCAAATCAGTGCTGGATTTGCCCGGAGTTGTTGGATTTGTTGGCACATGCTGCCTTGTGACACCCAACTGCTACTGCTAGTTGCCTCATTGAGTGTTAGTTGAGCCATGACGTGGGTTGTGGATGCTCCTTCTCCGGGCCATCACTCCTTTGCCTCACTCTGTCAGTATGACGACGTTCCAAGGGCCGAGACTGCCCTGCAGTGAGGAAGGTGTGGCACATGCAATTGGGTCAAGCCTCACCCGTCACTACCCCGTTGATGTTACCTGGAGCAAAGGCTCCGCTGAGCCAGTAGTGATGGCTTGGTGACGCAGCTGGGTGCGGGTCCACCCTACCATAAAGCCAATCAGGGAGCTCAACAAAGCTCTTGTGGCGCAGCTGTGGCACCTTGACCCAGCCTAGGTGCAACAGGCTCCTCTTTGCCTCCTTCGCCCTTCTCTCCTCTGACGCCTCTTTACCTGTGCCTCCCAAGTCTGCCCCTCCTATTGTCACATGTGGTTTCACGCTTCCAGCTTCCAGGCCTCGAGCACGCGTTCTAGGCTGCATCTATGTGCCTGCATGATCTTCTCCAGGAAGTCCAGAATGGAGCAAGTGGGTTCGCCGACATAGATTGAGAGATTAACTTGGATCTAGCAGCTGATCACTGCAAAGTGACGTCTACACTTCGCTCATCTTCTCCTCTCTCTTCCTCTCTGTCTGTGTTTCTTAGGCCTGCCACTCCAGGATGATGCTATCCCACATGACCCCGCGCCACTGCACGTAGCGCGTCACCGTGAACCCGACCGTGTTGGTCCCCGCCACCAGCTGTGTTCCCACGTCGATCTTGTACTGCACGAACCTCCACTCCCCGCTCGTCTTGCCCGACCGATACAGCGCAGGGTCGCTCGTAAACTGGTCCTTGCTGAGCGTGCCGACCACCTGCCCGTTGACGTCCACGTCCACCGCCGTGCTCTGCGAGTAGCTCGCGAGCGACAAGCTGAGCAGCGCCGTGCCGTTGGCGTGTGCCGCCAGGTCCGCCTCGTCGACCTCAAACTCGATCGTCCACTTCCCCAGCGCCGAGATGGCGTAGTACCAGTCCTCGGCGGCGTTCGACTCGGCGACGTTGAAAGTCAGGTTCGCTGGGCTGTCATCCGTCACGCCGTGCTGGTACGGCAGCCCGCCGTTCTTGAACCCCAGCGCCTTCTTGTCGAACTCGCCCACCTGGAAGATCTGCTTGCGGCCCGTCGGCAGCGCCCACTCCACCTCACCAAGTGCGGTCGTCTTGTCCGCCTCGACGCTGATGGGCGTGACTGTGGCGTTGGTGTAGACGTCTGCCAGGTCGCCGCCGTTGGACCATGCGTACAGCCCGTAGGACCCCGAGCGCACGTCGCTGAAGGAGAACGATCCGTCTGCGGCGGCTGTGGTCGTGTAGTAGTAATTGTTCCCTTGCACTAGGGGCCGAATTGATGTGTCCGTGTCACCCAGGAAGACCGATGCGCCAGAAGCGGGGCGGCCGTCAGACAGGCGCAGGCTGCCCGTGATCTCATCACGGCTGTGGTACGCCGTGTCCGCTAGCCAGCTGTATGGGAATTTCTCCAGCTCCTGCTCGCGCCGCTTGACGACGTCTTCGACGGAACCGTTGTTCTGTATTTTCCTTTGTCAGATTGAATCTCCATTGGGTTGGCTCGGGGCAATCCAGGGCAGACTTACCAGGTACCACAGCCAGGGTCCGAAGATCTTGCCTTCAGGTGAGTGAGTGTCGGCTCCGACGCGGAAATGCGACGTGTCTTGGAAGACATTGAGTTGGACAGCGTCACCTGTCGCCGACTCACGGTGGACCTGGTTTCGATGTTAGGGCTCCTGAGGCAGAAAGCTTCCGTCGGCAGAAGTCAAACACTCACAGTCAAAGTCTGGCTGAGCTGACTGGCAGAGAAGTACTCAGTCGAAGGGTGAATCCACCAAGACCCAGCAACATCAGGCCCATAGACCCCATAGAAGTCCCGGTCTCGCACATAGTTAACCCAGTCGTACTTGGTGATGTACGTCCCGTCGGCCAGCTCCCACGTCTCGTCCTGCACCTTGGTCGCGTTCGCGTACAGGGCCCAATCCGGGAGGGGCTCGTCCTTGATGTGCGTGCGCCCCCGGGTGAAGGTCTCGTTGTCCAGCCGCCACAGCGTCCGGATGATCTGCAGGTCCGGCAGGGCCTTGTTCACCACGTACTGGTACGCGCCTTGCAGGTCCTCGAATACCACCCAGTGCAGGTCCACGTAGGTGGATGAGAAGGCGATGTCGATGTAGTCCTCACCCTGGGACGCGATCGTGGCGTTGGTCCACTCGAAGTTGTTCTCGCCGTCTTTTGGGTTTCAAATATCATCAGCATGAGCTTGTGCCATGGGTGTATGTCGAGAGGTTATCTCACCTATCCCTGCGTAATGCCCCGCCGCGGCGCCGACCAGGTCGTGTCCCGGCAGGATGCTCGAGAACAGCTTGGTCGCGTAGTACTTGCCCTCGGTGACGTTCCACAGATCATTGCCGAACACCCAGGTCTGGGTGTCGAGCTGGGTCAGGAAGGGGCCCTTGCAGGCGCCGTACCCTGCGAAGAGGGCCAGGCCCAGGAGGGAGAGCTGTCGAAGACCCATGGTTGCCGCAACAGCCTCAGAAGGAGATCCGATGGACGTCTTTGTCTTGGCAGCTTCGTTCAAGTCTGGAACCGAAGGCGGGCCTTATAGATGCGCGGTTGGGACCTGCAGCTTCGGATCTCCTTTCCGAGGCATCACACCGCGGACAAACTGTACTTTTAAATCAAATAAACAAGGCCATGTCGCCCACTCAGGGGAGACATGTCGACATCGCATGTGTGCTCCACGCAGGGACCTGTCAGTCGTGCCCATTATCTTCTGCAAATCCATCGAAATGGAAGAATTCTCTGCTGAGCGGTGCTGGTGCCATTCGGCTTGCAACGTGACGATGCTACTTCGCTTCATCTGTTGGAGCATGGTGCCGATGGCGCCATACCACTTCTGTGGGCTGCGACGCTCCTGGTTGGTGGTGTAATTCGGTACTCGTCGCCGAGGGCCCACCCGTCGCCATCGCGTCTGCTCATTGCATAATGCTGTGGGCTCCTGGCTGATAAGCTTGATTGAGGGATTTGGCCGGGTTGGTGATTTCTTGTTGTACATAAAAGTCTTTGTGCAATTGTGAGTGTTGTTCATCCACAACTGAATCATGGGTAATGCAACTGTTAACCTTTTATATTTGTTTGTAGGCTAAAAAGAATGTGATAAGGAGAAATGTGCTCAAGGCCTTCCTCACGGGTCCTAGTTCTCCGGAATTGGCATGCTTGTCACCAGATATGCAATTGAATGTCTTCCCCATTCACGAAACCCTGATGAAATTATTAAACTTGATTTACAGACTGTAGAAGGTCAGACAGTGGTGTTGATCTTTCTATTTATTCTGTCTTCTAGAAAGATTGAATATGAACCATTGACTTGTGAAGACCGGGCATCTCGGCCGGCTTGTTTTGCATCTCAGCAGTTTATGTGATCCCAAGCCGCCAATGAATAACAGCCTCAGCCCCCAACTCTGTTCCAATATGACTCGGAACTTCTTGACTGCCTTCTCATTTCGTGGATCCTGCTTCATTTGTGTATCGACTTGTTGTACAGTTGTTGAAAACAAATTTGACTAGACGGATGAAAACCAGAGCTCGTTGCCCACTCTAGAGCTTGAGTGCGTCCGGCATCGGATGGTCCATTATATCCAATGCCTTGATAGGTGAGTATAACCCAGCATATTTGTGCCATTCAAATCGCAGAACAACCCCAGAAAGAGCCCAATATTCCCATATGCAGGCTAGAGCTGCCCAGGTGCCCAGAACATTGAGCAGTCGCCGGGTCGGCTTGGAAACCTTCCATGCCCATTCTGCGGAGTTGCCAGCCCAGTCTGAATCCTAGATTCAACGTATTGGACGGTGGACTCTCTGCATTATCCTTCATCCTCAGACCACACACTCGCTGCCATCGAATAGCTCCGGGATGAAAAGTCTGGAAAAGTCGCAGTCCCATGCGGTGATTCTGTACCGGCAATAGTGACTCTCAAAGATTCGTATCCACGCCTTTTCGAACAGGACGTCACGATCTTCCACCGACATCTTGGATAGACGACCTTTGCGCTTGCCCACCAGGCTGAATGTCTTGGACACAAAGCGACCCCTGACATCAAAACGGTTGGATTGCGACTGGCCCGGATTGAGAGCAAATGGGACGACGGAAGTTAATGATGTCAGAATAGGAAATCGCTGGGCTACCACGGCCATGTTGCGTGCAATCTTCGTCTGGAAGAAGTGTCCGGGTGGCGGGAATTGGCCGGGCTGAGGCAGCTGGAAATCTGATGGATGGGGGATGATGGCGAAGTGCTTGATACGGTGGGCAAATCCAAGGCCATGAGCGTTGTCGAGAAGACGGGCCAGAGGCAGCGTCTTGGGATCCCAGACTGCGTTCTTGTCCTCTTTGTCCGTTTGAGCCTCTTCCAACGCGTGGGTGATGCCCTCCACGCAGAAGTATCCCTTCTTGAGATCAAATGGAATTTGGCACTCGCGCGGAGCCATGTATTGGCCGAGTGCGTTGATAGGCAATTCGTGGACCTTCAGCATAGAGATGGAGCGAAAGAGGATCTGGCGAGTCTCGAAGGACGCCTGAAGGAAGATATTGCACTGAGGGTGGCGGCCTTTCACAGGCGAGAAGCAAGCAACCCAGCCCGAGGACGCGTCCTGATTCGGCTTGACTCTTGCGGCGTCGTAGACAATGTTGAATCGGAATCGCTGCTTGGGACGGTATGGCGGCGGCACTTCAGCCATTGCTATCTCCCAGATGTTCAGACGGACTTCTGCCGGGAACTGCGTGAATTTGTGCATATATGTCGGGGTCTTGCCCTCGAGGGCATTGGTCTGAGGGCTATCGACCTCCATCGCGTTGTTGTCCATCGCGTCACTAAGACGAGGTGCTGGAGTCAACATCTAATCCAGTGTATTTGAGGTTCCATATCTGTGTAACTTACAAGGCAAGCAGCGCGAGTCCCCAAGAATGCAAAAGAACTGTGAAAATTTTATATGATTGAGGCAAAGCAACCCTTTGACGTGAGCAATTGCCAATGTTAGCATGGAAGGGCGACAGCTGCGGACGTTGCTAGGTTGGCTTGTTTTTCCGTCCCAAGTTGTGTTTTCGCAGTCAGCTACGACTCCACAAGTGAAGAGCTCAACGTGAATAAGGAGCCCAATCAACAAACGACTGACTAGTCTCGGCAGGTACGTGAATCCGGGTTTATTAGGCCTGACATTGCACATGTTCCAATCCAGTGCTGAACACCTGAGCTCCCTCCTTCTCCTCAACCTCCCACGTGACAACTCTGTTCAAGGTTCTCCCGACATCCTGGCTGTCTCACACACTCAACCATCAAATTGATCACATGGAATCTCCTGATCTTCTGGTCAATTTCGAAGCACCTTTTAAAGGATTGATAACAGCAAACGACCTTCATCCTCTGGTGATCCGCATGGTCATGGCCCTAGAAACAACAGCCTGCTAGCGCCAAGGTGCGTATTCAATCTCAAGGCTTTTTCACTCTTTAATATCTCGTTTGATATCGACGACCAGTCTCTCCAGTGCCCTGACATGCCTTGAAACAGACAGAAATCACATCTCAGCTCAATGCCTGCAGCCATTTCAAGCAACAATCGAGTGGCTATAAACAACACAGGCAAGACGACCGTGACAATGGCTGCTCAGCAAGTCTCGCATGGTGACATGGGCAGCCATGACCATCCACTGAGCCTAGCATCCTTGAGTCTGGAATCTCTTCCCGCCACGACTTTCTCCTGCTTTGGAGACCTACCTTTTGAGCTCCAGAACATGATCTGGGGACAAGCCTATACTACCGTGAAAATCAACATCAGACTGATTGTATTCACAATTACTTTGGTCGAAGACCCCAAAAGCCCCGGCAATGAGTAAGCAATTATCTAGACGTTATCACCAAGCGTTTGAGCGGACATGTGCGTGCCACGAGCAAGAGGTCGTTCCTGGTTGGGTCTAGGTCACACTTGACTACAGCATGCGAGACAGCATAGACAGATAGCCTCTTACTCCGCAAAAACTTATCCCAGGCTCATTCCTCTCCAATTCAGTAGCTAACTTCAGATTCTATAGTACGATGTGCTTCTCCCGAGACGCACACGCGGCAGCGTCTACTCGAAACCTCAGAAGCCTCATGTCAGTGTGCCGACGAGCACGCCAGAAGGTACTTGAGTTTGTCACTACCTTGACCCTGTCATGTCCCAATCCAGCCGACGGCAAGATTTCCGAGTACATGATTCCCTTCGACTGCGAGGACACCTGCTTCTGCATTCAAGGATGGCAGGAGCTGCCTGGACCTCGCAAGGCGATTCATAACACAAAGGGTCTGGACTTTGCAAGGAAAATCAAACGGCTCGCATTTGTAGCCAAAGACTACGACGTCCGAGAACGACCGGAACATGAATTGCGCGACTGCATCAGTGAGGAGGTCAAGGAAGACCTTGAGACTTTCTTCCTTCTGTTTCACAATGCTGTACAGATTGCCGGCATCAGCACCAGTGCTTTGGGAGCTAGGGAGATTCTTGGAGAGGAAGATTTTCTGTCTTTGTTTCTGTTCCAGCCCATCATGCAGAAGATGATGGTAGACGGCTTTCCTATCACAATCCCATATTTCGACCGTTTTCGCATGATCTACCATGCTTGGCATGCCGCCTTCGTCAATTTGGACAGCAGAGTACGGGCCGCACTTAGCCCAGATCGCATGAGAAGTTGAGCGGCAAGGAAGAGAGGCAGGACTGGCGTATCCATGGAACTGATATTGAGGGCTTTCCGTCACTCATACAACAGTTTGGCTACTTCGTGGATCGGGACCTACCCTGGCTAGGCCGAAGTGGTCACCGCTCCTCTCACAGAAATGGATAAAACAAATATTGATATAATCCCATGCACTTTTGCTACTGTTCCTGTTGCTAGAGCTGACATTTGCTATTGGATTGTTGTAGGCAAGATCATGGAAGCTGATTCGATGGATGTATAGGTCAGCCAGTCACTTCGCAACGGGCGCCAGTCTATTCTCGTCGTCGGCCCGTCCCTGTTGATTCCAATTGAAAGAGCAAGAACAGGATAGCTGGCCGCAATTTTCGCACAGTCCTATTTCACCATGGCTACTAATTCACTGTCCAAGGGAACGCTCAGTGGAAGGGGCATCGATGGCCATCTAGTACTTTATTCTGCCATGGTTGCTTGTCAGATGTGTGTCCTAGTCTGCGTGTCGAAACGAATAGGGCAGCAAAGCCTTATCACAACCCCGGCCAAGGCATCGTACCTTTCAAGTTTGACGAAGAAGATCGGGGGGAAGAGACATTGACCGTAAAATCTGCCACAGCGACCAGTCTTTTGACTACTAGACAGAGCCGGGCAGCCTTGTTCCCGAGCCTAAAATGCTGTCGATACCTACCTCGGTGGCCGTACCATATCCAGTGAGTCCACAGCAGCCATTTATCTCAATGGAAGGCGAGTGAGATAAGGAAGCCATCCATGATAGAAACCTTCTCAATTCCTGGTATGAAGGTGCTGGCTTCACAATCATCTTGGGCTAAGGCGGTGTCCTGGCAAAATACAATGCCAGACATGGAGCAGAAACGAAACGGGCCTTCAAGGGGAACATCATTGGGTATAGCAACTATGGAGAATTGAGGGTACTAAGAAAGCCATTAGGATGGCCTTTCCCCTATCCTTGTTGGCACTGGACTGGCACCACAAGGGAAGCCAAATGGAAAGGAAAGGCCACCCAGTAAATGATTATGAAGGTTCGCAGGCATCTTTGAAATACATTTGTGGGCTGATGCCTACCTAGTATCTTAAAGGGTTGGAACTCTTAGTTACCTTGGGACTGAGGCAAATAGTACACAGTCGGCCAACCGATCCTGTGGCTAAAGTCCAAAATTGATGCACGGATTCAACGTGCCGGAGAGGCTTTTGGCAATGTTTGATGGAGTCAAATCGGCGGTGATCAGAGATTCCCTCTGAAATTTATCAGCGCCAAATAGAGCCGAGCAGGAAGAGGCCGTCGTGACCATTCAAAACGTGTCCAGCTGTTTGAAGCTCATGAGCTACACAGGGAATACCGAGTCTCCGAGGACAAACAACACCCGCTGCCAGTTTCTGGCTTTCACTCCACAACTTTGCTCACCCTGTGCTTAGGTTGGTGAAGCAACGGGTCGGTGATTCACTTGGTACGTCTCGTCACTGGCCTCTTTATTCGACGTTGCCAACTTCAAAAACTCGTCTGATTGTTGACGATGAATCATTTACTCGTAAAGTATCTCGCATCAACTCTCACCTTGACTTTTCGGAGTTCCCAATCAGTTTTCCCACAAGCATTCCCATAATGTCCTTCTCATCAGCTTTCACAGCAGATACGACAGTCACCTCGGCGTGCGAAGCCGATATTGACCCATACAACCTCGAGCGATTCATCACGGCGCAAGATCAGGGCGGCGCGTTTGAGAAAGTCCTCGCAGCCTTCCGCGGGGGGCACCGCAAGCCCAGCCCCACCACCTGGATGTGGTTCGTTTTCCCCCAGATGGACCACTGCCAGACGCAGTCGCTGCGTGTGAAGCTGAGTGAAGGTCACTCTCGTTATGAGGACGTCGACGAGCAGACCTGGCGGAGAAAAGACGTTTGGCCCAAAGGCCAACCTCTCACCAGCCTCGACGAGGCCCGCACGTACCTCGGACACCCCATCCTTGGCCCTCGCGTCCGCGAGGCCGCAACTGCCGTCCTCAACAGCCCGTTTGCCGACAAGTTCTCATTGATGGACAATTTCTCTATGGATGTCGCGCGCCTGCACTCCTCGATGACCATCTTCCGACAGGCTACGCGGTTCCCTCAGTGCATCCACGACAAGAGGCGCCCACCCGGCGAGAACGGCGTCTTTGCGCAGGTCATCAATCGCTTTTTCGTCTCGGAAAAGCGCAAAGACGAGGAGAATGACCGGCTGGAATTCGATGACAAGAAGCCGATGATACACCCTCGAGGGTCTCGCCACAAGCCCACGCTCGAGCAACTAGATCAGACGGAGCAGGTGGAGATTGAGCGGCGCTTGAAGAAAGGGCTGGGCTGTGTGTGTGGTCGCGCCAAGGATATGCTGGAGAAGATGGACAAGGGCACGCAGAGCAAGATGCAGAAGTCTCAAATGGCTATGGAGAAAGAGAAGCAACGGATACGAAAATCACGGGAACGCAAGCGAAAGGAGCAAGACTTGCAGGACAATGAGATCCGAACTATCCTCACGTGAGTATCTGGGGTCTGTCCCTGCTCTTCTCTGGTTCTCCGTCGGTCAGGAACTAAGGCTTTTGCAGTAGTGACAGTAGTCCAGCACTATCTCCTCGAGATCAGACCGGGATCTCGACGCAGACTCCTCGAACAGAGAAGCGGCCTCGTCTGGCATAGGTCGCTACCTCTGCATTGTCAACGTACACATGTTGGAGAAAAAGGGGGGTTGAGATCGTAGCCGAGGAGGACATCATTGCTTCTTGTCAGAAGAGAAGCACACGACCCGCAGAGAGTTTTGCCAGAAACTTTGACGGAAGAGGGATGAAAACTTTCGATTATTTGATGGGGAGGGAGAGAACATGACATAAAGATCTGCATGCTGGTGAGATTCTGGCAACTTCTTGGCACGAGGGAGCAAAATGGTCGAGTGCTTGATACCAAAAGAGTCGAGCCGACGGCCGAGAGTAGGGCCTGCTCTTTCCATTTGGCGGTAATGGAAGCTCATCTTTGAAGTGTCGACTCAGATAGGATGAAAGCTGAATGAGAAGAGAAGCGACTGCTATCTAGCTTACGACCGTGCAGCAATCCACGGAGATCGCTGCAGAAACGAGAGAGATAATGTATTTGATTACAGCCTAAAGGTCAAGTATTTGCAATCAAGTGTCAAAGATCAGGAAGCAGCCAGAAATGATCCTTCCCATGAAGTAGAAAGAAGGATCGGATCTAGTGCCTTCCCTCACATCGCCTCGCGCACCACCCCTTTGTTTATTTGCATGGCCTCTGCATTCCAAACAATCCACACCTTCATCACTCCCAACATACCCAGCAGCCATCCTTAATCATGAAGCCTGCTTTCTCTCTCGCCGCCGTCTTGGCAGTCATACTGCCCCTTGCGATCGCCAGAGATGACGCCGTTGTGAGCCCGGTATAATATCTCCCAACTCCTTGCAGACGTGCTGGTTTGCTGACAATGCTCTTCTAGCACGCATTGCGTGACTTGATCGACGAGGGCGAGCTTGCCTCCAAGGCCGAGACCATCCAAGCATTTGCGTATGCGTCACCCGAGAAGAATAGATACATCGGCACTGCGGGACTCGAGAGCTCGCTGCAATACATCTGGGACACCCTAGACGACCTTGATTACTACGACCTCACTCGCCAATCCTTCGAGTTCACTCAGCGTGGCCGAACGTTTCAAACGTCAGTAGAAGCCATCATATTTCTTTGTTCTTTTTTTTCTTCTCTCAAATAAGCACTGACGAGCCTGTAGGTACAACATCATTGCCCAAACAAGGGATGGCGACCCATACAACGTGCTGCAACTTGGTGCCCACATGGACTCAGTCGCCGAAGGACCTGGAATTAACGACAACGCATCGGGTGGTATCGGAATCTTGGAAGTCGCTATTCAGCTCTCCAACTTCACTGTCACCAACAGCGTCCGCTTTTCATGGTGGTCGGCTGAAGAGGTAGGGCTTATCGGCTCAACTGTGTACGTTGATTCATTGACTGAGGAGGACCGGGAGAAAATTCGCCTCTACCTCAACTTCGATATGATTGCCTCCCCTGCTCATGAAATTGGTGTCTACACAAGCAACTTCACCGGGACCGGCGTGACCCAGGCACCCGGTGTCGAGGAAGCGGAGAAGTTCCTCCAGGACTACTTTGATGACGTCGCCGACCTGGACTGGAAGACGGCTACCCTACGCGGGACAAGTGATCATTGGCCGTTCGTGTTGGCAAACATCCCGACAGGTGGCCTGTACGCTGGTGCTGACCCGAACTACCATACCGACGATGATGTCGTCGCCCACATGGATACCGGGGTCTTTGTCGAGATTACAAAAGCCATTGCTTATGCTGTGGGTACTTACGCAGAGAGTTTCGACGGACTGCCGTCAAGGGAGATCGTCGTCGATTGAGAAGTCGCGTATGGAAAGGTTCAATGTGGTGTGGATCAGGGCGGCGCAGGATGCACAAAAGGATTAGTATAACACTTCGAGTAGGACTACCAGTTACCTAATACAACCAGAATTTCTCCCCATTTCATCTCGCTTTCACTTCCTTTCGGTACATTCATGATCCCTGTCCGAGTTTCTAGTCAAAAACCCCTTGCCGGCTTGGAAGATCATTACTGGTAAGGAGGAGGAGCGGACCTGACGGACTCGACATCTGATTGAAAATGCTGCTGTCGAGCGTATCGCACGATCGCTTCGACGTCTGATTCAATTTCTGGTTGCAAGCGCGCCTGTCGGGAGGAACGAGTGCCATGGCTCCTGGGACAGCCACATGGCTCTCGGTCGAGCTGGGGCCTGCCCACACTTATCGCACCATAACCCGTCCGGGGAGTGGCTCTGGCACCGTTCGCTACCGGTAGAAGACCCCGCCTCTGCTTCTTAGCACGTCGCTCTCGGCCCCAGCGCCGCAGGGTCCTGGCACAAATCTTATACGGCTTGATGAAGGTCTCGCGGCTGATGCCGCAGAACGTCGGCGCGGCGAAGAACCATCGCAGGCAGAAGAGAAGGATATGGCCGATAATGACCAGCGGCCAGAGGAGGATTGGGAGGACTGCTGCGAGGGGGCAGCAGCAGATCAGGATGCCGTCTGTGAGGAAGATGTTCGGCAGCCAGCTCACTCCCCTGAGGTCTCCGAGGCTGCTGCAGAGGACGACGGAGCCGAAGAGGACGCCGGTTATGTAGATCAGGAGGACGATCATTGCTAGGGCTGGGTGGGCGGTTTGAAAGTCGGTGAGAGCTGCTGCGAGGGTGTGGAGTGCCGTGTGGAGTGAGGATTCTGTATCCATTGTCTCTGGTGTGTCTGTTGCTTACTTGTCAAGACGGTGATGTGTCCCCGGATGGAGTTTCGAAGTTGACTGGATTTGAGGTAGATTGGTGAGGTTGAATGTTGGGAAAAGGAGGCATGTTGAAAGTGAGGCCTACCATATGCTGGACACTTGGCGTCAGCCTACCTTCGGTGAACACGCATCTTGTGCGACCACACCCCACCGGTGCACCACCAGTGCCCAGATTGTGACCACAAAGAACAGCGCCTGAGCCAGTGGTCATCCGGATGCCTGAAGTGCCGAGCGAAATCGAGTTTTAATTCACCATTGCTGCTAAAACTCATCGTTTTCGGTGTTACAGGGGCGGTCTGTCAGGAAGGTTTTGACTTCAGTGACAACAACGATTCAAAGCTTTGTTGGGACTATAGAATCACTCTGGGGCACAATTTGAGTTCGAGAGTTCAACTCGAGGCTGGAATTCATTCACATTACTGTCGTTCAATCTTGCAGAGTGAAGCTATCCTGTGCGATCCATGTAATCTGACCATGAGACATCTGGTACATCATGCTTAAGGCTTCATGCCCTTGGTCTTCAACTTCTCGTACAGCTTCTCCTCTTCGACCAGGATGTTCTTTCCGCTGAAATCGCCCTCCATGTTGATAGGGGGCAGCAGAGCCTGGTACGGGATGGTGCGCACACGCACGTCGGACGGCTGGCCGTGAGCAGCAAACTGCATGCCCTCGACGACGTCGCCGTTGCCGTACTTCTCCTCGGTGACGAGGCGCAGCATGATCTGGGCGCACTCCTCGGCCGTCATGTTCATGTCCTGAGGGCGCACCTTGCCGACGCAGTACTCGGCCTCGACGGCGGGGGTGTAGGTGGTGGCCGGGCACATGCAGGCGACGCGGATGCCCAGGCGCGCCTTGAGCTGCGCCAGCGACAGCGTGAAGGACGTCAGTGCGCCCTTGGATGCGTTGTACAGCGGCGTGCCGATCGTCGGCAGGTACGCGCTCATCGAGGCCACGAACAGCAGGCTGCCTGCGATCTTGTTCTCCAGCCAGTAGTCGATGGCGATCTGCGCGAACCGAATGGGACCCATCTGGTTCACCGCGAAGAGGTGGTAGAGGCCGGGGGCTCCGTTGGGGTCATCCTTCGCCAGTGGCGAGATGCCAGGGGCATGCCAGAAGGTGGAGTGTGGAGGCTCCCTGTTGTGGTTAATCGTTAGTTAAAATTGCAACCGGTTTATGCCGTTGCGACCTGGGCTTTGGTGCTGTCCAGGTGTGGCCACGAGGAGGCGATTCAGGAGATCGAGGCGGTACACATACCAGATGCCGGCCCCTGGGCAGAGGACGTCAATCCGGCCAAAGGTCTTGAGCGTGAACTCCCAAGTCTCGGAGATCGACTTCCAATTAGACTGGTCACATTTATGGTAGACGGCAGAGACCGTGCCGGGGTGAGGGAACTTGGCGATGAGTGCCTTGGCCTCATCACGCAGTGCTACATCTGCGAAGACGACAGAGCAGCCGGCGTTGAGGAGCTGCTCAGCAAATGCCAAGTTGATCCCTGAGATCACGCGAGTTGTCAGATGCAGGATATTATGCGCATACTAGTACCGAAACGTGTAGGAAGGATTTCTAAGCTTTCTAAGGCTGGCAGGACTGAGACATGATAAGGAAGAATGTAGACAACATACCACTGCCAGCGCCGGTGACCAAAGCAAACTTTCCCTTGACGTCGTACGACATTTTGTGATAGATGTTTATGTATGATGAATTGACTGCTAGAGATTATCTGTAGCAAATTGCAAGCAGCAAGAGGGTAAGTCCAGACAACAAGAATGGAGGAAGCACGGACAACAAGAAGACAGTGAGCAAGAGCACGGCACTCAAGCGAGACCGAGGATACTCGAATGCCAAGGTACTCTTCTTTATGAATAAGAAGACATGTGCCTTTTCGCCCCTGAGGCATACGTTTCAAATCGCATGGAGTTGTCTTCGAAGGCCTGACTATCCACGCGTAAATCCACTTGGAATCACACACTCAGCTTCCGAACTGACCCAGTCCCACATAAGTGGACATTTGGATTGATGTCTGGATTGGATCGTCAAAGGCCAATATCTGGTGACAGTTCTGGCAAAGTTGAGTCTCGGCAACGTATAAAGATCCACTGCCATGCATATTCTAGTGCGTGTACAAAAGCGCATGATCTACCTTGCCGAAATAGTCGCGAAGTCCGCAAGGACTAAACAGAGCGCAAAATAAGCACAATGTGATAAAGCTTCTGTCCGCTTGAGTTCTTTGGACTGCCGACAGCATGGATCGCAGAGAGATGCTTACTCTGAATCGCTTTCTTCTCAATGAACACGACACGGGGAAAAGAGTCCACTAATAAGCAAGGTTCCTACCCAACTAGGAAATGCAGGGGCTTGACAGCTGGGGAGGCGAGTCATTTTACTACAGTACCCAGGTTTACTCTATCAGACTAACCAATCTGCGCCGCATTCCTGCAGACGGGACCTGACAAGTCATATTTGGCCATGTCGTGTCTTGTGCGCTCTTACGAGGAGCTCGGCCATGCCACCCAGTAGGGGGAACCGACCTGTCGGTCCCAATGACCCAAGGAACCGGCAGGGAAAATTGAGTGTGGCAATTGCAAGCCAATCGCTGATTTTCCTCCATGGTCTCGTCCATGGATTCTTCCCAGGTCCCTGGGAACGGCGCTCGTTTCTACCCCTGTGATGAAGCAGAACTCCTTGCCTCCCCCTTAGGCGAGGACAAGTCCGGAAATTCGATCCCGTTATTAGGATCAGAAGCCTTCACGGTCATGCCACTGCCATGTGGAGCGTGAATCAGGGTCGGTTTTAAATATGAACTTGTCGATTCGCCAAACTCGGAGAGTCGGCTCCCTTCAGTCGGACGCCCTTATTTGTTTTTCCACACTCGCTTCGGGAATTTTGAACGGTAAACATCGGACAGCGAGATGGCACCAGCGGGCTGGCATCCGATTACGCCTGAAGGGGGGGCGGCCAACATTTACGGCGTTGCGTTGGCGTTTTCCATTGTATCCACTATAGTCCTGGCTCTGCGAGTGTACGCACGGCAGAGGATGAAGCAGTTCAGCTTGGAGGACTGGCTGATGTGTATTGGTTGGGTAAGGCTTTTCTGTTCACCCTTCATCCACTGACATATGGCAGAGTCGTTCCCGCTGACACAGACAGTTGATTAATATGGTCCATAACGCTGTGATTATCTATGGTCAGTACTTCCACATGAGCTCCCTTCCGGTTTAGGTGACTTGCATGGTGTGCAAGGTTTCTAGAAGCTTTGACGACCAATGTTCTCGAGAATTCCTTTCTGCATGCGCCTGTCTGCAGGCAGAAGTGGAATGTTCGGCTAACAAACTCGCAGGTACCCACACAGGACTTGGTTCTCCAGATTCGAAAATCCCAGGCGGTCCAACTGGACCGATCTTTATGGAGGGAGCCAAGGTATTATCTCTACACTTCCATCTACACTTCTTTCTTGCTCAAAGTCTAGGCATTTACTGACATCACAATCACTGTAAAAGAGTGTATTCTTGTGGCAGGTCTTTTTTCTCAGTGGCCTCGTCTTCATCAAAGTCAGCATCTGCCTCACCTTGCTCCGCATCGCGGTGATCAAGTGGCACCGCACCACGCTATGGGTTCTCATCGTCATCACGGTCGTGTCCACCATCTTCGTCGACTTCTATATCCTCCTGCAATGCCGTCCCATAGCGGCTACGTGGGGCGAAGTTCCCGGAACTTGCCTGTCCAGTACAATTACTGTCAGCATCACATTCATCATCTCGGCCTTCAACCTTGTAACCGACATCACCACCGCATTGCTGCCATTCCTTATGCTTAAGGATGTTCAGATGACCAAACAACAGAAGACGGCCATCATCAGCATTCTGTCGCTTGGAGTTTTGGCCTCTATCGCTACCATCGCGCGTCTCCCTTTTGCAGAAGCGTACTTTGCTACGTCAGATTATCTTGGTATGTCTTGAGTCACTTCCGAATCTTATAAGACGGTCAAATGACACACATGTCTTTGGAACACATCACTAATTTTTAAATCCCTCACACAGAAGGCATCGGCGACATCATTCTCTGGACAATAGTCGAGTGCGATCTAGCTCTCATTGCTGGCTCCCTGCCAATGTTGCGCACCCTTTTCAAGTCAATTAAGGGCTCGATACAGCAGAAATCAAGCATGCACACGAACTCTACCGAGCTTCTCGAGATGGGACGGGCCCAGAAGATCCGGGACCAGGCTGACGTCGATCGCATCGTCATCACCGTCGACCACGTTGTCGACCACGAGACTCGCAGCGTCCCTTCTGAGCGTGAGCTACAGCCTCAATATTCAGCCAAAAGTTATTTTTGAGGGAATGAGACGTTAGAAGGAGGATTCGGGCCGCATATGACCATGTATGTGGCCGAGGGCTTGGGTTAAAATTGCTTTTGAAGCTGGTCAACACAGATCGCTGGAAGCTGATTACGACGCGGCAATTGGTGACCGAGATGAATAACCGCCGGAGCCTTTTTTGCCTCAAATGCCACGCGACTGATGGCATGCCGTGCCTTTGGCCGTGTGAGGCGCTAAGAAAAGCAATGGGATAGTGTCGTCATTTGGTATCATACGCGTATGGCCTGGAGCACTTCGTTTAATTAATTGAAATCTTTTGTACGATATGTTTGCAGATTGTGCAGCATGGCATAGTATCGGTATGAAAATCCCAAAGCAATTCCGCCCAGCTTTACTAGGCTGTATACAGTCTGGATGGCAGCAGTCACGTTATTTCACGTGATCTGTTTAAGTCGCTTGGCAGGAGACTTTCAAGAGAGCGGTGTCAAAAAGGACGACATATCCTGTTCCGGCAGCTCCTTAGATCCTCTTCGAATTCAAATACCTGGCGGTCTCAGGTAGCACGCGTGGTGCATCAGAAGAAGGGTCTAGGAAGGAAAGGATGAGTTCCATTGCTTCTTCGCGTCCCCGTCGAGTCGAGGCTGGGCGTCGTCCTCTCCGGCGGCCTGGGGCGGATGTCGGGATGCCCTCTTGGCCAACTGGTACATGGGCATGACAGCGTTTGGCGGGCCGCCTGTGCTTTTCCCAATAGTGAGCATGCACTTGCAATCTGTCACTGACCATCTGCTGACTACTTTGCACGATAGTTCTACAGGAAGTTTGTGGAACAGGAACAGTGGAGCGACGAGTAGATTGTACGTCCAGAGCTGAATCACTGCCACAGGTCCGAGTGCTCATGAAAATCACACAGTATCAAGAGCTTTTCGCTGTATGCCAGGCACTTCCAGGGCCGGCAAGCACGAAGATGCTATATCTCATCAACCTCATCCAAGGCGGTTGAACGATGGAGTCTTTTCCTTCGCCCTGTGGAGGTGAGTGCTGATGAAAATGGACAGCGCCCACGCAAGCATGGAGAAACTCGCTGATAACTGCTTACGAGAAGTCTACCTGGAGCTATGGACATGTATGGGCTGTCACTTAGAATCTCTCAGGTCCGCCATCGATTGCCTGCTCCTGTGTACGCCCTCCTGTCGGGCCTGAACTCTGCCACCGTTGGGGGGCATTCTTTACTCGTCTCTGTGGTACTTCCCTCTGCTTATGGTCGCAGGTGGTCTATCTACATTGATTCGGGATCTGCGAATAGGGCAAAAAGCGCTTAGTTGGGCAGGCAACATCTTGGCGACGCGATCTCATCAGGTAGAGAGGGAGTTCACTGAGCATTTCGTATGGATAAGTCCCAGGGCCCGATTATACAGCAGCCCTCATCCATAGTATCCGAGAACAGCGTTCAACAGCGGCGTGCGCTACCTGTGCCGGACAGGACGCAATCGCAAGCTAGTGAGCCCAATGCTAGCTCAACGCACCAAGAAACCAAGTTCTTGGGCTTCTCAGCTGCAAGCGCGGTCTGCTCATCATTCCTTTCTTCATCACCTCTTTTGTCGCCGTCCTCGCACTACGATGTCTTTTCATAAACCCACCGCGAGGCTCCTCGCTCTTCGTCAACCTTTATCTTGCAGGCACTATCATCTTCGGTGGTGGACCGGTGGTGATCCCCATGCTGCGAGAGTACATTGTCGCAGAGAACTAGGTTTCAGCTCGGGATTTCCTGCTTGGTCTTGCGATTATGCAGGCGTGCCCTCGACCCAACTTCAACTTTGCCGTATATCTCGGATCCCTGGCCGCCACCAACACGTGCTCGTCCACATTGCTGGGAGCATTGATAGCGTTTGTTGCCATTTTTGCTCCCGGGATAATTATCGTGTCAGGTGTGATGGGGTTTTGGAAGGAACTTCGGTCGCGGAGATGGTTGGTCTCGCTTCTGAGGGGTATCAACGCCGCGGCTGTCGGGTTGGTGTACACGGCAGTTTACAGGCTTTGGCAGATTGACCTCTTGGATGAGACGAGAGGGAATGGCAGCCCGCTTGGCGGTGACCCATGGTGGGTGGCTATCACTGCGACAAGCTTTGTCGGCGGGCGATGGTTTGGGCTGAGTGCACCGTTTGCAATATTGCTGGGTGGTGCCATGGGCCTTGTCCGGTATGCCATAGTCAAGGCTTGAGATCTTTGATTTGTGAGCATGACCACCACTCGGCCGCATCCATCTCTCCGCAGTGCACATGCGCAACGATTTCGGCACCGAGGGAAATATGCGAACGGCCCCGGTGGTCGCAGTTTGCTAGGCGCATCAAGCTTCACCGACTCCGTCACGATATCCTTCCCAAACAGGTTCCACGCACGAATAAGCGGGTAAGACGGGTCAGCATCATGAGCTGGACGACAGAAGCTTCCGGCAAAGCTACAGTGTGAACCTCCCCATCAGTATCGTCTGTGCAACCTGGTGGAGTTCGTAAGATGACGAAAATAGAGGGACGCAGCTCTGGGTAACGCCCAAATGAGTGTGGCCGAAACTGTTGCTCGAAATCGTCCCCACCCAGATATCGAGACATCGCTGAAAATTGTGATTTTTTTCGATGGGTGGTCGAGGGTTTATCGAGAGAGCCGAAGATTACATCGCGAATTCGCGTCTTGGCGGAGCGGCCGAACAAGCACGGTGACACGGCAGCAGCGTGCAGATCTCGGAGCCAGCGTCGGCAAAGTACTGTAGGGACAAATGCTGCCGGTCAACAGCGTCTCCTAGGCCATTTATTCCAGCTGACTAGGGCAGCTCGGTGCCGTAGCCGCTAGGGAAGCATCCCTTGCCCGGTGGTGGGCTCGCGGCTCGGCTGTTTCGGGCAGATCTCTTGGGCTCGGCTCCCTGTATTCCCAGTTATATCCGCCTTTCCTATCGCGTTTCGGGAAGAGCACAGACGTCCAAAACGTGAGCTGTTTGGTTGCAGGCCAAGCAGCTGCGGACCTCTGCAACCTATGCGATCGAGCACGAGTGCCGAGCTGTCACATTGGCGGTCGACATGACCACATCAAGCGGTTCAGTAATCCGTGATCCGCCCAGACCGGCCGTATAATCGGGACGTGCCGAAGTGCAGCCTTGAGGATTAACAAGCTTTTCGGCAAGATGACGCCTTGCGCCACCATTATCTCCCCCCACGATAGGCTGCGAAAGGGGCGCCCTTGGTGGCTCGTTGCTTGACTCGCGCCCTTTAATCAGTGGTAATCAACCTCGTGCCACTACTCTGGAGCCGATCTGAGGGACAAATGGGAAACTCGCTCTGGGATAGCCGGTCTGGCGCATGGCCAGGGTATCGATGTCGTATCTTGCGGCTCATGGGGACAATTGTGGACCGCGGTTGCAGCAGTCTTCGATCAAGGACTCGTCAGAGAGCCTGGGATCGCTGTCTGACGCCACTGTCACGGAAGGAGACATACGTCGTCGACCAGGAAGGCCGCTTTAACAGGATGGCTTCAGACGATAAAAGACGGCCACCTCCCTCGCTACTCACCATTCAAGATCAATGCACATCTTCACACATCCGCCTCGTCCTCGAACAGCAATTAGACGACCCTCCAAGACTAGACCGATATTCCGGGAAAGAGAAAAACATCCATTCAACTTGTTCAGATTTTAATCCACGAATCCACCTGATATGGGATCAGTTGCCAACTTGAGCTCCACGCCCTACGGCAGACGTCTGCTGCCAACTCTCATCGATGAAGTCTCCAGCCAAGACCCTGATCGAGAATGCTTTCAGATTCCACGGTCTTCTGAGCCGTCAGACGGATGGCGCATCCTCACCTGGAAGGATATGGCCAACGCGGTCAACCGTTGCGCCCATAGGATCATCGAGCTTTGCGGCACGCCGGAGAAAGACAGCTTCCCCGTGATCGCCTACCTTGGTCCGAACGATGTTCGCTACATCGTGTTGATGATTGCGGCTGTAAAGGCCGGTTACACGGTAAGCTTACTCATATCGCTGATTTCGGGTGTTGTCAACTGACACACACACAAGGCTATGTTCATCTCTCCAAGAAACTCCAAGGAGGGTCAACTCAACCTCTTTGACAAGACGAGCTGCAATATTTTGGCTTTTGCAAGCTCGCATAAAGAGACTGTGAAGCCATGGCTGGCGGAACGAGACATGCAGGCAGTCGAAGTCAGTGACTTGGACGCCTGGTTCCCCGAGAAGGAAGTTCCCCACTTCCCGTACACAAAGACCTTCGACGAAGCAGAATGGGACCCCTTCCTCGTCCTCCATACAAGCGGGAGCACTGGGCTTCCCAAACCAATCATCGTTCGGCAGGGCATGTGGAACGTCAACGATGGCTTCCACAATTTGCCACTGTGGCAGGGCAAGAAGGTTGCCATGCGTGAGTGGGCGGATCGATCCAAGAGACACTTCATCCCAATGCCTCTTTTCCATATAGCGGGCCTCCTGTGCGTTGTCGGCATGTCTATGTTCTGGGACACCCCTGTCTGCCTGGGCATCGCTGAACGACCTTTATCATCGGACCTGGTGGTGGAGTGTCTGGAAAAATTGGATGTTCAATCTACACTACTCCCGCCAGCCCTCATTGAAGACTTGAGCCAGTCAGAGGAGGGTCTGAAATCACTGACGAAGCTCAATGTTGTCGCATTTGGCGGAGGAAACCTCGCTCGCGAGGCAGGGAACCGACTTGTCAAGCAGGGTACGGCGCTCATGAACCTGATCGGAGCCACCGAGTTTGCTCCTTTCCCGACATACGCAAGGGGCGACCCAGCCCTGTGGCAGTACTTCATATACAACCCCGAGGCGATGGGATGCGAATTCCGGAAGCAGGGCGACGAAGAAGTATACGAGATGGTTGTCGTGCGACAGAAGCAAAACCAGCATCCTCACCCCGGTCTTCAGGGAATTTTCTACACATTCCCTGAGCTTAATGAATGGAGCACGCGCGATCTTTACCGCCCTCATCCGACCAAACCACACCACTGGATCTACCATGGGCGTGCGGACAATATCATTGTTTTCAGCAACGGCGAGAAGTTGAACCCGGTGACGATAGAGGAGATTGTCAGCGATCACAACAGTCTCAAGGGTGCCATGGTGGTCGGATCGGAAAAGTTTCAGGCAGGTCTTATTGTGGAGCCTCGCGTCCATCCCAAGACAAAAGAGGAGGAGAAAGCGCTGTTGGACAGCGTGTGGCCTTTGGTTGAGAAAGCTAACGAAGAGACGGTCACTCATGGACGCATCAGCCGCGACTTGATAACTCTGTCCAACCCGGAAAAGCCGTTCTTGCGTGCGGGCAAGGGAACCATCCAACGAGCCGTGACTGTCAAGCTGTACAAGGATGAGATTAACAAATTGTACGAGAACTTCGGCACAGATGAACACGCAAAAGATGTCGTCGAGCTTGACCTTGAATCTGAAGAGACATTGGCTCGCTCGATTGTCGAGACACTCCGCAAATACATTGGAGCGGAAAGATTGGAAGAGGACGTTGACTTCTTCGCAGCGGGTGTTGACTCGATGGGTGTCATGAGAGCATCGAAGCTTTTCCGAGCTGGCCTGAAAGACGCCGGCCGCGAGGTCAACGACAAGGCCGTCGCGCCGAAAGTCATCTACCAGAATGCTACACCACGACGACTTGCTGCCTACATCCTGGGTAACGTACTTAATGGCCAAGGTCAGGCGCTGAGCGAGGACGAGCAGCAACAGCAAGCCATGCGGGCGATCTGGAAGAAATACACACAGAATCTTATCAAGGCCCAGCCCAACCGCCCTGACCCTTCCAATGAGAGCCAGACAGTCATTCTCACAGGCTCCACCGGCATGTTGGGCTCCTACCTCCTCGACTTTATGGCCCGCAACTCCCGGATCGCCAAGATCATCTGCCTCAACCGCGCCGGAGACGGCGGACGCGCCCAGCAATCCAGGGCATTCGCAGACCGCGGCCTGGACACAAGCACCCTCGCCACCAAAGCCGAGTTCCATCATGCCGACCTGTCCAAGCCCAAGCTGGGGCTTCCCGAAGAGGTGTATGCGCGCCTCCAGGCCGAAACCGACCGAGTGATCCACAACGCGTGGCCCGTCAACTTCAACATCCCAATCGAGTCCTTCGAGCCCTCCCTCGCAGGAGTGCGGAACATCGCCGACCTCGCAGCAACAGCAGCCCGCCGCTTAGCGGTAACCTTCATCAGCTCCATCGCCGTCGCGGACCGGTGGGATGCCGCCACGCACGGCGCAGCAAAGGTGCCGGAGCAGCGCCTGGAGGACCTCGCGCTCCCCAACGGCGGCTACGGGCGCAGCAAGGCGGTCGGTAGCCTGATCATCGAGGACGCGGCGGCAAAGGGCGCGGGCGACTTCCCGCACGCCATCGTGCGCGTTGGCCAGGTCGCTGGGCCCGAGGCTGAGGCAGGTGTCTGGAACCGCCAGGAGTGGCTACCCAGCATCATCGCTAGCAGCCTGTACCTTGGCGCATTGCCGGCGAACCTGGGTGCGATGAACAGGGTCGACTGGACGCCTGCCGAACGGATCGCCAAGCTTGTGCTCGAGGCGACTGGTGTGTCCCGGGTTGTGGAGAAGGCCGATGAGATCAGTGGGTATTATCATGGTGTGAACCCGCATGAGTCGGATTGGAAGGACCTGGCTGCTGCGGTGCAGGACTTCTATGGCAAGGAGAGGATCCGTGAGCTGATCAGCTTTGGGGAATGGGTTGACAGGCTGGAGAAGACGCAGGCGGATGGTTCAGAGAGCGTTGCTCGTAACCCTGGCGTCAAGCTTGTTGATTCGTATCGCGACATGGCTCAAGCGCCCGGGTCTGTGGTTTATGACATGGAGAAGACGCTGGAGAGGTGCCTGGTCGTGAGGGAGACGAGCGCTATTACGCCAGATATGATGAAGCACTGGTGCAGACAGTGGGGTTTCTAATGTAGAGGCTACCTAGATATGAATAGAATTGAGCGATTGATTTACTTCATGACACGTTTTCGAGACGAATGTATGGGCCGAAGAATTTCTATTGTTACAATTGTTACATCTAGATACATGATGTGGTGAATGACCAGTACGTTTTTTGACTCTTCTCTTCCTCTTCTGATTGTTCGCATTTACATCAAATAAGCTACAAGATCTGTTCTTGAGCAAATTATTAAAAACCGAGTTGGGTTTGCGGTCAATCTTTCTCCCTTCCACGCATATATCTGTAAAGCACTAGAGTAGGGGCAGACAGAATCTCACGGGAGCAAAGATGACTTCATCACATAACAGTTGTCTTTATCACAATCACAGATACTAAAATTATGGTATTAAGCTTGAAAGGTGATGCTTGGCCTTACACATCCGTGTAAGTACTGTAAATGCGCTCCATCCTGACAATCGATGTCTCGTCCAAAGCAAGTTGAAATTTTGTCTAACAATGACAGTCATATACAGTCTGCCCAGTTTCTCCACCCCCTACGGCTTCCCAGGTACATGATCTTGAGAACCGAAAGTATGTCCTCACATGTTCGTAAGTTGCCATCGCACTACTCGTGAGGCAGTTTAGATAATGCGAATCAAGTGTCGGTTCGTGGTTGTGTCGAAGCCAAACGGCCAATGCGGCAGCGAAGTGTCAGACGCGTGAGGCGTTAGAATGTGTTCGTACGTGTGCTTGTCACCCCATCCAGAGAGCTTCGTCAGGCCGATACGGCGGAAAGTGCCTTTTTGCTGTGTACGATCCAAGTCTTTGATCTGGTCATCGCCAACGGCTTGCTGCAAGAGCAGGCAGATGATGTACTTTGATTCTTCATCCTCGGACCTTGGACCCCGCGCCGCTGGGAGACAGTAAACGTTGTCCGACTCAAATATGTGGTGCAGCTTCTCATCGTCATCTGGGGCGTCGAGGTAGACATTGTGGTGTCTTTCCTTATCAATCTTGGGACAGACGCCGTTACGGTCGAGTAATCGCCAGTAGAACCTTCCTCGCTCGCCTCTGGACAGTCTGATTTTCCTTAGTTTCCCATAAACCATGATGTGACCGCCCATTACCAGACCAAACGAATTCTTCGTCTGTGTCTTGATTACAACGTGATCCTGACCCTTTTCAAGATCAATGAGCAAGTCTCGGTCCGTGATCTCGCCGTATGTAACTCCGTTGCCTGGTTTGTCGCCGACACCCCTTTGTGCGTCGACAGATGCCCAGGAAAATGACGGTGCTCGGTAATCTTTTGGGCGGCGGCCAGGCTGATGAAATGATCGGTTGTGCCGGATAAAGGTTGGCTCCACCCTCCAGAGGAGTTGGCTCTCCAAATATTTGTACCAGAGGCCAGCCACATACTGAGCTGGGTCCTCTTTGGAGCCAAGAATGTTGGTTGACATGAGCTGAGCGATCCCAGACAGAGCAATAAGCTTGTCTTTGGCCATTGTCAAGTTCAACCTGGAATACGTCTCCACCACACGCGCCCATAGCTCGAATCCGTATAGAAGTTCTTCCGGTATATGAGGATCTGGCTCATTGATATCTCCCAGTCTGATCTTGCGCAATTCCTTGCCATGCTTGAAGGGATTCAACCCCTTGAGTGATACCTCTGGCAGAATCCTGTCGTGCTGTAGTTGGAATTTGGGCAAACCTGTAGGATGGCCTTCTGCCCGCGTGAACCCGCCGCACTCCCACGCAATGCTGCCTTTGCAAAAATGCAGAACTCTAGGAGCCAAAAGACGTTCTTGGAGCACCCAAGCTCTAACGTTGACAGGAGCCTTGTTGACCAAGTTATCCCAATGTGATGTGTCGATAAGGACGCATCTCCGAAGTCCTTCCGGTTCCGGCAGGGCCAAAGTTAGAGGTTTTTCGCCACCCCAATCAATCTTCGCCGTTGTTTCGGCGTCCTCGCGAAGGTCTGTCTTGGGGGCGCTGAAGAGTTGCGTGAACATTTTACAGAAAGACGAACTAAGGGAGGTTCTCCCAGGCTTCGCTGCTGTCACCCTACTGCTGTGATTGTGCTTGTGCTCGTCCTCGCACAGCGCTAAACCAGGTATACCGTCGACTTTCAAACTGACCTCGTTCTCCCAGAGAGTCCTACAGTCACGCTCTGAGTAGAGGCCCATGCCACTGTTGGAAGCAGCAGTGGCCGATATGTTGAGGTACGACTCCCGATATACCCGTTGCATCAGAGCGGCTTCCTCAAGCCAATCTTTGTCGACATCAGGGCCGCCTTGGTAGATGCAGAGAGAGTCGATCCATATCCAACCAACATTGTGCAGTTGCGAGGCAAAGCTTATGGCGTCTCTGAATGTCTTTGGAAGCTTTTCAATCTCGATTCCCTCTTTTAGGTCGGCTGCAGTATCGGGGTTGAGCGTGTAATGCTGGGACTTACCCCAGCAATGACTCAGTGTGACATAGAGATTGTTCGGCTGGTTGGTCTTGCCCACGGCCTCTCCGAAGACATCCAGGCCATTTTGAGGATCCCCGCGGACTCTTTCCACGAGCTTGACGGTGATCTTGTTCAAATCCTGTAGAGTCCGTCCCCCATTAGGCACGTTGCCCGTGTATTGCTTCCGCCTGGTGTCCAGGTAAGTTTGGGACTTGAGGGCCCTTATATCAATCAGACGAGTTGGATACCAGACCGGTTCCAGCTTTGCGCAGGGTGGATCACATCTTTGATCGCACTGTGTGATCCAGCTCAAAGCAAGCTTGAAGACCTCGCTCGAGGATGTTTCCCCGGACATGGGAGTTCTGAACGCTGCTATTGGACTGCCTGCAATTAAGTCAGTCTCGTGGCCTCAAAGTTTGAAGGGAAGTCACTCGAACCGGTTTGTTTGAGAACGAATGTTCTTTTCACAATGTTTTTGGTTTCTTCTCGCAAGGCCCATTCCACTTTAAAATCCAGCCGGAAGACATCGTTATGCTCAATGTCATGGATGACACCAAGCAGAGCAGTGCTCTGAGCGCTCAGAACAGTGTCAATCTTCTCCCGTCCCAGCTGCTCAGGCGCCTGGTCTTCATCGTCCTCATAATCCATTTTGAAGTCCTTATCCACACTTGCCATTAGCTCCTCATATAATACTCGACATATACCACAACCCATATTATTTGAAGTTTTCAGTGCATTGAAAGAGTCATGATGGTCGAAATGCAGATCGTAGGTGCCTCTCCACTGCCTCCCAACCTGCCCCCGCAGCATCCGCCAGCAGACTTCGCAGAGCATTTTGGAGCAGTGCAGAGGATCAGTCGCTCTCTATATGGATAGTAGACGAATGGTCCGAGCGCATGAGAAATGCTTGGCGTAGATGTTTGAAGTGGAAAAACAGCCTTCATGTCGATGAAGCTCCTCGTGCACACATACGAGCTTCCGGCTCAAGAGCGGGAGGGGCATTTTTAACGGGCAGCCTGATACTGGGGGAAGGAATTGCATGCTGGTAGCCGTTAGCGCTGAATATCACGGTGGGTTACATTGTTCGAGAATTCCCGTCTCCACAATCCCACCGAGTATCCATTCAGGTATGTCCCGCATGATTCCCCCTGTCCATCGGTGGTCTCACTGCATTAGCGGCTTCAGCTGCTCCTATCGCCCAGCTACCGAGCCGGAAGGCAATGGACACAACATTACGTGTTACCTACAAAACCTGCCCCTCAGGCCAGGCATTTACTGCGGCTGAAAGGCGGTTCCCTCCAGGACTCTGATGATCTCCGGCTTTGAATCCAGATTGGATCGGTACAAACATTCCCGTCAATCCTTTATCTCCCACCAACTTGCACACATCGGCAACCCCTCTTGACTACTCAAGAGACCTAGTTTCGACACCGTTGGTATCAGCCTTCCTCCTCATACTATTCAAGATGGCAAGAGAAGTACCCGCTGTGATATGGAAGGAGGACGAGATCGACTTCTTTGGCACGGCCGTCCCTGTCTACTTGCCAAACTCTATCACTCGCCATGAGCTCGAAAACATGAAGGCCTTCAAGGACTGGAAGACGACTCTGCACGCCAACCTCGCCTTGCAAGAGTCCAAGGACCATGCGTTTCACGCGCACCCTTACAGCCTTAGAGCAATCGAGGTCAAATCAGTTACGAAGTTTCCGACTGGCAGAGTAGGCTTCATCAAGATCGACGCCGCCGTTGAGCGTGACTCTTTTCCCGGTGATGACCAACGTCGCATCTCAAAATCACTTCCTGGTACGGCCTTTTTGAGAGGTGGAAGTGTGGCCATGCTCATGATCCTGCGACCAAAAGACTCAAGAGACGAGCGGTATGTCATCTTGACCGAGCAGCCACGTCTTCCAGCAGGGTCACTGCAGTTCCTGGAAATACCAGCCGGGATGCTGGACGACTCGGACCACTTCTCGGGCCAGGCTGCCAAGGAGATCGAGGAAGAAACAGGCTTCAAGATCCCCCTGAGTGAACTCATCGACATGACCAAACTAGCCCTGGCCAACTCAGATCACCCAGAGAAGAGCCTCCAGGCAGCCATGTACCCCAGCCCCGGAGGCTGCGACGAGTACATTGCGCTGTTTCTGTGGGAGAAAGAACTTGACCGGCAAGAGATCGAGGATCTCAGGGGAAGACTTACCGGAGAGAGGACCCAGGACGAAATGATTACCCTTCATGTCAAGGAATACGAAGCTCTTTGGAGGGACGGGGCCCGGGACGCAAAGACGCTGGCTGCTTGGGCGTTGTACGAGGGTTTGAACAGGTCGGGTGAGCTACAGAAATACCAGAAGCGGAAAAGGGAAAGCACCGGGAGCAACCAGTCGTCTCAGGAACAGGCTAGGCGCACAAAGGTGTCCAAGAGATGATCATGACGTTCAAACTTAATTGTAATCAGATAAAGGTGAGATTGGCATCTCACCAGCACTTGAGATCTGATGGACAAGTTCGTGTCCAGCAAAGATGGAGCTGCGCCTACAAGACATGGATAAGAGATAGTGGATGAAGGCTAGGGAAAGGTGTCCCATGTTTTTACAAATTCTCTTATACTTATTTCAAGCCATTCTCTCGATAGCCAACTCCTGAGCTGGATGTGCCTGTCTGGTATCGCCTGTGCGATAGCCTAATTGATTGTCCAAGTCGGTAAATGTGTGATTTGTACGGCCTCCCTCGGACTTCTCATTCACGCCGTGGACTTGCTGGCTAGTTTGCTGCGAATTGAACGCTTGTTGAATGGCTGGCTCCCACTCAAGCTCATCATGTGTTGTGATGCGGCCGCTGCTACCCACTGGCCTTGCTTGAACGAATTTGACCAGGCGGCTTAGAATTGATATTTCAAGCTTCAACTTTATGCTGTAGGCAAGCTCTTTATAACTGATTTGGATGATATGAAAGCCTGAGAATTCAAGGGCAATAATGGTGATGTCCAGTATGATTACAGCCACACTGACGATGAGAAGATGTAGCAGAACCTTTCTCGAATTCTTTTGAGGGCTGTTATTTAAGCCGCCGGTTTCAACTCGATACGCCACAGGGGGTTCTGCAAACAATCAGTGAACAAGAAACCCAGAATAGACCATGTTTAAGGTGACAAGGCCCACTTTGTGAAGGAAACCTCGACCAGGGACGAAATGACTTACCTGGGAGAACGAGAAACCTAAAGCACTCCCACAAATAGACGCATGATAGTCCGATTTCCTGCAGAAAGAATACGATGATCTGAATCTTCTCAAATATAGAGAAGATCGGAAGGAACCTTTCCGGCCTGGAAGACTTGGACCCAGTGTTCAGTACAATAATTGGCACCTGCATCGTAATCGCATTGAAAATGATCACACGCAACACCCATCGGCGTATGCTTTCAGCGAGTGGAAGCAGGTCGAGCCTGGAGTAGAGTACCAAAGACTGGCCTGTTACCATCAGAGCCCACCCAAACAGGCCGATCAAGCCAACCTGTAGGCGCGGAGGGTTCGGGTAGAAGTTCGATACCAGGTTCGAAATGTTGGACATGAGTATGCCGAGAATCGACGCTAGTAGACTCCAGAAGTACAATCCCTTGTACCTTTTGAAGGTGGCGAAGATGAATGGGATTAGCTCAACACAGTTGTATATGGACACACCCAGTATTGTTATCACGATATAACGTTGTGTCAGATCGAAATCAGTGGAATCGTCGATGTATAGCCCGAGATCACAGATGCAATCGGAGGTTTGCCGCAAGATCAGGACGGATGTATCCATGGCTTCGGAGAATCCCGTGTTTTGCTCGACTCGCGGAGAGTCTACCGATCATTATCAGCCGTTTTCAAACGCTTCCCAGTTCCCAATAATGAGTTGTCAGCATCAACGCTGTCGGTCTCGACAGGAGCGGTTCTGAGTCCGTTACACAGTCCTACTCTCCTGTATGTAACCTTCGCTCTGCGTCTGGTATCTCCTGGAATCGGCGAAAGACTCTGAAAAGTTCTCGGGCATACTATTTGAATTAGTATTTGAACTCGCATTCCCCGTGACACTCGCTTGACAAACAGGGAAACTTGCTTACTCGACGACGGGCCTCTAGACTTTGCGGTGCTCGGATATGCCCGAGCATACAACTCAGATATGCAAGAAAGATAAGTATTTTTGTGAATCAAGCGCCTTCGAAGGACAAAAATAAAAATGAGAAATAAGATGCGGGACTCTGATTTATACCCGGCAATCCGGATAGTTTCGCACAGCGAGCTCGTGATGCACGACCATGACATGAAATAGGCTTTCCTCCGCTCTGCAGGTGCGAGTCGAGACACTCAGCATGGTCATCGATTGTGGAATTTCCCATTAACACCCATGCGTAAATTTGCTCCTGCTTCCAGAGTGTTCGTCCAATTCTCCTCCAGCTGGGTCTGTGTCCTATGAAGGCGTTAAGTGGGATGTGTTGGCGATTGAGACTGTGCTACGCTGCTGGCACAGACCCTATCCCTTTTCCGTTCTGGTCGCCACCGCTGGACTACAATCGCTCGTCCTCAACGTCATCAAAGCTAACTTGCTCATCCGTCTTCATAGACCTAGAGCATGAGGAATATAATCGGCCAGTTCAACACTCTTGCATCATGAATGAGGACCCTAACACGACCATTTATGCGAGTAATATCGAGCAATTCAGAGACATTTTATCCAACGCTCTCATCGAGAAAATACAGAAACCAGAAAGGGGACGCTCAGGAGCTAAGCACAGAAAAAGAGGAAAGCCTACCAGCGGCTCTCATGCCGAGAGTACGAGCAACAACAGCCGAGATACAGGCCCCGGAGCGAACGTAGAGGAGCTCTCAGAGTTTTCAGAGTACATCGCCTCAATTGCGTTTGAAAGCCTGCCCCCAGAACTGCAGACCATCACTCATCGCGTGTGGACCGATAACCCCGGCCTCCAGGAAGAGTACACCCTACCGCTCACAAGCAACGACGTCGCGGAGAAGATTACACCCACTCTCGATCCGGAGGTATCAGAATCACTGACCACATATGGCATCCTCACACCACCAAGCGAGGATGTCACCACCTTCCTCGCACCTGTGCTCACCGCTTACTTGACCGCCGTGATCACGCCGCCACCACCAGCCTCAACGACGAAGGGCAAAGTGACCGAGTGCGAGATATGCGACAGGGACTGGGTGCCTCTCACTTATCACCACCTGATTCCCCGGTTCGTGCACGCAAAAGCGCTCAAGAGAGGCTGGCACCGCGAAGAAGACCTGCAGAACGTGGCCTGGCTGTGTCGAGCATGCCACTCATTTGTGCATCGGTTCGCAGGACACGAGGAGCTGGCCAGGGATTATTACACCGTGGAAAGGCTACTGGACCAGGAGGAGATCCAGAATTTTGCGCGCTGGGTAGGTCGAGTGCGGTGGAAGGCGAGGTGACTTCTTAGTTGCGCGACGCAAGTGAATGACTTTATATCTCAGGACACGCCAAATAGGTGCGAGGGGGTTTCAGTTATCATTTCCAGTGGCTATGCCACACAGCTCTCAGCACCCGAAAGCGGGCCTCGGGAGTAGGCCTCAAGCACTACAGCACTACAATTTGAATACTAGTTGTTGTAGCTTATATTTTATATCAAAAGTCTGCTCACTAACCGTAAAGTCATATAAAAAGAATTCAAAGGACATTCTCCTGATTATCCCCCGCCCCCCTTTTTCCCATAAAGAATAAAGAAAATATCGAAAATTCAGATCGAACGCGGTTCAAAACTGCACCACATTTCCGTCGACTACAAAGGCACGTGTTTGCCTTAAGCGGACTGAGAGAAGATCTCCTTGCCAGCGACGGTTGTGGAGAGGACTTTGGTCCGGCCAATTTCCGTGGTATTGACCCTGAACGGGTCAAGGTCCACGACAAGGAAGTTGGCGGCCTTACCAACTTCGATCGAGCCGACCACGTCATCGAGGCCGGCAGCCTTGGCTCCGTTTATGCTGAAGATACGGATCGCTTCCTCCACAGTCACGGCTTGCTCCTCCCACAGGGTGCCTGGGAATTGACCAGTGGGGTCTTGACGGGTGACCAGTCCACCAATGCCTTCCCAAGGGTTGGGAACTGCGCTGACGGACCAGTCAGAGCCTCCGGCGACCAGGACGCCTAGGTCGAGCAAGTCCCGGTTGGGCTGCATATGAGAAGCGATTTCCTCGGGCAAAACGCTGGCAATCGATTGGGGGATGATTCCAGGGTACCAGATAAAGGGCGACACCTCGGCTACCACGTTGAGGAGCTTCATCCGGCGTTGATCCTCAGGAGTCACAAATTGGCCGTGGGCAATGTGGTATTTCTGGGTGGATCCCTCCGCTCGGAGGATTTCAAACGCATCCATGGCCACTTGCACGGACCAGTCCCCAGCACAATGGATTTTGGTGTTGCGGCTCTGTGTGCGGTACAGCCGTAAGGTGTCAACTAAGTCCTCGGTGGTGTTGTAGACGAGACCGTGGTAGTTACAGCCGTGCTCCGTGGAAGGAAGATAGGCCTCGAGAAAGCCAGCTGTTTGAGCGGGCGGCACTCCGTCCAGAAAAAGTTTGGTGAAATCGGTACGGACCCGGTCTCGGTTGACCTCGCGAGCGTGTTGATCGAATTCGGTAGCATTCAATCCGGGCGATGCCAATTGCCCAGTCATAACTAGACAATTCGATACCCATCCGTGCAACTTGTCTTCTTCGTCCAACGCGACAAGAGCATCGAGCTGTTCTTCCGACACAGCGGCGTCCTGAATGCCGGTCACGCCGTATGAATGCAACAGATCCCATGCGGCGAGGGAGTACTCTTTGAGATCATCGAGAGAGTCGGGTTCGGCTGCAGCCTGTACCTGGCGGACCGCTGTAGCTGCGCCTTCAATTAGAATACCCGTGCTGGTGCTCGCGTAGACTCCGGCGGCCTTGAGAGCGGCAGTGTTTGCCCAGGCGTTGTGATAACTGTCATCATCGAGCAGAACAGGATGGCCACTCGAAGCCTCATCCAAACGTGCCAGAGCTTCTGTTTTGGAAATCTCGGGAAGAAGAGTGCTTCCCCAGCTGCCGCCCGTGACCCAAGCAGTGGCGTTGGTCATATTGGCGGTCCAGGACTTGACGGCTTGGAGCACCTCATCGAGGGAGGCGGACGACGGGAACTGCACTTGTTTCAAGAGCTTCTTTCCCCCACTAATATGGTGAACATGTGTGTCGAACAGGCCGGGAACGACCGCCGCACCGGCCAGATCTTTCACCACGGTATTTGACCCAATGAACGGATCCATCTCGGTGTCGTTGCCAGTGATCGCAATGAAGGTGCCGTCCTTGACCGCAAAGCCGCTTGCTGTAGAAGACGGGCCTTCGGCTGCAGTGAATATGCTCGCGTTCCGGATCACGAGATCGGCGCCCAGTGTGGTGTTTACTGCATCCTTGATTCTCGTCATTAGATCATCGCCCCTGGGCAATTCCATCGCGGCCAACGATGATGTCGCGTTGCACGTGATATTATCCTGGGCAGATACTCTGCTGAATAGAATCGCCGCGAAGAGGAGACTATGAAGAGACATCCTTGGATCTGCTGTCATGGACCGCTGGGATGGCTCGCAATTTACTGTGCTCCGTGTTTTGTCTTGCTCCTCGAAAAAGAAAGCGAGTAACAGTATACGTAGCAGTTACTTATACACATCTACAATGACCACTACGACAATCTTTCTGCCGAATGTAACGCATTTTGATATCCTATGAGGTAGTCGGCTCACAACTCGGCTCAGAGATACGATGCCCAGGGAGACACCATGTGCCTCTAGTGAAAACGCCCAGCCAATCTCCGCCATATTGATTCAGTGAGTGGATATCAGCCCCTCCGTTATAGTTGTACCGTAACCCTCAAGACCTCTCTTCCCGTCCGAATGTGGTTGGATTGGTAGACCCCGTCCAGCATGAATCTCACTTGAGTTACCAAATCGGGCAAAGTACTAAATTATACACATACCAGAGCTAGGCACTGGTGGATAAGGATTAAAGTTAGCCCTTCGCCTCCATTTTGCATTTGCGCTTCTTATCTATCAAAGACCCGTACTCATTATACCGCGTCTTCCCATGACTCTTAATTTCTAAATCCCACTATGAACTCGCAACCCCGCCCACGCTCTTGGCCCTCGGCCCCTTGACCAGCCCTTACGAGTTCAGATTAAAGACCCCTTGATTCCTATCCAAGAGTCTACCACGGACTTTTCAAGTTCTCAGCACTTTACAATAAGGCCACCAGACTTCCCACAGCCCGGTAGAGAGGTGCATACAAAGTTGGTTTATTAGGCATTATATAAGACGGAATACGTCAGGAAGTCCTTGGTGATATGATCATCGGGGATGAGTACCTGGGAGGTAATGGAAGGAAAGATGTCAAGGAAATAGGTCTTCATGCTCTCAATGATCCATTATCTTTATCTTGGTGGTGTCACTTAGTCAGTGTATGAGAGGCCAACAGAAGCATTGCAGATCAAAACCCCGCCGCATTGTGAGAAGCTCTCTCTCGGCTTCAATGTTGACCGACTACCGACCTGATGTTGTGGAGATAACAACAATTTGAGTCAGGACCGCCGAGGTCAGTATAATCAGCAACTGATGTTAACCTATACAGCCTAGATAAGATGAATTACTACCTGACAAACGAAGATACCAGAGAAGCATATACCAGAAACTGAGGCGTGAGGTTCTGTTGGGCTATGTGCTGGACTTTGAAAATTACTTGGCCTAGTGCGTGGGTGCTCTGTTGGAAAATCAACGTAATCAACTTTATTAGTGGATACAAAGGGAGAGTAAAAGCTCCTTTGTACATCATATCAGGAGCCTGGTTGGAATAATGAATCCAATCCAATTAGGAAAGCGTAGAGACCACACGTACGCTAGACTTGCTGTGCCTACTGCATCTTGTCTGATTCTTACAGGCCCAAGCTGGCCTCGACTCCGGAATTCGCACTACCATTCAACTGCTTTAGAAGGACTTTACCTCATGAATCCCATAGGACCGTATAAGCCCATGTCTGGCTCAAAAATGACGCTCTGGACACCTGCTTTGATCAGGCGCGAGCCGTGTTGGTGAAAGGCAAACACCCACTATGTGGTGCAAAACCTGGTCCTGCACCATTGACGAGAGGAATGTGGGTGAAACAGCAAGGATACCTAATCAACCGCCCAGTACAACGGTCCAAAGCAGCATTTAACAGTTACTATACAACGGATCATGAGCTATCCACGAAGGAGTTAAACCCCCTCTCCTTTCAACACTAGGGACGGAAAAAAAAGGAAATCCATAAATCGGCATGGCTTGCAACCGTGCATATATCCATCATATTCCCATCAGGCTCCGAGCCTTCGCAACTTCATCAGCAACACGATGGCGAAATTCAGGGTCCTTCTCGCTCTCCTCCGAGGCATTTTCCTCCCTGACAAGGTCCAAGGTGGCATGTATGGCGTCCAGGTGCGTTGACACCAGCCCATTCAACTCCTGCTTCAGGCCCTCTGTATGATCCTTGAAGCAGCTTCGCAACTCCTTCATCATGTTCTCAAATGTAGCTGCGTTCGCGAATGTGCCTTTGATCTCTCCCCGCCGCAATATGGTGCACCCATTGCCTGTTATAACTTTGATCAGCTAATGGCCCAGAAGTAACATGCCACCTAGACAATTTAAATCACCTTCATGTTCCATCGCCTCTCGACAGACGCGGGACATGATTCTAGTGATCATGGACCCGCTCAGCCAGGTGAGGTTATCTATGCGCAGGAGCCTGCATTTTGTCAGTGTAACGCCCGCGTGGGATTATTTACCTTGGTAGTTGGAACTCTTGTCCAGGAATCACTCACGATATGCAGTCATTGAAGCGCTCTGTTATATCCTCTACCCCGTCGAGGAACAGATCCTTGCGAACATCCAGGGCTTTGCTGATCTCATCGACTCGATCGTCAGGATAAGGCCACTCCGATTCTGCGCGGATACCGGATGTTAGAGGTCGAACAACTAATTAGACTCCTCGAAGGGAACAAACCTAGAACGGCAATTGCTTCTTCCCAGCAGGCACCTATGCCTTGCTTCAAATTCAACTGATGAATTCGAATATCTGAGAGCAGGTCATCCCAAGGCGACTCGACGTCAGTAGCCATGTCTCGCATGACCTCCATATTCCAGTTACGGCGTCGTTCAGTCTTTGTATACCAGTCACCATCATGACGGAGCCAGGCAGCATAAGAACCTGTGAATGTTAGATCTTCTTGAAATCTAGAGGTGTCTGAAGCAATGTGGAGCTAGTTCAAATACCGGGTGCCCACTAGAACCAATCAGCTCAGCTCGTCGAAATGAATATCTCATGGGATTAACTGACTTTATCCCATTTCTTGCATGCATCCTTGGAAGATTTTGTCCACTTGGCTATGTCTCTACCTGTGGGCCACACTCAGCACGTAGCTTTCACAATGTCAGATGCACTAGTCTGTACCTTCCCAAATCCGTGACTCAAAGGAGCTTTCCAAGGACCTCTTGGTAGTGTTCATTGGAGATCTTCTAGACGTCAAGCTCTGTCACGTATCAGCATTGACACCAGAGGGGTTAAATTTGAGGTTACTTGATCAACATTTTTAAGCTTCTCTTCAACCTTACTAAGAAGATGCCCCACGATTTGTTTCTCCTCAGCGGAAGAACTTCCCGCCCCAGCCTGGACCCACAGTCCAACGTTCCGCAACAGACCGGGCACTTGGTGGTCGAGAAATTTCTGAGATTCCCACAGTTGGCTTTCCCCCACTGCAGCGATGAGATGCCTCCGCAAATCAATGATCCCAGAAAGCCTTAGATATTTCCCGGAAACAGACTTATCGAGATGTCGGTTGTTTTGGTAGAGTGTGTTGCTGACGCAAAAGATGTGGAGCGTTTTGCTTCGCGTCTGGGCTTGATACTCCACTCCAAGGCCCCGGGTGACGTTGGCATTCCGCGCTCTAACCGCATATTCTAATCGGTCAAATTCAATGGCCTTACGCTCCCTTTCAAGTCTCATATTCTCTTCAAGTAGCTCCGTTCTCATTTGCTTGGTTGCCTCGTCCTCATTCGGTAGGAACTGGAAGGTGTCCAGTTCTCTTTTGGTGTCTTCAATTTCCCCTTCAACAGCGACTAGAGATCGGTTCAATTCTCTAATCCGTTCAGCATCTTCATGGTCCAAATAGTTTTTGATTTCATTGTAATTGAATACGTCTGAATGCGTGCAGATGATTCCTGCCCGTTCAAGTTGAGCTTGTAGTGCCATGTCGAAAACGGTCTTGACGCCCTCATCTGAGATGGCTCGCTTAGTTTCGCAGACAGCGAATATTTCATGACAATTCCATAAATATCGATGTGTGATTTTTCGGCGTGCTGAATTTAGATCTCGGAGGCCGGGTAGGTCGACCAGAATCAGCCCCTGGCTCAGGACGTGGGATTTCAAATAGACCTTGATTTTGCGGATGTATGGCCACAGTGAGAACTGTTTTGGATCATGAGGCTCCGAGCTGAGCGGTAGAAGCAGTGATGAACACTCTTCTATGGTCTGAGCGACCCGCCTCACTGGCGGGCCGAGCCGCATGGCTTCTTTCGCCCATATCTTGAGAGTTTCAAGAACAACTGTCTCCGGCGCCTTCAAGATCCATCCATCATCCTGCAGCTTTCCACGGAACATTGACCTGAATGTATCCATGGCAAGCTTGGCTGTATCCTTGGTCTCTTCTTCGTCGACCGTCTTGAAAGCCCTGTAGGAACGCAACAGCTCAGCAAGTTGCTCGTACAGCTCATCTTCGGAGAACATCTCCACGTCGATAACAAAATCACCATCAGCATGAAAGTGATATTCGGTCACAACGCAGGTGCAAGCAGAACCCTTGGCTGTCGCCTGTGCTAGTGGTGGTTCGCAGGTGTCCAGGAGGGAGTTGACAAGGCTGCTTTTCCCGACTCCAGAGTCACCCACGAGTCCAACTTTCCGCTCCGAAAGTGGGTAAAACCGGCTATAAGTCTCAGCCTCCTCATGGTGGGTCTTTATGGTAGAGTCAGGTTCGAGGTGGATAGAGCTGCTGGCAAGAACACTTGCCAAGCTTTGTAGCACACTCTTGGCCTGAGACAGTCGTCGCTGGAAAGTTGGGTGATGGAACTCATCATCTGGTGGATCCTCCTCCTCCACATTGTGGATGACGGGCGACGGTCGTGGACTCGACCTCCTGCGAGCATGCCCCGAGGACGATACGGTCAGAGATCCACGAACTCGCGGGGTGCTTGCATTTCGGACAATGTCGGCGATTGCATCACTGAGTTCCCCCAGTTCTAGACCAGATCTATGTTGCTGGGATGACTGCCTACTGACCGGACCCAGGTCTCGGATACCAGGCGTGAGTCCCGTATTTTCACCCCCGGAAGCTGAGACAGAGCTCCTTGTGGCGGCAATATTTGAAGGCGGAGGTGAGATAGACACGGATGGTTTCGGAGACCGCTGGCCAACGAAGTCAAAAATAGGACTGTTGTTGGTTTTTCGAGTGTTGGAAGGCGCATCGCCTTGTTCCACAACATCAGATATCGACCGCGTTGGCGTCATACCGGGTGAGTGGCTTGAATCGGGTTCGAAAGTGAATGTTGGACTCGGACTCTGTTCTATTGATGAAACCAGAGTCTGGAACCCTTGACTACCCTCCTCGGGAACACTTCGACTGGACGATTCACTGTTGTTCTCGACAGGTCGGTTGGGCATCGTTTGGGTAGAAGCTGTTCCTGGAATACTTGGAGAGGGAGTGGTGCCTGTCGAAGCAGAGGGTGTAGGCCGGGGACGCCTAGACCTGACTGGAAGTATCTAAGAATCAATTAGAGGATGAAAGAGCGGATTGTAGATCAACTGGAGGTGGACTTACAATACGCGTCATTTTATGAGCGAAATCTGCTATTGGTACAGCGGTGAGCCAGTTCACGCTTTAAACGACAAGACGAGCCGCAGATCTGTTGGTGTGAAAGTTTTCGAAGCCGAATTTCGCAATAGTGTCATCGGAATGAGAAGACATGCCTATATACCTGAATTGCGGTGGAGGGTATATCGCATTCCCCTTCGCAGCGGGAGTCTGGAGGCCACCTTTTGGGGTCAGGAGAAACTTCCAAACACTGCAACAGTGACCGGCGCCGGCTCACACCATCTTATGCATGTTCTGCCTTGCCAGCCTTCCCAAATTCGCAGATATACGGCCAGTATTCCCATTTCGAGCAGTTCCAGACACCCTGCGACGTAGTAAGGTGAAGCCCCTGCAGCACAGCCCCGGGTCGGTCAAGCTCATGGAGGATTCACTCACCAACTGCATATGAGAACCTGATCTAATTGGTCTACCTGAGCTTATCAGACGAGGTTAGCCAGCGGCACAGCACTCAGCTCCCTTATTAGCGCCAGTATCCGTCAATCCTTCGCAAGACTGAAATGACAGTGCAGATGAAAGGGAGCGGAATAAGGGGGATCACCCTTGGAGATCATGGTACTTGAATGACACTCGTTGGGTGGTAATACCTGTGACCCGGTCCACGATACCGCTTTTGTGATTAGCTATGCCAGCTACGACGCTCTGGCAGCCTCGTGAGTCGTGAGAGGTACCTAGTTGGCGAGCCTCGCGGTATCTTTCCCAACTGCCGGACAATAATTAGGCAGTTGTACATACTATAGCCCCTGACTACATCAATAAATGACCAGTCCCAACAGGCAGAGCGACTCCGCTACCCGCCTCCTGACCAGTCATCGCTTCCAACAGGGAAGAGCAATAACTAGTCACAAGGCGGCTAGCGCAGCCTTTCCCGGGGGTGAGATATACCATCAACAACGGGAGTTTGCGACCTATCCCAAGGGTCTCAGCTCCTTACAAATGCGATTAATACAACTATATCTTCGTAACTAAGATTGTTGGCTGAAAAGATCTCGATTCTAACTCTCACCTCATCGATAGCTAATGAGCTATATTTTTTAATATCAACTCCTTTACTAGTCTTTAAATATATAATATAGCTGAAGCCAATTCCATTACTATGGGACTTAGTTTTGTGCACTAATTGCTTTTCCTTGGAGTTGCCCAATCTTCCTTCCCCTCTGGCACCCTACATCCCCGGCAGTAACATTTACTCACCGCCATAAACTCTGAATTTCCAATCTCCAGCTCCCCATCAAGGTAGTCAAAATACTCCCTGGGAGGAAGACAATTTCCAAGAACCCAGCGCAATGACTCCTCAAATAGAGTGTGGAGTGAGGGCTCGCGACCCTCTTCCTGAACCATGCCCCAGCTTGCTGCTGCGCCGTCACGCGCAAGGACGAGATCTATTGAGAAAGAAAAGGCAATGTTAGTCGTGCGTGGTCTTAGTCGGGTTCTGAAAGGGACAATCTACGGTCAATCGGCCCGTCAAACCTGGAGGCAGGACGTAATGACCAAGTAGAGGCAAGGACCCTAAGACTCACTCAACAACTCAAGCACGTGATCGGCGTACTGCCACACATGATTCTCATCAACAACAGAATTGTTCCCATGTGCCGCGAGGTGCTCGTCATCTCTTGGCGGCGCACACGCAAACACGCTCTGCTCAACCCGGTACTCCCTCAAGTTGACCCGAGGGTAGAACCTCGGCGCGTCAGGCGACGCCGCTGCAATCAACACCTTGAAAGCGCCACCTGCGCCACCGTCATCACGCTGGCCGCTAGCTGTCCCCGTGGCCAAGTGTGCGGACGCAGCCGCCACGGTCATGAACATGCCCGAGCACTCGACAACGTGGAAAGCGCCGAGACTGGCCCAGCCCAAGACGGACGGGTCATCCTGCGCGCTGAACTGGACCGACGCGATCTTGCCCGTGGCGGTGTTATTGAGCAGGAGCGTGTTGGCTGCAGCTTCCGCGTGGATTTCGAGGCTCGTACTTCGGGCGAGCCGGCCTTGAGAGTGCTCTTCCTGGAGGAGGGTTGCCTGAGAAACAATTGTGAGAAGGGTGATAAGACGTGTCTGGGTAAGCAGATGGAAGTGATGTTCATGTTTGGACCTACTGCTTGGGCCGCGTCCACATGAGGATCGTTGACGGCGACGATGTTGATGTAGGGCGAGGTGTAGCTAAGATGCCCAAGACATGAGCAGCTTCAAGATATTCTGGAGTGAATTTATACGCACGCCTTGCAGAAGAGGGCTCGGCCAAGACGGCCGAATCCATTGATTCCAACCTAAATATTGGAGCAAAGCAGAATATTTCAGCCAACTTTGAAAACTGTAAGAGAAAGAGAGAGGCGGGAGAGAGAGACTTGTACCCGGAATTCATGGCCCAGCTCATCGAGGACCTTCCCCGGGCTTCGAGCGAGATCAAACGGATCCCTGTACGGGACGCGGTTAGGGTAATTGGTCGGATCATCTCCCGGAAATTCCTGGCCAGGAAACTGCTCCTGCATGGTCGCGTTCGAGTCGATAGCAGTACCTGGTTTTGGTGTATGGAGAAGGAACTAACTGATCAGGCTCGAAAAGAGCAAGTGAACAGAGGTGGTCTTGGGAGATGAATACACTGGAGTCATCCGCTGTTCCAAAGCGGACTAACTTACTTAGCAAGCTTGGCGCCCGCCATCAGCCTCTTAAGAACCTAGGTAAGCACTAACTTAACCTGGAGTAGGTGCCGTGGAAAGGATGTTTGAGTGATGAGAGAGGTGTCTGTCATCTAGTTCATGCACAAGGAACACAATTATCAGGTTACTTGCGCATTCGTAGTATTACTCTCGCAATCTGCCTTTTGTGTTATCTAAAGCTTTGGTTTGGACGTCCTCTGTCTCGGCTGTCTACAAATAAAGATTGTGAGTCTGGGTGTATGCATCTCAGCCCCCGCGCGGAAGGTCGATTCACCTCTCTCGGTTGAATGTGGGCGTGGGCTTGGGCTTGTTGTCCAGCACCGCCTCGATCTCCTCCTTGACCTCAGGCGTCAGCTTGTCCAGCAGAGCCAGCGCCTTGATGTTGTCGTTGATCTGCTCGATCTTGGTGGCGCCCAGGATGACGGTGCTGACATTGGGGTTGCTCGCAGCCCAGGCCAGGGCCAGCTGTGACGTGTTTCCTCCCAGCTTCTCGGCGATCTTGGTGAGCTTCTTGACCTTCTCGATCTTGGCCTTTCCTTCGTCCGTCTGCAAGCTATTGACTGTGTTCTGGAAGAACTCTTTGTTTGTGGCAAAACGGGAGCCCTCGGGAATGCCGTCGTTGTACTTGCCGGTCAGCAGACCACTGGCCAAGGGACTCCAGATTGTGGTGCCGTAGTTGAACTGCTCGAAGAGGGGCTTGAACTCGACCTCGAAGCGCTCACGGTGGAAGGCGTTGTACTGAGGCTGCTCAGCGATGGGGGCAATCAGGTTGTGCTTCTCAGCCAGCCTGGTAGCCTCGGCAATTTGCTGGGCCGACCACTCAGAGGTACCCCAGTAGTAAGCCAGGTTCAGGTTACGGATGGCCTGCGTGAATCCCTCGACAATCTCCAGGAGAGGGGTGCCGACATCGGGGCGATGGGCGAAGACGACATCGACGTAGGGGGTCTGGAGGCGCTGGAGACTGGACTTAAGACCCTCGATGACGTGCTTTCGCGACAGGCCGCGGGTGTTGGGCTCCTTGCGTCCTGTGCCGAAGAAGACCTTGGTGATGAGAACGTACTCGTCGCGAGGCCAGTCGAGCTCCTTCAGGGCTTGGCCCATCTCGACCTCGCAGGCGCCATTGGCATAGATCTCGGCAGTGTCGAATGTTTGCTAGAGGGAACGCGAGTCAGTAACTCGGCTAGATCCTCCGTGAGATGGGGTAGCCTGAAGCTACTCACGATGCCATGGTCCCATGCTGTCTGCAGGATGTCCTTGACGATAGAACCCTTCTGGGTGCCACCGTATGTGAGCCAGCCACCAAGGGAGAAGACGGAAACCTGCAGACCTGTGGGACCCAGGTAGCGGAACTTCATGTCCTTGGGGTCGTAGGCGGAGCGAACGGTCGGTTGAGCCATGTTTACGGTTGTCGTTGAGAACAGACGGTGTCTCGGTGTGTATGGAAGGTGTGCAGCTGTGAATTGGCTCGCTGTAGCCTGTGTTGAGAAGAGTGAAGCTGGCAGGGTCGTCCTTGATGCTGTTATGGAGCTCCGGCAGCTCTTTATGTAGAGAGGGGAAGCTGTCGCGAGGTGTTTCAATGGCGACAAACTCAATGACGACATTACAAATCAAGTGGGCACTGACCAGGGCTGGGCCAGTCAAACGGTACACATTGCAACGCTAGAAAGGGAGCCCTGCTGCGGGAACATGTGAGGGCGGGCCTACATATTCTCGAAAATTAAACCAAACCAACGGATAAACACATACCACCGTAATTATTGCATACCTAAATGTTGGTGCAACAGCCCCACTTTGTGAAGCAATGGCAGTCATTCCCTCGACTGCCCTTCTTTCGCCGATCGTATGGGAGGAAGATCAGTTGGCTAATTAGTCTACTACTAGACCCATCTCCAAGGCCACAATCGGCCGCGGCTTGCTGTCTCACCCCGCAGTGCCGGGATAATGCTACTCCCAACACCCGCAGGCTAATCCTGGTTGCCTGTCGGTGCCTGGCTCTTCTCGGTGAGAGTCACCGAGCCATCTGGCGAAATGCGAGCCACCCTTTGCTTTCACTCAAATCTTGACATTCTCGGCCATAAAAGAACCTTCCTCCATGTATTCATTACTTTCTCTATTGATTAAATATCAAAGACCCCTTGGAAAACTGAAAGTCGATTAAATGCTGCTGTAGCAAGATTCCAGCAGTATGGCCTCCCCTAGATCAAACAGGACACCTTTTCACTCAGAGGGTTCCAAATAGTTGAGGGGCTTACTCAGTGATCAGAGTGACATCGTTAGAAGAAAGGCTCGGCCAACAATTTTGGACCTGCACATCCACTGCCCCGGATCAAGCTGCAATTCATGGTGCTCAGCATGGCTTCCATGACCACGCTTAAGGGAGAAACGTTTGATCGCTCTCTCTTCGAGTCAGTGTGTGAGCATGTCTACCATCCCTGAGCTGGTCTCTGGTGGTCTGCGTTGATCTAACCAATCTTGCAGTGAAAAGAAGGTTTTTCTTCACCGAAGCATTCGAAATTTATCCACTCTCACCTAATTTCAAGGGTGATAACCGCGGCCTCTTCGACTATGGTCCGCCTGGATGTGCCCTGTCGGCCAATCTCGTGGACACTTGGAGGAAGCACTTCGTCCTCGAAGAAAACATGCTGGAAGTCGATTGCCCGGTCATAACACCAGAGCTTGTCCTCGAGACGAGCGGTCACGTCGATAAATTTTCCGACTGGATGTGCAAGGATCCAGCGAAAGGAGACTACTTGCGGGCTGACCATCTAGTCAGGAACGTACTCGAATCACGAGTTGCTCGGGGCGTCAACGGATAATCGAAAGATTCTCCCAAGCTGTCTAGTGATATTGTTACTGAGTATAACGAGATTTTGGCAAAGGTAATTCAAGGTCGTTGTCAATGTTTTCTTCCCTTATGGCCGATTTCTGACAAATTCAATTGAGGAGTAGATCGACAATTATGACGGCTCTGGACTCGCTGAGCTCATCAAACGACTTGATATCCGCAATCCCAATGGAAACGGGGAAGTCCTTCCTCCGATCCCGTTCAATCTGATGTTCAAATCCACTGCCGGACCCAATTCGGCAGCTCCTGTCTAGTTGCGCCCAGAAACAGCACAAGGTCAGTTCTTGAATTTCAAGAAATTGCTCGACTACAACCAAAATCAAATGCCATTCGCCTCTGCAAGCATCGGCAAGTCGTATCGCAATGAAATTGCCCCACGATCTGGTTTAATTCGAACCCGGGAATTCCTCATGGCCGAGATTGAGCACTATGTCGATCCGCAGAAAAAGGAGCACAGCCGATTTCATGAGGTCACAAGCGTTCAATTGCCACTTCTTGATAGAGAAAGTCAACTAGCTGGAAAGACCGAGCCCCGGATAATCACGATAGGCGAAGCAGTAAAGTCCGAGATCATCGACAATGAAACTCTCGGGTACTTCCTCGCAAGGATTATGCTCTTTCTCATCAAAATTGGAGTCGACCCTACTAAGATGCGGTTCAGGCAACATCTTCGGAACGAGATGGCCCACTATGCATGCGACTGCTGGGATGCAGAATTACTGACAAGCTATGGGTGGATTGAGTGCGTTGGCTGCGCCGATCGCAGTGCTTATGACTTGACTGTACATACAAATTACACTGGCGCTTCACTCACTGTGAAGGAGGCGCTTCCCGGTGGACCTGTGAAGCTGGAAGAGTGGCAGGCTACGCTTGATAAGAAGCTCATTGGCCCACGTTTTAAGCGGGATGCCAAAGCTGTTCAAGATAGTCTTGAGGCTCTGGATCAAAAGACTCTCCAGAGCCTTGCTATTGAACTTGAGGAAAAGGGAGTCGTGACGGTCGTCACTCGGACAGCACTGTCAACCGGCGAATCGTCTGTAAAACTCACCAAAGAATTCTTGACAATTTCCAAGGCAACCCGGCTGCAAACCACTCGAGAATACACTCCGAATGTCGTTGAGCCTTCATTCGGTATTGGTCGTATTATGTACAGTCTTCTGGAGCATGTCTTCTGGTGTCGGTCTCAGGATTCTGCGCGAGCGGTAAGTGACTACTCCAGAGACCTCTGAACAGTAGTCTTCATAACATAAGTGAAGAGTGTGACTGAGTATAGGTCTTAGGTATTGTCACTGCCAATTGGTGTGGCACCCACAAAAGTTCTCATTGTCCCCCTCTCAGCCCACGTCGAATTCACACCTATCGTGCGCAATATTTCTGCTCGACTGCGCCTTTTAGGAATTTCTCACAACGTCGACTCGTCAAGTGCATCAATTGGAAAGAGATATGCCAGAAATGATGAGCTCGGTACACCGCTTGGTGTCACAATCGACTTTGATACAGTCAAGAACGGCTCCGTTACATTGAGAGAGCGGGACTCTACCGAACAAATTCGTGCTTCTGAGGATGAAATCCTCCATGCCGTGGAGAACATCGTCGGTGGTACTGAGTCGTGGGAGCAGGTATGTAGGAGATTGCCTCTCTTCTTGGGCCAAGAGCAGGATGAGAGGTAGAGCATTGAACAGAGACCATTGGGCTTGCTCAAAGCTTTAGCAATACGTGAGACATATTCTTGGATCAAAGGCAAAGCAAGATTCCAAATGATTCCTGGGTGGACTCAGCCAGAGTGGATCTCCCAGTTGGACTTCTTTAAAAGGATATGTACACGTTCGTGGAAGCATTGTTGGGAATCTTTCAGTACGCCAGTCATCTTCTTGCACTAGGTCGTGCTCTCGTACCTATACGAATAAATGAATTACATCCGTACTATGGGTAACTATGGTTAGAAGCATATTGCTGAGTTTGATCAGCCTCGGTTCAAGAAAAGTTTCGTACTGCTAGGGCGCAGAAAGAGTGTACTACGGTACCTGATTTGCTTTGAAATTGTGGGCGAAATTGATTTGTCGATTAGTAGGGCCCGGCACTTGTTCACCGTTCCTGTCGCTGTCGTCAAGGTAACGCCGTCCTTTAACGCCTAAGTCCGGGGTTTACCAGGAATGTTACATCATCCATGGACACGGTGATGGCGGAGCTTACAACCTGAAGACACTATAACCGAGCGCCGTCAATCAGACCCACGTTAGTACTTTGTGTGCGTCTTCTGCCCCATCACTAACAGTCAGACATATCTGACACTCAATGGTTCCTGGACATTATTAAGTGCTCAGGGCTTCGACGAGAATCTCATGGAAATTCACGTCATCTCACACTCTCTCTCTCTGAATGACTCTTATGGTGAGGCTGATTTGATCTTGCTCTATTTGGTACCAACTAGCTTGAACTCGGATGTCCGCTTTGCAGCCACAGTATTTCTGGGATAAATAAATTGAGAGCCGTCGGATAACCAGCTCTAGAATGATCTTTTCCAGAAAAGCTTCTCTTAATATAAACTTCCTTGGGAAAAATTACTTGGGATCACCTCTTGTATAATACTTTCCTGCTGGATGACCTTCTATACGAAAAAAGTAAACAAGCCACACTGGCAATGGTCTCCACAATGGTTTGCTGCGATGTTTAAGAATGTGGCGGTAGTGTTCCAATAGTTTATGTAAAGCCTGGTCTCAATTGTGAGAGAAGATGAAGACGACAATTATCATAGCCATTGATTGTCATATGAATGTCAGATAGCAATCACTTCAGTGAAGCCATAGTAATTGTATATGTAATGCATTCACTACGTGGGCCGTGTTGAAATGCAGGAGGGAAAAGACTCTGAAGAACTCATAATGAAAATATTTGACCTCTGAGTAGAGACTGGAGTACGGCCCTTGAAGAAGATCTTGGCCGTAAATTTCACAGGGCATTGATGACGGCGGCGGCTAGGATCGCATGGCAGATGATCACGAAGTACAACTGTTGCGACTCAATCTGCTTCAAGGCGTCCGTTTCAAGGTTGATATCCATCAGGTGCCACATCTCTCCGGCGTCTCGCAACCCCAGGTTGCTTTAATCACCTCGCGAGAAATCCGACAATTGTGTGGTCCGGTGACTCATGAGGATCAATGATGGGCGCCATACCAATGAGCTGTATCAGTCCGCTGAACATTATCACAACGACTGTGCTATAGTGTTCTGAAAGACTTGCCTGTGTTGAGGAATAGAAGCAGGCCCTATTGGTCCAGAGAATTATATGCGAGTAGTATCGTTTTCGGTGAACGTTGGGATGTAAAACTCAAGGGATTGAAAGAGATACGAGTGGAGACTTTGTGTAAATGCCCCCGGGCTCTTATGTTCTGGATTGTCCTTCAATTCTGGGATCTCGTGAATATCGGAACTTCAATCCAGGGATAAGAATCGATTGGCACTGTTCAATAGTCAGATTTCTTTTTTGTGGCTTGGTGCTTTCTTATCGTGAGCTGAGAAGCTGTGCCTTGGCGTGGCTGGTGCTAGACTGTCTCTGGAAGGAGGTCGCGTGCCGGGCTGCCGTTCCTGCATTGGCGGCTCCACAAATCCTATCTGCTGGGACCGGTCTGTCTTTTGCCTGGAGATATCACAACACAAACCAGGAGTAATATATATTGAACATCACTCACTTCCGTGTTTGTGTCTCTCAGAATTTCTTTATCATGCTGTTACTCTCCGCTTGTTGGCTAAATTGAGACTTTGTCGGTGAACAGGTGAATGGTACTTTTGGTCGTCCTCAGCACTTGAGACTGGTTGTAGGAAAATGCGCTTCTCACGCCTCCTCGCTGGAGCCAGCGTGCTGCTCGGCTCGACCCATGGCCTTAACATCCTCATGAATAATGACGACGGATTTGGCTCAGCCAACCTACGGGAGTTTTACAAAGTTCTCAAGAGCAAGGGGCATAATGGTAAGTCTTCTCCAAATGCATCTATGCCTACGTGTCACTGACACCGTCATCCTCTCAGTCTGGATCGTAGCCCCGGCTGTTCAACAAAGTGGCCAAGGCGGGCGTTCCGACTTCACCACCTACCCGAACCTCACTTCACCGGCCCAATACGGCATCATCCCCACCGGTGCACCCTCAGTGGGCCCAGATCCCATCGACAGTCACATCTGGTACTACAATGGCACGCCAGCTGCCTGCACATTTGTCGCGCTGGACTATGTCCTACCCAACTTCGCAAACTTCTCTGTACCGGACCTCGTCGTCACGGGCCCCAACTATGGCACAAATCTAGGTCCCTTCGTCTGGACGCTCTCAGGCACAGCGGGCGCCGCATACGCCGCTACCTCGCGTTCTATTCCGGCCATTGCCTTCAGTGCGTCTAACAGCGCGCTGGATTACCGCAACATCACCAACTCGACCAACGAGTACACCTACGTCGCCCAGTTGTCTGGTAAAATTGTCGACGCCTTCGTCAACTCTTCGTCCCCGGGGGAGCCCGTCTTGCCACTTGGTTATGGCGCCAATGTTAACTACCCCAAGTTAAATGCCAACTGGTCCGGAATCCCCATCCTCCAGACAAGGATGACCGGCGAGGCAGAGACAGATGAGGCCGTGCCAGTGGAGAGCAATCCTGGCACGTTCACGTGGGGCAATATTGACCCCTTGTCGGCTGGTGTGAACGAGTGTATCAATGGAGATTGCAGCATGACCGGTGAGACGGAGGCTGTGAACGATGGATTTGTTGCTGTGAGCCTGTATACTATCGACTACTCTGCACCCCGGAACCGGAGGACGGAAGCGATTGTGGACAGGTTGCCATTTATGCAAACAGGGGCCACGAAAAGAAGGCGGTTCTCATAATGTACATGAGAGCCGTGACTGTTCCTCGTGTGTATGAACTTTCTCAAAGCTTACCGAATCCTACAAAATCAATACGCTATACCCAGAGAGTGTAAATTCAAAGGGCTATGTGTGAAATTCGTAGGGCGTCCCGCACAAACAAAAACCCCAAATGGTGGATGTCAATTCCCTCCGCGGGCTGTCATGTGAATTTCATGTGTTGTCCAGGTATTACTCGTTCTTTAAATAGGCCGCCCGAATTTGGGCGTCTGAAAGGCTGCCTGTTGGCCGGGGCCGCACGTGACGCACCCACCCAGCGCACTTCCACCTCTGCATCGAGTCTCATTTTGGCCTCGTTTCGGCCTCTGCAACATTCGCTGCCTAGGTACTTATAGACTTGTGTGAAGCACCGTGGATCATGTAGCGAGTAGTAGAGCGTTAATAAAAGCGTTATTATTCTAGTTAAGTTTACTTTAGTAAAGGGTAAGCCCTTAAAGCGTAATTTATAAGTGCTCTAGCAAATATACACTCTTCTATAATAGCTTCTAATAGCTTATATATATATTAAATTTACAATATACTCCCTAAATACTATTAAGCTTTTACTTAAAAGTAATTTAAAACTAATTATTATAAATATAGTTAATTAAAAAAAATTTTAATAAAAAAAATATTAATTTAATAAAATATAATACTTTTTTTTAAAAAAGTATTTAGTAATTATAATAAAATATTTAATAATAATAACCTTAAAATGCTAATAGGCTTAATAATAGTATATACTAATTATTACTTTAAATATAAAAATAATTTTTTAAAGTATATACTTTAATTTCTAATTTCTTTTATTTATAACTATTAATTATATTAATAATAACTTTTTTTTTATTACCTATTTTATAATATATAATACTTTTTTATTTTTATTTATAAAAACTTTATATATAACTATTTAAATTACAACTTTTATAAGCAATTAATATATTTTAAATTAATACTTTTATAAAGTAGTTTTTTTAAATTATTACTTATATACCTATTAAAAAACTTCTTTATTAATTCTTTTTTATTATAAGCTATATTAATAAAAATTATAAATAGTTAGCTTATTATATATTAAAAATTACTAAATAATATATTTTTTAACTTTTTTATTAACTTTAAAATATTTTACTTTTTTTTTATTTATAAATACTTTTTATTATTATTTATTTATTAAAATATTATTAATATATTTATTTAAATATAATTAAACTTTTAACTAATAAAAAAGCTTATATTATTATTAAAAATAAATATAAAAATATTATAAAGCTTTAAAAAAAAAGTATTAAAAAACTAAATATAAATAATTTAGCTTTTTTTAAAAAATATACTTTAAAAACTTTTTATTATACTAACCTAAAATTTTAAATATTTAGCTATATTTTATTTATTATTATTTATAATTATAAAGCGCTTTATAAATTATTTTTTAAAAATAAGTTTAAGCTTAAAGCTATAATTTAATATAATAAGCTTTACTTTATTTATATATATTTACTTATTAATAATAAAAATAATAATAGTTATTTTAATTATTTTAATAATAATAATTACTATTTATAGTATACTTATAATAAAAAGTATACTTTTATTTTTATTATTTTATATATTAATACTTAAACTTTTTATAATATAGCTATTAATTTTAATAAAACAGTTTTTATAAATACTTATATTATTTAAAAAAAACGCTTAAAATAATACTTTACTAATAAATTTAATAATATTAAAAGTAAGTATAACTTATTTTTTATACTTTTAAATAATAGTTTTAAAAAGCTTAATAGTAATATTAAAAATATTAATATACAAAATATACTTAAAAGTAATAGCTTATTAATAAATAGTAATACTATTAAGGCTATTAATAAATATATTAAATTATTTTTAAATATATTAGCTAATTTTAATATTAAAAAGTATACTTTTTAAGCTTTTTATAGTTTTTTAGTTAAAAGCTTTAATAAAAAAATTATTTACTAAGTTTAAATTATTAACTTTAATAATATTAAAAATATTAATAAAAAAAATTATTATATAATTAACTTTAAGCGCTATATAAAGCGCATTTTTACTTATATAATAAAAAATATAATTAAAAAGGTATATAATACTTTTATATAAAGCTTTATAAATTATTTTTACTTAATATAATATTACTTTTTAAAATTATAATATAGTTAATATTTTAAATACTTAATTATTAATAAGCTTTTATAAACTTAATTAAATAAAATTTATTAATACTAATATATATTATTTAACTTAATTTACTAATACTCTTATATTATAAAGATTTAATAGTAATTAAAAATACTTAAATTATTTCCTTATAAGGTTCTTTATAAGCTTATTAGCTAATATTTTACTAATTTTAAAGTATTTAACCTTAAACTCTCCTTTTAAATATTATTTTTTTAATTATATTTACTAAATATTTAAATATTTTAGCTAAATTATAAGCCTATTTTTTATTAATATAATAAGCTAAATAGCTTATTTATTATTATAATAGATTTTTTATAATTTACTAATATTTAGTAAAATATTAGTAAAGAATTTTTAAAGCACTATTATATTTTTAACTATATAATTTAAAATTATAAGTTTAATTTTTATAATTAAAATAACTATTATACTTTACTTAATTACTTTTTAATAAATTAGTTTATTAAATAATATAATTATAAACCCTTAAAATAACTTTTAAAATTCTTTATTATTTATAAAAAAAGTATTTTTAGTAATTAAAAGTATATTAATACTTTAAAATCCTCTTTTATATTTAATTTCTAATATCTTTATTAAATAAAAGTATTATATTAAATAACTACTTATATTAAAATATATAGGTTTAAAGTTTATAAAAAATTATAAAAGCTATATAGCTATATATACTATATTTAAGTAAAGTATTATTATAATATATAATATTAATTTTATATATTTTTAATATTTTTTAATTTTAATATATATAGCTTTTTTAATATATTTTTATAGCTTACTAGCTAATAAAAAAGTTATTAATAAAAACTTTCTATTACTTACTAAATTAAATTTAAATATAATTTTTTTAAAATATATATTATATACTAAGCTAATTGTTTTTTTTTAGTAATTCCTAATTATTTATATACCCAGAAACTATTTTATAGCCCCTTAATTTACTATATTATATATATATTTAATACCTTTTTTAATTTAAAAAGCTTTTATTTAGTATTTTTAATAATAAAATACTAAAATATTATTTATATAAAAAATTATTATAATACTTTTTATTTAATTTATAAATAAATATAGTTTTTTTATTAATAATAAAAGCTTAAATTAATTAAAAGTATAGCTAAATTCTTTATACTATTGCAATAATAAATCCTAAAGTTTATATAAAGTATATTTTAATAGCATACACTTTTTTAATTTTTAAAAGCTATTTAGCAACTTATAAAATACTAGTTTATAACCCTTTTTTATAATATTTAAAAATACTCTAGTTATATTTATTTAATTAATTTCTAAATTAAACTTTATAACTATTATAATAATTATTTAAAAAAACTTAGCTATAAATATTACTATATAAGTATTCTATAATAAGTTAAGCGCTTAAAAATTTCCTTATATATAAATCTATACTTTATATTTTATAAAGTTCCTATTTTTATTAAACTTATAAGTAAATACTTATTTTAAAAGTAAAAGTTTTAATATTACCTTTTCTCTTTTTATAATTTTTTATATACTTAATTTAATTAATATTTAAATTTTAATATATATAGCTTTAATAAAATTATTTTTTATTAAATAATTTTCTAAGTTTTACTACTTATTTAATAGTTTTATAAGGTTGCTTTAATAGCAAAAATTTCTTTTTATTAATATATTTATTATATAAACTATAGCTTTAATAATTAAATATAAAATATAATAATAGTTTAAATAATATTTTTTTATACCTTTTATTTATTAACTTATATTAGCTTACTTTAGCTATAATATACTTAAAAAATAAATATTTTTTAATTCTTTTTAACCTTTAAATAATTCTAAAGTATTTAAAAAATAAATTATAAATACTAAAAAATAATTAAATTTATTATCTTTTTATATTATAAGCTAATAACTTATATATATTAAAAGTTTATAATCTTTTATTAACCCTTTTATATACTTTATAATTATTTCTAATAATAAATTTTTACTTATTAAAATATTATTTTTTTTAATAGTAAAACTTTATTTACTAAAGCTTAATTTTTTTTTAAACTTTAACTTAATTATAATTTAAATATTAAAAAATATTTAATTATTAAATTAATAAATTATAATTTTAATTACTTATTTTTAAATTAATTAAACTTTAAACTTAATATATTTATTAATTTAAGTATTTTTTTTAAAATTAAAAATCCTTATATTTAATTACTTATACTTTTTCCCTAAAAAATATTATTTTAATAAAACTTATATTTTTTAATATTAAATATACTTACTTTTAAATTTTAACCTTTTTATATATTAAGTAAATTAATTATATTAAACAGTATACCTTTAAAATTACTTTTTTAAAATTAATTAAAATTATTTAAAGCTTTTTTTATAGCTTATAAATTTAAATTTATAATATATATAAATTCTTTAACTTTATTAGTTACTTTAATTATAAATATAAATTTATTAAGCTTTGTTTTTATTAATATATTAAATATTTTATTTTTTAAATTTTTATAAAAAAGCTATTTATTAAAGCATATATTATATATAATTTATACTTTATTAAATATTAAAATTTAAATTCTATATAAATTAAATATATAATAATTTATAAAGTACCTTATATAAGTATACTTTTATATTTTAAATAAATACCTATTTATCCTTTATACTTTATTTTTATTAAGTATATAAGCTTAATAGCTATAAATATAAATACTTTTTTAATTAAAGCAAAAATTTATAATAAATTTTTTTATAATTATTAGTTTATACTAATAAAAATATTAAATAAACTACTTTTTAAGCACTTTTATTAAAGATTTTTAGTTTTTTGCTTAATATAATAAAATAATATATATTTAGTAAGCTACTTTTATAACCTTTAGCTATAAATATAGTAATAAGTTTACTTTATAGCTTATAGTAATAGATTATTTAATAAGTTTGCAATTAGCTCTTTTTAAGCTTTTATTAAATTTATAAGTATTTATTAATAGTATTTTAAGCTTAATTTTTAAGCTTTTAGCTTATATTATATAATTAATTTTAGTTTACTAGCTAAATAATAATATATTATTATTTAAGTATATTATATAAATTGTAAATTTAAAGTATTAATAAACTTAAGCTTTAAAGTTTTATAATAATAATAAAACTTAGTTTTTTATTTTTTATATTAAAAAGTAAATAAATAATCTTTTACTCTATTTATTTTTAATAATAAGCGCTTACTTTATAAAATTTAAGGCTTCTCTAAAATTAAATAAATTTTAAAAAATTCTTTAAAAAAGCTTTAATAAAAAGTAATTTAAATAAGCTTTAAATATAATCTTTATTATATATACCTTTAAACAGTATTTATAGTTAATTTATACTATATTATTAATTTATACTCCTTTTATAGTACTAATAAGTTTTTTTAAAGTATTTTTCTTTAAATATTTAAATTTAAAATACTAAATATATTTTAAATTTATTTTAAAAAACATATAATTTATTAAAAAGTAAAATATATATTATTTGTTTTTTTATTTTTTAAGTATTAAAAGTAATATTACTTTAGCTATACTTTATAACTATTAAAATTTATAAAGCTTAATTATAAAAAGTATTAAAAATAAGTAAATAAAAAGTAGTTTATATTTAAAAAATATTAAATTATATTTTTTAATAAATACTTATAAAATTATACTTTTTTTAAATATTTTAAAGTATAATATATAATTAAGCTTATAATATTATACCTTTAATTTTTATAAATAAGCTTTAAAAGTAATATTTATATAAAAATCCTTTATAATTATTATATTTTTAAATTTAAAATCTTTAATTTATAGCCCTATTTTCCTATTAAATATATTTTTAAATATTTACTTTTCTTTTTTAATTATTAAAAATAAAGTTATTTTTATATTTATATATTTAGCTTTAGTAAATTTAATAAAAAAACTTAGTTTTAATAGTTAAATATTATTAATTAAATATATTATATTATAATTATTAAAAACTATTAAGTTTATAAATATATAGCGCTTTAAATATAATATTAAAAATACTTTTAAATTCTTATTTTTTTAAATATATATTTAATTATAAAATATTTCTAAAAGTATTAAATTAATAATTAATAAGTTTATATATAAAAAGTTATAAAAAAAAAAGTATTAAGTACTTATAGCTTAAGCTGCTTTATAAAAAATACTTTAATATATTTACTAAATATTATACTAAATTAGTTATATACTATATTAAACTTATATACTTATTATTAATATACTATACTTAATTATTATACTTATAGCTATTATTTAAATATATATTTTAAGTTATTATTATAAACTATTAATTATAAAAAGGCTAATACTTTAAAAGAAATTATTTTAAGCAAAGTATATTATAAAAAAAATATTATAAAATTAAGTTTTAAAAATAAATTTTAAAGTTTTTATATAAAATAAAAAAGTATATTAAGCTTTTTATATATTAAAAAACTTTATTATTAAAATAATATAAAAAATAAAAAATAAAAAATATAAAAAAAATAAAAATAAAAAAGTATAAAAATCTTATAAACCTTTAAATAGCTAATACTTAGCTTAGCTAAAGTATATTTATTAAAATATTTACTTTTTAATAAATTTTAAATATTATATATTAAAGTTTTTTTATAATAATTAGCTAACTTATATTTTAATAAATAATAGCTAAATTAATTTAATTTAATTTAATATTAATTACCTTTTATTTTTTAATTTAGTAATAAATTAAGTATTATAATTTATATTTAATTTTTATATAATTATATATTTTATATATTTATTTAATAATTAAAATATTAGCTAATTTAATTTTTTTTTAATATAATAGTATTTTAAAAAGTTATATTATTTTAATATTTAGTTATATAATACTTTTTATATTTTTAAATAAAAGCACTATTATAGTTTATAAGTTTATTATATTTATTTTTCTAATTTTTATATTTATAGTATTATAATTTATAGTTTTTATTATTTAAATATAATAAAAATATTTAAAAATCTTATAGCTATAAAAATTTAATTATATATTAAAAAGCTTATAAACACTTTTTTATACTTTTTAAGTATTAAGTTTAAAAGCTTAAAAACTTTATTTTATATAATTTTTTAAATTTTAGCTTTAAATTATATTAAAGTAAAATAATACCTAATTATATATAAAAAGTTTTTAATAGTAATTATACTTTTAATATTTAAAATTTTAAAAGTTTATTTATTAAAAAAAAGCTTATATTAAACTTAATACTAGTTTTTAAATTATATTATATAGCTTTTTACTTTTATAAAGTATACTTAGTAATTTTTAATTATAATATTTTATAATATATAATAGTTTAGTACTATATTAGCTTAAATATTATAAAGCACTTATTATATTAAAAAGATTTATTTTTAAATACTAAATTTAAAAAGTTATATAAAGTTAAGTTTAAAAATTAATTTATTTATATTTTTTTAAATTTATAGCTAAATTTTACTAATTATTTTATTTATTTTACTATTATTTATTCTTTTAATAGCTATACTTTTAAAATAAAAATTATAATACTTTATAGCTTTATTAATAATAAATTCTTTAAATTTAATAAATTTTTTTAATATATATATTAGTAAAAGTATTAAAGTAAATTTAAAAATATTATTTTTTAGCTTATTAATAATTTAACTTATTTACTATATATTAAGCTTTATTTAATACTTAATATCTTACTTTTTAAAATACTTAATATACTATTTTTTAAAAAAAAATACTATATTTTATAAACCTAGTTATAGCTTACTATTAAATATATTTAAGTTTATATACTCCTAGCACTTTTTTAATTTATAATATAATTTTAAAAGTATATACTAGCTAAGCTATAAGCGTAAGTTATTTATAAGCTATTTTAAAAAGCTATTAAAAAATATATTAATACTTATTATTAATATAATTAAATTAAACTTATAATAAAAAAAAAAGGTTTATTAAAAATAATATAATATACTAAATAATATATATAAAGAAAATAATTAAAAGCTTACTAAGTAAATTTTTTACTTTATAAATTCTTAATGCTTTTAGCTAAAGAAAAAAATAAGTTAATAAGCTAAACTTATAACTATAAAATATTATAAATTATATAGTAAGTAGTAAAGTATTAATAAAAGCGTTATTATTTTAGTTAAGTTTGCTTTAGTAGAGGGTAAGCTCTTAGAGTGTAATTTATAGGTGCTCTGGTGGGTGTGTACTCCCCTGTAGTAGCTTCTGGCAGCTTGCATGCACGCTAAATTTGCAACAACTTGGACTGCCCGTCTAATTCGAAGATTAATTATACAACGGAAAATTGAGTCCTATCATTCTCCAGTCCATATCTCGATGCTATGCAGAATGCCCCAGCGCGCCATTCTAGCCGCCCGATGGAATTCAGTGTTCGCTGCAACCTCTGCAAGCTGCCTCCGCTACACTTCGCAAATGGCGCACCTCATGTATGCCTGCGATGTTGACGCAGAGCCTCTACATCGCTACTGCATCGGTGGCTATCATCCTCTCAAGCTTGGTGACGTACTTAAACACGGCCGGTACAGAATTATGCATAAAGTCGGATGGGGTGGCTACTCGACCACATGGGCTGCTAGGGATCAACAGTAAGAGACCAAGAGACCAGATTCCGGAGCTGACCTCTCGGAATGGGTTAATAATTCCAATTCAGAGAAGATCGATACGTCGCACTCAAAGTGTCCGTATCGGAGAAGCGTGACAATCGTGAATCAGAAATCTTGCGAGTGATTTCCGCACTTCCCAAAGGTCATCCAGGCCAAGACCATGTGGTTCAGATGGTAGACCACTTTGAGGAAACAGGACCCAATGGCACACATGAATGTCTTGTCTTGGAATTGTTAGGCCCGAATGTACCTGACTTGATCGATTGGATCTATACGGACGAGAGATTACCGGCGCGCCTGGCCAAATCTATCGCCCACCAAGCGCTTTTAGGAGTTGGTTTTCTCTCCACATACGAGATTGGACATGGAGGTGAGTTGATTCTATATTCACGGCATGTGGTATTGCTAGATCTCATCTAATGGTGAGCACAAGACCTTCACTCCAGAAACCTGGCTTTCAAGATACCCAATTTCGATTCTTTGAATCAACAAGAGTTCTACGATAAGCTCGGCGAGCCCGAGACCGCTTTGGTGAGCAGAAAAGATGGCTTGGAGCTAGGAAGGGGTGTACCATCTTACTTGGTTCGACCAACCCCGTTTTCTAAAAGCATTCGACATAGTGTCCGCGCAGATCCGTATGTGAAAATCATCGACTTTAGCGAAGCATTTCAAACAAAGAACGCCCCTTCACGACTCCATACCCCGCTTGCAGTGAGGGCGCCTGAATGTCTCTTTTCGGATCGGTTAGACCATCGCGTGGACTTGTGGAGCATGGCTTGCTTGGTACTGTCACTTCTCGAATTTCTGAAAACTCCCATACTAACATAAGTAGTTATTCGAGCTGGTCACCGGGCAGCCACCCTTCGATGCAATCATGGCGACCCCCGAGTCTCTGATCCAGCAGATGATGGACTATTGTACGGACAGTATACCAGATCGTTGGCAGAAGAAATGGCAGGAAATGGAGAAGGACACATCCCGTGATTATCAGCCCCCAACTCTACAGCAGTGGCTCGAGGAGGTTTATTTTGATCCAGACCGTAATGCAGAGTTTACGAAGCAGTATATTACCAAGGTTGGTAAGCTTGTCGCGAGCATGCTGAAGTTCGACCCATCGTCAAGGGTACAGGCAAAGGAGATACTAGCGGATCCGTGGTTCAGGCATTAGACGGGAGATATCGAGTTAATTGAGCGCAAATGGTCAAAATTCTTTGGCGTAGTGAGCCAAATTGCGCAACGTTGACGCCTCTGTAGTTAAGCTGATGGGAAGCGCCCAATTGGGCCACTAGGCCTGGACAAGCTCTCCGCTATGCGGTAAGAATTGGGGATCGACAAGTTTTGTATTCGCTGGGCTGCATGTTAGGATGAAATTTGAATCGGGACTCGGGATAGAAATCACCATAGTCTTTTGTGTGCTTTGCTGTACAATCACCACATGTGCAGCCATTCTGCTTTTTAAGGTTGCTCAACAACACCTCGGGGTGTAACACCTTCGACCAGATGACCTTCCCACCCGCCGAGTGCAGAAACGCTGACTTACGCTTGATACTAACCTAAGCAAGAGGCTCGCAGCAAGAGACGTAGATGAGCAGGAACAGGCAGAGGCAGCCGGAAAGCATCTCAGCTTTCCCCTATGACATAAAGACACTACTAAAGTCACTGAAAGATGAAGTTCGTGAGCTCTTCGTTGGCAAAGATTGCTCTAAAGCAGTTTCAAATTCGATTCGACAGCTCCGAAGACCAAACTAGAGCAATTTCATCCAGGCACGATATGATCTGAAAGGCAAAAGCCGCTGGGATAAACCAGACAGTCATCTCATCTGGCCAAAAATAGCCAAGCAAGGAAACAGCACGAAAAGGGGCAACACCTGGGTTGTAGAATATTCTGAAATCGGCGGACATTGTGTCTCTATCATGGGGTACGGTAAAGCGGTGTACGAGTGTCTAGAAGCTGGAGAGTTCTCCATACAAGTATTCACTACATGTATGTCTACGTCACGGGTGCCACAACTTTCACTTCAGCCGGAGCAATAAGTCATATCTCTTACAGCTACAGGGCACAACTGAACCGACTTGGAGAAATACTTCCGGGTACCGATGAGAAGCTTATGAATGTGGAAGAGAAGTCCTAATTTGAGAAAGCATGTTAATCGTGAAAAAGTTGAATCTACAAAAAGTCCCAATCGATCAAGCCGTTCAGACGAGTTGGCTTCTATGGATGCAGATAAGGTTTAAAGGGGCTGGCTGCAGCATGCCTCGTGTCTTTAGTTCGGCCAAACAAGGCGATCAGACTTTTGTCACTCAACCTCATAAAATCGAGTCAAACTTGTAAACAATTCAACATCGTTGGTAGACTATGCTAGAATGAAGCGATTATAGTCGTACTGGTTGTTCCAAAAATCCTAGGTCTAACTTTGGTCTCGATTCGAGGCAAGACCAAAAGGCGGCAATTGGTTCCCGTGCGTGGTGTTTATATGTGACGCTCTCAGCCAATATCTCCGCCCAACTTCTGATCCAGTTTCTTGTTGACTTTACTGCCATCATATGATATGAACTTTACCACTTCCCACACTCGGGTCTAAAATCCCCATCATCCTCCGTAGGGTCCCTCCCGATAGCCCAGCGACGGTCATCGGTTTCTCGCTGCATCCACGCGCCCTTCCCCATCCCGCACTTCTGGTCGAAAAGCGCATCGGCGGCCCAATACTCGGCGGAGCTGCAAGGCGCGTAATTGCTGACATAGTTGCACCAGTAAATCTGTATGTTTTTCCATCGTGTTCGATAGTACATGTTGGATTCAACCTGGTGTATAGGGCAGAAGGCGTCAAGTCCGCCCACGGCGGCAGGGAGAGAGGTCTTCCAGTCATCCGGCAGGTCGTGACCTGAACAATACACATAGGTTCTGTTGGTGCAAGTCGAGGTCTGCGAGATGATGAAGGGGGTCTGATCAGCGCCGAGAGACGAGCTAGTTGCACTGGGAGTTGGCGAAGCATTTGCAAGCAGGATTGCCGAAACCACGCATGCGAGAAGCCGGAGAAGAGACATGATTGAGGTCGTTGTTGCCTGAAGTACTTTTATAACTTTAGGCTGGCTGGTTGACGGATGGATTGATTTGGCAAGTTCAGATTTCTGCTTCCGAAAACGATGGAGGTTTTGGGATGTGTGTAGGTGAAAATTACACTGAAGTTTTCTTGGCTTTAAATACTTTCTCAGTAAGCCGTGTCACTCTGTCAACTTCTTAGTGAGTCCCGAAAGACTTTGAGAACATTTTATGTGAATGGAGATCTCGCATTGTGACTACTTTTGAATATTAATCATCGACATGTGACACCTTGCGACCAGTGATCTATCATTGCTCTCTTGCCGCAACCTCTTTGTCATATTTGGCCCCAAGGAGATTCCAGCATCGTCTAATATCCCCATCCTCATGCCCGCCTTTCACGGAAATCAAAGCATTATCTCCGCTATCGTCTTCCGAGTACAGCGCTATCGCGGACTGCTGTAAGTTAGCTATGGCTCACGGCTGGCTGCCTCTAAATCACGTACCTTCCCAAGTGTCAACTTGATTGCCCCTTCTACTGCCGTAATTGGGCGATAGGTGTTGGAGGCCTTCCCGCTTTTGATCAAGGAGACGATATTGCTTGCAACAATGTATGACTGGAGCTCAGCAGCTCGAGCCATCCTTGGCCCACCGCTTTCGGCGACGTCTCCTAGGGCAAACATTTTGTCGACTGTGCTTTCATTGGACTTGATTTGCAGGCTTGGAGCAACAAGGATCCTTGCTGTCTCGGTCGATATGCACTTAGACATGGTGCTCCTCATGAACTCGGTATTTGGTGCCTGTCCAGTGCAGGGTATCTAGAGGCAGGTAAGTAAAATGCCAAAGCTATTTGTAGCCTTCATAAGTGTCACACACCACCAAGCCGAATTTGTCCGCTTGACCATCCGGGAACACCAATGTTGCATTCTTCCCAGCCTTCTCGTCGTTGTCATCAATGATTCGCGGCCTCTGGCCTAGCTTGACCTTGATGTCTAGCTTTCGCATCTCCTCCATTACGCGTTCATGGAGCCTCGGCCCGTATCCATGAAGCAGCCTGTCCCTTGAATGCACCAGAGTCACGTCTTTCTCAGGATACCAGCTCTTGATATCTGTCACAAGCTCCACACCAACCGCCCCACCCCCGACCACAGCAATACTCTCGGCAGTCCGTACTTGCTCCTGAGTATCCCTCAGCTCATCACAAGCGCCGTGCTTGTCGGGGCTCACAAGTTTCGACGGCCGCGGCGAGGATGTACCTGTTGCAACAGCCAAGAACTCGAATGAAATCGCTTCACCAGAGGCAAGCCTGACAGAATCACTCGTCACCTCGACAACCGCATCGCACCTTCTCTCAAAGATTCCCTCTGGTACACCTTTGCGCCCACTGTAGAGGATTTCATCGTACGGAATGAAAGCCTTGGCTTCGTGGCCGCCGACTACGGAGAACCTCGGAAAGACAAATGGGAAGTGAAAGTGGGTATTCTTTTCGATGAGGATGATTTTGTAGCCGCTCGGAAGCGAATCGCAAAGTCGTTTCGCTAGAAATATGCCGGCAAAAGAGCCACCGATGATGACGATGTTCTTTGGCGAGGGTCCAGGCTTGTAGGACAAGCCGTGGAAGATGGCGACGATACGTTGGCGGAGGCGCTTGATGCTATACGAGACTAGGAATGGAAATGAGAACCTGAGTATTTTGATAACATCGCCAGCAGCCATCTTCACGGAGACTAGGCTTGCGACTAAATTGACGTGATGTTGGGAGAAATTCAGTAGATAGTATGCGGAACTTCAAGAAGTCGGATGCGAACGTGGCCTCCGGCCGAACATCGAGATAAATACTCCACCCCAAAAGCGGTTGCCTCCCTAAACCCGAGTCCGCACACTTCGGGGACGGGTGCACCGGAGATGCCTTCTAGGCACGGGCTTTTGACATTGCGTAATCGGCGGTCACGGACGATCCTTCTGCTTACGCATGACAAGTGGAAAATGTGAGCTGCAAGCAAATGAAATAGGCAGCGGCTTATCAGATCATGCAAGATAATCAGGCTGCATTGATGCCGGGAAAATGTCAGCATCGGAGTCTCCGAGACCGATCCGGACGGACTTGGCCTGAATTCACCGATTCCGACTTTTTGTCGCAGATATCGTGTGCCTAAAACAAGTTCAATAATCGTTACGCCACGGAAACTGTGGTCAAGGCCTTCATTTGGTTCTTCAGAATGACTTCGAGGCATAGCGCAGGCTCCATCAACCCCGACTGCCAAGTTTCCCTGATGTACTCAGTACCTCGTTGTTTGAGCTCGTTTCGGTCACTGGAGGGAGATTTTAAAATGATGGTAACAACCGTATCACCTTCTGGACATATAGTAGTAATAATCATATTATTGATTTTGACTGAAAGCGCCGTCTATACCGCCATATCTGGGGCTTATAGAATCGGCGAATTATCGCGATGACCTCGATGCTTCTGGAGGAGGCTCGGATCGGTTTATACCCTCGCCTGGCCTCAGTGGAATGGACTCTGCAGTTTTTGAATGGTCATGATTTTCCACTGGGTCATCTAGGGGTGTCCCGCTCAAGACCCCTCCGGTGACGGCCGTGTTCTCTTTTTCAAGTTTTCTCCACTGCATTGCTGCGGCGGCAAGCATAGCCAATGCAGAAGCTGCGATAGACATATAGAACGCAGTAGTAACTGCCTCTCCGTACGACTCAGCCACAAAATGCACAATGTCCTCTTTCATGTGATCTGCATTTACTTTAGATGGTCCCATTCGGATAATCTTGGCCACACTGCTTGTAGGCAATCTTGATGCCAGGCGACTGCTGAGCGTGTTCATGAAAATAGCCTGGGCCATCGGCACAGCCAGTGCTGCGCCTAGACTCATGCAGAACAGGGCGAGGGCCTCGCCCGCTGGTACATCGGGCTCTTCGAGAACGTTTCGAATTGCTGAAAGCGGTAGTTGGACACCCAACCCAAACCCAAACGCCACTATCAGTTGAAACCCCACAATGCGGATAAGGGGGGTGTTGATCTGGATCTGGGATAGGAGACTCGAACCCGAGGCTACCACCACACCGCTAGCTATCATGAATGGCACATAATGTCCAAGGAATGTGACGGCAGCTCCTGCAGCCAAAGCGACGACGGCATCGGGGACCATCAAGGCCAATATGTGGATTCCGGACTGGCGTGGCGACAAGCCCCTTGCCGCTTGATAGTAAAATGGCATGTAGTAGGCCAATACGATCATCGACATGAAAATTGAAAATGAGTACAGGCACGCGAAGCCAACGGTGCGGTTCGTCAAGATGTGGATTGGCACAAGGGCCCTATCATATGATCAGTAATTGAAGTTGGCAAGGCGCATTGTGAATTGGCTAAACAAACCTGTCTCTCTCCTTCACCTGTATAAACATAAACAAGGCGGCCATGGCTGCAAACCCAACCAGACTGCCCCAGACCCTGGGGTCACTCCAAGGATGCTTCGTGCCGCCCCATTGAAGCGCGATGAAGAGGGCGGTCAAAGAAGCTAGGATGAGAATGGCACTGAGTGGGTCTGTCGATTTCAACCTTGCTTTGAAAGAGTAATTCGAGGTCACCCTGACGGGCTCGGGAAAGGTGAAGGCTATGAGACACCCTACAATCAAAGCCATGGCTGTTGATTATTCATCAGAACATAGTCAACACAATGATTGGGTCTTTCAGAAAAATCTCACCTATACTCAAAAAGAAGCCCAGCCTCCAGGTCATGGAGCTCTCAGCAAAGATGCCACCAAGTGGAGGCCCTACGGCTGCTGCGACGCCGGTCATCAAGATGATGATGGAAAAGAACAATGGCATCTTCTGCTTCGACACGATCTGGCAGATTATGAGGAATCCGCCCAAGTTCGTGCCAGCATGGCCGCATCCCTGGATAGCGCGCCCAATGATCAGTGCCTGGGAAGTTGCTGACGTTGCGCAGACGACGGATCCTGGATGAAATGGTCAGCACAGATTCTCCAACCATCGTGTTGGCATGATGTATGTACCGGTGACAGAGATCATAATGCAAATGCAATATGTGACTTTAAGCGCGAAGAGAGTATAAACACGTCCATATATGGGTAGGAAGGCGAGCCTGGCAAGGTCATGTGCGGCCTGATACCACGCGGCTTGGTCGAGACTGTGGAACTCGGTCGTGATCTTCGGTATCGCGGTCAACAGCAGTTGTCGGTCCAGCTCTCCAAAGAATGCGCCTATCATCAGTGCAAGCGTCACGCACAGCAGCCTGCGCCCTGTCACCTTCTCACCGCTGCTGGAGAACTGCCTTTTTAGGAATAGAAAGCCATCATGAATCAAATTCCGGGCGCGGGATCTTGCTGGATTGTTTTCGGGAGGCGCGGGAGCATGGGGATAGCGTTGGCCCTCCATCCTTGAAGCGAGCTGGTACTCGTTTTTGATGATTGCGGGATGATCTCCGGGCGACTCGTCTACACGAAAAGCCTGGAGGACGAAGGCTCAGAGGAGTACTGACTGTGGCTTTACACCTGGAGTATTCTCGTGGCCGTGGGCTAACTGCTAGTTAGGTGCTGGCCATTCGGTTTCTGGCCTTGTTAGAAACGAAGTCCTCGAACGTAGGTCAAATTTTGTGAAGCTCGTATCAATGAGCAATTCACACAACGGCACCCCAACAAAAAAGTGCGCGAACTGTGTCCAGCCTTGATGGTGGAAGGGCGGAGTGTAACCTATCGCGTGTAGCGCGGACGCGGTCGAAGCTTGATAGCCATCGAGCACCCTCTTAGCCGTCAACCCTCCCAAGATTACCAACAATCGACTGACGGCGCTGCAGTTGCTCGCTTCTTGCACAGTCCTCTGCAAAGCGGGAAGTTTTAATTAGCATAGTATGGCAAACTATATTGATTCCAGTCCTAGCAACATTGAGACCAGTTTCGACAACCATAACCAGGTTGCATACAATGTACACAGTGGCGCCCCTCCACTACCAGTACATGGGGCTCCATTAGGTAGCACACTGAGAGAGAAGGATAAGCAAGCTTTCAGGCGAGCAATACGCATCTGTGGCTTGCTAATATGAATTTGATATACCCATGGAACCCTAAATATGATACTGCCTGACTGCCAAAGTGGAAGCACGGTTCATTATTGCTTGCGGCCACTCTCAGATTGAAATGCATACCCTTTCGATTGGCAGTTCTTTGGTGGCCTTGAATCAATGACAAGGTCAACCATGCCTATATACAAATCTGCACTTCCAGATTTGAGGCGGTACCCAATATTGCGTAGGTCCTGGTAGATGTTGCTTGAGATTAACATAAGAATGGCGAATGATCATGTTAGACTTCCACTTTTGAGCACATCATGGCATCAGGAAGCCTGATCACGACGAGATCACCAGAAGAACGTCACGGGTAGTTGGTATTATTCTACGAAGTAGTCCCTAGCTAGGTACATCGACGCAATACGACCTGAGTCCGCCAAAAATTGGCATCCTTGGACTGTAAATCTCAAATTAAAGAGCAGGGAGATGCAGACCGTTCTATGCCAGTGTCGTTGTTAGACAACTAAGGCGGGGGTAGTATGCCTCACTGGCATTCACTGAAAGAGAGCTTTTCAGTCCTGACTGCAAGATCACATGCGGCCAGGTCAGATTGCTCACCCGACTGACATGATACATTATCGAAATCTCCAATATCCAGGCGTTTATCTCTCATCGCAACATTGTCGTAACCTATAGTGTCAGCCAGCAGACTGTGCAGCGTAGGCATTAGGTTGATAAGTACCTTTCAGAATACCCTTCGCCTTACACACTTTTTGAAACCTCAGGAATGACATTTTCCTGATGATGCAGTCGGCGGGAATCCAAAATCGCGCGACCCAATGGGTGTCGGTGATATAATTAGCCCTATTGGAGCTGTTCCCTCTATATTGGAACCCATGTCGATTTGCTATCGTCGTTGTTGGTTCATTCTGTATTCGTGTGGCCGATAATAGTCTAGCATCAATGATGAAAACCTCCGCGGAGTTTATCGCTCGCACATAGTTCAAAATTCGCCATGGGCTCTCACTCATGGAAATATATGGTGACTCGAATTGTTCGCATTTCCCATTGACATGATGCCAGAAGTCCTGTTCCGAAGGCTTGTCGAAATCCCGCTCTCGAAGCCATCTCGGGCAGCAAAACCCCACGTCACTGTCATAGAAGGTATAGGATTCGGGACCATGGGCTCGGAAGAACAGACGCGGCTCTTCAGGGTAGCGTGCGTTTTCCACCTGCTGCAGACGTACAACATCACCCAATTGCTTCAAGCTTCCAATCATTATCTTGTTGGCGAATTGAAAAGAAGTGGCTGACTCAAGTCGTGCTCTCAGAACTACTTCTTCGTCACTACTGTCCGGCCGTTTCCGAGGTAGGGCTTTGTTATCTGAAGGAGAGCTGATAGGGGTTCTCAACTCATTGGATGATGGGTCGTAGACGCAGTTGAGAAAATGCAGACAGAAAATCAAAGCATCTCTCCTCTCAAGGACACGTCGAAGGTCCCTGCTCAGATGATCGAGCAGTCTGCGAAGATTGTTGATCTTTTCTAATCGGGCCTTTCCACGCTGTTGTTCCTCGGCATCATCCAGCAATCCGACAAATCGTCGCCTGGATCGCTGGTAGCAAAGATCATAGACATCACGATTGAAAGGAACGTCCGCCATCTTTGAACTGAAATGTCTAGACTTTCTGTGTCTCTTCTTTGAAAGATTTCGTATGGTTTAAGGGTTGGAAAGAACCCAGAGCCGGCTTCCGATTGTTAATTTGTCGAAGTTCTTCCGGCTGTTGTTGGGCTCTTGGGTGCCAAAGGCGGGGAATCGATCATGGTTTGATGCATCAATGTGGCCCAGCTGAGAGGCAAGAGCACGTGCGAGCACAAGTACATAAGCAAATACCAAAGTTCTCACTTAGCTGAGAGAAGGGCTATGTATCGAGCAAACTCCATCCTGACCAACCCTCCATTCATCTGCCAACGTTATCTACCCAGCGACCCTATTTTCTACACCACGCAATTCTCATAGTCTTGTCTCTCTTGCAACAACATGCACGTAGTTTTGTTTTCGATCACTCTACAGTTGGGGAATGGTGGCAAGGTATGATCTAAAAAAAGAATTGTAAGTCGAAGCCGGCCATTGCTAGGTTTGTAATTGAGAGTGTACACTGGCATAATCTGCAGGATTCTCTCCCTCGTTTCGCGTTGCCTGCTGAGTAAGATGATGATGTCATCAAAATGGCAGGCTGTGAGTGGTCAACGGGGCTGCCGAACAGTTACTCCATATCCCGTCCGTAGGACCACGAAGCTGAAAATCAACGTCAACTGATACTCCGCCGCCGGTCCGTGTCTGAGCGCTCCGAGGGCGTCGCGTAACTTTTGATCCGTTATCTCCACCCGTGTCTCCGATTCACGATATCTTTGCGATGGACACTCCTTGACATGGCACCGTGATGCCCAAAATTGTGCGCGGGGAGGATTCCACGTCAGCACACTCAACACAACAAGCGCGCTTCATGAGGCTTTTTTATTGCCGTGATCCTACCTACCTAGGTGGTTATGGCCTCCCGAGGGAACGAAGGCAGAAGCCGGGCGGCCAAGGTTGGCCACCGGAAGTCCCGGAATGGGTGTCTAAAGTGCAAATCACGTCGAGTCAAGTGTGACGAGAGACGACCAACTTGCGGCAACTGCAATCGTCTGCAGATGGACTGCTCGTGGCCCAGCCCACCTCAGGACCATGGCCAGCAAGCACAGTTATTGCCAACGCCTTCTCCTGGCAATCAACAGCACCTTTCGCCTTCGGCCGTCAGCAACAGCACGTCTCCTGCATCGCACACGCCTGAGCACGTCGCTGTTTCCCCAAACTGGCCACGTTGGCCAAGCAATGAGAACATCTTCACAAAGTCCAGCTTTCAGTTAAACAACTCCAACGACCTGGATTTGCCCGAGTCCAAAGCTCGACGCCTGATGGAGCACCGTCTGATGCAGAATTGGTATCTTGTTGCCCACAATCCCTTTCCGCTGAGCCCAGCCCCCGAATGGCGAGACATATGGGCTAAGACTATGCCCGCGATGGCCCTGAAGCATGAGAATATTCTCTTTGGCATCTCGGCTCTCTCAGCCACAAACCTTCTCCGCTCGGAACCCGAGGACAAGGATATCTACACGGCTCGCGAGAGCTACTTTATTGCCGCACTTCACGCCCAGCGAGAGGAGGTCGCGAAGCTGACTGTCGATACCGCAGAGGTCGTGTGCTTTGGCGCGCTGCTCATCTCCATCGCGGCGTTTGCGATGCTGCAGGAACGCACCCTGACCCCTTACCAGCCACCAATGGACTGGCTGCAAGTTGGCCGCGGCGCCGGCATCGTCATCCGGCAGAGCATCCAGACCATCTTCACGCTCTCCCAGGAGGCCGACCACCCCGCCCTGATGAACGCAGCCAATACTTACCCCTACTTCGGTCGTGACCATACCTATTTCAGCCCTGAGCATCGCGTAAACTTCCACGGCGTGCTCACGCAGCATCTTCACTCCGGCGACGACTGGGGTGACGAGGAGACACGAGAAGCCTACGAGAAGACATTGAGTTACGTCGGCAGCATCCAGAGTGGTCTCAACCATGGCGAGCCTGTATACGCCATCACGAGGCGGATCCAAGCATTTCCACTGCTGATCCCGGCCAAATACATTGAATTGCTGTCCTTGCAGCGTCCGCGGGCGCTGGTGGTATTGGCACATTTCTGGGCGACAATCGCCCAGGTGCACAATGTTTGGTGGCTGGGTGATGAGCCGTTCATGGGCGAGGAGTCTACCGCAAAGAGGGAGATCCGTGCTATTAGCGGGGTCCTACCGCGGAAATGGCTGACCACCATGGTCTGGCCCATGGATATGGTGGACTTGAAGATCTCAAGCTACAGTGGGGATGCAAGTCTTTCTTACTAACCTCGCCTTGGTGGATGATATATCGGAAATCTTGACGCACTAAGGCCTGAACAACATCATTGATCTGAAAGACGAGGCAGCACTTGATGCGTTACTCAGCAGTCATTCGTTCCACAGCTGGTCGACTGATGGCCGCGTTGCAGCTGTTCCTGAGGACTTGTGTTGTCATGATGGTACCCAGATTCCAGCGACGTGGCTGACATAGAGTCCGCCCTCATGTTCTTCAAATTTCGAAACAGATGCCGATAATCCTGCCGAGCCTTGCCTCACCCATTCGCTACAGGTGCATTGCCCCTTGGCGTTCCATCGAATATTTTCGAACATCCCTTGGGAGCATTGGTCATGTATCCATGGAATTAGCCGTGTTTGATTTCCGTGCCTTTAACGAGAATGACACTAGATTGATGTTCTCAGAGGCTAGACACTACAGTGTTTTGATTTGGGATAACGAGCTTAATGCGCGAGACATCTCATCGTGTTTTTAAACGCTGTTGGACCTGGCTCTGTCAAGCTGATCATCTTTCCCTGGTTAAGTCTAAATTAAGCTAGTTACGTCCTGTGTTGGTAGAAGAAATAAGACTAGGAGGAAATACCTGACCTAGTAGTCGTGGATCGCAAGCTATGCTTTCGACCCCGTCAGGTGTCTGGGTTGTGGTGGCAGTCCAGAAGACCAAGTTGTACGAGTATTAGGTTCATATGTTATGATTAAGCACTGTATTTCATGTGTATTATCAAGTCCATAGCAAAATCACTAGCATTTCCTTCCAGTTGTACATTTGCAATATACAGTATTCCTGAACGGCATTCGCCGGATACGGTTGCAGAGGTACAGATCACAGAATATCAGCACATAACTCATTCAGGTACCAGGCTTTTTCAACATCGGGTGATTAAAGATCATGAATGCAGGTGACTACGTTGTTAGGGTCAACAACCAAGCCCCTACTCCTTCTCCCGCTCAGCTTTCATTTTCATATCCTCTTCCTCGTTCTTGGGCACCGTGACGAACGTGGGCACTGTCACAGCATTCAGCTTACGGAAAGCCTGCGTAAGATTGTCAGCACAAAGTCTTCCACAGACTTAAAGCATTTACGCAAAGTGGCCCCTACCAGGAAAGGCGACCACCAGCTGAACGTGCAGAAAGCCCACCAGGCGAAATCGCCACCGGTCCGGACAGCCCAGCGCACGGCGGCGAACGGGCTGAGGGACCATTTTCGAGGATCAACACTCACATCACTGATAGCGCCGGAGGGCAGGTCCCCGTTCCACCGGTCCTCCACCTTGTCGATCTTGCCGTCCTGGCCGACGTGGATTCGCACGACCGAGTTCATGACCTTCTCCTGGTTGATGCCCTTCACAACGTACTTGTTGCTCATGTCCATCTCGATGGGATTGCCCGCCGACTTGACGTTGTGCGACTGCAGTTGGATGGGCTTGAACAGTGCCGGGAGGCCGTAGAATTGTGCCGTGTACTTGGCGTAGCCGGCTGCGACGGTGATGTTGTCTGTGAAGGTGGCGTCCTTGTTCCACAAGCTGAAGTGCTTGAGCGTTGGGTTGCCCTCGAAAAGCTGTTGCAAGGTGTCAGTAAAACGTCCTTTAGAAGAATATAACCGGCTAGAATGATATGACGAACATCAAGGACAGATCCAACAATCACTTTCTGCTGTTCGGAGAGATTCACACCAGGTGCAGATTCAATGTTTGTCCTCTTGATCCCAATGGATGAGAATGAAGGAGCGTTGGCATCTGCTGTGGCCTGAGCCTGCGCCGTTCCTGATGGGGTTCCTGTAGACATGGTTCGTAATGAGAATGGAATATTCGTAGGTCTGGCTGCGCTTATACTTGAAGATCGTATTGAACGAAGGAGTAGAGATGATGGTCTGGGCGGCATGACACGATTATTGTTGTTTAAGCGAGCAGTTGCAACTTCACCGGAGAGTAGACGGTGGATGGATGCTGTAATAGAATCAGCTCAGAGTGTTGGACAAAATATCAAAATGGAAGATGTCATCTTACAGTGCAAGGGACGTGTCGTCACGGCTACGGATGCGGCTTAGACAAATTGACGTCAATGACAAGGAAGCACCAGTTTACGCTGAGCTTCCAGACGCCACATGGACAGGTTACAGCGTTGCAGTAAGCGCGTGTTAGCCGCTGTCGGTGCGGCACAGCTGACATATCCAATCACGAGAGCGGCAGCGGGCCATTGAGACAACACATCAACATGTCTGTTACATACTGGACAAGATTGATTCATCACAATCAAAACAATATCTGAAATTACTGCCAAAGAACCTAGCAGCGTCCAATTCTTCACGCTAATCCCGTCCACCACTCATGGTGTCCGCCCATCCCTCCCTGCCTGGGTTACAGCCGCCCTGTATGACCCTGGCAGAATTCCACACGGGAGCGATCCCGCGACCCACATGAGGGTAAAACGTAGCGTCAGCGCCGTCGAACTGTCCACTCCTCTTTACTTGGGATACCGTATATAGAATTTCGGGGACCCTAGATGGGTTTCCTCAGATTGTGCAAGCCTTTCTGTGCTGGTGAAAAGCCATTCCTGTCCACAGCTCCCGGCTCCCGCCACCTCACCACGCAGCCGCCGGGTGCAGGACAGGCACAAATTTACAACACAACGGCGATCCTATGATCCACATGGATGCAAAAATGAATCGACACCAGCAAGATTTGAACTTGCGCCTCCGAAGAGATCAGATATCTGTGAAAGAGTTCGAGTCTGACGCCTTAACCGCTCGGCCATAGTGCCTAGGACGATGATCCCTGTCAATGCTGATGTTGTTTCATAATACAATCTCAATTCTATCGATACCTTCGGGAAGATTCAATCGATGGTGATTTAGTTCATTGCCTTCAGCCACTGCGCTGTAAAAGAATCATTGATATGGCCAGCCTACAGCTGTTTTTTAGGCGCAGCGTTCACTTCAGCTTCGTCTGCTATTAGCACCAATTGGATAAGACATGAGGGTCTGCGTGCGCAAGCCTGGCAGGGATTGTCTACTAACTGTCTGCATTGAACTTGAGTTCCAGTGACAATACTCCAGCTGCGTAATACGCAATGACACAAGCATAGCATAGTCACTAATTCTAGGATGAATTCGCATGTTATTGTAATAGAGTGACCCGTTATAGACTAAATTGTTGCGCAATAACGTGTGATGGCGGTGTACCCATGTATGTCTTCTCAGTCCCCTACTATACACACCAACCTAGTGACCGTCGAAGCTTCGGGGCCCCTGTGAGCTGTATGTAGCTGTGATAGTGCTTGCATGTGGATATCACAATGTGTAGATCACGAAATCTTGGCTGGCTACAATCACATCTTCTCTCGCCCGACCATCCAAAGCTCCCTGAACCTGGACCCTTCCATTTCGATCAATTCCGAAGGCCGCCCCGTCTCCACGATACTGCCTGCATCCATCATGACGACAGTGTCAAACTCCAAGACCATTTCCAGTCGGTGACTGACCATGATGACCGTATAAGCCTCGAATTCCTCCCGGATAATCTTCTGCATCGCCTTGTCTGTTTCGTGGTCAACACCGGAGCTGAACTCGTCAAGAAGGAGAACGCCGCGTTGCATCGCGCCAATGTCTCCATGGTTGTTTGTGTGCTCTTCCGCTCTGATTTTGTGCCTCAAGAGAGCACGTGCGAGACTAAAAAGCTGCTTTTGCCCTTGCGACAGCATATCAACGGCCATTCCGCCCGTGAGACCTCCTTGCTCCTCGACCAAGCTCCATAGTCCGACAGAATTCAAGACGGCCCGGCAATCAGCGTCTGAAGATACTCCGAATGGGTCCAAATTCATCTTAAAGGAGGTTCCATCGGGAAGGAAAACCACTTCCTGCGGAATAGTGAGGACCCGTTCGCGAAGGGTTGTGCGATCGACCAGGGAGAGAACTATATCATCCATCGAGATGTTTTCAGCACAGCTGGGAAGTGGATCCAGAAGCCGAAGAAGCAGCGATATGATCGATGACTTGCCGCTTCCACTGCGGCCGCATATGGCGACTTTCTCGCCGGGGCGTATGTCAAGCTTTAGACCTCTCAATGCCAGGGACGGAGAATCTTTACTGGCGTTTCCGCTGCCTGAATTCTCATCTCCTGGAGTATTGAAAATAGATACCCCTGGTGATTGCTCGCCAATAGCCCTAGCAATAGATTTCTGCTTAGAAGTAGACCAGCACTCAAGTATTGGTGCTTACTTACTCGTACGTGGCTGAGACACCGTCCAACTTAATTGTACCTTGTGGCCAAAGTGTTGCTGGTATTAAGGTCTCGTTCTCAGAGCCCTCTGGCTTAATTTTTTCGCTGAAGTTCTTCAATCTAGAGACAGCACCGATGGAAGTCTCGAGAAGCGTGTACATGGTGATGACGTACATCAAACCCTCAGCGAAGCTCATCAGCGTCACGAGACTGGCGCCGGTGAAGGCCGTGTTCGATCCCAGCTGCGTCGCAAGGGTGACAACTGCGATGGCAAGAAGCGCGACTATGAGTCGGAGTATAAAGCCCAGCCAGCGCTGGATGATGGCCAGGAGGTAGGCTGGTCTCTGTGATGTATCAAGGTACACCTGATTCATGCGGGTGTTTTCCGGAACCCACCCAAAGGCACGGATAGTGGCTATTCCCTTGGTTGTATCGATAAAATGAGAGCTGTAAACTTTTAGAAATTTGCTTCAGAGATGTCATTATTCAGTCAATGAGGACGCGACCTACTAGAGTGGGCTCTTTGCTTCCAGGTCTAACAGCCGCAATTGCCGGGAAGTGCGCAAGTAGAACTTCTGTATGCCATATAGAATGGCGAGGAGGAATGGATAAGTGACCGCAAGATATGGTGAAGAAGTAGCGATTACAGCAGCCTGACCCAGAGATGAGAAAATATCTAATATGCATTAGTCTCCTGCTACGTAAGCCCGAAGCGGTGGAGGGAAGCTTTTATGAAAGACCAATGGGAATGCGTAGCGGGTGAAGGGTTATACTGACAGAGGGACAGATTCGTCAGTGCCATCGGGAGCCTCCCGTCAACCAAGGTCATGTCCTGAGAGAAGAGATTGGTGATTGAGCCTGTGTCAGTCCTAGCGAAAAACCTGAGGGGTGCCGAGATAACAGTGTTCAACGCGTCCTGATGCAGCCTAGAGCCAGATTGGTGGACCATGGTTCTGAAGCAAGTCATGCTCATAATTAGGAGAGAAATTGGTGTGCAGACCTGGAAGAGGGCGTAGAGGCCGAGATAGAAGGCATTTGAGTGAGCGGGATGTTGAGATGTAATATCGTCAGACCAGAACGTTAGCCAGACAGTCGGGAAACTGTAAAAGAACCCCCAAGCAAGGGCTGACAGAAGAAATACTGTTTGAGCCGAGATTCCGATGCGAGAAAAGTAGTGCCGGTAGACCTGCACATCGCCAAACATACGGCTGAGCTCCTCTTCTTCTGATTCCTTTCCGCTACTTAAAGCGGTCACGGCAGTGGGTTTCGACTCCTCTCCCCGCGTCTTAGCATCTGTTGGGAGACCAATTCCGTCATCAGATTTGCGATTGACTCTGTCTTCCACTTTGAGGCTGTAAACGTAGCCCTGGTTGGCCACCAACTCCTGGAATGTACCCTGTTCCGAAATTGTCCCTTTCTCATTCAGGGCGATGATGTGATCAGCAAAGGGTAGGTACCTCACGGAATGGGTGCACAACACCACTGTTGCTTTTCTACGTCGTAGAATGCCGTCGGCGGAAAACACTTTTCTGAATACGTGGTCTTCTGTATCGGCATCTAACCCTCTTAGAACGTCATCGCAGATCACGATGGCAGTGTTCTGATACAGTGCCCTTGCGAGACAAACTCGTTGTTTCTGGCCACCACTCAAGGCGATGCCATCAGTGCCGATTTGGGTTTGATCTCCTTGAGGGAGTAGGACGTCCAGATCGTGACGCAGCATCGAGGCTTCAACGACCTCGTCGTATCTCTGTTGCTCGAAAGAAGAGAAACCGATGATGTTGTCTCTAATAGTAGCGTTTGACAAGTAAGGGCTCTGGTCACAATATCCTACCCGAGCTGAACCAGGCGCGAAGCCAGTTTGCGTTGTTCCACATGCCACAGGAATCTCGCCAAGAAGCGCTTTGCACAGAGTTGATTTCCCAGAGGCAACTGGTCCAACGATAATAGTCAGTGCTGCATCCGGTATTTTGAGGTCGATGCTTGCAAGGACACGTCGGTCTGACTGCCACCCAAAAGACCCGCCTGATATCTCGATTGCGGGTGTAGTGGCCAGTGTAGTTTCATTCTGTCTTTTCTGGCTGCAACTTGCCGATGATTTTTCTGCTTCTTCAGTCGCTGAATATGTCCCAGCTCTGAAGTCTCGACGCTCATCGCTCTCCAAAAATACCTGAATTCGGTCCAGGCATGTGAAGGCAGCCATCAGAGTTGGGATTGACTGAAACAGGACAGACAACGGTGTAGCCAGTAGAACGATATAAGACATGGACGTAAAAATAGTTGTAACACCAAGTGTGCGTGATGCGAATGCAAATGCCATGACAGGCGAAATGCAGAGAGGTGTAACACCCAGGGTTGCCGTAAAGGACAAAATCAGCCTGAATCGTGCCCCGGCTTTCAGTTCATCAATCCGCATACGCTGGATTAGTTTACCCACAGGCGCGGCGAGACCTGCCATTTTTAGATTCTTCATCTGTCCAATAACGGTAGATGTAAGTCCGACTCTCTTCTGAATCTGCTCCATCCAAAGCTTTTGACGTGGCCCGGTGAGTCTGGCCAGAAAGGTTGAGCACGCTGCGCAAGCTCCAACAACGATTAAGGGAGCGAGAAAGGCCAATCCGATTTGTTGCGAGAGGAGCCAGCAGGCAATGGCTACCTGCGCCGAGTTGGCCCAGAGCTCGTGGACGTTCAGGAATCCTGCGATTATGCGCTCGATGTCGCCGCTCATCAGCGTGAGCGCTGAATTGTCAGCTGCAGGTAGGCCAACTTCCGTAGTCTTCCTGTAGATTGCTGCGACTAATGCTCCTCGGGCCATGTACATTGCACGCTCCTGATAGTACCAATAGAGCGCAAATGTTATGGCGATTCCAAGATAAATGAGGATCGTTGCTCCGATGAGGCCATACCCAACATTCTTAGAGGGCTCTGGCTCTTCTAAGTAGCTCAGAAGTGCGTTGATAAGAAATGACTGGCAAAACTGGAAGGCAGCCATTGCTGCTCGCGGGAAAACCGGCAATAAAATTGGAATAGCAAGGGTTTTCGTCAGTGCTCGAGCAAGTCTGTATTTCCCTTGTCGGCTCGCAGATCCAGAAACCTGCCAGTGACGGTTCAGTCTCTGGTTCAGTGTCTCAGCACACATTGCTGGGTCCAAGGGATAGAGGTCGCCGACTTTCAGAACCTTGGAATATCCGGACAAGAAGAGGCGATTCAGCCAGATGAAGGCACCTAGTCCAAATAAGCCGCTTGTCTCTTCTGGGCTGTGCTCTTTGGTGTCCCAACGTATCCATCTTGACTTATGCTGCGACTCCAGAAGGAGAGAAACCGCCTTGACCACTACGCTGGATGTAAACACGCTTGAAAACGTGACTGCGATGTGATTCCTTGACGCTAACCACAAAGTCCGGACTTGGGCAATATCAAGGAGCAGCGTTAGGGCGAGATAGAAGCTGAGCAAAATTGAGGGCCGTGGTGATTTTTCATGCTCCAGAAAGGAGAGGGGAATCAGACACAGACCCGACACAAAAGCCATGGCCGAGGAAGAGACAAAGTATGCTTCATATGTACCAGCTTTCACAACGCTCAACACCAGGAGAGACAACTGGAGAACAGAAAGCAAACTGGTGATGCCCTGATGACTCGGCACATAGGTTAGCTGGGGCCTCTTGCAGACTAGAATGTCTGAGAAAGGCGAGACACGTACCAATTTCGCGAAACGCAGCAGCGCGCCATCTACGAGCACATTTCGACGTCGCAGTAAAACGATTCGAGGGACAGATGCAACAATAAACAATCTGGAACTTCGAAGTCAATACAGGCTAATCCTTGCCTGAGCGGACTAGGCAAAATAAAATGTGACCAACGCGGAGGGTATCAACGAGAACACGATTTTCTCAAATTTAATCGTAAAATCGAAGTCGCCGCGGCAGCCTGCAGCGACAGGCTCGATTGCCCCGTCATTTCGACAGCCAGAGAAATCCATGACGCGATGCAAGTTGCAAAATCTGGGTAGTGGATCTCAAGCCACCCTTTATTTCTCGGTGCAGAATCTGACCAGCACGACGCGTCACACGCAACCCTCTTGGACGTTCCAACACAGCTTCAGAGCAGCGTGCAGCGCAGGAATCGCAGCCCTGATAATCACAGGACAGAAACAAGCGTGAGCCACCTTCAAGCACAACAAAACTCGTGATTGCTCGCTGTTTGTCCCACTGAGCTTCATATACAGCGTGTTGCGTCTACAGCAGTTTCGAAGCAGTCAAAGTGAGTTGAACGACGTGAAAAAGGGGTGAAAGGAGCAAAAGGCTTCCCCAAAACATTAACCAACAGGATTCAAATGCTGCGGGACTATTGGTCAGCCACTCAATCGGGTTTAAGAATTGCAACCGAGTTTCCTGAAGAAGTTAGCATATATCGAAGTTGCTTATCAAGAACCATGTCCGCGGATTAGAGGCGGAGCTGATGAATGCCGTCGAACGCCGAAGTAGATGATGAGGCAGGTGTTTGAGTAGGCAGAGGTCACGCTACGGTCTTTCAGTCTGAAACTCCAGTATCAGTCTTGTATGAGGATAGTTCGATGAAGTGAATATGAGTGTCTATAGATGCCCTTGCTCGTACTCTAGGACAGTCAAATATGTCGAGCAAACCACACCGGTCCCGAAGAAAACTACATTTTCTAGTCATAAAGATAACACATTCCACCGGCTTGGGTATTGATGACTTGCGCTACTGAGACGTCTTCATCCAAGCCGGCGAGCCTAATAATTCCATCATCTGATGATTCCGATTCCTCGAGGTATTCGCTCAGTTCTGTTTTCGAATGCGACTTTTGCCAGTGAAACCACAATCTATCCAGTTGTCCATGATGCAGGAAAGAGATCGGGTCTGCAGTAATTAAGTAAGTTATCTACCCAATTCATTTAGCAAGAGAAGGCCCTACCATATTGCGCTGTGAAACTATAGAAGTCGCCCCTGATTCCATTTGGGAGCACGTTGTGCAGAGTGTTGTATAACTGCAGGAAGAAGTCACGGTAGGTCTCCGCTATCATGATCTTCTCTACGGAAGCCGGGCTCAGGTCTGCATGGGGCCCAGAAAAATTGGTGAAGCCGCGCGACAGGCAATGAGGTTGATCATGACGCCCATCTGTACAGATAAGTCAGCCTCTACAATGTTTCGCCGTCCGTACAATGATTGTTGAGGAGATTGATAACGTTCCAATTAGCAGTCCCTCTGTGGCTGGGTATTGTCCCAGCACAGGTGCCCAGAAGCAAAAGAAAAAATTGCTCTTACAGAATAATGGGCGGAAGTCTTTGAATGGTCCCGCTGTAAGGCAATGTCCACCGCCAACCCCTTCAGGGGCGCTCGGGTCTCCGTCACCGCCGAAACCAAGCTTCTTGGAAAAGATGGGTGAATTGGGGAGGTCTTCCCAGTCAAGGGTCCAATCCCAGTACCTGTAGACCATCAATAATAGGACAAGAGAGAATTCGAACTGGTCGTGCTGCTCATGAGAAGGTACTCACGGGAGTGCACCTTTGTATCCGCATCTGCTCCTGAGATATTGTTCGTAGACAAAGATGTAGCGCCTATGCCACGTCAAGAACGATGCGCTACCATGAGCTGCGAGGTTCAATCAGCCACCTCGCATATGAAAAAAAGGATAGAATCTAGCATTTCATTTGAGACATGTAAACAATTACTCACTATGATGAGCGGCCTGGTTATGTGCCCATGGAAAGTCGTCGTAGATCGTTCCATTGTCTCTCAAGACGGATGTAGTCGAAGCAAGACAAGTAACAGCTTTTAGGTACGATGATTTCTCATGTTCGGAAAGACTCCGCCACTCCCTTCTGAAGTAAGGGTCTGCGCATGTGGCTGAATACAGGGCGAGTTGACCATCCGATGATGTGTTGGCTCGGAAAATGGTCGTGCAAAGTGCATAGAAGCCTGTGCCGGCTAGAGTAAACAGAAACAGCCTACAGATGGCAATCCACAAGGTAAAGCTAAAGTTGCGATTCCGCGGCACGGTTTTTGGCTCTATGTTGGTATTTTCGACAACGGGCAAGAGTTCATACTTTTGATGGTCCGAGAATTTGAAAAACGGCATATTCATGTCTTGGGAAGAAACACACGCAACGAAGAACTTCCGGACGAACAGAGCACTGCATCAGTGAAATGCTAGAAGAGCAAGGTAGCACTCAATAGCTCAAGAACAATTATCAGGGAGCCGGATAGCAGCTCTGGAACAGGAGAACCAGAGACCCACCAACGTACCAGGTCTCAACACCCTAGCACCCTATAGTACGGGATGGGATACTGTATGGTAAGTGGCCTTCGCTACGCTACATCTTTGGAATTCGTATAAAGTATTCGAAACTTGTTCCCTGAAAAAGATACATGCTCCAACCTGGATGAATCTCTCCTGTCCCGGAGTAACCAACTATCCGGGATTCAGGACTGCAGACGTAAGCGGTGTTGATCCCTGCGAGGATGACGAATGACAGAAGCTTTCCTTTCACCCGTTCGATCTAGCTTTAATTAGAAGGTAGAATCATGAAATGGTTTACGCCGCATGCAAGGTCTCCAAAAACGATTCTGAACCCACTGATCGGCAGAGACTAGCAGCGAAGTGCTGCTCCGGACAGACATATGCATACAGGAGACTTGCACTCCTCTGGACAGGAATGGTTTGCACTTGGCAACAACTCGCAGCATGATCTCGACTTTTATGCTGGCAACTTGACCGCTACCTTACGTGTGGATCGAAGGAATGCAAAAACCTTGCTTGGCATAGCCGTTGTCCCGATATCAAGACTTATTGTGTAGGTTGTCCAATTTTGGTTCTCCGAGACCTTCATCGAGCGAGTTGAAGGGAACTAGGCAGCAGCAGCCTTTTTAGAGACTCTCCAAACACGAGAGTTAATCTTTTATCAGTATTTTTCTCAACGCAAAATTTGATCCTATGGCTTCGTTTAATCATGAGGCAGAAGGCTTCCTTGCCTCTCGGAACTCGTACGATGAACGCGACATTGAATCAACAAAGGAAGAAGGACCCGATGGTTTTGTTTGCTCCAGGTGTGAATTGAGAAGTCCTCGTTGGGGAATTAACATCATAGCCTTCCTAAGTGTTTTGGCCTTGAGTCTCATTTCTTTCACAATTGGACACTCTACTGCTCCACGAGCATCCAATAACAACTCATCAGGAGCATACTGTGAGATCACCAGCAGCATGAAAAGAAGCCCGTGTTAATGGAAGAATAAGACTGATGAGATCAAGCGCCGGCTTCGAAGGTACTCAAACCAAGGACTGAAGTTTTCCAAGCGTTTCATACCAAGTATATGGGCACCCCGGGCCCAGAGGTAGACGGTGCTTGGACAGCCCTTCTCCAATGTTTGTTGGCCCCATCTGTCACTCATCCGGATCTTATCAATGACACATGTCAGACTCAAATTTGCGATTCTCGGAATCAGAGATAGAGGCCATCTCGCCAGACCGCAAATATCAGACTGTTCAGCTTCCTGACGGTGGTTATTTCGGGATGTTGCACGCCTACCATGAGCTACACTGCCTGGTAAGTGATATTGGAATCGGACCTTCATGCTTCAATTTGAATACTCGCAGTCATCTAACCACATAAATACTACAGAAACACTTGCGCAAGTACCTTTACGCGGAACACTACTTCCCAGATGAGCTATCAGCAAAGCAGATCGAAGACAGGAGGCTTCACCTTGAGCACTGCGTTGACACTTTGCGCCAGGGCGTAATGTGTCGCGCAGATGTGCAACCAAGGACCATGCGCTGGCTCGACACGGAACCTATCCCAGGAGCAAACGTCACTAGCCCTCATAATTGCAACAGTTGGGAAGCACTTGATGACTGGGCTAGTCAGAGAAGCATCGATCGCATTTTTGAGCCTGGGTACCTGAAGCACCCTACCTTTGGTGATGTTTACTCTTCAGAGGGAACGGAAGCGCTCACTTCGATCGGACTGGCGTTTGAGACTGAACAACAATCATGAATATGACCAAATCTCGTCGTATGGGTAACTTCGTTGTAAATCATTTCAGAGTTCTGCCCAAAGGCTTGGACTGTTCAGTGTACCATTCAAAGCGTGGGTTTGCTAGTGTCGCCTAGCACACTTGATGCTCTCATTCAGACTCATGTGGACGATATCGACTTACTCGTCGACTATGTTATATTGTCCGAACAATCTATTGGAAGTTGAATTATAGACTTTCTGCCATTGTTAAAATTGAAGACAGATACGAACAATAGCTATCTACTTCTGCCGGCCCAAACCATAGAAGTAAATTCTTCTCGTAATTGCTGGCTTTCAACTCATGGTATGGCCAGTGAGTAAAGTTTGTTGGTCATTGGATGAATGAAGTGTCAAGCACGGAGAATGAAGATCCACAATGGCCATGTCCGCCCCTCGTGGTTTGTGAGTGGTAACGTGACAACAACATGGTGTGCCGGTATACCCCACAATCCCTGGGGAAGGAGGGGGACAGGATTCCAAAAGGGTAAAAATTGGGTCTGACGCAAGTCTTGACATGGATCTTTGTGTCGAACGCTACACAGCCTGCGCTGTCATCTGGAATCCGTAAGCACATGAGACTACACCTGTGTGTTGGTGCTAGGATCCTGTCCTCAAGCCAAACAAAATGGTTACCTCAAGGAGTAATGCCACATGACCTCCACTACTGTGTGAGTGCTCATGGCTTCCAGATAGTTGTGGAGTCCTCTAATAGGTCTTAAGGCCATTATGTACAAGCCAGGTCAGAAGCATGGTCAGACGCAGCGTCAGATAGACATCATTAGAGAAGTGGCAAGAAACGTAGCTAAGAAAACTGACATCTCATCAATGTCGAAGTGGGAACGCAAGGGTTGATGCCGATCTTGAATCAACTTACCTGATCATCGACAGAGAAGGAAGGTCTCAATGACAGACAGTGGTGATGATTCTCATCAGCCGTCATAGGTACTTTGACAAAGAGGCACAGCTCCATCTGCGGAGAGCCTTGAAAGGAGGAATACAAACAATTGAACAACTCCACCGGGAGTTTCGGAATAGGATTCGAAATCAAAGGGTAGCCAATAGCACTACGTGCACATAATGTTGGTGACTGGTCATATGCAAACGCTCTGTAATGCAAAATCCCACTTAGTCTACAAAAGAACCTTGGATAATCTCAATGTGCAGATCTCTTACTGTAGCAGATTTATCCTCCTGGAAGTGCGGGGAGCTTTAGACTAACTACTCCGACGTCTTGGCAGATCCTTGAGACCAAGACCAATTACGTCCACAGGTTTGTTCATGAGTTCATCAAGAGCAAGGCTGCGATTTTTATCCATACCAAAAATGACTAGGCGGGTTTTGATGAGCACTTGGTATATTGGGATGGAAACTGATCTCAAGTCAGCCAACGAGCTACGCCGTGGATGGAAGCTGCTCTCGTATATAAATCGGGTTGTTGCACAATATTTGTCTTTCGCATCCAATATCTTGCTCACTCACACTTTCTAATACAAAAAGAAAATATCAGTGAAAATCTGTCGATTTGTTCAGAGTCTACCTTCACAGTCACCGCGACAAAATGCGTTTCACAAACCTCACTGGACTTCTTGTTGCTCTTTACACTGCTGGTTCTCTGGCAGTCGGTGAGTTCTTTACGCGAGTCAAATAAGAATTTTAGACCTAACAAATTGGTACAGCAATTCCGCGCAGTGAGAGTAGCGACGCAGATGCGGCCTATGTCGAAGTAGTCCGACGTGGCGATGCCACTGACGCTGATGCCGCATATGTCGAGGTAGTCCGTCGCGCCGATGCTAGTGATGCAGACGCTGCCTATGTTGAGGTCGTCCGTCGTGCAGACGCGAGCGACGCAGATGCTGCCTACGTTGAGGTAGTGCGCCGCGGAGATGCCAGCGACGCGGACGCGGCCTATGTCGAAGTGGTCCGTCGCGGAAAAGCCAGCGATGCCGATGCGGCTTACGTTGAAGTTGTCTAAGATAATTAAAACTGCTTCGCACGAAGGGATGGATCTGCAGACTTCATGACGGCTGGAGAAAGGACTTCTATGTACCGCTGTAATGACCCAGTTCTTCGCATAACATAGGCAAATATGAACAAACCCATCACTTCAACACATCAACCCCACGCTTGTCTATATCTCGTATTTCAATTCTCTAGGTAACGGGAACTCAAGTCCTGGCGATGATAATACGTTATTGTAAGACGCACATGTTTCTACACATTCAACTCCCGGAGGCGAAAATGATATGCGTTCAACGATTACAAATTTATGTAGGCAGAGTTTTCGCCGACTATTTTGTTCTCGTATACTTCGATTTGTGTTCTGACAGGGGATTTCATCTCGGGAAAAGGTCATTATGCCTTCTTCGTGAGAATACGAAATTTCAAGCAAACTCTTCGATGCCATCCGCCTTCTCGTAGGCTATTCTTGCCCGGTTTCCCATTCATCTGCTTCGCCCCATGGCCGCCTAACAGGCTTCCAACAGTTTCCACTGCCTGATGAGGTTGGCGACTTTTACCGGAATTAGTAGTAATACTGCAATCATGATCGACAAACCCACCCAAGGGCGCAGAGACTATCCAGGCATCTTTGCTCAAGACAGCCGGGTTTCCTGCTCACCGCTTCCTGCCCTGATGCGGCGTAAATCCATCACATTGCCGTGATATCCAATGCATTGACAGAAGTTGGCCACAAAGGTAGTCGTGGTCTCGGGTCACATGCTCTGACATGCATTAGTTCTCTTATTCCTTCAAGCCTTGCGTGGGGAGAGGAGGAGCGGCGCTAATGCCTGGGAATGTAGCCACCATTCGATATGATGCAACGGAAGTTCAATTCGCCTCTGACAGCAACGGACAATTAATTGACGCCGATGCAGAGAAGTAAGCGCGTCACGAATCCTTCGAGTCTAGGCATATCACTGATCGAGACGATATACGAGGAGGCCTTGCCAACACAGCTCAAAGCCCCGCGTCTACGTAATTCGAGCCACACTGGACACGTGCAGCGCAAAGTCTACATGATGTACATAACATATCGGGTGTGTAACTGAGACTTCCTTCTCCTCTTATGCGACATGTGAGGGGCGCAGCGCAGTTCGGCTCGCGCGTGCAGATGGATTGACCATTACCCTGGCGGTCGGCAAGACCGGCATGACCATGACAGATATCCACTGCGGCGTGCTAATCGAGTTGATTAACAATCCCATCAATACCGACGCAATCGGTTCGCTTGAGAAGATTGGGGGTTCAACTTCGTCCCAAGTCATGCATCTTCCCCATAGCTCATCCCCGATCGACTCATCTCAATTTCAGAGTCTCCTCCTGACGGACGAGCGAACCTCTATCTAACATCACTGTGTCTCAATCTGTTTTCCTTGAGAATTGGCGAGATGGGTCTCCTGGATCGTCTCGCCTGGTCTAGGTCAGACCCTGCCTACGACTCAATTGCCTCTGATGAGGTCAAGCTCAGCTTGGAAGCAGGTTCACAACCATCACACAATCCTCTCCTCCTTGAACATGGGCACAAGAACTACTCCGCCCATAAACACTGGCGTTCTGCGATTCAATACACCCTCTTGTCCATTCTGACCGTTTTACTTTGCGTCGTGTCGACAGCATATTTCCGACTAGCATCGCGAACAGCCTCTGTCCAGCCTCTCCACTGTGGCGAAACTGTGACCGAGGCCGAAGCAGCTGGTTGCTCATTCGACATGCTATCTAAGGCTTGGTTACATCCGGAGTGCCCGCGTTTCGGAGAGCAAGAGTACATCGACGCATCCGAGGACCTGCTCAACGCCAGCAGCTGGTCTTACTGGCTTGACCCGGAAGGGTCAACTGAATTAAGCCCATTTCAGCTCTCGCAAATCGTTGAGAACAAACCTGGTAAGAGGTGGGCTTGGGCGGGAACAGACAGAGAGCACATTGCACATTGTACATATATTATTATACGGTTGGCTGAGGCTTATAACAAAGGAACTAGGGTGGATGGTTTGACGTCAAACTTTCCGCACACGAAGCATTGTGCTCTGATGATGATGAGGAAAGCGATGTATGCACCTGATTTGGACAAGATTGTTACGCGCGGAGACGTTATTATGGGCTCATGTTAAGATTAAGTTATCCAATACGATTTGTTGGTTATCATCTTGAAGGCCCGAGACGAGAAAAGCGCAGACCTCCCTATCAGTGCTGGTGGATAGTCGAGTGCAGATTGGTCTAGAGTGTACAGCACGTCCAACTTTCCTCAACATATAACAGAAGGTATGCGTGAAATCTATTCGCGAAATATTATGCGTTAGTGCTTTGCAAAAACGGAAAACAAACTCTTGACTCTGATCAAGACTGTGAAGGCTGGTCATTATGGTTGCTTCTGTAGAAGGGGCAAAGGTGCCTTTGATGCTACGCCCAGTGGAGGGTAATGGTGTCAAGAAGATTTATACACTGGTGGGAAGCGCGTTTGTTCGTGATCTCATTAACGGCGAGGCCTTGGACAAGACAGACGCTGGAAAGTTGATAGAAAGTCTGGTCTTATTACAGTAATATTATTGACTATGGTGATATACCGTCGCGAGGAGGCTTAGGGCCTTTAAGTAGATATAATAATCAGAACCATTGAATACCAACAAGACAATATGTTATAAATTACAATTTATTTATATAATCAATGATATAATAAGACATTTCAAATCAACTTGTAGTTTGCTGTTCCATTAAGAATTTCTTTGGTCATGTTCACCGACAAGCTCCCGTCACTCTCAAGACCCAGGCGGGATGTCCCATTCTCAGCTTTCAACTTCCGGATGGCAGCCAGGCGTGACAGCGTGGCCGCTCTGGTGTTGGACTTGGTGAACCAGTGATCCCAGGTGCAGTACGCCCACCTCGTCCTGTAGGCATCCATGTCGTCGCACGAGTAGAAGGTCTTGTCCGCGTCCTTGTAGCACTCGGCGTAGTCGAACTCGGAGCAGATAACGTTGCCGAGCCACTCGCCGCCGTCGAGGCCGAGCCACTCGGACTGCGAGCCCACCTGGAATACGAACTTGCAGTCCGACGCCCCGAAGAAGTTGTGCACCTCCATGCTCGCCGGGTAAGTCGGGTAGGTGTGGTCCGCGCCCTCCCAGTCCGGGTTGTAGCACTTCGAGTTGTCCCGAAGGTACGCGTCCACGCCCTGGGACTCGTCGTCCTCGTGCCCGACCCACACGTACTCCAAGCTCTGGTCATCCAGCGTCACTGCCATGTTGAACATGTCCCACCGCGCGGAGCGGGACGGGACACGGGGCTGGTTCGATGGCGACGATTGTGGTATAGAGGTCGCTGACTGTGGTGTAGTGGTCGCCGGCTGTGGCGCCGACGTGGTCGTGGGGTGGAGCTTGGGGTCTGAGTAGTCTGGCGGCTTCCCCGTGGGGTTCGGCTGGCAGTAGTACCCCGAACAGAGTTGTCCACAGTTGCTGCTGCATGTTGGCGAGGGTGTTCCGGGTGCCCACGTGATGGGGCTGGGTCTCAGGCCATTGCCACCGCCTGAAGAGCCGGAGCCCGTGCTGGCTCCGGGGGAGGGCAGTATGCATGCCTTTCTCTTCTGCTTGTCCTCGATGCCGCCACAATCCCTCAGCTCTTCGGGACAGAGAGGCTTCCCGTTAGCATCTTGCAACAGGCCATTCATGAGACATGATTCGCCTTTGATCTGGCCATTCCAGGCAAAAGGTTGCGGATCCCCCTTTGCCCTTACTCCCCCGTACTTGACCTCGGGGTCGTTAATATCCAGCTCCCTTTGAAGAATCTTCATCACCAGCAGTTCTGTCATAGTAGATGCGTCTTCGAAGGGTTCAGCCCAAGGAGACGCCAATCCACGATAGTAGGCAATCAAGCCCGCTACGATAGGTGCCGCAAAAGAGGTGCCGCTGACGAAATCGTAGGGGTATCCTTCCGGGTCGTTAATCGTGGGTACCATGACGTCCATCCCTGGAGCATGGACGATATTGTCCGACGCTTCTTCATCAGAACGGAAAACCTCACTGAAATAGGCATGCCTACCGTTCCCATCGGTAGCGCCCACCACTATCAGGTTCTCGATTTTTGGAGAATAGATAGCAGCAACGTCCCCCCGAATCAGTCGCTGCGGCAAGCCGTCATCGCAACGTACCCCCTTAGCTGCCTTGTTGCCTGCACTTGTAACAATCGAAACCCCAAGCTTCTGTAATTCTTGGAATAGGTATGCTGTCAACCCGCGTTAGTTAAGTCAGACGGAAAGAGGTCGTCGGAATGCCTTCGTCCACTGGTCCTCAACGACGTGGAGCCTTGGGCACCTGCGCCACGGAGCCAAGTTCCGGGCGAATAGAGAGACTAATCCGAAGGCCAAGATAAAAGGTGTGTCGACTTACCCATAGTGTCTACGAAATGCGGCGTCACCAAGGGCACCTCAATCGACGCCGACAGGTTGATGATGGACTTGCCCTGCCTCCCCTTTTTCTTCACGTCATCAAGAATCGAAATGAAAGCCGCGAGGTACTTTTCGTTGCAATGGTTCCAGATCTGGGCTATACTGTCTCCAGTTTCAACGAGGATGACCTTGGCGCCAGGCGCAATGCCGAAGTCCGCGCTCGCGGCGCAAGCAGCCACCTCGGTGCCATGTTCCACCTTCCTCTGAGCAGGGGGTCCAAAATCGGGCATTTCTAACACTTCGAAACTGGATTTGAGGCCCTAGAGGGAACATGGTCCTCGTTAGCATGGACTGGAAAGTAAAGTTATACGGGAGTAGGAGACAGCCACTCACCACACTCGCTTGATCTATCGCCTCTTCCATGATATAAATGTACTGCCCGGTGCCTGGGTCATCACCTTCGAAATAATATCGATGCTGTCTGATGCCGTTCTTCTGGAACGTGTAATCCGTGTCGCCTAACCAGTCTGCATCAGGCGGGGTCGAGACTTGTGACATTTGCCATACACCACTTTCGTCAGTACCTCGAGTCCATAGTTTATTCTGGATCCGTTGTGTCAGGATTGTCCGGTTTGAAGATCCAACCGAGTCCTCAACAGTATCTTGAGCTTGTAGCGAAGGGTTAGCCAGTAATTGCTGCTTTTGATATTCAAGATAGTCGAAGGCCGTGGCCACCTTTCGATGTTCCCAAAAACGTTAGTAGTGTGACAATGCGACTGAAGGACGTTGTCTCCGCAATTGAATGTGGCGGGGGAAAATAATGAAGACTGCACCAAATATAATGCAAATCTCTTACCTGGCTCATCTGCTCCAGCTCCAGCCGAAGGGACTCGGGACATTCATTCAAGTGAAGGAAAGGCGTGTATCCCCCGCTGATGGCATCTGTTCCGAAGCGGTTATAGCTCACGCCGCGCTCCCCCAGCAGCGCTACGACGGGTGCCACGTCGGCGTCGGACCATTTTCCAGTTCTCATATAGACAATAACATCAGCTGTGGGGTCGTCACACTCGCCAGCCTGCCGGGGATCAATCGTCGGTTCCGCTGAGACCGTGCTGGTTGCCGAGGCTGAGTTTGTTCTTGGGGTCTGCTGGCGCTTGGCTGGTGGGTTCGAGCACACTGCTGTCGCGGTAGCTGAGTCGTAGTCGCTGACGTCGCATCCGTAGACGGTCTCGCAAGTCGACATGACGCTCGTGGCGGTGGTCCTCGTCACTTCGCCAGCTGCGGAGAGCCCGTAGGAGGTGGTCGTGGAACATATTGAGGCCGAAACAGTCTTACAATCTGGCTCGTCAGAGAAGGTGGGATACCCGTTTGTCCCTATGCTGATACACCGAGCGAATATTGGTTAGCTTATGGGCCCAACCTGCGCAGTGCTGTGCAAGAACCGGAGAGCAACTAACGTTATCTTCGGCCAAGGGGGCAATGGCTTTGGAAAGTCCCAGCCATCCATATCAAAGTAGCTTCGGGGTGGTGGGCCTCTGATATGTTGTCAGCGTGATTGATTGACTATACACGGAGAAGGAAGAAGGGCAATTAGAGGACATAGATCTGGCTGAAAAGCTGCACTCACGGTCCGATCACTCCCTCGGGCAAATTTATTTTCCAGCCACCGATTATATCAGTGCACAGCTGGGATTGTCAAAATCAATTAGCACACACAGTGTCTTGGCGATGTAGACGGAGGTGTAAGCATGGCTTACGGTAACATAGAACGACTTACATTCATGAACCAAACATTGCAAGGAAATCTGATAGATTTTCTGGAAGCATCTTCGACAGGCTCAATCTTCTTGACCTTGTCGGTGACAGGAGTCACAATACCGGGTGGCCACGTTTTCCAAACTGGGAGCACGCCACCCGTGGATGTGGTAGTAGATGCGGGAGGTCCAGTCGTCGTTTCATCAGTTGGGTCGGGATTCTGTACACTGGTTGCTGTTTGTACCGGATCACCAGGATCAACAAAAGGCCAAGGGGGTAAGGTGACGCTACGAGTGGTAACCGTGCTAGTGCCGTCGGTGACTATCGTGACCGGGTATCCTATAGGTGGGAACACGATGCTTGGGGTTGGTTGGAAGGAGAAACCGTTGTGGGCGTCCGTGGTGATCTCGACGTTCGAGAACGGGATCTCTGTTGTTGTGATTGGAGGAGGTAAAATTGTGATGGTAGTGACACTGACAGTGTAGATAGTCGATGCGCCGGACGTTGTTGGGACCGCAACCTCTAGAGAGGTGGTATAAGGACCAAGTGATATCGTTGTGGGGCTCCCGAGAGCACTCGGTGGAAGCACCAAGACGCAGGGGGCGTCGCATTGCGCGGTGTGAGATACATAGACATCTCTGCCGATGTATGCGGTCTCCGCCCCGGATTGGGACTGGACACATGATCCCGGTGGACAGTAACCCCTGCTACAGGCAAAATTGCAGAGGCCATCATACAGGAACTTGTCTTTGCCTTCAGCAGCTGACCCCCCAGCGTGTATTTGGGCTGGGGGCTCATGCAAAGCACCTTGATCTGTGCATTTACACTGTTGATTGTAGGTTTCCAATTAGAGATGGCAGTCCGCATGCAGGGAAAGGCTCCCGAGTGAGTGACTTACAGAGTGAATAGGACAGTATCCAAAATTGCATGCATAGCTGCACAGCCCCTCCAGGTCGCCCGAGCCGGTCCCCCGAATGCAAGCAGGAGGGTCAAATGGAGAGGATGTTGGGATGAAGAGAGTGGAATTCGTGGTCGAGCAGTATTGCTCGGGGCAGTATCCGTAATTGCAAGCATACTCGCAGAGACCGCTGTAGTCGGCGCTCTTACCCACGGCCGGGTAGCCGACCGTTCCGAATCCTGGTGTGTTCTTTTCGATTGGGAGATCGGCTTGAGGTCCCAATTTGGTGCAGTAGCACGCACCAATAGGACAGTAGCTGTATTGACAGGTGAACTCACAGAGTTCGCTGAAACCGGTTGCACCAGTCCCTTCCACGCACACCTGCTCGGAGATGTTGAGGGACGGTGTGGCGTGGATGGCGCCTCCGGTCTGACTGCCAACCCACGCGTTCCAATTAGTAAGGCCATTCTGACCCGTCGCCCTCGTACATGAGGTGGTGATACTCTCGCCTTTGAACAGTAGGTCTCCAACCTTGATTTCGACAGTTCCGGTGTGGCTGCCGTAGGCGACGCTCCCGTGATAGATCCCCACCGGGTCAGATGGAGTATGAGTCCACGTTGCGCCGAGGTCTGCTCCACCGACTGTGACAGTTACCGCTTGGGCGCTCGCAAGTAGTGCAGAGTAGAAGATCTTATCTTGCACAACCGCCGATGGTGTGAATTCCACTTGCAGCTGGCTGGCGGTGTTGCCTGTGGTATCACCATCTTGACAGCCAGCCGTCTTCGGAGTGAGACGATACCACGCTGTGATTGCTTCTTCAGTCACGGTGGCTATGCCATTTTTACTGTGGAAGGCGATTAGCACATTTTCCGTTATGTCGGCGACGAATCAGCAAGACTTAGCGTGCTGTGAAACCTACTATGTATCGATGACAAACGGAAGAAGTTGTCGCCAACCATCGTGTGGCATATCCTTGGCGAAGTTGAAGGGCCCCTTGCCGACGCTGAAAGCATCGAATCCATCGTCATGTAATGGCCCTATGTAATGGGATTCTCCATAATCATTCCAAGAGATGATCTCGATGAATTCAGGTTGTACCCAAATCGCTTCTTCCCAGCGGTCGTACCATAGGTCGCTAGAACTGTCAGGTATTTGGTGAACACCGGGGAGAATTGTCTTGAATTGGAACTTACTCTCCTCGCCACAGCCAATTCTTATTATAGCCGGGCAGATTAGTGTAGAACCAAGGCGATACGGGCATCTGGTGCACGAAAGTATCAGTGTCCACCAACGCGTGCAGAGGCGCGACCGGTCGTAACGTGTCAACTTACCATGTAAGGCAAAGCTGTTCCAGTATCATTGAGGTATTGCAGGTAAGAAGCATCAGTGTACCTGCATTAGTGTCTTGCATCAGCTAGGTGTTCGGCACTCCAGATGCACAAGGAAGCGCGGCTGAGTGTATCCGACATGTTTTTATGTCTGAGACAAGATTCTTTGGAAGACAAGTAAAATATTCACGTACGTGTTTGAGTCTCGATCCCCCCAGGGCCATGCTGCCCAGCTGAAGAGACCATCTGGGACTCCAGGTACGAGAGCAAGAGCAGCTTTGGCACCCTCTGATGACCAATCGGGAACAAAGAAGCAGTCTGTGGCCGATTTGATCGCCACCCAGTCTGCAGCGTTGAGTGGGCCCTCGAATGTGGATACAAAAGGCTTTCCATTGTGTCGGTAGTAGGCCGGGCTTGCTGCGTATTTGTTGATATAGGAGATCACATCCGATTTGTCAAAAGGCCCATTGCCAGCGTAGTCGAAGGAGAAGAACAGCTTGAAGCCAACAGACGCCGCGGCACCAAATGCCAAGTCGAGGCTTGCAGACGTGGAAGGCTCACTAGCAGCGATGTTGAGTGCAAAGGCGTCGATGTGAGCACTTTGGGCCAGGGCTATGTCAGACTCCCACTGTTCTGTGCTCCATGTTGGAACATTTCCAACCTGTAGATCCGATTAGCACCACGTCTGTTTGGACATCTTCCAGGACTCGGAGGAACCTCTACCATAAAATGAGCAAACACAGCCTTCGCGGATGCTTCGGCAGAAGCAATAAGCACGAGGAGCCCTGAGAGCTTCATTGCGGCTCTATGTAGGCGTGTGTCTCGTGACAATCCGTGGTGTCGTGGCTTGCTTCTTGTGTTCCAGCTGTACGAGAGGCATCCAGGTGATATATATATATATATCCATATTTGACTTGTTCATGTAGTGTATCAAGACATTTCCATTTGACTAGCCTCGACCAACAGCCGCTTACTCCTATCCAACAATCCTGGTACCTCACCAGCCAGACAACACTACCAACAAGCACGAAGGATCGAGCTGCGGGTATGCTTTAAAATTACATGAGAAACACCATGTCTGAATGCCACGATACCCTCGGAGAGCCTTCCTGAGTCTGGCCCAGTGGCAAATGTCAGGCAGCCCACGTCTCCGTGCAGCAGGACTATGGTAATCTCCCAGCTCAGAGACTAGTGAATGGTGGCAGGATCAAACGAAAAAAAGCCCAACCAACATGTGCATTAGATTTTCGCTCAACTTCCGAACATGGGTTCTCACGCCATAGCCTGGCTGCAAAGTGTTTGCCCGTACAATCTCCTGATTGTGGACGCGGAGGTTCGGTGAGTCTAGACACTTGTTCGGCAAGAGTCATGAGCAACGGACACATCTAGTAGACGAATGCTACCTTCCTAAGTAGAATGGCTGAAAGACATCTAACAGAACCAACAAGTTGCCGCGGTGTGTGCATACTAAGGAGTACCCACCACGCGTGCTCCTGCATCGATGCCGCTTGTAAGGAACAAATAAGGAACAAAAGGCGCAAGGCACAGGTGCTAGTGATGCAGGGCGAATCAGAACGGTTCCTGGTCTCAGTATCCAAAGTCCCTCAGCGTCTCATCAAGGGATCGAAATGTCACCTTGACGGTGGGAGCCAGCCGGGCTAGCCTGAATTGTGAGAAAACGTGGAATTTAACTATTTGCGGCTCCCAAGCCGTTCCCACGCAGGGCTTGTTTAGACCCTGCAGGTGCCTCTCAGGGCCCAGTGGGGGTCGGACAGGGGTACGGCCAGACGGGCGGGTGGGTTCTTTTGTCGTTAGCTGGAGATGGTGAGGAGTTTGGCGTGCGGCACAGCAGTCATCTGAACCCTTCATAGAGTAGCAGACCGGCCGAGGGTCCATGGAAGATGCCCGCGCCTCGTTTGCGCAATCTCGGCTTCTCGGTCAAATTATCAAGAACCAGCGCTCTTCGAGTTCGCTACTTCACTCACAGTCAAACAATGTTGGTCCGTTTTCTAACTGGTCCGACCTCGTTCACTGCGCCTCAACACCAGCAACCAACCGACTGATCCTTGAGCATCCTCCCAGCGACAAAGGCGTCCTGTCTCCTGTCAGCACCACCTGTTCTCCATGGCTGACCGGGTCGTCCCGGCAGGGTCCTCGTCTACGGATTACCTGAAGAAGCCATACAAGCTTCTTCGCCAAGGCGCAGATGCCACCGTAACAGATGAGGATGGCAATGGCGCGTTCCACTATCTGGTGCAGAGCGACATGTTCAAGAGTCCTGCCGCGCCCCGTACATCCTTTTGGGCCCGGCGGGTACGGGCACCGTCGCCGGTCGACGACCCATCCATGACGATGGAAGGGCTCATCCACGGCTTGCAGGCCGCCGGGGCGGACATCAACCTCCAGAACAAGGATGGCGAGACTCCGTTACACGTGCTGTGCAGGAATGCCTCCTCCCGCAAAAAACTGGACGATAGGCTCTGTGAAAGTCTGTGTCAAGCTGGAGCTGACCTCAACATCAGGGACGGTCAAGGTCGCTCGGCGGTGTTCTGTCTTTTTCTGACCGGGCCACTCAACTATTGGAACAAGGACAAGGGCGAGCATCTGTGCCAGCTTGTGTCGCGTCTTGGGGGTCGCTTTGATGTCCAAGATAACTACGGCCGGAATGTGATACATTGCTTGCTTTCTAGTAAAGGTGACGTGCACTTGTCTCTTGTTGAGGCACTGGCTCGTCACGGTGTCGATCCCTCTGCTGTTGACGATGAAGGCAACACTCTGTGGCACACCGCTGTTGACCGTCTGGCAAGACCGCCCCAAGGAGACAAGCCTTTAAGCGATCTCCTACTGCGTCTGGGTGCCGATCCTCAGAAGCCGAACAAAAGGGGCCGCAATCCTCTTGACGGCATGAGCTCTCTCCAGGCACCAGTCCTCAGCTGGCCTTTGAAGATTTTCCCTGCGTGCATACCAGATCTGAGGACGACAGCATTCGACTGCCTGCTACAGATCTATCTGGAAACCGGCTATGACCTTGATTTCCGCGATAATCAAGGAATCACTCCCCTGCACCTGACCTGCACCTTCTCGGAATACCAGGCTGGGCGTCTTCTGCAAGCTGGGGCCAACCCAAAGATACCTACGCATGAAGGTCTGACACCTTTCCACCTCGCGGCACGATGCAGACAAGCCAATATCATTGGACTCTTGCTAGACAAAGCAAAGAGAGGCGAATCTGGATCAGGCGGCCTGCGATCGAGCTCAATCCATGAATTTGCCAATGCCAAGGACGCCCATGGAAAGACGGCTCTCTACTACGCCTGTGCCTCCGGCAGGGCCGAGAGTGTTGCATTGCTGCTTGATGCCGGGTGGTCGGTCCAAAGCGATGAATACAGCGGATCCGTATGGCAAGCGTGTGCGGAATTTGAGGAAGAGCAGATGAACTGGAGCAGCTCGCCTGCTGCCCTAGGCACCCAGCTGACCGCTTCCAGCGTTCTGATGGAAGACAAGAAGCGACCAATACTAGACAGGGCGAACAAGTTTTCCCGCGAGCATCTGGTGGATGTGCTAAGGCTTCTTCTCCAGCGCCAGGATGCTCCTGGAGCAATAGCCGGCTATCTGGACAAGTCAATATCGGTCGCGGCGGCAAAGCAGCTCGATTACACGGTTGAGTGTTTGGTACAGGCCCGCAAGTCGTTGCAACATTCACTAGAGCTGGGCATCGCGACAATCACGCTGGATGGACCTACCTCGGCCTGCCTGGCCAGAGTCAGTGCTCACGGCATCGCAGAAGCTGCCAGTTTATCCCCACAGGCTTTGAGGGCGGAATTCAAGCGACTTATGGAACTCCGGCGGCACAATCTTGTACAGAAGCTGCTTCTAGAGCACGGCTGGGGTGAGCTTGACGGAGATGGAAACACATTCATCCATGATCTGGTACAGCATGGATTCATCTCGGTCTTGCGGGGCCTCACGCCGTTAGTGAAGGAATTATCAACAAAGTTGGAAGACGTAGAATGGTGTGACAAACAGAAGCTAGCGTCATCGAAAGCCTCCTTCATCAATGGCTTCCCCAAGACGATTGATCAGCACTTCGGTCAGGGGTCCACACAGCCTCTCCTCCTCGCCGCCTGCCGGAGTGAAGAGCCAAATATGGAGGTGATCAGGTTTCTTGTCGAGGAGATTGGTTGTAATGTGAATACCCAGGGATACCTGAGGGTTCGCATCCCAAACTCACCGACTGGGCACGGTATATGCAAACACGAAACACCGATCCACACGCTTGTCCGGGGCAAGACGAATTGGTGGCATACCTCGGAGGCCCTATCGTATCTCGCCCAGAACCAAGGTGCGAACCTGGAGGTAAAGGACTATTTTCAGAGCACCCCACTGGCTGTTGCTGTGTCCCACATCGGGCGGGTCACCTTCAACCGCGGCGCCGTCGACAGGCTGTTAGAGTTCGGGGCGGACGCCAAGGCGGTGGACCTGAGCTGGACCTGCGAGAGCGCCGAGTTGACTAACCTGCTCCTCTCCAGGGGTGCGATAGTGAAGCCGGCGGCCATCCTCGCGGCCGTGAGGAGCAGGAATTGCGATGTACTGGACATGCTACTCTCACGCGGCGGGGACGTGAACGCGAGGGAAACATCTGTTCTGGCGGCACACCACCACCAGGATACCGCCATCTATGTCGAGACCACGGCGCCGCCGCGCGAGAAGTGGCTGCCAAGGACCGAGTTTGAGGAGCGCCTCCGGGGCGACAGGTGCTCGCAGGAGCCAGAGCCGCCGCCGCCGCCGGTGGATACGGAGACGACGACCTTCACCATCCCGGCGCCACCATACGTCCCCGAGCGGCAGATGTACCCGCTCGACTACGCCGCGCACCTGTTCTCGCGGCAGCCGGAGCTGGACGAGTTCGCCCGCGAGAGCCAGCCGGGCGGCAAGCACGTCGAGGTGAACCACGCGCGCGCGCGCCCGCTGCCCGCCGACGAGCTAGCGCGCGTGATCGAGCTGCTGATTGCGCACGGAGCCGACGTCAAGGCTGCGTATAAGGTCGAGGGTGCGAGGATGAGCATCAAGGATAGGATCGTGCAGCGGGCCGCGGAATGCCGGCTCCTGCCGCTTGGGAGGCCGCAGCTGGCAAGGAAGATCTTGGAGCTCTGTAAGGTGGATCCCGAGGGGGTCCTTTAACGTTGTATCATGGCTTTTTTTCTTTATGGGATGGGGGTGTATGTTCTCCCAAAATGTACACACGGGCGTGAATGGCTGGTTGCGATTGTAATCAATGATCTTGCGAGCCACAGGCCCCAGCTGGGAAAGGGGGTGTTATTAACGCTCGGTTTACTATGGGAACAGTGCCTGCGTTAGAGAGCAGTGGAAAAGAAGACGAGCCAAACTGTTCAAGTACCCATTCGGTGTTCACATTCATCATGTACGCGTTTGAACAGCTAGATACCTGCCAGATAAATTGTCGATTGTCATGTCGGTGTGATAGATGGGCTTGGGCCGGTATAGACCGAGAGCACATTGCGCATTGTAATTACACACAACGTTATACGGTTGACTTAGGCACATTACAAAGGCACCAGGGTAGATGCCGCGAGACTTCCCGCACACAAAGCATTGTGCCCTAATGATGAGGAGGAAGGCGATATATGCCCCTGATCTGGACAAAATTGTCACACGTGGAGATGTCATTATGGGTTCATGTTGAGATTATCAGCGTATGGTCTTACAAGGTCAAGATTAAACGGGACAAGGTTTATAGCAAATAAGGAAACAATTCAATTTCAGCCAAACTTCTACCAACCTGTTTCTAGCAGCTCAATGCGAAGAGAACAGAAAAGGAAAACAAATATTGATGGAGCAGTCGCGTTGCACTCAAGTAGACGCTGAGGTGGCATTGCCGTAGGCACCATGGCCATCGCAATCAACCTGGTCACCATCAATGACATAAGCAGACTTACAAGCTACAACAAGCTGAAGCTCACCCATGTTCATTGATTTCCCACATCGGAAAACGCTGGCCAAAGCAGTGTGATAGTAATCGTGGATCTCCCCACTCACTCCGGAGGGCGAGACGCTGAGAGCCTTCTGCATCAGCGGCATATAGCCGTGGTTCAGGCCGTCCAGCATCTCACCACCCCAGATCGAGCCGGGCTCACACTTCTTGGCCTCTGGAGAGGCCTGCGTGCTGTTGTTAGCAGCAGGAAAGGGTGCCGAGCTCCTGGTGACGACAGGCACACCGATGAACCCCGTGCTCTTGGCGGCCATGGGTGGTGCTTCAGGCAGCGTGATGTTAGCTGCGACAGAGGCCCGTCCGTCAGAAGACATCGAGTTACGGCATTGCTGTAGCTGTCGTTCGTTAATAACGCCAAGATAGATAGTTGAGGCCAGAAGACCGGTACTAAGGAACGTGAGGAAAATGATGGCCAACTTTTGATGGCTGATCCGGCGCTTCTGCGCGCTTGACTCCATCTGGAGAATCTCTTCGTCAATTGATCGCATCATTGCGACGCTGTTAAAATCACCAATGTTCGTGAGATGAGTCGCTGATGTTGAATTTCTCTGCACTTTATCGGAGCTCAACTGTTGAGGTGGAGATGGTTGGGTGGAATGGTGATCGATGAGTATATGTGGAAAGCCTGCATTTATATGCTGGGTTCACCTAGACACACAATAGTATCATCCGTGCCGAGGACAATAGAGAGATGGCAACAACGACGTTGTGGTCATAAGGCGTAGTGATTCCCTGACAAAGAGCCCTCAAAGGAGCCCTCGAAGGAGTTTTCGAGACAACGTTGACAATGCTTTGTCTTTATCAGGCACAATTTAGCACCTCGAGCCATCAATTAAAGCACACATGCCTCAGAAATACTGGTTTCTTTTTCTTTGAAAGCTCATGATATTCGATTTGCTGTGTTAAACAGATGCAGTCCACATGGCAGTCAGGGCGTCTCGATTTGGCTATAGATCTTCATGCTGTGTTGAAACGTGTTGTGTGCTCAACGATACACTGCAAATGTACCTCGATACTTCAATTTAGTGTGAAAACTATTATGTATAAGATCTTGGCTCGATTTATTCACTCGCTTGTCTTCAAATAGGTAAATAGTGCTCATCACCCGCAAAGAGGGCAATGAGAATCATCAAATGAAACCGCTCCACTATGGGCCATCACGCATCTGGAGGCACGCCTTTCCATGTTTTTTTCAGACCAAGCAAGTCAACATCCCCCACCCATAGAGACACCGGCTTTACCGACAGCTTCAGTTTATTCTTCTCAGCCTCCTGTGCCAGAACCCGCATGTTCTCTTCGGCCTTGTCCCGAGACTCAGCGCAGACAACAAAGGTAGTATGCAAGCAACGAACAAAAGACAGTTTCTCGTTGAAAGCCATATGCAGAAACCACTGCCACTCTCGAGTAGAATGGCATTCGTCGAATGGGAAAGCGTTCCAACGATAGATGTGGCCTTGCGCGGTCTTGAAATTCGCCGGGTTCTTGCGCGCCATCTTCAAAGGCCACGCGCAGTAGTGGATGTGAATTTTACCCTTTGCAAAAACAGCGTCAGAATGCGTAGCCCGGTATGACTGGGCGAAATCGTAAAGGCTACCCGGGGGAATATTAACCTCAGCAGACATAAAAGGCTTTTTCTGGATGGAATTTTCATCCAAGGGAGTTCCTGGCTGATACGGAAAGAAAAGATCCTGCTGTCCGTCTATGCCATGGTATAGCAATGGTGTGGATTGAGGGGTCTCGAAAGTTTCCAGTAATGTGATGACCTTTTGCGACTCCATCTCGGAAAGGATCTTCCGTATGAAGCGGATATCTGAGTAAGTTTTCGGAACTTCGGCATGGCTGTGGGCGAAATCGGGAAACTTGTCGACGATGTCCCACTGACGCACTCGATGTCCCTCGTAATGTGGACTGACATCCGCAGGGTCGAATACTGCGGAAGAGTGGGGAGAAAGGAATGCTTCTATCCAAGTTTCTTGCTCGGATGCAGGTATTGACTCGGTTATCGCCCGATCAAAAATGTCTCGAGTGCTATGGTCACCAGCCACTTCTCTGAGGGTTTCTGCTGTCTCTTGCAAGATGGTAAACTGTTTCCCAGGCTCTCGATCGATGATGATGATGAGATGAAAGTTTTCAAATCCCTCCCTTTCTCTCCTTTCTCTAATGAACCTGACGTCGTCAAGAATACTCTTCACAGACCACTCTGTCACCCACGGAGCATCTGGTAGAGCGTCCTTATTCTTGGCCGATCGAGTTCTTCTGATGAAAGGGAGCTCTTTGTCGTCCTGCTTATTATGAAATGGAAGCCAGCACCCGGTGGATTCGAAGTCGGTCGCTATGACAATGAACCGGGCAATGCGAACCGACAATTCCTTGATAAGCGGCAGAGCCGATGGATCCGACTTTCCCATTCTTCCAACGAGGTAGCATCGCGACTCTACCTCTGTTATTTCACCAGGTCTACTGGAGAACTGCTGGCATATAGGATCTTGAAAACCTTTCAATAGAGCCACAAATCCTTGGAGAACCGCTATTTCATTCTCCTGTGAAAAATCGTCTTCTGGGCGGTACCAATTCGCTTCCGTGTCCTCGGAGTCACCGTAACGACGTAGTGCAACCAGGCGCTTTACCAGTACTAAATCCTCGAACGAGAAGCAAAGTTGCTCCACATTCCACCACTCCACTAGATTCCAGAAGTAACAGTGTACGATATCCCAAGCCTCAACCGTCATCCTACGTCCGGTATTATCCGTAGAGACGGACGCGCCAAGAATCATCATAGTGGATGGACCTTCGATGGGTAGTAGGTAGTCGTAGACGGCATCGCGAAGGAAATGTAAGGTATCCTGACGTCCAAGTGCTTGGAAAAATTTAATGTAGCCCTCGAGCTCCTCAGGGATACTATGCCGAAGGAATTGGTCGATGGTGCTGGTACGGCTCGCTCTGGCTAATGTTTCTGTATCTGCTTTCCAGACTAGGAACTCCCTCAAAATGTATCTAATGACCAAGTCATCCGTGCTGGGGCTCTGCTCCTCCACAGTGTCAGAACCAGGGACGGATGTCCTTGAGTCATCCAGAGATGGCGAGATTCCGTAGAGTTTGTCCACGAGGCCATCCACCGCCATATTCAGGGAACTTTTGATGACCACAGCCGGCGAGTCCCTCGGAAGGTGATCCAACGCTGACATTGGTACTTCAGGGGAGATTAGCGATCTGCACACTCGCACGTCGCCTTTTTTCTTTGGCCCCTCTGGTGACTCCGATGGTGTAGGGCCTTCTGTTGGCGGGTCTGAAGGCTGCTGTAAATCCTGGGATATTTTCTTGAGATGGTCAATTTCGCTGCGAAGTTTGAGCATCCACTGGAAGTGCCCTCGGTTGTCGGCATTCAGACTATAGAATCGACGGTTCACGGCGTCTCTCAGCCCAACCACTTCCTCGCCGACGCGGATCTTCTCCTCCAGCTTGCTATTTCCATCCTCGTCTACAGTGAAACTGATAGCTTTAAAATCTCTCTCTCGTACCTTGTACAGATTATACAACTTTTTCTGCTCCCGTTGATGTTGGTGGCAGAATCGATAGTGCGGCTGATCCACCTCAGTACGGCAGTCCTTGCCATCATTCAGCAGTGCCGTGCAAATTTTCCTCCTGCTCTCAACTCGTGTCTGACCTTTTTTCTGGGAGTACTGAAGCCGAAAGCTTGGGGCGCTATGCCTGTTGCTGTCTGGTGAGGTCGCCATGACCACATTCGAGGGACTCTACGGTTATGATGAGCCAGAAAGAAAAACGACGCAAGAGGATGTGGAAAGTGATGGACAGCCTCTCGAGGGGCGGGGTATATCTTCTGTCTGATTGACTGCGGAAAGGTCAAGACGGGCTTCATTGGCTGGTATCTGCATGCATCATGCACATGCCGTCTTGCAGTACTTGTATTACTGTACCATAAAGCAGGCTTCTCAAGGCAGACAGGCCTGCAAAACCACGTTAGGTACACTCCCAGGACTTCATAGTGGCCATGTCTAGTTTAAAAAAGGGGTCAAACAGCCAACGACCATATCCAGAGCAAGGTTAGGTTAGATCACAGATACGTGTGTATGAACGAGGGAACCAACAAGGCACCACAAAAAAGTCTTGATTCCCGCTGAATCTGGGCGTGGTTAGCTCGAGCAATCACAAACAGTACTGCAAAACCAACGTCTCACATGTCATTTTACGTGGGTCGAAGAAGGGAAGAAGGCCTGATCACAGCCTCACGCAGCAAAGATACTTTCGCAATGATTTATATTGTCAGCCCAGGTGAACCAAGTATATAAATAATTATCCCCGGCCCAGCCCTCCTTACGGAACCTCAGTCCACACAATCACCGATTCCACCCAAAGCCCAACTCCAATAAACGACAGCATGCCCATCCAAACAACTCTATCAAGTCCCCATCAGAGGAAGACAGCCCAGAAGGTCCTCTAAACAGCCCATCAAGTAAGAGTAAAACGATATGGTATGCTTATGTGCTGTGGTAGGGGGGTATGTATTTATGTAATCCACCCAAACCAGGCCCATAAGAGAAAAATGATGATGATGCCCCCACATCCCTGATGAGAAGGCGTTGCCACGCCGCAGGGAATATTTATCGCCCGCCCGCCCAAAGTTGGAATGCGAATTGGAATCGAAAAAGAAAAACCAGATCAAGTCAAAAATCGTACACGCATGGACAAATTTGTTCCTCCAGTTCCTTGCTGGCTGGTCACTTCGGTGCTCCGTCGCCAGGCCGGCTAGATCTGGTCCCGTCTCGCTTCTAGATGTCAGGATAAATACGTCTCAGATTATACCTTGACACCACATAATAAAACATCAAATCTTCTTTTCATATACATCATTTGAAATATTTCTTTGTACCCCTGCTCAGTCGACCGTCTTCCCGCCGCAGTCAGGGATCTTGACGCCGTCCTTGAGGTTCCGGTTGACGTCCATCAGGCCCCAGTGGTCCTCCCAGTTCTGGCTGCCCGAGTTGTACATGATCTTCCAGGGCTCGTCGAAGCTCTCGAACCAGAAGTAGTTTGTGCCGTTGGTGAGGGCCTGGCACACCCAGCCCTCCATGAACGTGTTCATCTCGTCGATGCCGGCGACCGAGGCATCCGGGCAGTCGGTGACCGTGCTGGTGCCGCAGTCGGTGCCGCCCTGCGACGGCCAGCCCGTCTCGGCGATGATGTTCTTGCTGATGTCGGACTTCCAGAAGCCGCCGTTCTGGTTCGACCAGAACGACCACGTCCACGACGCCGCGTCCTTGGCGTTGACGCCCGCGAAGAAGGGGTGGATGTTGGACATGATGTAGTCGCTCATCGATGCGAGCTCCGACGTCCAGTCGTCGCCTAGGTCGGATGTCGCTACGGGCAGGTTCAGGTTTCTGCTGGTGAGGTTGGTGCGTACCTCCGAGAGCAGCGACCCCAGCTCTGTGGCCGTCATCTGTTCGCGGAACAGAATTTCGTTGGCGACGATCAGTCCCTTGAACGGGCTGTCCCCATACTCGTCCAGAATGTCCCACATTTGACTCAGCTGCCGCTCGTTCGTGGTCGAGTTGCCATCTTGCCAGACGCCCAGCCAGATCTTTATTGTGTCCTTCAGCTGTAGCTGGTCAACGGCATGGATGAGCATCTGTGTCTGGTTGCAATCTGTTCCGTAGAGTCGTATGGTGTTGGTCAGCTGGGACAGCACGGCCACGTCGCGGGTGATGTTGTTCTGCGAGGGGGGATTGTGTAGGCAGTCGGGGTATTGCGTGTTGAGCGGTGTATAATCGATCCCGGGGAAAACCTTGTGTAGGTTCTTGTTGTTCAAGAGCTTCTTGATCTCGGAGCTGTTGATGTCGAGGTCCCCATTGTCTGCAGTGTCATCCGCTGCCGATTGGCCAGTTGAAGCGCCGGATCCCTTATTCTTGACGATTCCGAAATACACTCCTAACGCAATACCAGCGGCGATCAGGAGGAGAACACCGCCTGCGATTAACCATTTCCACTTCTTCGAGCTGGCGCCCTGTTTCTCCAGCCAGGCAGACTTTTCAGCGGGAGTTGTGCCGAGGTCATACGTGCTGCCACCAGCTCCTTGATATGCTGTGTTGCCCTGCACGGCGTCGTAGTGGCCGCTGCCGTCTCGACTCGCTCCATTCTTCCCAACGAGGCCGCCAATGGCCCCCATCACGCCGGCGCCCGCGGTCGCCCCGCCTGCTGCTGCTGCAGCCCCGTGGTGACCACTTCGATTGCTCGAGTTCCCGAGACTCAGCATGCTATGCCGGGCCCCTCTCTGGTTGTATTCGAGCCCATCGTCGCCGTCGTCGAGGATCTCGTTGGGGTCGACAGTGCCCAAGTTGGCGCGGCTGTGTACTGAATAGCCCTGGTAGGGGTCGTCGCGGTAGGATCCGGGGCCGTAGCCTGGACTTCTTGACCTGTATCCCGGCGAAGACTGGGCCATTGGCACTGCGGCGGTGTTCAGGCCCTGCGAACTGGACTGTGAGGCGCGGTCGCCGGGGTGGTCGCCAGTGTATGCTGCTGGTCCTGGCCGCAGACTTGCTTGTGGATCATGCATCCCATAATCGTTGTTACCTCGTCCGTACGGGTCTTGTGCTTGGTAGGTTTGTTGGGGGTAGTTGGGGCCCCTCATGGCGTCGAGCCCGCTCTCTCTTGGATTTTGTTCTGCTACACCGTAAGCAATGCCCGCAACTCCCCCGGCAGCCGCCTCACTGAAGTTGTCCGCACCTGGGGTGATGTTGCTCTGTGGTGGAGCGTAGTAGTCTGGGTCCGGCCTCCACTGGCCTTGGGCTTGTGGAGGTACAGGTGATTGAACATAACTAGGCGGCGACATTGTTGACGCTGCTCCTGCACCGAAGCCTGCGGCAGCGCCGGCGGCCATGTAAGGTGTTCGACTCGAGTTTGGTGGTGGCATGCCCTCCCTACTTGACCTCCTGTTTGCGCGCATCTGAGAAAATGCAGAGTCTGGGTGCGCCCCGGGCATGGCCTGTCGACTGGGCGAGTCTTCGTATCGAGGCTGCTCGTAGCGTCTTGAGCCGGCAGCTGGAGGGTATTGAGACATTGTGGGTGATGTCTGCTGGTGCTGCAGTGGACGTTGTTCTGGGGAAGAGTTGGTGTTGAAGGCCTCCCTTTCGTCGCCTTCGGACTCGAATGAGTATCGAGGCATGCTGTCGGAGATTGAGGATCCCAATTTCAGGAAGAGGAAGGGTGTCTCAGAGCAAGAAGTGGCCTTCCCTGACGGATCGGCAGACAAAGGGCCTGGCAGCAACGGGGGCAGAGGGAGTGTTTGCCAGTCACAGTCCGGAGTTTGAATCAGGACTAGGAATAGACTGGAGCAGCGTGTCGGAGATTGAGAGAGCGCTGCAACCACGACCAGGAACGGCGTAAATTGGGCCGAGGGAGGGAGAAATCAGAGAGATAGAGTGCTTCCCCCTTGGCGGCTGGGTGGGAGGGAAGTATGATAACGCAATGTAACCGATTGCTGCTGGATAAATTGGCGACAATCTCCCAGGCAATTCTCCTGTGGTATTCAGGTTTCGGTTTCCTAAGCTCTGCTCGCTTGTGGTTGTTTGGGTTCGTCCTCGTTCATGCGTTTGGCCTCCGGCTCGCTCTCGCCAGTCGAGTGCAGCACACACAGCCCGTGCCAGCCCTGTCTATTTTTATGCTTATTGAGTGGGTCGGGCGAAGCGAAGAATGGCGGGTGGGCAAGAAGCAACACGATGGGGCAGAGTGTGGACCGAAGAGGAGTCGTTGTACTGGCAAAAAGAGCGATCGAGGTCGAAGTATGCAATGTGAGAAGGAATCAACACGAATGCAGGTACTGTAAGCAAAAAGAGAGAGAAAAAAAGGAAACAATCAGTCAGACAAGACAGGCAAACCAAACAGGTCGCTGAGTGATGACCTCGCTCGCTGGGCTCCCTCGTATTCTTGGAAACAGGAAACACAGGCTGGTAAAGGAAGGGCGGCTGGGGTTTGAGGGAGCAACGAATTGGCTGGTTGGGATGGGCGGGATGGCTGGGATTGTGGGTTCTGGAGTGTGTTCCCTCCAACGTAGGGGCGATCATCTGCCCCCCAGGTGGCTAGCGTCTGCAACAAGAGGGCCTGATCCTGCTGGGGCCAGCTAGGGCAGCCAGGGCAGCCTGGCCTTGGGGAAAGAAAAGGGTTCCCACCTCCCCACCTTTCCACCTGCCCAACCCCCTCTCCCTGGACTCACTGCTGCTTCTGATTGGAGGGTTCAGTTCTGCTGGCTGCATGCACTCGTCTCGTCTCCCAAGCGACCAGCAAAGAAAGGATCCCCAGATGTGACAGACAGACAATGAATAGCTGATATATCAAATAGCATGCACGTGTGGCATTTTTGACTGCATGAATTGCAATGTAAACATCAAATATTTGGTGATGGCATCAAGTGCTGGTCAGGTCAAGAAAGCAAGCGACGCCAGCAGACCGAGGCTCACCACCATACAGTAGTACAGCGTTGCCCACACCCCCGTCTCTTCTCTCACCCCCTCTGACCCCTCTCACCTAATGTGTACTCCCTTCTCCCTTCCAAGACCCAAGACCACGTTCGTATTCAACGGGTCTACTCTGACCGTGCGGATACGTTTACGAGCCTTCCAAGGTTTGGGGCTAGAAACACGCCACCGACAGTGCTAAACTCCCCAAACTCCCCAAACTGCCATGATATTGCCGCTGCTAATGCTACTGCTATCTTTGTCTCGTCTTGGTGGAGGCGACACTTCGTCTTTCGTGGGTTGAGTCAGGAACGGTTGCAAAGAACTGCTGGCTACCTCCAAACGAGGAATTTACAGGGCAGGGCAGGGCAGGGTAAGAGACCAGACACGATCCAAGTTGTCGAACAACCTACTCGGCTGACCAGTCCAAATCCATGCCGGTTCTTCCGATAGACAGCAGATCAGCCTACCCAGTCTCGTTTCTACGGTTCATCTGTCTCCCTCTCTCTGGCAGTGACGCAGGGAGAAACTGGCTGCTCGCTCATCCAAAACATCCAAGCTTATTTAGCTTATTTTAGACCGAGAAGCCCGCAGACATGAACCCAGCTGGCTGGCCTGGCTGGCTGGCCACACACGACTTCGCCATCCCGGAAAAAGGAAAAAAGAGTTTAGCGCCAACCTGGGCATCATGCAGTCAGGGGTACGAAGACTAGCAGTGCCGCTCATCTCAATCCACCACACCAACGCTGCAGGTTGGTTACATACACTAAATGCCAAGCTTTCATGTCAACAACAGAGCTGATGACAACAACGAAGAGCATCAATACACGTGTGATTGAAGCTGCTGGAGATGACGACCATCGTTCTAGCGGACCTGGCAGCAGCTTGAGTAGTATCTCAGCACCCTCGCTGTGTGGTCCGTGTCATGTTGCACTTTATTGTTCACCGTGTGAGATGTTAAGAGACCTCATGAAACCACCCCCGTTGAACAGTGACATCATCCCACCAAGTGGTGATCCACCCACGGCAGTGCGGCAGTGGAGCCAAACAGACAGACAGACAGATAGACAGAGACACACGAAGGATCAAAGTGGTGCATCAGACAAGCGAGAAGGTCGTGAGCTCGTCTCGCCTCGTCTCGTCTCAGCCCGTCTCCTCACAGGAACCCGCTCAAAGCGCCCACAAGATATCAACCGCCCCCAGGAGGCAGCCCCCCAGCCGGCAGCAGCACCTGCTTCTCCTTGCGCAGGCCCTTGACGACGCTCGCGTCGACCTTGAGCGACTGCGCCGCCATCTCGGGCGGCGTCAGCGCCAGCCACTGCGCCAGCGAGATGTCCGCCACCCGCCCCGCCCGGAACACCTCCAGGTACGTGAGCCCCGAGTCCGCCGACGTGTTCTCCACGTAGTGGCCCGACCCGGCCGGGAACGTCGCCGTGTCGCCCGCCCCGAAGTCGAACGTGCGCGCGTTGCCGTCGCCTGTGAATACCGTTGCCCGCCCCGTGCCTTGGTGGAAGTAGAGCCACTCTTCTGCCTGTGTGTGTGTGGAATTTGTTAGCCTGAGCCTTTCAATTTCGTGCGGGTTTCTCTCTGTGCGTCTGTGCGTTTGTCCGCCGTGTGTGATGTGTGTGATTGTTTATTCTGCCATGATACAGACGTAGCAGACGGGGCCAAGACTCACGTCAGGATGCCAGTGCATCTCCCTCATCGCCCCCGGCGCAAGCGTCACCAGCGCCGCCGCGATAGACGTGCTCCTCGGGAAATTCGTCGAGTCGATCTTGTAAAGCGAGCCGCCTCCCCCGGGCGCCTGGATCGGCGGCTGCTGCAGCGTGCGGTACACAAACGAGTCCGCGCCCGCAGCAGGCTGCTCGCCCGGCCCAGCCGTGACAACGCGGCCGGCATCGTCCCCGACGCTGCCATTGAGGACGCCGGGGCTGGGCCGCGGCACGCCGTCAAAGACGGCCGCGTCGACGCCAAAGTTCTTGGCCAGCACGTCGCGCGGCGTGTGCGCGACCCAGTCGTCCAGGTTGAACGTCGAGCCCGCCGCGTCCGTGTCGGGCCCGTCAAACACCAGCAGGAACTCGTTCTCCTCGCCCGTCCCCTGCACCGTGTGCGCCACCCCGCGCGGGAAGTACCAGATGTCGCCGAACCCGAGCGTCTCCGCCTGGTACGCGCCGTTCTGGTCCACCGCTGAGATCAGCACGCTGCCGTTGTACACGAAACCCCACTCTGCCGTGTTGTGCCAGTGCGGCTCGCGGATCGCGCCCTGGGACAGGTGCTGCTGCGCCGCAGATATGTCGTGGCTGGAGGGGAGGTCGGTGATGGTCTGCTTGCGGGTCCATCCGCCGTTTAGGATGCGTGTCTTGGATTGTGAGAAGCTCCATTTCAGATTGGGCACGACGCCGTTGTCGGTGGGCTGCTGGCCCAGGTTGGATGGGTTCTGGAGGTCGAGCTGGTGGTTTGTGCCTCCCAGTATGGGACCTCCTTTGCCGGATCCGTCAATTGGCTGGCCCGTGTCGAATTGAGGCCTGTCTCGTTTTGTTAAGAGCTGCGCTCCGTTGCTGTAGTACAAGGGCATCGGTCGACCCGTGTCGACGTGTGCCCAGAACACTAGGTCAACCAACGGCCAGAGATGTCTGGATCTCATGGCTGCTCAATGAGTAGAACACACAGCCTCGACAACTGGGAGGGGGGAAAGTCTTGCATGTGAGACAAGGAAAGGTGTATACGGGGTGAGGGGAATCATGGGCACCCACCACTGAAGTATGACATCGTCCATGCCCATCTCGTATGTGGAATGCTCAAGTGGGCTGCGAAGGTTGCTGATGTCTCCTTTCGCATGCTCGTGCGGAGCATGCTCATGCCTTCTCGATAGCTAGGCAGCCTCGCGAAGTTTGTGGGATGAATCATCACCCAGTGCCGGTATCCATTGATCTATCTGCAGCGAAGCTTGATATGTGCTTCGGCCAAAGTCTGCTTGCAAAAAGACTTGCTCGTGTCGTGAAGCTCAGTGACGGGCTCTCTGCGATACGGGCAGGCCAGTCATGTTGTGGGCTTTGTGCACAATGATCCAAATTTGGGTCCAAAAAGAGCGGGCTTGTCGGTTTATCTGACTTCATCTCGACTTTTAACCGTGGTCCTCGAGTCTATTCCTGGGGGCCCGGGTGTCCAATGCCACCAGCTTGGGCTCCCGCCGTGACCTGCGTGAGGGGAAGCTGATGGTTCAGCCCGTGATCAGACGAAGCTGCGGGCTGAAGCTATCGTCGAGCCGTCCATTGAAATTGGGGATGTCCCCGCCAGTTTTCTGCACAAGTCACGGCAGTCACCGTTGCCGTCAAAATGTCAAATAGACAATGGCTTGGTCTGGCCCACGAATATTAGAGTATTGCGGTGAACTGGCGCTTTCATGTACAACAGGCAGACCTGAGGCCCGATCACAGGTATCACCTAGAGACAATGTGATGGACATTTTGAAGGTTCATACAATTTGCTGTGGTGTTACCAATCTCGATTTGAATTGTCCTCCCATTGCCTCATCACATCCTTCATGCTGGTCATACGTGTTCTCCCTTCTCATTGTCAAGAATTATCGCCAGCATTGAAATCATTTACATTGTCCCTGCAGACAAGTTGCCCGGGAGAGTGATCAAGCCTTACAAGAAGAAACAATTATTGTTGTACAACTATCTAGGTATTGGTGCAGCAAGTTCTCGCAGCGTGGCCAATTGCCTAGAATATGCCTGGTTGGTATCCTGTCCCAGGTAAGAATGCATGCAGCACGCACGCATGGCCGAGACTTGACCATGGTAGTAAACGAGTTGACGCTCGCTCATCATAGTATCCCTAGCCTTCCACTTCATTTCGTCATCTACCCACTAGGCAGGGACTCAAACAAGGCAATCCGGAATGCACCATATCATCTAACATCTTCTTCCACCACAGTGGCTATGTCCCACCACCGATTGCCTCCTTCACGCTCAAGCGCGACCTCCATCTCGCCCCGTGAAACTCATCACAGCCTCCTCCTGTCAATTGCTTTCATGTACTTCTTGATAAGCGGTTGGAGGAACTCCGGCAGCGTCATGGACCGGAGATCCTGGTGACTAGACCAGATGGTGGGGTCAGAGTCTTCCTCACCGTCCCACTGGAATACCAGGTCCCGCGACAGGGCACTCAGGAAATCGAGGTAGTTCTTCCGAAGGACGGCCGGGTCTCTCACTTTCCCACGGCGCGTGAGAAAATATTGCAATGGTCCGCTCAGCGGGTTGAGGGTCAAGACAAGTATCGTAAGCTCGGCCATGTAGGCGTAAGTTTCCTTTGTGACGGCAAGGATGCTGGTCAAGTCCGGTGCGGTCGATGGAATCTCCGCGAGGTGGAGGGTGTTGTGTCCGTCGGGGCCGTTGGCCAGCAGTGAGTCGAGGCGCTTGAGTTGCCGTGGGATTTCGATTCCTGTCAAGGTGTTCTTCGGTGGAGGCCGGCTGTAGACGGTGAAGTCCACCCAGATGGGGCGCTTGGCTTGGGGTCGAGCGGACGCGTTGGTCATTAGGATCGTAGGTGGCGGGATGTACAATGAAGACCCTGGTGAGATCCGTGGGTACAAGAGCTTGTGAAGTCTGTTGTCTTTTGTCAGATGGGATAGCTTCGGCGCGTACCACGCGCGTGGTACGCGTTCGACGAGGCTTCGTCTGTGGAAGGAAAGTAAACGGCCCAGGAGTTGCTAGAGACTTACGACATGTACCTGCCCAGCGGTGAGAAGAATGTCAGAGTTTCTCCGGGTGCCTTCTTGCGAAGCTTTGCATTGACCTCAGACATCATAAGACCGTTGAAACCCTCGTAGCTGTAACCTTCCAGTCCATCTTGCAGCAGAATGCAAGCCCACACAGACTCGTATCGTGCTCCACTGGAGTCGTTACTGGACTGTGGACGACTGATCTTTCCTAAGAGAATATTCACAGCGACGGTGGCCATCTTGTCTTTCGATTCATTCAATGCTGGAAGGAGCAGTGTTGTCTTGTCCTGAGGTGTTCCTTTAGAAGTACCAATCGCGTCAATCAATCACGACGAGGCTGTGATTGACAGACTGTTATTGGATGATCGCAGGGTTTTTGTTGTTCTCGAACTTTGTGGCGGTTTGGTTCAATCAAAAATGACTGAGTCTGGTTTGGACACGATTTGTTGTTTTGGAGGGAAAGATGCAAACGACTCGTTTGCGGAAGACTCGTGTTGATTGATCTCCGGGGAGAGTCAACAGTAAGTAGGTGCACTTGCGCTGGTGAGCGCGGGATGTATTGCAGTTTTCATCACAGTAGTATGGGTTCCGACTTCTTTAAATCAAGGCATATGCCAAGAGACTGAAAATAGCTGCTTGCAAAATTGCTAGCAGGATTTTGACACAATCAAGTTGGACGAGACATCTGATTGCATTCGCAATACTCAACACAGTTGACTCGAGCTCTGGGCCAAGAAAGGCTATAGCGTCCACCTCAGGACAGCATCTGGTTGCTGAATCATACATGAAAGGTCGCTGTGTGCTTGAGACATGATGTTCACAAGACCTTTTGTTTGTGATCTGGTCCAAACATCCTTCGGTATGAGGTGAAAACTGTGGTTGTGAAAGCAAAGATCCAACATAATACCGTTCGCAGGAAAGCAGATTTCATCATCTGCTCCACCATCTCCTGGTCCGATGGCTTCGCATTCATTATCTCTGTTCTCCCATCTTCATGCGACGCTGTCTGGCTGCCTACAAGCGTAGGTGTTGAATTGTCATGTGATGTGACAGACATGGTGTCCATGGGCTCCTCTCGAAGCACTGAGCACGGACCGGAGAAATACAGTCCAGCCCGTTCCAAGCTCTGCTGAGACAGCTCCATCGGACTGAGTCTCTGGGACTGATCGATGCTTGCCAGAAGACTCCGACTTCCGGTAGTATTGCTATCCCCGGGCAATTGCAACTGCGGACTGCTACCTTGAGCTTGGAGTCGACCGGATGGCGTTGCAAATGGGATCCGGGTTGAGTGTCTTGGTGACTCTATCGTGTGCTGTGCCATGGATTGTGTAGTCCCCAGCGGTCGAAAAATCGGCACATCTACCTTGGGCAGTTCTATTGGTACGGCGAGTCGATTTTCAAGCTGCATGGCGTACTCCAGACCTCGAGCCTGTTCGTCAAGCGGCCATCGCCTGCCTTTATATCCGCCAACAAGTGTTGTTGAAATATCCTTCCCAGCCCCCCTGGGACTGAATATTTTCTTGAAACCCCCTTTCACGCCATCACTGACACTTTCCAGCTTCCCAGAAATCTCAACGTGCCTACCGAACGAGTGGTTAGCACGCCACTCAGGATCGATAGGTAGTGTTTACCAAATGCAAATGCTCGAATAGCATGGATAACAGAATTCCTTCACATCATCTGAGGTCTCTGAAAATGACAGCCTTGAGTTTAGACTTACATGAAAAATGGTTGCCCATCGTGTGCATATGCAAAAGCAGTATAGACCCTGTGACTGTGCAGAGGATGCTTGTCGATGTCATTTTCTGTCATCTCCCAATTGATGATTCTGTTATGGCCAGGTTCTCTGTCGCTTTTGAACGTCCAGCGACTCTCATGAGGAAAGTGCTTGTCGACACCAATGCTTCCAATTGCACCCCCGAAACCCCCGACTTCGGCCGATGGGTGTAGGCTTTTGTGTTTTGACACATACATCTGCGTTGAGGTTCCCACAAAGTATTTTGGCCCGTAGTAGTCAGTAATCTGAAGCGAGTGCGCAGAGGATGAGAGACTAGCATCGCGATACTTGGATAATTGTCGATTTGATCCGTCGAGAGTCAGGCGAATAGTCGCCTTTTTTAACTTGCAGTCGATTGGTTGTTGAAAGCTCAGTTCCAAGTAAACGATCCCGGCCATGGAATCATTTGATCCGAGTGTGCCCCACCGACATTTTTTGAAGAGTAATCGGCAATCAACCTTGACTTTTCCGATGGAACTGTGACCAACAGATGGGCTTGTGAAGTCCAAATTGGCAAATCGTTGGAAGTCATAAGATCCTCCCTTCCGTTTCCAGGCCCTGGCAAGTAGCGGACCTTCTTGAGGCATCGCCAGAAGTCCTCATCCAATTTTACCGGTGTGACGGGTGAAGGTTGACGAGGCTCTCAGGGACGCGAACGAACTTCGAGTAGCTGGCAGATGGCTCAAGTAGTCTGATTGCCTCGAATCCTCTCGGGCTGACAAATATTCCACCGTACTACATAGAGCCTGTACAACATGGTCTAATATAGGGTCTGTAGATCAGCCACTCGCCAGACTGCTTAAAACCGAAAGCCGGAATGTTCCAGGGAAATGCTGCCATGCCTACCGGCTGAAGCAGGGGCTGGTGAGATTGCCACTCGCCTACATTAAGTAAGGCCTTAGACAGGGGTGTTACCATCAAGTAAAATCCATGCTTACGGCTGAAGCAGGAGCTGTGGCGGAGCCACAACCCATATAAAAGGGTGTGCTCAGTCTTACTGCATATTCCAGACTCAGAGCCTGATCGTTCACAAGCGATCCGGATTCCAGGTGTTTGCTATCATCCCGATCCGCTAATTACACTCGTACCTTGTCAGACCATGTTCCGGTTCTGTAATTCCACACAAACTGTCCATAGCCCGGCATCGTTTCTGGCCCTCTTTCCTCGTTCCCCAGTGCCCTATGGCGCATCATCTGGATGAGTTATCGTCATCAAGACGCCAGCCCAGCTGGATCAGGGAATATAAGGAGACATATTTCGACACTTCTGATGGCGAAAGAAGTTACTGGAAGTCGCCGGATCGGCCGAAATCAATTATGAAACGGGGTGGAGACAGCGACAAGTACTATGCTCGCCAACTCGATCTTCCTACCTCGATGGTTAGACACATCCCTAGCATATCTGGAATGACCTCAGTGAGCAAAGACAAAGAGGGTGCAAAGTTTGGGTCCTCAGGAAAGAAAAAGAAGACACTACAGCAGTCGCAGCTTGCTAGAAGCACCTTTCAGACAGTATTCAACGGAGAAGATCCCCAAGATGTCACGCTGCATCTGGAATTGCCGGTCGCGGATGACTTCGAGGAAGAACTCGAAAACTTCTCGGTATTGAGACGTCTAGGGAATTTCAAGTCCGCTAAGAACTATTTCAAGGACCATCTAGAGCATTATTTAGGCCACCCTTTTATTTTCGTTCAGTATGCAAGTATGCTGCTAGAAATGGGCAATTATCGTGCCTTTCAGAAATTGGATGCGCAGAGTGTTTTTGGACCGGGTAAGAATCCCAGTCTCATTTACCGTTTGAGAGCGTTGGTTTCAAAGTTGCTTATGGGAATTAGCTCCGGATGCCCAAAGCGATGAGCTCAAGCTTTTGCACCGGCAATGGAAACTGCTTCGAGGCATGTTCCTTATGCAGCGCGAGGGAACGATCGATGCGGCATGGGAAGAAGCTCGCGAAAATCTGACGGAATTCAAAATCCCTGCAGATGCTGGGTCTACAGAGGTGTGAACCCAGATCTCTTATACCATGTTCCTGAGCTGAATACTGTACAGATACAAATCATGTCCTTGACGTTGCGCATTTGTGCGCATGTCGACTTCGTTCTACCTGGTCTATTCGAAGGAACACTCGACGCATATATAGACCAGTGGACAGATTGGCAAGCTTTGCTTAGACGACTTCTAACCGAAGGTCGAGTCTGGGGTGAGTCTTGGAGTTTCTATCATTCACCTTGACACCATTCATCGAAGTTGACGGCAAAGTTAGATTTCCATGACATATTTTCCGCAGCTTATGCCCGAATCAGACCGGGAAGAGAGGGAGGCAGACTTTTCGACACGTCCTATGACCGTCTTCATGAAATGACAGACGTTTGGCGAAATGATGAAGATGATGAGCCCACCGTACTGGCCATCCTGGACATGATCATGTTGGTCGTGTTGAATTTGGATATCTCCAAAGATATGATGCAGTCTTTGCGAGTGCCACTACAAGTTGCAGATGATTGCGCAGAGATAATCAGGCTGAAGTTCCCAGAATCAATGAATACGCGCCCATATCTCAGGTGGATCCTCGTGAAGGCCGCTGAGTTCGGGTGCAGGGGAGAAAAGGGGCTGACAGATCCCTTCACTGAGCTTCTTCAGAATGTGGAAGACTTTCCGGGGAAGTATGTCTCATACTCTGACTGGATTCGTACTCTGATATATGTGCCCCGTGGAATCGAAAACCCGGGGTGGTTCATGCCAGAGGCCCCGCCAGAAGCGAATCAGCCCGTTCTTGCGGCGTTAAATTCCGCAGAGCTGCTTCAAGACTTCCCGACTCAAGCTCTGTGTTACAAGCTACTGATTTTAAGATCAAAACAACCGCAAACGTTATTCCACGACCTACTACACCTACAAGGCCGTGTGCAGGGCGATCGAGAGGGATGTCTTCGGACACGACTGACCAGCTATCTCGCGTGCAAAGAGCGTGCTGAGCAAGACTCGCTTCTAAAGGACCTCAAGAAAACGTCTGACTGGAACGATCATCGGGTTTTACGAGATCCCTATCTTTACTGGGCCCGAGACTCCATAACGAGAGCTCTGACAAGACGAACCGGCGGACCTAACAGTACGGTCCTAGGACCGCATACGGAGGCAGCATACTTTAGGTGGCTTCCTCAGAACATAAAAGCTTCGATGGAAGACCAGTATGGGCCGAGAACACACGCCACTACTGCACACGATACGAATTCAGATGATCGCCAGTTCAATACCAACATGAGCTCGGATCCAAAAACGTCTCGCCGAGCCACGTCAGTTCAGATCGGAATGGAAGATGACCCAGACATTACTATCAGGCTGCACGGGAACTCAGAAACCCGTTCAAGGTCGGAAAAGCCGACGAGGCAAGATAAAGACCGCAGCGATCGGTATCCCCGTGCCTCCCGTGACCACCAGGACAGCGGAGCGACTGTCATCCGTGGTCCAACCATCGAACGGGAAGTAATAACGCACTACAGAGATATCGACCACGGTATGTAATTAAATTCTTCCTGGCCTTTATGCAGACAGCAAGTCTGAGCATGTACTAGAACAACACAGGAATAAGCCCGAGCAAGGTCTCACCGCGCTTAAGTCAACCTCGCGTATCATTCGAGAAGCGTGATACTCATGGGTCATCCCAGCGAGTAGTCGAACTCCCAAAAAACAATGAGAATGAATCCGAGGTCCGATCTATCAGATACGGAAATTCGAATGCACGAAATCACGGGGAGCCAAACCCAGATCCTCGAGACCAACCGATCATTGTGGACGTCTCACCTACAGAGTCAATAGCGTCCCAAGAGCACCATCATGAGGAGCTAAAGGCAGATGTCTACTCAGAAGAAGATGAAAGGTACCAACAACACGTTGAACAGGCAACAGGATCTGCGGATGACTTTGACAAGAATGCCAAAGGCGGAACGACGAGCATGGGCGAGCACGATCCTAATCAGCTTCCAAATTCGAGGGGAAACATCAGCCAGCAGTCAACACATGCAGAAAGGGACAGAGATAGTGTTGTGGAGTACCCAAGACGAGGTTCGACACGACGTTCATCATCGAGACAAGGATTTTCTACGGAGGACTCTTTCAGTGGAACTGGAAGCTTGGGCTCAGAAGCCAATTATATGGTCATTGAGACTTATGATGACGACAGTGACGGCGGATGTTCCCTACAGGCACCGAATGTAGGGAAAGAAAGTCATGAGGCCAATCAAGATCACATGGCATTAGTTCCGATGGGATACGACTTCGACATGCCTATCCACCCTGACTCTGAGAGCCAGACAGAACTAGGTCCTGATAACGGCACGACTGCAGAAGATGATAGCAGAGTAGTTACTGAGGAGCAGAAGCTGGCAGAGAGAGGAGAACGACATCGCAACGCCCAATTCGTGAGCGGTGGGCTTGCCGGCAACCCTTCGTCTTCTGCACCACGCAAGGGCAAGTCGAAGGGCCGGCGCCGTCCGCGTGGAGCCAGACGCAAGAACCAGACCATCGGCAATCTTGAAGGCACTTATGACGTGCCTCCTGAATTGACCAAGGAGCGGTTTGAGTTGAGGGAGGTGGAGCAGCGAGGTATTTCACTGGATCCCCAGCCATCACAATCGCCTCGCGGGCCCGGAGTAAGGCATTCAGGACAGCCACCACTTGAGCCAGCTGAAGGGCAAAGAATTTCTAGAAGTGAGTTTTATCGTTGTGTCTATCTTTGACCCTTCAATCCGTTGATGCTGACATATTCAATCCCAGAACCAACGGTCACCGATCCTGACTCGGACGAGGCGTGATTGTTTTATTTTCTCCCGCCTATGATGAACATTGCGGCGGGCGAAGATGGTTCTCGAAGGCGTTAACTATTCAACCGACAAGGTCTTGAGGCTGGGTGTAATCCCTGCTGAACAGCGAGTAGACGGCAAGGCTTAGAGTCCTTCTATCTCCCTCATTCAAAGGCTTGAAAATTATGCATTGATGTCTGCAGAACGTAAAAAGTTTATAACTGTCCTCCCTAAGCAAACTAATTACACTACCCACAATATTACAATACGTGCCAAGATAAAGAGCAGTTCTTAAACCCCTCCTCCCTTTTTTTCTTTTTCAAAAAAAAAAAGCATTGAATTTGTGAGTATTAATTAGGATGAACTCTCTATATAGTTGCTGTATTTTAACTTTGGCAGAAAGCGAACTCGTTAGTCAAAGACCTCCACGGCATTCCAGTTGAACATGCGATGCACTGCTCCAGCCATGCTCGTTGCCGTCCTGATGGCCGAGACTCTGGTCGGATAATTGGAGGCAGATAAGGGCTCTGAGCGCCTGATACAGCTGCTAGGCCCGGCCATCTTCAGTAGCTCTAGACTGCTACTGCAGCATTGAGATGGCCAATAAGATGAATGGCCGACTGACACATCATTCTACTGTGATTTACGTATGCTTCGACTTGCTTCCGCCAATGAGATACCGCGTAGACAGAGTTTCACCACTGCGGCCTTCACGACTAGCGCCTCACTGGCGGCTGGTGCCTAGATCGTGGTTCGCCCGGTGAGGAGAATCCGATCATCACCCGATTCGGGGTGATACAACAGCGACCAGACTACGCCATGAGCGATTGCATTTGTTTTTTCACTCTCACATGCTACATTGAATGAGACTGGCTGCAAAACTGCTTGTCTCTTGTCAATGTTTTCCTACTGTCTAGTTCCCATTCGATTTTGAAGACCAAAGATCCCTCGTAGGTAGTTATAGCACCCTGCAATCTGAGATTCCGTGACTGACCAATTCGTCTCTTCAGAACAGGAGTTCACTCCAAGACCTCTCAATCCACAAGATGGCAGAGACAGCGCCAAAGAGACAAGCATGCCACGGATCATGTCACTGCGGATTGACGCAGTACATCGTCTTCCTCACTCTTCCACATCCATTCTCGTCATCTCATCCACCACAACCAATCCAACAAGAAATCTACCGCTGTAACTGTAGCACATGTCACAAAATGAACTTCTTTCACGTTCATCCTGCCAATCCTCGGGACGATTTCATGCTCCTTTCACCACTTGATCCGGATCATGAATTGAGTATCTACCAATGTTACGAGAAGAAACGGAAATACTACTTCTGTCCAAAATGTGGAGTGCGATGCTTAACGTTTGGTGGCGTGGGCGAGACCGATGTCGTGGATTTTACAGAGCTAGGTGATAACAAAGACGGGAAGAGAGAAGTTTGGCGCGCGAAGTGGGATGGAGAGAATGATACGAGACCGTATATCTCAGTCAATGGAACTTCGATCGATTTTAAAGAGGATTTCGATCTACGTGTCCTCACCGAGGAGAAGAGAGTACAGTATTTTGATGATCGGAGTGAGCCTGAGGAGAAGAAGAAGGAGGCAAGATGGGACAGACCGCATTACGGTGGAAGTTATTGACAGGTTGAGATAGGGTTTGAAACAATCGGGCCTTCTTTTTTTCTCACAAAGGCCCAGAAGCAAACATCGAGGAATGGAACAAATTTATACATTCAAGCGCTATGCATTTTCAGAATTCAGCTGACATGATATATAGAATGAGCCATCATCTAATGATCTATTTGTCATAAGCTAAATGACTAACTCCATGAGTTTTGCGTCAAGTGTCAGCAAGTCCAGATCAAAAAGCCAACTCAAGGGGTCTTGCGATATCTGACCACGACTACTGCTGTCGACTGCTTGATTCTGGAGTATTTCTAGTCTTTCTGCCTCTGGCATCCTCTTAAAATTTGTTGCTTTGGCCATTTGTAGAACCTTGTCAATTTTTCTCTGCCGCCACGAGTGCCAAAATTCCAGCGCAACAGGCAAGGTGGCATTCATCCGGGTGCTGGAGAGAACCATAGCCAAAGAGAGCGCATCCTCTAGTGCTTGGTTCACCCCCTGCCCAGATGAAGCTGGCATCACGTGAGCTGCGTCACCGATCATGACGACTCTACCAGAAGAGGACGCCCAAGTGGCCAGCCTCGGCATGGCGTAAAATGGCCAAGACAACAACCCCTGCGAGTGTTCAGAAAGTTGGTCAAGAATAGTCATGGCGGTGTTGTGCCATTGGTGGTAGTCTTTACGCAGCAGAGAGCACAACAACCCTTTATTGGCGTTCAAAGAGTCCCATCCCTCCCGATCCTGCTCAGCATATGGAAATTGCGTTCCGACCATGAGCTCCGACATATCTGCCACCTCGGGTATCATGAAAAGTCCACCTGGCTTGCCTTGAATTGTGCAACCGTTCTTGAAATCCTCGTCCGGCCATTGGACGCTGGCAGTAGGGATGTGCCCATAGACGCAAAGGACTCCCGTGTACTCCGGTTCGGTGTTGGTGAGATAATGTCTTACGGAAGAATGAATTCCATCACACCCGACGACAACAGACGCCTTCTCTTTCTTGCCACTGACTTGAAAGATGACTTCGTCGGCCGTGTCACTGATGATCTTCTCAAATTTAGAGTCATAGAAGACCGGTATGTTGCGCTCGTTGAGCATAGACTTCAATGCTCGGAGAAGCGTCAGACGATATAAACGATGATAAGGATATCCGGTTGATTCTTTCGATGCCACTCGAACTTTTTCAACAGTCTCATCTCTCTCATTCTTGATGATATTGTACTCGGAGTGGTAACTCTTAGATGCCACGCGGTCTAGGATACCTAGTTCATCGAGTACCCGACAGCCATTGGGGGTAATGACCACACCGCTGGTGAGGACATCTGCATCCTCGCTTCTTCGTTCGTAAATTCGGCACGGAATAGATTTCTGATTGAGTGCCAAGGCAAGCGCCGTTCCCTGAGATGCTGTCTGTTGCAAGCAAAATGAGCCCCCCCCCCTGTCTATTTGAGCTGTGCCGTATACGCCATACAAATTTGCAGACAACATCGGCAACTCACAAATATCAGCATAACATAACGCGCATACGTCTAATTGAAATGCAACAAATTGGAATCAACTCTACTACTCTAAGCAATTTTAAATATATATATAAAATATGGTTAACGATAATACGCAATGTAGTTTTTGATGAAATAATAATGATTGCAAATTTTGTTAACAATTAAACCTTGCTTATATACTAAACTTTGTTAGCACTATTAGCAATTTACAAATCTCAATATAACACAGCGCGCATATATTCAATTCAAATGCAACAAATTAGAGTTAGTTCTACTACTTTAGAGAGTTTTAGAAATATATATATAATATGGTTGATGATGGTACGCGATGCAGTTTTTGATGGAATAGAGGATATTTGTAACTTGCCGGTATTGCTAGCAAATTTGTATGGCGGGCACGGCACAGCTCAAACAGACAGGGGGGGGGGGGCTCATTTTGCTTGCAACAGACAGTGAATCAGAAAGTGAGGATTTCGGGTTTCAAGTTCAATTAACATACACCTAAGCCAGCACCAATTATGGCAACGACATTCTGCTCAGCGTTCATGATCTTTCGATGGGTTTCTGATGTGGACTTGATTGTTGTATCACTTGAAGAGACCCGTGGGAGAACACTGGACACGAGCCATCTCTTTAAGTATTTCGCCTCTGGTCCAAATCAAATTCCTATTGTGCAAAAGAAGAGACCCTTCCCAAGGTCCGAACAAGCCCTGGAGCCAAGATCAATGATTTTTTGGGTTGTAACGTCTGATTGGATTCGTTTGATGACCCTGCACATGTATTCGGCTCGAAAGTCAACGGCGAAAACGCGAATGCGAACGCGAACACCTGAATGAACGGAAGTTGAATTGACCAAGTCAATGATTTTCGGGATTTACCGAATATGAGAAAGCAAGTAGTCGTGGTACAATGGCCTCCTCCTGCGTGTATCGGCAAGCGGAGAAATATTCGAGTGCCGACGGCGTTCGACGGAAAAGGCCGTTCAGGTTACGTTGAGTTTAAAGAGCTGTTCAACTCCTCAAGGCGAGGGGTCCGGTCCGGGGGATGAAATTACTGGGGTGCTCTCTGCAAAATCCACCTGTCGAAGGGTGACTCGTGCCTCGGTCGCCAAGCAACCATCACGACGCTTACTGTGTAATCGAGGACTCAAGTTCGGAAACCTCGGCGATGATGATTGACTGAACGTAATCAACCTCAGATATACCTAGGTCCCATTGCTTTGTCTTTGTTATAACAATGATAGACTTTCAAGTTCAAGAAGAGCTTGCTAATGGTCTAGTGCCATATCAAAGACAATATGAAGTCCGTTATAATCACGGATTATAGTGATGGGGTCATTGGCTCCGCCTTGGCAGTACTAGCATTCCAGGCCCGCAGATTCAAAGTGGTTGCCACTACGCGATCTGTCAGCAAGATGCGCCTTCTTGAATAGATCACACATATTTCCCTATTGCCCCTGGAGGTCACATCGCCTAGGAGTACTGCTAGCGCAGGCGACACTGTCAAGAGCGCTAACAACGGCCGCCTGACTACCTCGTTAATAATGCTGGAGTGTTTCATATCATGTCATTGCTGGATACGGACATCGATAACGCTAAGAGAGTGTTTGAGGTGAGCATTAGGAACTCACTGACTATGAATTAAGCTTTCCCTCTTATCATTTCCGTTAGCAACAACGACTCTGTTTCTGCCACTATGCACTCGATCTGCCTAGGTACGTTTCACATTTCTGCTTCCTCTTACTACGCGAAGTGAAGGTTGTTATATCAGCACTGACTGCCCTGTTTTCTCTCAGGCATTTACGCGGCGATCAAATCTGCAAGTAGCGGCCTTTCGCAATACTGCGAATTCCACCTCAGCCTTCCGAAGATACGTTCTGTTTACAAAAATGGTTAGCTAATACATGTGTTCGATCTTGTGGCGTGTTCTGTGTAACCAACATCCTGCCATGTAACCTGATCGTAATTTACATCACACATGAGCTGAGGAGTCGTTGAAAATTCAGATTTTCAGCTATTATGGAATCTCCCGAGCTGTCCAGTCCATCAGGAGTAAAGCCAAATTTCAACAACCCTAAAGCAATTGCCAACATACCGTGCTTCCAAGAGAATGACTAATAATATACCTCTTGTTTCGCGGGAAAGCAGCAGCAATCAGGGTTTTGGAAATGAGGATCGAAGCCCAACGGACGAGGTTACCTCGCCGCCTGCCGTCTGTCCTGAATCTGAATCTAAGCGTTCCCAGCCAATCTTCAAGGATCTTACCAAGAGCTGGGCATGGGAGTGTGTTGCTGTCATGTTCGGTGTGCTATGCATGGCAGCAATCGCCATCATAGCGTTGAAAATTGACGGCATCCGGCTTTCACAGTGGCATCTTGCCCTTCAGCCTGGCACCGTTATATCTGTCCTCGCAACGGCCTGCCAATCCTCGCTAATATTCAGCGTGGCCGAGATCATAGGCTTCTCGAAATGGTTCTATTTCAAGACGAGGTCCCGTTGTTTGAAGGAACTCGACGTCTTTAATTTAGTAAGCAGGGGTCCTTTGGGTTCCCTTAATCTCCTTTGGCCGGGGCGATCTGGACGTCGACCATAGATAGCCTATGCAGGCGCTTCGATTACCATTGTGGCTCTTGCGCTGGGTCCATTTTCTCAACAGATCATAAGTTTACGAGACTCTCAAGTGCTATTTGCGCACGCCAACTCCGCTGTCTTCGTCACAAACACATGGGATTCGGGATACCCCGAACAAATAATGAGTATGTGATGCCTTATCATTGCAATCGTCGAATTCCATTAGTCGTTTCACCCCGTGATTCTGTATTAGTGGCACTGATTATTTATGACAACATTTCAGGTGACGGTGCGCTGCAAGGTGCATTCTATCGAGGCATCTATGCAAGCACCAATTTCACGAGTGCTATCGACGTTACATGCCAGACGGGAAACTGTACCTGGCCAGTGTTCGCCATCTTGGGTGCTTGTAGCACCTGCCAGGACGTAACAGCGGATAGCATCCTCGTCGACAGTGGGTATTCTGTTGAGATTCCCGGAGGTTTGACTCTTAAATTCCGAGGACCCGACCATGAACGCGAGTGTGACGAGAACGGATGAAGTTACGAGAGCAAGTACACATCTCTTGCTACTAACATCACTCTGAATTATGGGCTTACAAATGACACGGCAAACATTGCAACTTTAGCACTGGGACAAAACCTCGGCGGTCCGGGGCCCTTTCTCTCTGGGGGTCACTGGAAAGCTTTTCATTGCTCCTTCGACTTCTGTATTAAGCGCTTTAGCAATTTTACAGTGGTATGGTTTCACTCCTGGTGTCTACAGCAATACGTCTCTAATCTATGAGGTGACAGTGCAACGGAATCATCCAGCCATACGAAACACAATCCATGGCATTACAATTCGCACAGACCGCCCCTCTGGATACAGACAGTGTATATTCTGACTCAGAACTATGGCAATACATCCCCGCAGAGACAGATGTCGATTGGCTCAACGGCACTCGACCTATCCCACCATTTCATGATAGCACTTTCAGTATCATGCCTTCGGATGTTTACTCTTTTGGGGATCTTTTCAACCAACCCTTGCAGTCTGATGTACTGTCTACTTACAGTCCAACAAATTTTATTGTTCAATCTTTATTGACTGCAAATATTTCGGAAGTTATGGCCAATGTAGCCGAAAGTATTACTATCTACCTGCGGCAGAATAACCGGAATTCCACAACAGCGCCGGGAGCCGTTTGGCAGCAGGTCTCCGTAGTCGAAATCAGGTGGCCATGGCTCATTCTCCCGGCACTGATTGTCTTGGCCACCGCAGCCTTACTTGTTGCCGCTGTTTTATCGTCCAAGTCAGACATTTCGGCGGTGAGGTCCTGGAAATCAAGTTCCCTTCCTTTATTGTTTCACGGAACACAGGACTGGAGCCATGATGAGTGGGAAGCACTGTATGCCGGGGAATACGAAACCATCAAACAAATGAACGCCGTGGCGGCTACGATGGACGTGAGTCTGTGCAAGGCGGTAGGAAGCGGAACAGCTCTCGCCCGACACAACTTAGGAGCAGAAAAAAGGCAAGCCGATAGGCGTACATACAGGCAGGAACAGTAAGTCACGCAGCCTAATTTCTTAAAAGAATAGTGGGAAATTATCTAACAGCCGCATTACAGTGAGCGTGGCACGCCGCCCAACCTAACCCTCCCATCGGACGAGCAACGGGATTCACTGGCGATAATCTCGACACTGGGCCCCGAAATCCGAATCGAGGCCACTCAAGCATCGGAGAAAATCGATGATGTGCGGCCCTTGCTCAGTAGGGGCAGCTTCGACGACCAGAACGAACATAGAGGTGACGGAATCTCAAGAAGTGCAAGAGGCAGCTAAAGGTGTTTGATTTCATTTCCAGGGCTGGGCCTTGAGCTTTCTCGTTTCAAGGTCAGCATTGCGAGAAAACTCGCACTGTATGGCATATAGGAGCCACGTCTGAAGTTAATGTGAATAATGAGGTGACAGTCTCAACGTTTTTGAATAGTTTAGGAAGGTTGGCAATCCTTGACAGTCAGCAACCACAATCAAAACTGACAGGAATGCCAAGCACATCTGAGCAGCAGGTAGACGGCAAGGCTTAGAATACATCTATTTCGCTTATTTCAACGCTTGAACATTGTTCATTGATGCCTGTAGAACACGAATAGTCCATAATCGTCCTCCCTGAGCGAACTAATTACGTTATCTACGATATTGCATTACGTGCGAAGACAGACAGCGATTCCAAATCAAAGAAAAAAGGCATTGGATTTGTCGGTGCTAAATAGGATGAATTTTCTACACAGTCGACATATTTAGACTGTGACAGAAGATATTTGGTATTCTACCTCTTCATCCAGCAGTACACGCGTCTACATTCAAACGGTACCTAAGATGTTCTAAGACTGAAGGTGCGGAGGAAATGCTCCGCGGTGCTTAGTCACTTGCCGATCAACGGGTAACCACCACACATAAACGGTCTTGCATCATACAACCATCACACAAATTCGCCTCTCAGAGGCGCGGCGGTCTCGGCCGATAACTGATGTTGTGCGAGATCTGGGAAGTATGATACAACATAACCTACCTGCCAGCCTGGATGAGGTGATGGATCAATCAGAGCAAAGGCGTAGGTCAAGTTGACATCATCGAGGTTCAGTCACCCAAACAGCGTCGTGCTGTTGACGTAGCTACGGCCAAGTCAGTCTTCAGCCACTTTGTATTTGAAGGCGACTTGAGCGTTCACGTACCGTTGTTTCTGGACTCATTCTGATCATACCACATCTTCTCAACACTCAGCGATACCCATCTGAAAATCATCAAAGCCTCAAATTCAAACCACAAGACACCATCATCATCAATCTAACAAATCGCATCACGTCACACCACCGACCATGTCTGCGCCGAATATCGACTCTCTCGCTGGCCAGGGCGAGTTCCATAGTAAGAAAGCCGGCGCAGAGCCCCTCACACATAAGGGAGTAGGTCATATCCACTGACTCCATGCTTATTTCGAACGAATTCACTGCTGACGTCACCTTCAACAACAGCACAAGCCAGGAGTCAAGGTTGGAAACGACGCCGCTCCTGAGTTCAACGCCGAGGTGCACGACTCCGGCACTGCCCCAAGCAAGGATGCCTTTACGCCCAATGCGGAGTCAGAGGTGCCAGGGCAAGCCCAGAATGACGCCGCGACAGCACGAACAGACGCCCTGAGCAGCCTCCCTGGCGCAACGTCCGGCTCGATCCACAACGCGACAGAGTTTGGCAAGCCGGCGCAAGGCGAGACGAGCGCGGAAGCACACGGCAACCAGAAGCAGAGCCGCACAGGCAACGAAGGTCGCATCCAGCCCGGTCAGTCCCTGGAGACAGGTGATGGCTCCGTCGAGGGCAAGGCTCGGGCGATAGGGGCTGACCTCGACGGCCGCGCAGGAGAGCTGAAGGGACAGAAGGGAGCTAGCGGTGCTTCTGAGGGTGGTGTCAACTGGCCCGGCGCCGAGAGTGCTGAGCCTGTCGGCGCGGAGGAGCTTGCTGCTGAGAGACAATGAGGGACTACGTGGCTATGAATCAGGCATATGGCTGGACTGATTAACGACAATTCGGTCGAACTATTATTTTGCTCGTCTTTTTCGACGAAAATAGAAGGAATTGCTCATCTGCGTCTAATCGCACATTTCAACATTGAAGGTGCGCTGCTTTAGAATTTCGTCGCATCGTGACATTGAAGTATTTGACACGGCCACGACGCCATGTCGCGGCTGCTACTTTTTAGCTATCGAACTAAATTCATACGCAGTTGCTGACGTATCGGGCTTGAACCACAGGCAATTGTCCACATTCTACTCAGGCAGGTGACACACACTCCATCTGAGTGTTTCTCTTGCCCCATTCAACATCACATTTCAGTAGCAAGAGAAAAAGCCGTCATCACAACACAGCATCAGTTGGTGTGTTTTCCCAGTCACTGGTTACTGAATTTGACGAAGATCTACCTCCAAAGCCCAAGATGTCTGAGAGAAGAGGGCAGTCAGTCCACGGTCAAAATGCGGTACGCCGGCTCACCAAGCTCTCGCGTAGCTCTCTATACGGCCAAGTCTGCATCAAGGTGCTATACTAGGCCCTCATCACCGCATACTACGCCAACCCAGAGAATTATAACACATGGCTCATAGCTACTTGTACGATCGTGTTCCTCCTCGGACTAGACATCGCCCTGCAGTTCATCTTCTTCCTAGGGGAGTTCCACATGGCTTCAGAAGACGTATTCATCCGCGCCATCCAAAGCGGCTCAGTCGCCAGCACCTTCTTCATCGCCTTTTGTGTCCCTGGAGTCAAGTCACTACTCGAGCTATGGAAGGTATTCAGATGGGTCAACCTGGTATTCAACCTGGGTTTTCTCGCAGAGTCCAACTTGGGAATAAGCTCGGTTCTGGGGCGGTCAGACGCTTGATGGAGAATTCGACACCACGTTGTGTGCTTTTCATGTTGTTATTCTGGGACATACCAGAAGGAAGGGAGGGACGGTTGTCAGTGTAGCTAGGCTCTACTTCCTCCCAACCTCTCCCACCTAGGTTCGCCGAGGGGTTTTGGTGGTTTTGGTGTGGGTGTTGGCGTGCGGTATCACACAAACCGAAAGTTTGTATATTCTCACGCCAGGGCAAAGCAACAAAGTCGCACTACAAATGTTTACCATGGAACAAGAAAAGCTGCAGATTTCGAATTCATAGTTTGTAGACCCGAGGAACTCCAGATAAATGTCAGAGTCTATCTGTGTGCTCCACTCGTTCTTGTCGTCCTGTATTCTAACCTTCACGCCAGACGATGTCTCTGGTCCGTGAGCGCTGAAGCTAAATGACATCTGCGCGGATTTTTAAGTCTTCATATCAATGACAACAATGAAAACCCTCGCACAGAACATTCGAAACAGAACTTAATTAAGAAATTGCGGATTGACTTCAGACGGGGCTTTGAATAAAGACCGAAGCTGCTCCAATCCGCAGGACGAGTCGCCTTGTGATCATGATTTTGATCGATCTTGGTAAGAGATCTCTTGGTCTTACTATGCAGCAAGGATTCAAATGGACCTACAATGTGCATTTAAAGGTCAATGCAAATTCGCAGTATATCCTGGGGACTATTGCTGCAGCTGCCCCCGCGTCTCGATACTTTCTGCCTGGATAGGTAGGTGATTGACCGTCCATGCAAGTCATAGGTCTCGGCGTCCAGATCTTGCTGACGACGAGTCATCATCTAGCAAGGGAGATTCGCAGACTCGCTCTCCTCAACTGTGCAGTTAGGCCCGGTTGTGTTGTGATAGACGACGTGCTTGGCTCATGTTGAGGTCAAAGCTCACCACACTCCGGAACAAATGGATTAAGAAACTTGCGATGTCATATTGCCAAGAATGCAGAAACTCGGGTTCTGAGATGCTTGTCGTGGGCAGTCCTGGGATCACCCAAGGTCGAATGTCTTGGCCGCTCCCAAAAGCCTGGGTGCATCTCGCCGGACAGCAGTTCAAAATACTTGGAGGCAGCTCACTGGAGGCAGCATTGTGCTTTGGGCACCGCTGCTGTATATTGCAGGCTCAACGCTATCTCGCACTTCAGGTCGTCGCTATGACCACTCCTGCTTCTCATCCCGAGTTTCTACTGACTCAATCGTCTGCAGACGGGAAGTTCGTTCCCGTGCTCGACAAGACCGCGGTTCAAGCGCATCGCCCTGACCACCGCTTGGCCGAGGCACCCCAGAGCCCTTGAATTTCGATTCTGACCCAACTCTTACAATTAAGGTTCGTGAATATATGTGTGGTAGAGTCCTACGGGCGTACACACAAATATCCGGGCCTGCTATTCATATCTGAGCAATGACAACTTGGCATTTGTATTGCGAGAAGCCCGATGACCAAGTGAGGCGGCTCGGCGCCCTGATGTGACGTCCAATGGTCTCCATGAGCCAGCCATTCGGCTGCATCCCTTTGGGCTCGAACTTAATTTGGTCCTGGGTTCCGGGAATCCGACCTAGGCATCTTACACGAAAGCGAAAGCCAACTCTCGAGAAAGAAGAGTTACGCGACGTCTGTGTGCACGAGATGAAGTCAATATCAAGATCTAGATGTGCTTTGACACCGATTCACAAGCCTTTATGTCAAGAGTCCAGCTGAGTGCAAGCCGTAGAAAGTGACCACTCTCAATGGTCTGTATATAGTGCCCAGAGGTTCCAAGACAAAACAGACATCTCGGCAGCCCATTGCACCTGCACGTTGACGGATCCAGCTAGAAACCTGTTACTCTGTCGGATGTTACCCAACAAGCGTTCATCTTGAATAAGACTCGGCGATGTCTGCGTTTACGGCAAGCTTGAGGCTTGACAGCCCACACCAACGGCAACTTCCGTTGATACCGCGTGACAACTACACGATGCCGAACTCATTTCCTATCGAACGCAGAGACCAAAAGTCCATCATCGCTGTCGGTGTTGTTTTCAGCGTCCTACCTGCCGTGGCTGTTGGGATGCGGCTGGTTTCGAGGAGGATCATTCGCCGGACACTTGACTGGAGTGATTATTTGATAATAGCAGCATGTGTAAGTAGTTTTGCGGGACCTAGCGACAGGAAGGGAAAGAGATATGCTGATCTCGAAGACAGATAACAGTGATATCGTACTGGGCTACAGCGTTGGCAGGTCAGTCAGGAACATTCGAGTTCGCAACTAGCCCGGCGACTGCTCACAATTATCATTACAGGTGTTGTAATTGGAGGTTTGGGATTCCACGTGGGCGAAATAATCGATATGTACGGCCATGTAGAAGTCGAGATAGCGTTCCAGGTATGTATTCCATTCCAGCATTCTGAACTTTCAACTGAGGTGTCAAGTCAGATCTCGTTCGCCTTGCAAATACTCTGGGCCATAGCAGGAGGCCTTTACAAAATATCGATACTCCTCTTCTACATCGAGATCTTCCCGACCCTCAAGCGATGGGGCCGAGCCACCATGGTCGTGATCTTCTGCTATACACTCAGCACGGCGCTGGCGGCGCTTCTGGTCTGCGAGGAGGTTGAGGATAACTGGGACTATGAGAACCTTTTCCAAGGCAAATGTGGAGACCGAATCCTCGTCTTCCGCGTGACTGGTGCTCTCAACATCGTCTCGGATGTCGTCGTGCTGTTACTCCCGGTCCGTAATGTGCTCAAGCTGCAGTTGCCGCTGTATCGCAGGTTGGTTCTTCTGGCCACTTTCGCTCTTGGTCTATTGTAAGTGCAAACTTTAACAACGTATTATCGACAAGCGACGGGATTCATCGTGCTGACTCGTGGATGGATAGTACCTGTGTAATAAGCATCATCCGATTAGCAACGCTCTCTAGTCTCAGTTCCCGCGACTTCCGAGACACGCCGTACGCGATCATGCAGACCGTCATATGGAGCGGCTTGGAGCCAAGTGTCGCCGTCATTCTGGCTTGTGTGCCACTGCTCCGGCCTCTGGTGCTCCGCGTCCGTGGCGGGGTCAATTCGTCTGAAGCCCGCACCAAGTCAGTGTCGGCTAATGGCCGGTCTCTCGGCATGAGCACGGCTCCAAGGGCGTTGGCGTACAATCAGATCCGCGATAGCCTTGTCTCGGGCATGCCAACACCCATGACTAGAGTCCATAACATGGAAGCGATGCTCATTTCGAGGGACGCTACCCCTGTTACTGACGTGGAATTGGGAATGATTGTTCACTTGGAAAATGCGTCATAGGGGAACTGATATAATACCTGTGACGAAGTCCGCACTGCCGCTTTCGCAATTAGCTGTATCTGCCGCGCCGTACCAGCAGCCTTTCAATTCCAAGATAATACCTGTCCGACAGGGACCGTGATACCTTTCTCACCTATCGAACAGTAATCAAGCATTCGTACATACTGTAGCTCCTAAATAAGGGGGTAGCGCCGCAATAGCGAGCTCGGCGCCTTGATGCGTGCTGGGACTATCTCTCTTTGTCGCGTGGGGACGTTAGGCGTTATAGTATAAGGGCTTGAAGTTTATATCAAGTTATATAGATTTCACAAGTAGGCTCGCTTAAGAAGGAAAGAAAAAAGACCCTCTCTAGATATTTGGGGTAGAAGATACAGGTTAGTGGGCTTTATTGACAAGGGGACCTGTAGGGATACCCTGCAGGTGACCTCTTGACCTTTCCTTCACTCAAGTCCTATTTCCAAACTAAAGTACAATAATGCAACATCTCCCTTTCCCCCTCTTAAACGTTACAAAGTTTCATTAGCTTGATCCAGTCAGGATCAGTCAGCAGCTGTTCTGCCGTTAGACGATGGCCAGGCTCATAGCGGAAAACACTGTGTATGAGCTTGAGAGTATGTGTCTCTGCTTTCTTCTTTACCCTGAGCTCCTCTTTCAGCCTCTTCGCAGTCCTAGCCACCTCTGCGTCTTCACCGGTCTTTGCCATTGCGGTATACTTTTCGAAGCGAGTCGTAACAGCTTGGGTCCAATCCTCGCGCAGCCTGCTTGGCAACCTGCTCTTCGGTGGGTCCGGTCCGAGGTCTTCAGGTTGTGATGCGTAAGTTATACCGTACTCGGGCGTCGTGGGCGTCTTCCACTTGGCAGGGAGCGGGCCGAGGTTCTCCCATATGCTGTACAAGTACACCTCCGGACTGCCGCCAACAAGGGATACGTTTGGAAACGCCATTTTACCCAGATAGAGGTAAACAAATATGACCATAAAGCTCCACATATCGCTCGCAGGACTTGGATCGTGGCCGTGGAAGCGTTCGGGCGCCAGATATTCCGGTGTTCCTTGCAGCTTGTATTGGACTGTCGTCTTATCGGCCGGAAGGAGTATTCCGAAGTCTGCCAAACAGACCTCCCCACTTAGTTTGTGACGCGGAAAATTAACTGGTATGACCCGATGACCACTCTTTAGTCCCTCTCCCTCCGTAAGCCGCATGCGTTTTGTTGGGACACCAAGGGCCTTAACCGGGTTGGCTGTGATGCATTGCACAAAGAAAGGATCAAGTTTCCATAATACGTTTCCTAAAGCAATATCTAATAACAATCTTTATATTAGAATCCCATAGCTTTCCTTTAGAGAGAGGATATCAGTTGTGTCAGGGGGTACTTAGAGACTATATATACCACTGTGTACAAAGCCGGCTTGATGAAGGTCACGCAAAGTCTCGAGTAGAGATTTTGCGGCAGCCATACGGGATCTTAGTGACCTGTCAAATTGAACAAGTCCTTCACTTAAGCTCGGACCCTCCAGTGGCAGGATAAGAACACGATGAAAGATTGTTGGCGGCTTTGCAGTGGCGTCATAGGGGGAGGGTAGAAGAAAAGTGTCCATGTACAGGTTGAGGCGAGATATGTCCAGATGCAGCGCTTTCTTAAGCATATGCTGATTCAAGAACTCTTTCTCACCTATGGACCCAGAGACCATGACTTTGAAAGCAACGCATATGTTGCGCTTTAAATACCGGGCTAACCAAACAACAGAGTATGCGCCTTTCCCAAGACGATGAACGATCTGATAGCGACCTTCGGGATAGTGGATGATATCTCCGATACAAATCGGATACAACATGCCTTTGCTGTTCGCGGATTGGGGGACGTACTGTTCCTCAGACTCGCAGCAATCCTCAAGGTCCCCCCATAGATCGCTTTCATCGTTCTCAGACAGCTGCGGGTCGGGATCAAAGCTCTTTTGAATAAATGCGATGTGGGGTTTGGTAATGGTCCCCATTTTTGACTGGCCGTGCTGCGGCGCAGTTGATGATGGCTGGTGTCGTTGGCTGTGCTTCCGGACAATCGGTGGCGGAATTCCAAACTCTGACCTCTGGGACGAGGTGGAATTGGGGTTGCTTTGTGGAGGCTGAACCGAGGCCAGGGGTGCTATTGCCTTAAGGCTTGGTGCTCGCTTCCTTGGACGAATCTCTGGAATTTTTTGGATGCTCGTTAAACAAGATTTGCCTGCTATACCATTGGACCCTGAGACGGGAGTAGCTGAAGTTGGCGAGAGGATGCACAGTAAGCAAATAGCTCTAAAACGCTGGATCGGGTCAAAACCACCCGCTCAGAGTACACGCTTATCGCCTTCCCCACACGGCTTTAGAAAATTCTAGACGAGAACCACAAAACAGACCAAAAACGATAAACGACACCAACAATTCGACTGCTTACATATGCAGTCGTATTCGTGCATTCTCCACAATGTCAAGGCCAATTCACGTACGGTATGCCCGACAGGATGAACTCCCTGCCATGGCGCAGCTCTCAATCACAGCGTTCCGGCAAAGTGGGCGCGAGGTCAACGCAGCACTCTTCCCTGAACACCTGCGTGTCAACCCTGGGGATGCCGATGAGATCGAATTCTCGGTCAAAAACATGGCTCGCACATTCGACAATAAAAATCGTCACTATGTCGTGGCTGTGGATGAGCAAGATACCATTATGGGCTGGGCGGAATGGACCAGTGGGGATGACCCCGTGGTTGAGATGACACCTGACGAGCGCGAGAAGAAGAGATCCGAAGGCATCGCTCGTTTACCTAAGAGCTTCGACCTGCAGGCGGCAGAGAGGCTTGGGCGTGAGGCTGACGAGTTATCGAAAAGGCTGAAAGAAGCTCTGGGGGAGGAGCAATACCAAAATTCCTGGAGTAGGTCGAAGCGCCGCCATCTGGGGAGAGCTTGATAAGACTGATACGAGATCATTAGGTCTCAACTCTGTTGCTGTAGATCCGACGCATCAACGCAAGGGTGTAGGAAAATTGTTGACTGGTTGGGGATTGGAGCAGGCTGCAGAGGAGAACAAGGCTGTGCATTTTCTGTCAAGCCCATCCGGTGCCCAGCTGTATCGTGCAATGGGATTTGAAGAAGTTGGATCTGGTAACATATTAGGGAGTGTTGAATATGCGTTCATCAAGAGAGCTTCCGGGTAAGTTGCAGCTCTTTCTTTCAATTCTATATGAATGTCTTCAAGCGTACAAGTCGCCATCAAAGTTGTCTCGTCCAAGTCCGGTGGGATTTGGGGAAAGAGACCCAATGGCCAACCTCTGACCTGTCCGTACTGTCTACTTAGTTTCCACTGCAAATGCGAGGCCGTCCAGTCATGGAATTGAACAAGTTGTGACACGATACCTGACTTGGCTTTCCCTTCTAAATTTGGTTGGCAGAGACCCGCCGGGGTTTAAGCGACGGACTTATCCGTGTTACACAAGAATGGCTGAGACTCTCAGTTTATTGCCCGAAGAAACAACTTGGCATAACAGACAGCACATATAGCAGGCCGCCGTTGAATAATCATGCCCCCGCATTGTTGACCATATCAGTCGCTGACATATACACGTCTGTTGTCTTGGTTTGCCGCTTTTGGGGACAGCCTCGACCACACTTAATGCTTTCACATCGTCAGGATTGACACCTCCACGATGCGATACCCTGTCTTAGTTGCGTTCAGCCGTAGCATTCATCTACCTGAGCATAAACTTACCGAAAATATATCCCTCCACTGTTGCCCGATATCAGTCAACTTGGAGCGGGGACGAGTATGCTGCTACTTTGGATTTGTGGAGTCTCCACCAGAACTTTGTTTCATGCCGCCGGGGACGAGCTGAAAGCTTCCTGACTTTTTTCGTCGCCTGCATGTTCCACACGGGTCAGCTCCTGCTGGCTTCTACAGATTGACCTCTTTTGTCATTGGGTTTGTAATAATAGGTTTTCATGTTTTGGCTTGAGCGCCATCCAAATTCGTTCTGCTGCCCACTGAATCATGGCGGACTTGTCGAGAAGTATCACAATCCGTGATGCATCTCCATCGACCAGTTAAACGAGCGGAATTCATGGTTCAGCGCCGCGAGATTGCCATGTGCATCCCCTATATTAATTGTCTGTGCGATAGAAGTTCTGGTCTTTCGATGACCCGACGCGTGGTTCTTCGGGTTTCTAGAAGATGATCTATGGCGACCCGATCTCGCCTGTCTCCTTTGATCTCCGATTGAAGCTCTGGAGCCGGCAATCCTTGAACAACCTTTTCCTGATGCAAACTTGACCAATTCAGACTTCAAGTAAATTGTCCCTGCCGGGTGGGCGATACGGGTGAGGTGCGTGATGAATGACGATTCCCTTGACTGGACCCTGAATGCTCAGTCCTCGATCGCGTGCATTATCGTCACTGAGTTTGAGTTGTGATTGCACGTGTCGTCCCTGGATCCCCTTCCTTTTCTCTACCAATTCCCAGAGTCAGTGAGTGATCGACGCTCTCCCAGGGAATCATGCGCATTGTTCAAGGACGAACCCAGCTGCCATGTGTTGGTGTCGTCCAATCAGTCTCGCGGAAGTAGAACAGTTCCCGTCTAACACCACCAGCCCCCTGAAAAGCCAGGATGAACCCATATCGGCGTTCAATATAGATGTGGCCTCCATTGCGGTCTCTTGCCAAACTGCCCAGCGCGCCTAAGCTTGTCGTTCATGGCTTGCTGCACCAATTTCCTGGAAACCCACGATCGGAATAGACGCCAGCACAGCCGGGTTTGCGAGTAAGACCGCGGCGCCGCAGCCAACATTATTTCTTGGAAATAAAACTGAATTTGAGAGGCATGACAGACGCACTTGGGGCTGTAACCGTCTGATCTTCAGCCTTACAGGTCACGATGCTGTGCACCCACGAGGCACGACAGAATAAACCTGCTGGAATGCATTATGAGTGCACATCATCTACCTCAGAAGTGGTGGTTTTGGGCAGAGCCGGCCCCGATTTAGCAATCCGGGCGCCAAATCAAGGTACGCAAGAGTCAGTGTCGCTGGATTTGCAGGCGCAGCGTTCAGAATAGGGGTTCGGATCAAAGGAAGATCCCTGCCCAGCCCTATATGCATGAGACGCTGAAACGTCGAAACATCGGCCTCTAGCGATGGTTCCCCCAGCCACCATCCATGCTCTATTTTGAACCTTCGTCCGATGGGAAATTATGGGGTCTGCCAGCGGTAGATGAAGGGATGTGATATGGAAATTGCAATCGTCAGTTGCTGCTATCACGACACGCGTCGGACGAGACTGAGCATATAACTCCTCTGCATTTCCCCAGACTCGACTGCCAACTCATCCATCCATCATCACAAACAAATAACAAAAACACTCAGGTCTTAAGCGCCTTCGGAGCATTTCTTTCGCCAGTACTTTTATTCCTTTCTCACCGTTGCCGGGTTCAACGCTGGTCTTCCGCCTCAGACACATCACAATACACCACCATTTTACGCAACAGAACGCAGTACTGAGTACGCAGCGCACACTTTTTACCACCAACTCGCATTGCATCACTCAAAAGTCAGAACCAAAAAACCAACCTCCAGAATGCCTGTCCACTTCGAGACCCCAACCCGCTTCCACCCCGAGAACGCGGCTCACGCGCATCCCGGGTCGGCCTCGCGGAAGAGATCCGAGTCCATCCGCAAGCGGGCTCCCACCCCGGCCCCTATCGCCCGCCGCTCTTCCGCGGCCTCCACGTCATCAAGCTCGTCAACCTCCTCTTCCCGGAGCACAGATACCCTGAAGATGACGCCGTACCGGAAGTAAAATTCCTCTTCCAGCGTTGGGGATGACGAAACCTTTTTGAGACGATAGACGCGCAAGAGGCATGGCCCTCAGGGGCGGTCGCAGTTTGCTTCTCTCTCTGCGACGGGGATGTGCATAGCAGGGACACAGAAAATTTTTGTACTACCTGGATAGGAGTTGTTGTATTGATGGATGGGCTGCAGCGTGTGATTTTTCTTTGTTGAACTGGCATGGACCTGGAGTATTGGGAGGGTATCGCGTGTATGAACCTGGGAATCTTCTTTTCTTCTTCGTTTCACCTTATGCTTCTTTGGGATACCCTCACCACCTTCGCTTCGCATACTTTTCATCTCATGATGTACTGGCTGGCTTGTTGGTTTAAAGCATCGGCCTTCTCTTCTGCATACCTGGGCACCTCCAGGCGGGGACTTACGGGTAGCTAGACTTTGCGATTTAAGACTTCAAAATTTTAACGACATTGTTGCTCAACTCTGGACCGTATGGCTTCATCAACTGCATCTCGTGTTACTTGCATTACCGTGAACTTATAATTCACCCTGACAACCTGAGGTGTTTGGTCTGATCAGCCGCTCGGCCACATTGCAAGACACAACAGGAATTAATTGCAACCGAAAGCCGGGAATTGTCTTTCGCGCAGCTGCCGAGAAGCACATCAGACGAGATCTTGACACATGATCGGATGCTGATTGCGACTGGTGGTTTACACATGAACCTAGGTTCCCACTCTCTGGGTCGAGGTACGTGCGCTCAGGGAACACCTGGGATCTTGCGTTCGCGGTTCTCCCCTATCATCTTATCTAGCTCCCACGTCTTGCATACCCAATCAAACCCAACGTCTGGGCACTCAAGTCCGCCGCTGGGACATGCCTGCGATGTCCACTATCGCCGTCCTCCTGCCATCAAATTCCACGTAACGGGTAAGATTCGTCAACGTGCGCGTGCAGAAGAAGCTCTACCATATTCGAGTCTGGTCTCCGATGCGGTGACGCAGTCCCGGCCGTCTCGGGTAACGTGTATCGAGATCGGGACTGGGATGGCTGGTTCACCCCATTGCCGCCGAGTCGGTCTGCCTCAACGTCGACCACATATATTCGGATTTCGTGCAGAACAACGAATGAGCGTTTCGTGCCTTGAGGGTCGCTCAGCTCATTTGAAAGACTGACAGGATCGCCCATCCGCGTGTAGTACCCGTTCGGCCCCGCATAGACCTCAACGGGGATCGATGCCGGCCCCACAGGGTCTGGAACTTCTTCGGCCGGCGCGGAACGATTTGATGAGGGCCTAGCAAGCTGCATAAGTCTCTGCAGTCTCAAATCTCGGGGGATTGATTGATCCAATGTGTTTCCTACTGTGGCAGGAGGTCTGTGTCTACCGCGGTTAGTCAGGCTACTTTCAATTTCAGGAGATGGCGCGTCGCAGTAAAGGAGGACCTCACATCACCATTGGATTCGCTCCGACCAGGAACTCCTGCCGAAAGAGCACAGGGGCGAGAATCACGAAAAAGTTTGGCAAGCGAAGAACCTCAATCCCAAACAGGAGAATTCATGAGGGTGTACCTTTGAGGAAATTTAACTGAGGCTCCATTGGGGATGGACATGTCCCCACATACTCCTGTCTTTTGCTTGGGCAATAGAAATGATTCCTTGCGATATGATCGGATTAGACACAGTGAGGTTTAGTCAACTTGTGGAACAGTGGCCTGTCAGGTCCATGGGCATGGTTGCCCTGGCAGTGGGCCTTACATCGGACTCAGTGAAGAAATGAAATCTAAACATCACGTGATAATAGTTTTGAATCTCCTGTCGTAGTGCCCATACTCTGGACTCCTCAAAATCGCGACCTGCAGAGCTGGGGAGTAAGCTGAGGCTAGAAAATCGGAAGCTATCTGGAGTAGACACCTTGCCTTTGTGCTTCGTTTTATCGTTGAGTTTCTCGATTAGAATTCTAGACTTAGCACGCATCAGAAATCATGTTTGGATGCGTTAACTCGGTATGAAATAAAGGTCTGTGGTACACAGCCCGGAATCTGTCCAGACACATCTCCATGTTTCTTGCGGGCTTCTACTAGGCCATTTTCACAACTTCGACACGACTCCTGGTCGCCATAACCGAGTCAAGGGACCATTTTCACCATACACTGGATCTTCCCGAGGCATATCGACGTCCTGGACCTTTTGTCGGAAAAGATCCGCTGGGCGTTTTCCGTGCTCATTCGTCCAGCGGGGACAGCCCTACTTTCCCTGTCAGCGAGAGCGAGCAATTCCCTTGATGAATAGTAGTCGCTTCTACATGGATGCGAGCCAAATGATACAGGAATCTGCTCGGAAATAGATGCTGACTTCAGGGTGCAAAAGAAACGAAGAGGTTGGGCTTGTATGACAGTGGAACGCCGATATCATAACAGTGTTGCAATGGTGAATAAACGTATTCACTCACTGTTGGATAGACGCCAATATACCGATAGTCCGAAGAGCTTTGCAGAGATGAGTGGGCAGTGCCAGCTGGCAGCACCAGAACGTCACCTGCTCGCACTTGTACTTCTAATGCCCCATCAATATCTGCTTTAATTCTTCCCAAAAGCAGTGTGGAAAAGCCTTGAAAGATTCCTGTGAAAAGGTCAACGATCGGTATTATCAAGAATGTAGTTAAAGCCAGCCATCATTGACGTGTCAAAGCATGATGTCTGAGGCTGGGTCAGCACTGCTTACCATAGCATTCATGACTGTTTGGATGGAAGTGCCGGATATCGATATGTCCCCACGTGCCCTTTATCAGAGTCAGAAAGGCACGAGGGTAAATTCATCAACCATGAAAAATTGGTGAAACACACTCGCTTTTCCCATTCATGAGAGGTAAGAAACGTTGTGGCCGTCTGCTCCGTGAGTGGTTGCGGTAACACGTTCTGATAGTGTAGCACAGGCAGATTGTTGTTGGGTACATCTGTGGCCGGCGTCAGAAAGTAACATTGAACAGTGAAAGGCATCACGATATTTTTTCCGGCAGAATCAACTCTCGACGAGGTTGTTGTTTGTGTTTGCCGAGGACGATTGGAAGACGACGTTGATCCTGATATCAACCCCACGCCGTGGCGCGGAGCCCGGGCCGCTTCCGGGTAAGCGGCTCCACAATGACAGGTGTACCACGTGCCGACGTCAACACATCGATAACACGCGTAATCTAGCAAGACTCGGACAAAATCCTCCCCAGAGAGCTTATAACGGTCCACTCGAGCACATGGCTTGGCAAATGACTGGCTCTTTCATCCGAGTTCCTCTTCAAAGTAAGATTGGCTACCATTCATCCAGTACCTTCACATTGAAACTGAGACTTCTTTTCTCACTTGAACGCAGAAGTATGTTTGATCTCTTCAAACATCAGGGATATGACTGCGATGGCCAGAAGATGGAGTTGGGCAAAATAGCCCCTGAGGGCCGCACTGATGTGGCCGAGGGTAGCATATTGGAAATTGAGCCCAGTGTTGCAATGACAAGTGAACACAATTTGCACGTTGTCCAACAGGCAATTGAGACGATTGGAATGGGAAAATATCAATGGCTGCTGGCCTTTTCCTGCGGATTTGGCTTCCTGGTAGACCAGGTGAGAATAGGCCATCTTCCAGTTTAGCTCGGAGAATACCGTTCTGATACACTTTCTCAAATCAAGATGCTGCTCGTTTCCGTAAGCCTGGTCACGCCCCAGGCCTCCATGGAGTTTGACCCACAGTATCCGACGCTGCTATCGGCCGCATTGTATGCTGGGCTGGTCATTGGCGCACTATCCGTTGGGCAGCTCGCGGACATCGTGGGAAGATTCCTGGTCTGGCAGCTTTCAATCTTCGGCGTGGCTATCTTCTCCATGATCGCTGCCAGTGCTCCCAACTGGACTGCCCTCAACGTATTTGTGGCACTTACTGGCATTTTTGGAGGGGGCAATTGTGAGTGAACACCTTCGGCACAAGCATGAGTCGAAAATGCGGAGGAAACGTGGGTCGCCTGACGAATCGTTGTCGGCAGTGGCGATTGACTTGACGCTGCTCACCGAGTGTCTTCCCGTCCGATTCTCGTTTATTTTGACTGGCCTCGCCAGTGTCTGGGGTCTGGGAAGCGCGATAACGGGAGCCATAGGTAAGCCGAGCTCTCCCATCCTGTATAGTGCGATTCCCTTGAGTCATCTGTGGGTCTGACAAGCGACAAATAGCCTGGCCACTCTTGGTTAATTATGGATGTCCCAATGGCGAGACAATGACAATGTGCTCTAAGAACTCCAACATGGGCTGGCGGTATCTGTATATCACACTGGGAGGACTAGGCCTTGTGATGAGCATCGTTCGATCATTCGTTTTGCATTCCCAGGAATCACCAAAATGGCTTGTTGCAAACGGCCAGGTCGACGAAGCTGTTTACGTGCTCAACAACATCGGCAAGAGTAATAAATCAGAACACCGCGTCACGCGCCAAGACTTCATTACCAATACTGTCTCAGACACAAAGTCGTCCAGGCATCGCAATTTTCGGCGTATTATTCAGAGTGTCGTTACTCTCTTTACTGGATCAGGTCAGCTACGTTTGATGAGTTGTTTGATAATGACATGGGCTCTTATCGGTATTTGGTAAGTTGTGAATGACTCACTTCTAGTAGCAAGTCTTAAAATTCTCAAATGTAACCTGATTCTGACTCTCGATCGAAGCTATCCGCTGTTCATAATATTCCTTCCATACTACCTTGAGGCACATGGAGCTCGATTGGGCACGAGCAGCTCATACCAGACTTACCGTGACTGGACCGTGTCCTCGGTTGCAGGAATCCTTGGGCCGTTTCTAGGCATGGCAATGATTGCGGCCCCTTGGCTCAAGTCTCGCCGATCAATTGCTACGGCCGCTTTTGCTTGTGCCGCATTTTCCGGAGCCTTTACATCTGTAAAGACCGAGGCCCAGAATTTGGCATTCTCCTGCATGATCAACTTTTGGCTGAATGCCCTTTACGGAATTGTCTACGCGTGAGATCAATCCTTCATACAAGCAAAAGATATTTCCGCTAATCATGGTTCTAGGTTTACGCCTTTGTCTCTGAAGACAGAAAACCGGGGCTTTGGGTGTGGCTTCGTCATGGCCTGTGGCCGTATTTCCTCCCTTGTCACCCCTTTTATTGCGACCTTTGCAGATGTCACTACATCCGCTCCTATCTGGATATCCTGCGCCTTGTATGTTGTTATTGGGGTTGTCGCATTGTTCCTGCCATTTGAGGTAGGCAATTTAAATGAGACGTGAGGCCGCTGTGTTAAAGTACCCTCAGACATTTTGGGATCTGGCACAAGAAAGGGGCTAGAGGCAATAGCAAGGCACTGAAATTATAACGCTGCTCTAGACATGTTGCATCAGCCTATCGGTTTGTGTAGCAAGTTAAATTCTAAGAAGAGGAAAGGTCTTAGGACAACCCGGACGCCGCCGAGCCAGCAAAGACCGCATGTGGTGATCAAGGTCTCCGATGGGTCCAAATTGCACCTGGGCACAGCAGTCCTGGAATTTATACAATCATTAGTGCTAAGGTCACAGTCAGTTGAAAGGGTGTAATCCCGGGGAAAGGTCCTAGCAAAGTCGTTGGTCACTACGTAGGCACATGACAACGAACATTAGAGAACCTTGGAGCACTGGGCATGGATGACGCACAACTCTGAGAAGCGACGAAGACGCCCGCGATTAAAGTAGACCTTACGGGTGCCCTCCGAAGACCCAGAGCTCGATATCCTCCACCTCCCTCTCGGAAAGATTGACGATCTTCTTCCCGACGTACCCGGTGGTCTCGGCAGCCTCCAGCACCTCTGGGTTGATCAGCCAGAACCCGACGACCGTGTACGGCTCCCGCCGGGAGATCCACTCCTCCGGGGCCACAGCCGGCGGGCGGCCGCCGCCTGGGCCGGGGAGAAAGGTTTGCTGGGCTGTCTGGAAGCACTCGCGCAGGACCGCGCCCATCTCCAGCGCCGGGTCCATCAGGGACTGCCACGCGGCACGCTCCTCACGCAGGTAGGCCCCGAGGCTGCTTCCGCCGAGGCTACGGTCTTTTCGGTCCGCCCAGCCCTCGGCGTCCAGCCCGACCAGGGCGCGCACGCGAGTCCCGGCTTCGCCGGTTGGCACGCCCCACGCGCGCTCGAGCCCGGCCCAGACGTCGAGCGAGGGGCGAAGCTGGTTCCCGATCCAGACCTGGCGAAGGTCCGCTGCGCCCTCAGGGTGGGCGAGCCGCGGATCGCCGCCAGGAACGGGCTCCACCGTGCCCAGGAACCCCCACGAGACACCGGGGAGGACCGGGACGCTGGCGTTGTACCAGGGTAGCGACCTCGTGCTTGCGAACGGCCCACTCATGACGCGCGGCTCGAGGTGACTGGCGGTGGTGAGCCGCAAGTAGAGGCCGCGCAGGTGGGACACAGCCAGACGGACGGAGGCGAGCACATGGGGCGCGAGCGGGGCGGGGCCCTCGAGCCTGGCCTCGTCTGCGCCGTGGTGGTAGTCGCTGCCGAGGTGCCTGAGGTCCACGCAGAGATGGCGGACGCCGAAGCGCAGTGGGCTGGGGGAGAGGTCGTGCTGGAGCAGATGGTGCAGGAAGAAGGGGAGGAGGTTGAGGGTGGCAATTTCGATCGGGTTCGGCGTCTGGAGGGAGAGGATGTCGAGCTCGGGGTTTAGGTGTGCTACGATCCGGGTTGTTGTGTAGTCTCGCGCGCCGTTCCCCCACGGTATGCGCGCAAGCACCGGCAGCTGGATAGAATATACCGAGTTATGAGCATCGCGAGCCTCTCGACAAACCAGCCGTAGAGCCGGCATTGCCGGTGACGGAGCGCCGAGGAATGTCACTCGCAGAAGCGGCGCCGTTGGGCCTGAAGACGGCAATGTCTCAGTCTCAGACGGTCCGCCGGGCTCTCTCATCACCTCCATATCGGGCTTTCCTGGACCTTCCGCGAATATGGAGGCCCATTCATCACCGTCACCCAATTTATGGCAGGGGCCGCTCCCTGAATGTGATGACGATTCCAGGTACAAAGCCTCTGGCTCTGGCTCGGACCCGTCGTGCTGAGCTTCTACGCCTTCTTCCAGGAGTATGCGGAGGAAGCGGCGGCGGGGAAGGTGCCACGCCCAGATCTGAAGCCGAAGCTCGCGAGGCAACTGTGCGAATAGAGGGAATTCCCTATCGGCGCCAGGTGCAGGTGAGGATTGTCGGCCGAAGTAGCGGCTGTTGAAGATATCAGCCGGGAGGTCCGACTCGGCCATCGTTTGCTTCTCTGAGTCTTGGTTGGTATGGTAGGCCAATAATTCCAGGCGCTTGTATAATTTCGTCGTGGGCGTCTCAGGCACTTGAGGGAGCGTTGGGAATGGTCTCACTTCAGGTGGTGCGGGTGCCCAAGACCGTGGGGGCTGATCTATATACAACAGGGCGATTAGATGCTATAGACGTGCAGTGCCACGTATTGGATGGTATGCAGCGAAGCACAGCAAGAATCCGTATCAGATCGTGTTGATGGGATAGAAGAGAGTCGGAACATGGTAAAGTCCAAGTTCGCAGCCGGGCTGCGGTCATGTGAGGTGAGAGGGTACATGCTGAGTAAGCACTGGCCGTGGAGCCTTGTGATATGCTCTGGTTATGTTCAATCATAGCGATGAAGCCGAATCAGGTCTGTATTGCGATCGATGGCTTGGGTCGGAAGCCCTTCCCCTGGTAATAGTTACAAGAGCACCTGATACATCTTCACGTTGCCGCCCGTCCGCATTATGTCTTCCACATATCGGACATAAAGATGACAAGTGCTGCTGGCTCATAATGAGTCTGATCTCGTTGAAATAATTTAGTATACCAGCCCAGATGATATGTACCTATTCTCACTTGGTGTACGCCACAGCTCGCGAACACATCAAGGCAGTCCAAGACTCAAGGGCTTCTCACTTGTTGGACTTCGGGATGTAAAAGATCATTTCAATTCAAACTTTGATTTCCAGCATGTTCTTCTCGCCTACGCAACAACACCAACTTCCAAGATCTATCAAGCCCACCTCAGCTCCACCTCTCCCTCCTCCCCATAGGGATGAAATTGATAAAACAGGGTACCGGCCAAATATTCTTTCCGGGGCTTGCACGTGAAATTAGAGCGGTCGGGACGACAGAGAGGATCACGCTGGTTTGGGCTCGAGCTAGGTGTTGACTATAGCATGGAAGACTTATGTTTACGCCAAGTTCCCAAGCTTCACCATACATGAGGTCTCCTATGGCAATACAATACTTTCGGATTGCTCGGTACATTTGCTACATAAGAACACCGTCAAGAACCAAGTTCAGAAGCTTTGTCTCCTTGATCTCGTCTTTCCTCGCCAGTAGCTCCTTGACGTCCCAGTTGGCCCAAACAAACTTATTACACCTCTTTGTCAGCCAGAATTCTTTCTTGGGTGTTTTGGGAGTTGTCTTGGGAGGGGTGTTTTATGAGGTGAGACAGATGTCCTCCTATCACCTTCCAACACATTTGAAAATGGGAATTTGGGTGGGGAAATAGCTGACCTTGCTGCGAAGAAACTTGGCTTCGGGGGAAGCAAGCCAGACAGCGAACTGGCCAGGTAGCTCAACTGCAAAAAAAAAAAAAAAACAAGACGAGTCTATTAGCTTACGACCACAAGGATATTATTAATGTCAGCTTGAGAACATATCACTCACCAACATCTTGTGCTGGTATGTTTTTCCCTTCAGTCATTTCCGTCGCAAGAATGCCGGGCTGGAAGCTGACGACGTGCATATTTGGATTTTCGGCGGCAATGTAGTCAAGCATCTTGAACACAGCGGCCTTAGCTACGCCATAGACTCCCGTGCCCGGGAAAGGCGCCGTGTGAACGATAGCAGCGGAGGTGTTGATTACGGTTGGCTCTTCAACGGCAACATGCATGAACGCCTGAACGGCATGAAGCCCGCTCAACGCGTTGAGCTTGAATCCTTGCAGCACGGCCTCGGGGTCCGACGTCAGGAGAGGACCTGGCGCTATCAAGGTGGCTGCGTTTGAGATGAGGATGTCCAGCTTGCCGACTTTCTCGTAAATGGACCTGTAGGCCTTATCCACCTGGGCCCGGTCCATAAGGTCGGCCATCTCGAAGAGGATTAAGGTCTCGGGGTCAGCCTTGGCCTTTCTGATGTCGACGGCGGCATTCTCGAGTCTGTCGAGGCGACGGCCGAGGATGGAGACGGATTTTGCACCGGCTTGGCTGAAGGCGGTGGCAATGGCCAAGCCGACACCGGTGCCTCCGCCGGTGATGACGACATTCTTGCCTGATGCCGAGAGCTCGGGTCGTGCTGGTGAGATATCTTCGTATGGCTTGTTGTGATATGTCTTGGTGAAAGACACAAAAGCGGGAATTTCGATGTTTGAGCCTGGGTCCGTCATTGTGGTGCTAGTGGTACGGAAGAACACTTTGTGCAGATCAAGACCTCAACTGGGGTATTATCTCTATTGTCGTGTAGTCTTTTGATAGAATCTTGCGATGGAAATTTGGGTAGCTGGAATGAAGATCCAAGAGACATTGGAAACGGGCGCTCCTGGGATCATCGCTTATATACCCATAGGTGACAGGGCGCGTTCCGCTTTAGGTACCTTTGCTGCCCGTTCCCCTGTCACTTACGAGTCGCTGATACTTGCAAGCAAGTCCGTCATAGCGCTAAGTAGGGGTATATGCGAAATATTGGGTTACTTCGAAACGATAGTATTAAGTTTAGCACCCAAAGCAGACATATCTTTTTTTCATGGTGCCTTGCTGACGTTTGGGTTCAACCGAGCACACTACCCTCAACAGGGGCAGAGCGTTTGGAATCGATTAGTCAGACTATTAGCTTAATAATGCAACATCTTGCTTGTAGTCCGCGGACTTTGAATACTAATGATTTAACATCATTTGACTCCAAAGCTGCTCCGTCAGCGGCGTGAACAGCGAAAAACGCCCACAGAATTGTCCGCGGACTTTCAACCTAATCAAACCCTGTCCCAGAAAACGAGCCATCTTTCGAGACTTTTAGATATCTATGTCTAACACTGAAATCCTCGGCCGAGCCGTGAGCGAAGCGGGGAAAAAAGGATTGGGAAGGAGAAAGGTAGGAAAGGCCCCATTAAACTACGCTGCAATACCCACAGTTCATATTATTCAACGCCATTGTCTGTATGGGAAATTGATATCGTGTTGCGTCATCTGTAGGCCTGTGACCTGTGTTTCAAAAAGAAGATCAAATGTGATGCAAAGCAGCCTGACTGCTCCCATTGCGTTCTTTACAATCAGAAATGCGCGTGGACAGCCGACATATATGAGAAACATTTAGCACCGAGGCGACGAGTTGTGTGAGTTCTTGCAGTGTACTTCCTCGACTTAAGCTGAGACTCAACACCAATTCTCCAGAGCGGACAGACACAAGCAGCTCGAAACCCGAGTTGCTGAGCTCGAGGATCAGCTCCAACAGCTGGCAGCCACACCATTAGCACTAACTTCCTCAAAACCACAACCCCACCATTCGTCCGGCCTCAACTCAGCCGATACTGTGTGCTCGGCTCAGTCACCTGTTGAAGAGCCGCTACCCATCATCGAGAGAGCCAACACTCTAACTTTACCCTCGCTTCAAGAGTCCCTGCCCATTGTCGAGCACTATTTCTCGACTTGTAACCATTTTATTCCACTCTTCGATGAAAGCAAATTCAAACTGATGCTCCATGACTGGTATTCAACGCAAGGAAACAGAGACAATGCAACCTGGGCAGCCATCAATGTCGTTCTGGCATTGTCCTTGCAACAAAGACTCCAGCACGATGGCACTAGCAAGAACGAACGGACAATGATGACTAGATATCTCAACAACACTCGGTCTGTGATCACTGACCTCGTAACGCGAAAAGACGACCTAAAAGGGATACAAGTCCTACTCGGCCTGTCCGTTTTCCTGATGGGATCGCCAGAGGTAGAGCTCGTACCGACCCTGGTCGCATCGGCGGTCAAACTTGCTCAATGGCTAGGTCTTCATCGCAAGCTAGGGGCCAATTATCTTGATCACAGTGAAGCAAAGGAGAGAGAGCGGGCATTTTGGATAACCTATGTCCTCGACCGAGACACCAGCCTCCGCACTCGCGGCCCATGTCTGATTCAGGATCGCGACCTGGACATGGAAGTGCCCACTTTTGAGGGCACAGGCACAGAAGACATGGTGGGCATCCTCGTCGGATCTGACGGCCGTTCATGGTTCAACTTCTTTCGGTGCCGCGTCTCCTTGGCTCGCATCCAAGGGCTGGTATATGACTGGGTATTTTCCCTGCAGGCCGAGAGACTCTCAGCGTCCGAGAAGTACGAGAACATGAACAGGATCGCGACTATGCTGCGGGAGTGGAGGACTGCTATTCCGGAGGAGTTCAAAGTGGACCGGCTAGAAAATATGGACCCGGCTGTGGCTCAGCCCCTCGCGAGCCTGTACTTGACCGAGTGTTTCACTCTGTTCAAAGCCCGGGCGCACACGGCGTTCTCAAACGACTTAGACTCTATGAAGATCCTCACAGATTGCTGCAGCCGTTGGGCGAGTGGATATGGTCGCCTCTCCGGACAACATAAGATCGAGGCTGAATCGATTGTGCTACCGGATTGGCAGAACCTAGTTGCCTCAGCAAGAGTCTGTGGGAAGCTGTTCCCCAGGAGCCAAGACATGAATCCGCAGGCAGCCTTCTTGTAGTAAGTGTGCAAGCTCACTAGAGCTGTAGTTCTCTACTATGGCATTTCTCGGCTGACGCGGAACGTCTTCAGCAGGAACAGGTGCGCATACATCTCAGCGATGGTAATCCTCATTGCGAACAAGATGTGGATTTCTAGACATGTATTGTACCCCGAAACGGGATATGACGATGATTTCATCCAAGAGAGCCTGCAGTTCATCGAAAAAATGGAAGATAAGACTGGTGACGACCCATTTCGGAGAATGCACACCGCAGCCTCGGAGCTCAACTCCAGAGCCAGCCTTGCCGCGATGACTCGCGCTCCTCGACTCGCGACGTTCAACGCTCCTAGCCTGCAGATGAATCAGGGGTACTTACGGGGCAATTTACTAGCCCTGGAGGAATCTGAATTCCAAGCAGAGACGGCCGAAGATCCCTGATTCCGCTGGCGTATTGAACCGGCTGCTTTTCCACATAGATGTCAGCAAGTAATGGTTTGGAACTTATCTGCGGGTATATCCACACTGTTTGATGCTGTGCAGAGGACTGTCTACCATTTTGCGTGGTTGTATGACTATTTTAGTCATTACTAGGGCAGCTGGAGAAGAAACATCCAGCAATATATACCAAACTTTACCCTCCCAAAGCACATACGACCATAGGTATCAGAAAACTCGGGATCCCGTCCGCTCTCCCATAGATAAGCTGGTAACCGCTGGATTAGTAGTTGGGTCGGTGACGACCAGCGAATACCCGGTGTTGTATGTTTTTTTGCTTCAGAAATAAGTATGCCGTTTCACTATGTTTCATATCCATACAACAATTCTATGATTTCAAATCAGCGGGTCCTGTGCCGTGCGGCTCCGATCTCTAGTGCTACCCACGAATGGCTGATACCGCTACTGTTTGCACCACCTGATTTAATAGCCTTAATTATGGGCAATTCGAGGATCTCAAACCAAGCCCTTGTTACAGCTCTTGTAACAAACTTAAAACTTTTTGGAATTAATGAGTTGATTACAACGCCTTTGAATTTCGGGGTGATGGGTGCAAAAAGCATATAAGCATCGTATTCTTTCAAGACGGCAAGCAGTGGGCTCATAGCAGGCAGTCTGCCCACCATAGTCCTCGTCTCAAAGAGGATCGGTGAGAGCCCTAGAGAGCTCTGATTGACGATAAAGGATGCCGAACAGTCCTCTTGATAATAGGAAAGAAGCTGATGGCCGTATGCACTCTCGCGGTGGCTTTGTGTGCCGGTAAGGCGGTGTTGAAGTGTGCTACAGGGGACATACCATACTCTAGAGGCCTGTCTAAGTGGCATCCCATTTGCGTGACGTCAAGTGCTTCTTCAATCTCGGTCTCGGAGTATCGCTTCATAATTATTCAATTGACGTAAACAATAAGTTTGGGGTTTAGAAAGAACTCCTTTATAAAGATCTCGTAGAGTTTATGTAGGGTGGGTACAGACGCGTGCATGCGCCAACACAGACGTGGGCTGACCCAAATGGGATATGGGCACGTTACCAGAGGATTATCAAATCGTGTGGCTCGTTTCATTAAAAGACAGACGTAAGAACTTAGAAGCGTTACACAGATCTCTCCGCGGACACGTCGGTCATACCATTACTGATTCAATGACGTTGCCGGTCGCAATTCAGCAAGCATCGCTTACTCGCTTTATTAATCAAGTATGGGCTGGTGATTCTTATATCAACCAAGTGTGGGACGAGAGTTCTTGGCCAGTCGTCACATATAAAGGAGGAGACATTCTCAGGCTCAAGATGCTCGGAGTGTCTGGCCAGGGCAGGACTGTCAGTACATGAAATAAAGCCTTTGAGAACTCATTCAAACAACTTACTCAACCCACAAGCACATCAAATTCAATACTTGACTAGCAAAACGCCATGTCCATAGTCGATGTCCTGATTGTTGGCAGTGGACCCGTTGGCATGGAATTGGCATTGGAGTTAGCGATTCAAGGCGTCGCCTTCAGAATCGTCGATAAAGCGACAACACGCCCAACCACGTCCCGAGCCATAGGCATACACTCTCGCACGCTCGAGGTCCTCAACCGATACGGCGGCATAGACGAGCTGCTGGCCAAGTCGCACAAGGTTGCTGGCAACTCCTTCTGGGTCAATCGAAAGCACTTCGAAGGCTTTAGGTTTGTTGGTCAGGCCCAGGAACGGCCGGATACCCATTTCCCCGGGATATTTGCCATCACGCAGGTGGACATCGAGGCTTTCTTGGAGAGCCGTCTGGCGGGCAAGGGCGTCATTGTGGAGCGGCCTGTGACGGTGCAGAGTGTGGTGCAGGACGACAACGGCGCTACCGTGGTGCTAGCCAGGCTTGACGGTTCCGAGGACATTGTAACTGCCAAGTATGTGGTCGGTTGTGATGGAGCGCACTCTGTGGTACGACATTCCATGGACGTGGAGTTTCAAGGTGGAGCATACCCGCAGCATTTCGTTGTGGGTGAGGTGCTGATCAACTGGGATGGATATGGAGATAAGGTCCACATCATGCTTGGTGATGGCTTGCTTCTACTGCTTCCACTGTCTCAAGACAAAATTCGAATCGTTCTTTCAAGACCGGCCGAATTATCTTCAGATGTCGATCCAACACTTGAGGACTTCCAGAAGGCCCTCGATAAAATGCTTCCCCCGGACGAGATCGCCAAAATCCACCATGCCACTGGGCTGACTCGGTTTCATCTGCACTACCGGTGCTCGACCAAGTATCGCGACGGCAGGTTGTTCGTGGCCGGAGACGCTGCGCATATCCACAGCCACATTGGGGCCCAGGGCATGAACACGGGCATACAAGACAGCATGAATTTGGGATGGAAGCTTGCGCGTGTTCTCAACGGCGAGATGCCAGATAGCTTCCTGGACACCTATCATGAGGAGCGCTGGCCCATCGGACAAACCCTTCTCAGTCAGACGGACCAGATGTTCACGTTGCTGAGCAGCAACACGCCCATCTTCAACACCATACGCACCTTCCTCCTGCCTCACGCATTGCCATCTATTGGCCTCTCTGACATGGGCCTGAAGATGATGAACTTCTTCTCCGAGCTAGGCGTCAAGTACCGCAGGAGCTCGATCGTCCAACCCGCCTCTGGGTTCGAGGGACCTGTTCGTGGTGGATTTCGTGCTCCAGACGGAAAGATTCGGACGATGGACGGGAAGATGTCATGGCTCCAGGATTTACTGAGCGGCCCAGGGTATCATTTGTTGATCTTTTCGAAGATAGCAGGAGACAAGGAGGTCAAAGAACTTGAGCGCCGGTTGCTCACAAATAAGGGCAAGCCGAATGTGGCAAACGTCCACATCATCACCAGCACGGAGCTTCAGAACCCAAGGTCTGTTATGGATGTGGACGGAGAGCTTCACCAACGCTACGGCTTCGACGGTAAGCCTGGCTTTGTCTACGTCCGACCAGATGGTTACATCGAACGCATTGGATATCTCCGTTAAGAATACGGGGACTGATTGAGAGGGATTTTGACAGCATACCATGTCCGATTTTACTTCCCATTTATCATTTGTTACGACATCCATTGTACAAAACCATAGCGCTTCACCTCAACCTTACCTTACCCAGACCATGTCTCTTATTAATTCTATGCCAGTCCTTGTATGGATCCCATCTACACGTCTCAAGATTATGCGGCTTCTTTATGAAGAGGCATTGCATTTGATGCTTGATATGACTGATTGATACCGTGTTCTGTACTTCAGCTTCCGACATCGCTGCCACCTCGTAAGTTCCTCGCAGAAACGCAACACTATGCATGATTCTTGCATCCTGTTTTCAAAGCAAGTTCATTGATACTAGTCTCGTCGGCTACATGGGATAAGCACCGAATACACAGCTTTAGTGCAAGTGATTCTACCTTCCCTATGGATCGTAACAGGCTGTAGTATCTAGCTTGTTGTGGTATGTGCAGCTTCGACTTTGATGTACTGGCTTGACTTCTAGAATTTCAATCTGAACCCGACGCATACTCAACTAGCATTCTCGGACAGCGGCGCATGCTTCCGAAGGTAGAAGCTTATGTCGCATCCTTTACGAGGGATCGTTGCAGTTGTAGCTCGGCTGTCACTCTCATCCACACCGAGAGGATCGACAGAGTGGTCTTCGACCCACGAGATGCCCGAGCCCCAGTAATTGAATCGATTTTGCTCTGTGTATATCCACTCGTAATCTTCCCACCGATCCTCTGCCAAGGTTTGGATGTAGTGCAGCGAGCTTCCAGGCCATAGTGCCGTAACCTTTCCGTTCGTTTTGACTAGGGAGGAAAGAGGAGACGGTCAGCGAGGCATCTGCAACTTCGGAGCAATCATCGGGACTTACACCAGCTATGACACGTGCCGGTCCATACCATGTCTTCCATGTAGGCATGTGTGTGGTTGACGAAGTCGATCTGGGCTTCTTTTCTTACATCGAAACACTTGACCCTCTGTCTCAACACTTTTCTCAAAAGTCGAATGAAGTAATCACTCGTTGCCTCGAGAGAACCTTTGCACTAGGTCAGCACCTTGTCGCACCTTTTTGTAACACCAATGGACTCACCCATCAGGCTACCATTTGAGATAGGAGTGTTCGGTCCAAGAAACGTCAAATAATTGGGAAATCCTGACACGCCAGTTCCCATGTACGAGGTCGGTTCATCATGCCACAGGTCTTGTAGATTGACGCCATCACGGCCAATGATCGGAAAGCGAGGCCTGAAGGTGGTATCGAAACCGGTGGCCGCAATGAGGGTGTCGGCTGGTTGCTCGATACCTCCGGATAATACCACACCGGTAGCAGTTATCTTTTCAATAGATTCAAAGATTGGTCGGACATTTGGTTTCTGTAAAGCGACAAGATACTGTTCACCAGGATTAATCCGTCTGCATCCAGCTTCGAACGGTGGGATCAACTTCTTCCGCAGCTGCTCATCTGGTATGAGCTCCTTCATCCGTGACTCGTATTTCGTTTTGAGTTTCCTCTGCTCGGGACTCTTTTTGAAGAATGCGAGGAAGTTGCCGTTGCTGGGACACGCAATGTCAATTCTTAGGCTCGTATTAAACAGCCTCAAGAAGCTATTCAGAAACGCACGCACAAATAGTTCTCCAGTTCCTTGCGAGTGTCGAGGTAAGAATCCTCGTCTTCCAAGAATCGCTCCTTGTCCCGCTTGTTGTATGTAGGATTGAGTTCGTCAGGATCGGTGGAGCAGAGCCCAGCAGGTGCGGTGATCCATGAGGGAGTTCGTATGTAGACATCAACGTGACTACAAATTGGTTGAATCTGGGGCAGAAGTTGAACAGCGCTCGCACCAGCACCAATAATAGCGACCCTTTTCCCATCGAGTTTGACTGTGGGGTCCCAACTTGCGGTGTGAAGCTGCTGACCTGCGAAGTTTGAAAACCCGTCGATGCTGGGAAATTTTGGGTTGTTGAGGATGCCGCCGGCATTGATCAGAATCTCGGACTCAACCTCGTCTATTCGGCCCTCGATCTTGACTCTCCATGTGCCTGAAGCCTCGTACCACCTGGCTTCAACAACCTTGCTGTCGAAGTGTATGGATTGATCGAGGTTGTGATTACGGGAAAACCTTTTCAGGTAGTCGTGTATCTCGTTGGACGATGCATAACTAGGCAGGCATCTCGTCAGTCGAGAGTCAAGTTCCTTTACAAATGCATGGGCTAGACAGCATCTCTAACCACCGGACTTACAACTTTGACCATGACGGATTCGGAGCGAATGGATACTGGTATATGTGACTTGGAACATCACAAGCACATCCTGAAAGAACAAGGAACTAAGTCAAGATCCAGTGGCCAGACATGGGTTTCTCTTCGTCTTGACTACGGTGCTGGAGGAACAAACCTGGATACTTGTTTTCGTACCAAGTCCCGCCTACTTCAGGTGACTTCTCGTAAATGGAGAATGTTACACGACTACTTAAGTGATGGCGAAGCTTGTATGCTGTTAGACCATCGTATTATTAGTGAAATCATCTGGATTGGAGATAGTATGTCGGAGGAGGCGTGGCCGGGGCACGCCAGGTTCAGGGATGACTTGTCGTACCCATCAACAAACCCGATACACTGGTCACATTGTTAGCTTGCGCTGATGCTTCCCTCCATCGAAACATCAAAGACTGACCCTGCGCCGATAATAGTGCAACGTAGTTGGCTGGTCTCGGGTTGGCATACGCCATTCGGAACGGCAATGCCATTTGGATGCATCACTGCCCAAGTGAATTGGTCCAAGTAGGAAAGATTGGGAGGATTGTGTTGATGATAGGGTTACTAGGCAGGTCAAACGCTTCCACATTAGTGAATTGTCTGCCAATTTACGCAAACATGTAAGTACCGAGGTCAGCAAGACGAGTTTAGCTTAGGGCTACTATCTCGAGTTGCCTCCGGCGGACGGGCCGCCTTCCGGTTCATATCAGGGAGTGGATTTCAACGCTACGGATACGAGCCGGACCCTCGAGTCGCTATAGCTACACGGGTGATGTTCTTTTAGCGAGGACGCCTTTACCCATTGCAGACGGTTCAGAAAGCGGAAACGGCATGAGCCTTGATTTAAGCTGGGAAGCCATTTTGTTAAGTCATCGTGTCGCAGCGGACCAAGTACAAATTGAGGCTTGGGTGATTTATATTTTGACCTAAATTTTTGTAGGAATCAGAAGAGAAATTGAAGCTTGCAAAGCTCGTTTTTATAAATTGCCACCAGTCAAACAAAGTTTAGAAGTTGGTCAAATTTTTACGACTAGGTATACCCTATAGTTTCGCTTGCTCTTCTGCTGCCAACTTCCTCAGCGGTGGACCTCCTCTACTGCCATCCGCAACTTTCAACTTGGTATGATCATCCTTGGCTCTCTGTCTCAGCCTCCATTTTTGTCGCACGTCATCAGGAGCCTTATTCTCGAAACAGTCTGACACGTAACCCCCTAAGACCGGCAGGAACTTGAATGCGCTGGTACAGTGTGTCTATGTCAGTGAAAGTCCCAGGAGATGAATAATTGTTAAACTCACTGTCCAGATCCACCTGTAGCAATGAACAGCCCTTCAATGCCGGGATGGTGGTCAATTATGAAGTCGGCGTCTGGAGTATCCGAGTACCAGCACATGCGTCGATTAGACCATGGATGGTTTGCAAACTCAGGGAGCAATTGTTGGAGACCCTCACGGAGTGCCTTGTCTGCATCATCTGGTAGGTACGACGACCCGGTGTTGCAACCATCGAGCTTCGGCGAGGATACCACTCGACCGTCGCCTGTCTGAACCTCCGTGGCCCACCCATAGCCGTGTCTGGCAACTTTTAAGATATTGGTTCCCGGGCTAGGAGGGAAGCAAAAGATGCCTGTACTGTAGTTGATCATGACAGGAAGGCCCTTCAATCGAGCTGCCTCCTCTTCCGTAAGGTCGATGAAGCCCAGTGGCTGGCCAGATGCGGAGGTAGCATGGTCTAAGGAGAGAAGCCTATTTGTCCAGGCTCCGGTGCACAGGATGACCTGGTCGGCTATAATGTCGTCACCTGAAGCCACCTTTACTCCCACAACTTGCTGTTTGCACTCCTTGCTGTTGTATATCAAAGAGACAACAGTACCACGGGGCCCGTTGACAAAGGAGACGCCCGCGTCGCTGCATCGGCCCGCCAGCCTTCGAATAGCTGCTTCCGCATCTGCCCAACCACCATTTGGGTTATGGACTGCACGCAGCCCATCTAACCTAGCCTGGACAGCAGGATAGAGTTGACGGACGTCATTCGCATCAGAGAAATCGTCCAGAACGACACCAACTGATTCACTGATCTTCAAGCACTTTTCAAGGTAAGATAGGCCCCTACCCTCAGCAAGCATCACAAAACCAGTCTCGTGGAAGTCTTCGCGATACTCGCCTTCTCTCCACAACTTATAAGCCTCGCGTGCCATTCGGTGGTATAGCTCGTCGGCGTATTCTGTCCGAATTATCCTCGATATATCCACACTGCTGCCATCTTTGACGGGAGGTGGATATCGATCCGCAACTACCACATTTTGGTATCCTCGTGACTTGAGCTCCAACGCTGTTGACAGGCCGAACACGCCAGCTCCAACAATGAGGAAACGTTTGTCCTTATGAGACTCCATGGTTCAGGACAGATCCAGCTGACATAAAAATTGGGTTGGACACGGGTCAGTGCCAGCAGAATATCGCTCGTGGATAGAAAAGAACTACATGAGTGGAATATAAGCCTGAGAGCCTGATCTCTGTGAGAATGCTACGACCCCGCTGTCAATTTACGCCACGAATTACAGACTAAGAAGTCTTACATGTCGTGGCACCTGGTCTTACATGTTGTGACACCAGGGCGTTCGGACACGGGCCGTTCGGAGGCGGGCCGAGTTCCGTCCCCACTATGATAAGGTCTGCGTGTGTCACTGTGTCGCAAGGAGGATATCCCGGGATGATTGCGAACGGCGATCAGGTCAAATTAAATGCCAACTGGAGGGAGATGAAGGCAGAAATACAAATATTGAATGAAACAAATCTTCCTTATCAGCCGTCCACGAAATACCGTCCAGCCCAGTGTGTCATTGTCTGCATCAGAACAGGCAGAAACCCGTCTGCATCCATCATTCGATTTGCCTCATTTCTTGAGTTCAAGCCACTCAAGCGCACAGTGAAGGTCTATGGTAGCCCAACATGAATGGATGGTTTGGCCCTAGGAAGGTTTCCGCGGACAAGCCATCGGATGAGACGCCCGCCCCGTCCTTGCCGTCGATTTGGTACAGATCACCAGAGCTGTACGAATTGGAGAGAAGAGCCGTCTTCTCTCGCAAGTGGCTCTTAGTCTCCCATAAGTTGCGATTTTTGAAGGCAGGAGACTTTGTGCGAATCACAGAAGCCGGTTTCCAGTTCTTCTTGATCAAGGACCGCGAAGGGAACATCAATGCTTTCCATAATGTCTGTCGGCATCGCGCTTACCCTATCATTGAACGTGATTGCGGAACATCTAGGATTCTGGCCTGCAAGTATCACGGTATGTAATACGTATCATGGTATCGAGCGCATGATTTACAGGCTCTTTTTTCTTCATCTGACGTCCCAGACAGGGTGGTCTTACAGCTTCAAAGGAGCCTTAGCCAAAGCACCGAAATACCAAGATCTGGCCGGATTTCAAAAGGAGTCAAATGGTCTATTCCGTATCCATGTCCATATCGACGGGCTTGGCTTCATCTGGGTCAATCTAGACTCGAGCACGACTCCAGGTGTCCCATGGGAAGAAGACTTCAAGGCTGTCGACTGCCAACCAAGGCTGAGAAATTTCAATTTCGAAGACTATACCTTCGATCACCAGTGGGAGATGCTCGGAGAATATAATTGGAAAACTCTGGCAGACAACTATAATGAGGTGAGTTGGAGCAAATCCACCACTAGTCGCACTTACCCTCAACCCGACGTACCTCGCTCAAAGCTAACCGAGAAGTGTTATCACTGCCCTACTGGCCATCCGGCCCTCAACAGTATCAGCGATTTCAACAAATACTGGGTCGAGACGAAGGGGGGTCACATAATACATTTCAACACAGATAAACCTAATGTTGACGGGCTGGGGATTTACAGTACTTTCTACTACCCCAACGCATGCATGACAGTCACGTAAGTATGCTACTAGCCGAAAGACTCGTTCATGGGATCCCCCTGACAATCTTTTCCTTCGAACAGACCTCATTTCTTCTACATGATGCGGTGCAGTCCCATCTCATCCACTCAAACACATATGGAGTACGAGGTCTATCGACATAAGGACGCTACAGATGAGGAATTCACACGCGTTTCCGATACCTTTAAACAAGTTTTAAAAGAGGACAAAGATCTCTGCAATGCTGCCCAGAAGAATTTGAACGCCAGCATTTTCATCAAAGGAGAGCTTCACCCCCAGGCGGAAAAGGTGAATCCCGTGGCAATTGTCGGCACCAGAGAACACTTGAACATAGGCTGACATACGATCACACAAAAGGGCCCGTTGTATTTCCAGAAAGTCACCAGAGACCTCGTTACGAGCCATCGCGAGAAAGAAGAAAAGTTGGGAAGGGATATATGGCCCGCAACACCACAGAGCAATTTGGCGGAAGTGACACAGAAAGATATAGAGTTTTGTAATAAGCTCAAGTGCTCAGCCCCAGAGGAACTCGCGTGGTAGGGTCGATGGGAATGGAACAATAAAGGCGGTGAGGAGCAGTTGTAGTATTCCGGATATGAGTCTTGAGTTTAAACTAAAGCGTTGCAATTGTGACTGTTAAGAGGATGGGAAAATTAGATAGTTCAAGCTGTACTCCAGGCTCCGTGCTGAATGCATAATCTTGCTTCTGTCCACTGCTGCTTATGGTACAAGGTCCAGGTCCAGCCACGCATCGATCGTTCTGCCGTAATCGTCAGCTCCAAGAAAGAAGCCTTGTTGGGCTTGACTTCCGCCCATAGTCTCCAGAACCGTTGGTGACGACTCTGTGGGACCCACGTCCGGAACCGAAGTCCCGCGTTGAAGGGGTGGAATCGAGTCCAATGTCCATGCGGATTGTCCTGGAGCATGAAGTGGTGTCTGCCTGTGCACAGTCTTGTGTCCAGCGATGCCTTCAGACCCGATCAGGTCGAACTCGGTTTTGCCTTCTTGCGCTGACGTTTCTGGGGTTGGCGACTTCGGCAGAAGAGAGTCCCCAAACACTGATGAGAGGTTGTCAGGCAAGCTACAACATCCGGCCTTCTCGTAAACCAATATTTCCCAGAGCAACGCTGCGTCAATTGACCAGGTCTGCGCATCAGGCCCTTCCGAGCGGTGACCATCCATTCCAGACACAGAGGCATCTACGACGACGACGATGCTTTGTTGAAGTCTCTGTAACTTGTTCGCCTGTAAACCATATGATGTTAATCAGCCAATGTCTTCGCCTCAAACGTAGGATTAGTAATTATCATACCATGACGGCTATGTTAGGCCAAATACGTCCCATTCGTCGCAAGAAGGTCATGCATTTCTCGAATCCGTTCTGGGCTCTCGTTCGAAGTGTATCATTTCGCACGAAGCTGTGCTGGAGATGAATTGTCGCGATGATGGCAACGCAATGACCCAACACGGGGTCCGAGATCTGGAATGACTTGCTCTCAAGTACGTCGAGGAAGTACATGATCCAGCCGGCATGGCGCGTGATCTGTTCAAAGGACTGCTGGATAAAAGACTGTGGCATCGTGTGACGAAAGTTACGGAGCCTCATCGAGAGCAAGAAGGGATGATTCAGCAGACATGGTATTGCAGCGTAGACGAACTGAACAAACAACCATGGTCCCCAGTATCCCCGCTGCTCGTGCAATTCGGCAGGTTCACGGTCTTGAAAGTTATTCTCGTGGAATCGGTACTTCATGGGGACCCGGCTGTCGATGTCCAGATGCCGCGACATGATATGCGAGTAGTCGGACTCAGATGTCCACGGTGGTGGGGTATTCGAGTCTGCTGGACAAGCGGCGTAGCAGCTTGCCATCTGCCAGACTTCGGCAAGCTGGTTTGTGAAGACTAAAATATCATCTTCCTTGTCGCTTCTAGCCGACAAAAGCAGTGGGTTATTAGTCAACTGGGAGTTGGAGCTTGTATTGACAGATCTGGGTAGATTCCCAATGGTTGTCGAGCAGCCTGCAGCATGCAAGTTCCTCAGCGTGATCAGACTCTGGACACATGCAACAAACTCATGGTTCTGAACAAGCAGCTTCCTCTCAGAAGGGCTAGTGAACCAAATCAATTTCTGAAGAAGCTGCAAGGCGTGGTCGCAACTCATTAGGGCTCTTAGAGTCCTTCCACCTATCATGAAGGTCAGTTCTCATCTTCGCTGTGCGAGGGCCGGTGATACAGACCGGTGAAATCGACCATGCTCAACAAGCATAAAGTCTGTAAAGTAGACAGCTGCACGTCGCCTTGTGCAATTCGTTCCATTGCGAGTCGGTGAGACATGTCAGCCATAGACTGCCTCTCCTGTGCATTCTCAGTTGTGCTTGGCCCCGAAGCAAAACGTAAGCAAAGGCTTTTTATTGCCAGTATGAGCTCATGGTCCCTTGTCTCCAAGGAGTCGAGAAAGCCGTCCTTTTCAAACAACTCCAAGGGCTGTCGGTGACACCATATAAGATACAGCCGCCCATAGTCCTTAAGATTGGTGGGAGCGCTGGGTGACAAACCGGTCCTAGTCGAGTAATCGATTAGCACATCTGTTTCAATGATATTGACTATCTCTGAAATGATGGGTTAAAGAGTGCAAAGTGCTGGTGTGTACATGCCGTTGCAAATCTATCTCTGGATGTCTGAGGTCTGCGAAAGGCGAAACATCTGAGTCATGAGATTGTTCCTGGAAACTTGTGGATGGCAATTCTTCTGTTGTCATTGAGCCACTAACTCCATGTCTAAGCTCGGGCCTAGGTGGCAGATATCAGAGAAGGACATTGCTAGAGAAGATTGAAAGTCAGATTTGCGACGTGATGACAGACCTCAAGCACTCAAGCAGTCGATCCAGCTTGTTCTCTAGAGAATGCATTCGTTCTTGCTATGTAGGCTGGTCAGTCCACCGCTCTTTCTGCCTGGCAGAATCTCACGAACCATTGCGCGGCTAGGTCGGTCATCTTCTCCCGCTGCATATACGCAGTCCTGGCCGAGACGAAGACAGTAGGAGCATGCCGGACGCTCACCAGGACACTTTGACTTCTTCCGTCTTTATCGCTGTCAGACCCGCTGATCATAGACTTGAGCATAGTGCCCACGAATTCATTCTTACCGGCACGGTTCGCACGCTTGGCGGGCTCGTTTTGATGGTCTGTAGTCATCCATGATAAAATTGGGGTACGAAGCGGTGCTCTAAAGGCCAAGGTTTGGTGCAGCGTTTCTTTAGTCTCGGAAAGGTGGCCGCGAACTTGCCTGTCTTATCTCTGCCGGCTCAGACTAGTAGTCAAGTTTCGTAGCCTATCTGTTCTTCAAGGGGTCTTGGCTGGAATGCGGGGACTCAGGGGGGGGGGGGGGTGCAAGTTGGTGTGGCAGGTGACACATGTACAGTCACCGTGCAGTCACCGGGTATAGCCGCCTGTCAACGTTGCATGGCTGCAGGTGAAGTACCATTTTCATCACAAAATGGGGGAAAAAGTAGAACATGTGTCTAGAAGGTTTCAGAAAGTTGGCATCTTGCTGAAAGTATCATGACTCGCAGTAAACGGTTACAGTCTATCAGATATGCATTCGAATGCTTTTCACAAGACGCCAATTGGGCCGTCATACACTGTATTTTGATAGGCGTCGAACATCACTCTATCAATCTCGGCAAGATCTCGGTGTGAAGTAGAGCTTTTCGCTGCAGCGATTTTCCTTCCCCACCAGTTCACTCGTTCGTGTATCAATGCCACGCCTGAGCCAATCTCTGCCCTTATCAGCATTCGCCTCCGAGACATCTCTAATCAGCCAATCTCAGCTCGATACACGAATATTTCAATATTTCCAGGAAAATTTTGTCTGAAGTTGCGACTCACCCCGAGGAGTTTGATAGGGCATCTGACCCTATTTTCAAAATCCGTCGACGTCTATGTTCCAATTTGTATGCAGCAAAGCTTGGCAGCATAGGAACCAGGAAATAATTGCCAAGTATGGGATTCAAAATAAGTTGACGAAAGAATATATTGCCTCAAGCATCATCAATCTTTTGATTGGGTAAGGAACCATTCAATAGTATCCTCCACTCTTTGAGTAAATAAAGATTAAATTTGAAATTTATTTTCAAAGAGAGGATTATATCCAGTATGTGGTTATTAATCTCAAAAGTCTCTTGCTATTATAATCTACTATTGCAAACAGGCTACTTAGCGAATGGATTAAGACTGAAGTCGCTATGATCTGCCAGTCCCCAGAGGTCGTGGAGGACAAAACAACCAAAACGTATGGGAGAGTATCCCCTGGTCAGATCTTCCGGGTCGCGACAATACGCAGCACGAATGTTAGAGACTTCTGGTGATGAACTGATCTGGCAATGACTGTGTCTTGAAAGCAACCGAACTTATATCTCATTCTAATCTAGTGATCCGACCTGTCTTGGTTACCGAAGCCTCGAATACTGCCCTACGCCCTGGAATATTATCGTTAACTTCTATTCCCAGCTGAAACTCGACGTGGGCGATGAGTATTCGGAATCGAGTGTCGAGCAAGGGTTTATAGCAAGGTTTATGCATTGACCAGTTAACATAACTGACAAATAGGAGATCAGATGGCCCAGCGAACCGTCGTCTACGGCCTGCATATTCACTGCACCAGCCAGCCCGGGTATAGCTCTAAGATATTGTGTACTTGGTTGTGTCGTATTTTAATGCTGGTAGTCGTGATACTGCGTAGCTCGCGCATCGGCGGCGAGTCCGGCCGTGGAAGGCTGTGTATGGTCTGTACAGCACGCCATGGATGTGCGGAGAGATTGCAGATGGCGGCAAGTCGTCCAGTCCAAGCAAAGGCTATCCAGTTCAAATGGTGACTGACTAATGACGGTAAGCAGAGCCACTGCCCAGTCTTACAGGAAAGGAGTTATGCCCCTTGCTTATATCAATGTAAGATTATTACCGACTGCCTGGGCCAAGTAAGCGACATTGTTTGGTATCGTTTGGAGAACCAATGCAGGCCCTACCGCAGTGAACTCAGGAGAACAACCTCGCGGGATGCCATGTGGATCTGCGCTTAAAGACGTTTAAGTTTAGATTGCCGTCAGTCCACTCGTGGGGTGCCCACTGGGGAACTGTGGGGGTCGCTTGACTAGTCAGTGATTCGCTAGCCCTGTCAGCCCTGGCGGGTCTTGCGACGGGATGTCATGAGAGTACATACGATGTATTCTGTAGTATGAGGCCGCCGTCGGGTTTGAATGGAATCGCCCCTTATTTATGCATGATGATAAAGCTACAAAGTCGAGTGAGAGGGATTTGGAGGATTTCAATAATGGCGTCGTTGCTTTCACTTAATGCTTTTATTACTCAAGCGAGTAGCGGATCACACATCAGCATCGACAATACGGTCGCTTCTCCTCGGAAAGATCACTCGAGGTTGACAGCATCTCTGCGTCTGGCTCTCGACAAGATCAAACTAGACCCGATGCTTTACCAATCGGAAATCTGTAGATCCCCTGCAGATCGATTCACGGAGCTGGATACTGTAGGGGCGCCGGGCCGGCTGTGATTGGAGCATTCTCGCAGATGTTTCATAGTAAATTGCAGCCCACTTTCTCGGAAACGAAACGCCGTTTGGTGGCCCCATGAACAAGCAGGGCCAACCTGACGGCTCTTGTACTATTTTGCGATCACGGAATAGACGCAGTATACATGATACTACGGAGCTGTCTTACAGTCGTCTCTTGCCTTTCTAGGACAGCCGTTGCGATCTAGATAGAATTTCTCCTGCCGCCAAGAAGACCGGTGATACAAACCCCAGTAGCTAAGGGCCACCAGCATGAGTGATGCAGGTGGCCTTATACTCAATTCGTCTGTATCATCGTGTGGATAGACTGGTGGATATGCCAAGGCAACAATCTAACCGCCAGAGAAGCCAGCAACCCACAGCAATGGTCCTTCGCCTCTGCTGCACAAGGTCTTGACCGGCGGCTTGGCAATGGAGTCGTTGCTGTAAATAAAATGGGTGAGACCGCCTCGAATGTTGAGGGAAAAGTCTTGCTGAGATCAAGTTCCATCCATTACCTTCGCAGCACAAGCTAGCGTCTTTCTTTTTCACTTACACTATTGTGGCCGGTCGTTTCCACTTATCCATTCCATCTTTTCAGCATATCAAATTTTTGACAAATACACACGCACACACAATACATCGAAAATGGCTAGGTCAGACCTCTTCACCATCTTTCTCGCCCTCACCGTCGGCACCAGCGCCCTGCCCCAGCGCGGCACCCCCGTCGAGAGGGCCGCCTCGCCGCCGGCGACGTTCAGCCCGCAGCCAAGCACGGGCCCGGGCGGCAGCGACTACAAGGACTCAGCGCACTTCCGGGTGTACAATGGGGGAAGCTCCGCGGATTCGGCGCTGGAGATGCTGGAAGGCGCCTACGAGTGCTTCGTGAACACGCTGGGCTGGCGGTCTAGTGGGCTGTCGTTTAACGATGAGTCGGACGCCGGGCCGTACTACAAGGTCAACGTCTACTCGGTCAGCACCCTCGATAATGCCGCGGGCGTGATGCACTCTGAGGCTGGGCCGGGTGCAGCCTGGCTCGAGGTCGTCAGCGACTACCTAGCCACGCCGACCGTCACGGTGCACGAGTACGGCCACGCGCTGCATTACTACCAGAAAACATGGGTCGACCAGAGCGCCACTGGTGCGTGGTGGGAGACAGTGGCCCAGTGGGTTGCCGACACGTACTCGACGAGCCCGCTGTGCGCCGACGCGCGTGCCGCGCACAACCAGAAGGAGGGCCAAAGCGAGCTCGAGCTCGACAAGGTCCTGGGCGATTCGTTCCAGGTCATCGTCGATGGCACTCCCGATTCGGGTAATTACTACCAGGCAGTAAGTGGCTTCAATTAAGTCTTAACGCTCTCAGAGTGGAAATCTTGCTATATTGGTGGTTTGTCTCACGGCCAATCTTGAAACTTTGTGTCTGGCTGCAGCTTTTGAGACAGACTCTACGCAACTGATATCCTAACCCACCATGCCTGTGTACGCAACTTTCTCCTGAGTACTTTGATAGCTGACTACGAGTGCTGCAGTGGCCGTTCCTGACGTACCTGACCAACAACCCCGACAACTTCGCCGGGCTGGGCAAGGACGCTTTGCACCAAATGATGGTGCAGTATGAGGCCAACAGCAATGAGACGCCTCTGCACGTGCTGCAGCGCGTGGCTGGCAACGCCACGGCAGGTGACATTGTGGGCCGCTACTGGGCGCGCATGGCGTACGTTGACATTGGGCACGAACAGGCGCAGGCCGCCTTCGAGCAACAGAAGGACAGCATTAATTACGCGAATGTCGATAAGTCGGGTGATGGCTACGCCGTCAAGTCGGCCCGCGCGCCACGCTACATGGGTGCCAACATCATCCCCCTGACTGTCTCGGGCGGGTCGGTCGAGGCCAAGGTCACCTCTAGCGGAGCCTTCACGGCGACGCTGGCCATCAAGGGCAGTGACGCGGTGCGCTATGTTACTCTTGAGAACGGTGCTGGATCGGCCGAGGTTGCTAGCGGAGAGGAGGCCAGCCTGGTGGTCGCCAACACGCCCAAGACTCTGCTCCAATATAACGGCTTTGAGTTGGAGGGTAGCAAGGCTAATGACGGCCTGGACTACTCATTCACGCTGACTGGTGCCACTGTCACCTCGGCTTAGGATGAGTCAAGATAGCTTTAGGCTTATGCTGTGAACAGACTTCTTGTATATAGTGAAAAGTGACTCTTCTACTTCAATCATTTTGATGGCGTCCGTTGACCTGAAGTGAACGTGGACCAAATTTGGTGGATTAGTCGATGTAGTCGTAGCTCACTTGTAAAGAAGATATGACAGAACCTGCCCTTCTTTCGCCCGAGGCGTCGCTCAAGATCACTTGGATTATTCATCTCGGTGACACTGCACATGTGGCTGTGGATCGCGAGTCCCCGTTGGGGGAAGAAAAAGCAGCTTTAGTTTGATTTAAAAGCGGGGGAGCGGCAGCTATCTAAAGATGACCGACACGAGACAATCTGGTGGAGGCTGTAATTCATTGAATCGCCTGGATGAGGAGCCAACTCAGAACAAAGAATGTAACGTTATTGTGTATTGTAATGGTCTTTCGGGCTCGCCACCTCGGGGTAACGGTACTACAATGTGGTCACTAAAAAATAATGGAAAGAAATGGATCGTCTTTACCGCAGATGATGAGCACAGACTATGGATTTATGGTTATGTTGATCAAGCCACTGATCATTCCTATGGCGACAAGCTGGGATGATAGTTGCGATCAAATATTTTTACTCCAAACTACACCAGTTTGTTGCAACTATGTGAGGAACCCAACTAAATGACAGATCACTCCTGGCAGAGTAGGTTGGGCGGGGCTTCTTACTGTGCCTGAGTGTACTGCATAACCTGACTTGTTGTTGGCCATAGACAGATTGCGCTGTCTGGGACCAAAGCTCTGACTCTCAAATCTGCATTCTGAGGCTCGCTCGGTAGTGTCCGATCTATTACTCATATATAGTCTAGATGAATGCAACGTTGGAGTTGTTCGGCTTCTGAACATCGCCGTGACCAGTTATTCGGCTGGGTCAAGGCCGGACCCCCGCTCCGACAGGATTTCGGAATCCAAACGAATGGTAGGCGCCGATTATATGAAGTGGCGCCATTTTCACCCGTTCCATAGCCGAAGTAAGACGCAAAGTGGGTGAATTCGATCCGTATTACGCATTCCGGGACCTGAAGGAATGCGGCTGTGCGCAGCGGTGCGACAAAGTGAGTAAGCGACGCGTGGGCCATATGTCTCAGTTGGCGGGTCTCGGAAGGGCCGTCCTTATCCGATGCCGAAATAGGACGATATATATACAATTCGTTGAAATGGAGGAACAACGATGTGTGTATCTAGCACCAGAATATCAGCAATTTGACACCGAATTTCTCTGATCAAACTTCTCTGAATTACCAAAGTTTAACTCCTGCAATCGTCAACCGTTATTGAACCAGATATTCTCGCAAAGATGAGTTTTTTCAAGGAAGTCACAGCATCTCTCGACTTGGACGGACCGACAGATATCCCTCGCCATCCTCTGACAGGGATCTCTGTGTTGATCGTGGGTGCCGGCCCAGCTGGTCTGTATACCGCTCTCGAATGCTGGCGCAAAGGCCACAGTCCCCGTGTAATCGATCGAACTCCATCACCCAGCCCTGCAGGTAAGTGATAGGCAATCATTGAGTTTAGAAAGCCTATGCAGCAAACTTTGACACAGTACACTTTAGGTGACTCTTTTATGATGGGGCCCTCGGCACAGCAACATATCGAGAGAACCTGGCCCGCATTGTATGCGGCATCGCTGAAGACGGCTCCCGATCCATGGATGTCATTTCACAAAGTGACCGGCGAGAAGGTGGCTGGTCCTCAGCCGTTTTCTTTCAACAAGGACGGAGTGGTGTTGTTCAACGAAGATGGCGAGCCGGCTCCGGACCGAGTATTTCGCGTTTCGCGCCCAAAGTTCACGGCCGCACTGCTGGGACAGGCCTTGGCCCTAGGTGTTGATGTGTCATTTGGGCAGCGAGTGATTGATTACTTCGAAGACGAGAACAAAGGCGGTGTCATCCTGGAAGACGGGTCGAAGATGGATGCGGATGTCGTTGTCGCTGCGGACGGACTTGGCACCAAATCTCACAAGCTAATCAACGGGCATGAGATCAGGGCCATGAGTAGTAACCATTCAATTTTGCGGACGGCTTACCATGTCGACAACTTTATTACTCACCCCGAACTCGACAAAGCGTTTCCGTTACGCGAGGATGGAGGCGCTCTGCTGCAGATATGGACTGCGGATGATATCCAAATCATGGTCCTTCGTGCGCCTGATACAATTCAATGGCACATAATGCACAATGTGAGTCAATCGACTTCCAATGAAACAGTTTATGTGCTGATGAATGAGATTTAGGACATTGCGGGAAATTCAAAAGAGTCTTGGTCAAACCATGTCTCACCCGAATACGTGGTGGACTTTCTCAAGGAGAATTATCCCGATGTTCCCGACTATCTTTACAAACTCATCAGGACCGCACCTCAAGATGCCATCATCGACTGGCAACTAATGTGGAGAGACCCCCAGCCGAACTGGACCTCGCCTTTGGGTCGTGTTGTCCAGGTTGGTGATAGCGCCCATACATTCTTACCATCGTCAGGCAACGGGGCAGTTCAGGGCATCGAGGATGCAGTTTCACTGGCAACCTGTCTAGAGCTCGGCGGTGGCATGAAGAATGGTCTTTGGTCAAAGGCTCATAACAAACTCAGGCAAGTTCCCTCATGCAGCGTGGTTCTGCCAATTTGAGGTGATAAACTCACTAACGACATCCATAGATTTGAGCGCGTATCGTGCTGCCAGCTCGTCGGCTTCATCAATCAAACCAACTTCTTGAAACCTGAATCTCGAAAGAAGACGGCCGGAGGCTCGGCCACACCCCAGCCGGAGTACGGGCATTGGATCTGGGCTCACAACCCCGAGAGGTACGCTTACGAGAATTATGGCAAGGCTCTCAGGAATGTCGTCGATGGAACACCGTTTCAAAACACGAACATTCCTCCGGGGTACCACTACAAGCCATGGACGCTTCATGAATTGTACGAGAAGATTGAAGCTGGTGAGAAACTAGAGTTTGAGGGAGACTGGTCGTAGACCCCAAGGATAACTAAGTATTACTTGCTCTTAACTTTTTCACATAGAATTTAATATCTTACTTGCATGCAAACTTTTAATGATGAATTAAGTAATAATGTCAGGCTTTCCATTATCACCCAGTCTGCCTTGTTGCGTGCCTTGCTGAGACCCGGATTCGTGATTGACTCGGGCTATCGAGCCATGGTCTGGAAAGGTCCTTGTAAAAGGACAGGCAAAAATTCAAGCCAGGCCCATGTGAGGAGTCCTATCGTTCTTGGTGTCGATCGGCCACTTCAATATGTCTGTTCCAGCGTGTGTGACTCGGAAAGCTGGGGGAGGGGGCAATTGACAAGGTGACTGCTGAACGCGAAAGGGCTAGTTATTCGAAATGCAATCAACACATGGGCATGTAGCCAACGGCACGCGCTGTTGCAGTCAGACCCCTGCCTGCAACCGATGCAACTATACGCTTATACATCAACCAACATTGATGACGGAACCCCTCAACCAAAGAGCCCAAAGACCCCAACCTGTCAGCTTCACCCTCCTGCTTACCTCTCTAATCGTTCTGCTTTTTCCGTTGCAATCAATTCGTCTTCATCTCACCTACTCTAGCAGTCATGACTGAAGGGTTTGCATCGTTTCCTGTCGAGGGTTTATCGGAGCCGTGCAAGACTTGGTACAAGATTGTAGGCGATCTCGCAACGTCAGCAGCCCCATTGATCGTACTTCATGGTGGCCCGGGGGCCTGTCATGACTATCTCCTCCCCTTGACCGACCTCGCGCCCTCGACTACTCTTGTGTTCTATGACCAAATCGGAAATGGCCGATCGACCCATCTTCCCGAAAAGCACGGCGACGAGGAGTTCTGGTCCGTGGATCTATTCATGAAGGAGCTCAATAATCTTCTGTTACATCTAGGTCTTCAAGATCGGAAAATTGATATCTATGGGCATTCTTGGGGCGGGATGCTGGCCGCCGAGTGGGCAGCAGCACATCCGGGCCCGTCCAACCTCCGGCGTCTGGTGATCTCAAATAGCCTTGCCAGCATGGAAGTGTGGCTGGAGGGTGTTTCGATTTTGAGAAAGCAGCTGCCGCAGGATGTTCAGGAGGTCCTTAACCGCGCTGAGGACTCTCAGAACTTCGAGAGCCCCGAGTACGAAGCTGCTGTCGAAGTATTTTACAAGAAGCATCTCAGTCTTGCAAGGCCTTGGCCAGCACCAGAGGTCCAAGTCGCGCTTGACTGGTTTGCCAAGGATTCGACTACCTATGGCACAATGTAGGTCGACTGCGCCTCTCAGGCAAAACAAATCTGTACAAGGCTGATAACAAGTGCAGGTATGGTCCAAGCGAGCTTAACGCTACTGGCTCGCTTCGCAACTGGACTTCCATTCCGAAGTTACCCAGGATCAAGGTTCCCACCCTTCTGATCAATGGGGTACAGGATGAGGCTCAGGATGTAGCGATGCAGCCGTTCTTCGACCATATTGTGAAGGCCAAGTGGATCAAGCTAGATAATGCTGCGCACTTCTCCCATGTTGATCAACGGGAGAGCTACATGAAGCATTTGGGGGCTTTTCTGGCAGCATGAATTTTGCTGAGAATGAATCGCGCAGAAATGTTCTTGCCAAATAACTTGCAACTCACTCGCAGTGATGGCATCGGAATGCGATGTTGACTCACTCAGTCGAACAAGAAGTGGCTTCAGCGATGCTGATGAAAGTGCCTAATTTTAGCTATATGAAATCAAGCTAGAAAAAGATGTATCTGGTTGTCTTCCATGACTTCTGTTCAAGAATTCGCTGAGACGCACTGTTACAAACACCCGGGAGATCAGAATGCGTAGCTGTATATGCCTACCAACCATGTTGAAGGTAAGAAGAAAGTGAGCCCGTAGGCGATGTTGCGCATGATCATGCCGAAAGGACTAGCTTTGAAAGCGTCGTGTTTGATGATGTCTGAGAACCCCATGCCGTCTTGGAACTTTAGGCCAGGGACCTCTTCTTCCAACTCTGTATGGTCGCGCAAGGCCCACTTGAGCGTTGTGCCCAAACTCTTCAGGGCACCGACCGCGTTCGCAATGTTGACAAGTAAGGTTCCAGCAGCATCGAAGTAGACCTCTCCATGGACCCCTCGATCTAGGAAATAGCTCGTGACTTGCCGCAGCAATCCATAGACCTCAGCAGGTGCCAAATACATCGTCAAGCCCTCCATGACGACCAGGACTGGCCTGTCACTGGGTATTTGGCATTTTTCCAACCAGCCCTCCTCCGTGATGCTCGGATCGATCAGCCTGTACTCAGACCCGGACTCCGGGCTCGGATCTGCCATGACCTGTCTCCGCAGCTCGATGACATCTTGCTTATCAATGTCGATCCACAGCCTTCCCTCGTCCTGCCACCTGACGCGCAAACTTCTCGAGTCCAGCCCGCAAGCCAGATGCAGCACGGTGGCGCGGCCGGGGTGCGCGACTAGGAACGCATGTGTCTTCAGATCCAAAATCCGTGTGCGGAGCGATATGAATGCTGAAACTGGGCTTCCTCGTGCTCCGTAGTTCAATCGCTCGCGGAAGTTGTAGCCGCTGTCTTGGACTTGCTTCACCACTGAGGCGGCGTGCGTGTCATTTAGGATGGGGCGTACTGCCTCTGTATCGTTTGCTCGAGCGATCAGGGTCAGCATCAATGTCTCTTGAGCCCCAGTCAGCTTGATGTTGCCTTTGTGATTGTTGTTCGCCATCATGGATTGTGGTTGTTGCATTAGGGATGTTTTGATCAGGAACGAGGTAATTATATCCGGTATCATGCGCCCCGTGGATCGCGCGTGCTCAATGACGACGAATTGCAACGCAGTATCCGATTACGATAGTATTCGTACTTGGTTAGGACGAAGTTTAAATGATCCCTTGGAGCCGGGATGAACCCAGAAGTCCCAGAACTGCCTCGGTGCAAGACACTTGGGCCGTCCTTATGACCAACCAGGCTCGTCCAACATCTACGCCTCGGTATTCTACGAACATCACTCCTGTCATGTCGACTTTGCCAACTGCTCGAATGCAAATACAAAAAAAACAGGGCTGAACGCCCAGTCTAGCAGATATTCGTCGTAAAAGGGCTTGTCTACATCACAGTCTTGGCAGGGATTGTTTCAGGTGACTAGGTAGGCGGCTTGTTGATGACGTTATATTTGACGAAAGGCTTTTGAGACGACCCGGGCCTCGTCGTCACTCGCCAGGGTCCTAGCTCATAGGCAATTTGACGACGATTAGTAGGCCTAAAAGCGGTGGCTCATTCATAAATGGCTTAGGTAAAATAGTAAGTCGAACACCTAGCTTTGACTTAAACTCAATTGAAGAGGTAGCACCGGCCTATGCTTGCAAATGTGGTCACGCCATGACACGAATGAAAATTAACGTCGCATTAAAGTATCTACAGATATATGTCTGCATTATCAAGCCGGGTTATAACCCTTGCTCCAGTCACTGCAGTTCAGATCCAGAAGTGTCCTGTCCAAGTTTCTACAGGTGACTAAATTACTACCATTGATGGTTCTGATATCAATGTTTTCGGCCACAATGTTGGAGCAAGTATCCGGACTGGAACAGACTAGGTGTCCCACGAGAGGAGAGAAGACACGGTTCGATCGACCTCGAACATTACGGAAAGTGACGTCCGTGATCTTGAGCTTCGACTGCATAAGTTGTCAGTATCATCCTCTCTCGCATCCAATTCAGTATTGCTCACTGGGTTTTTGAAGCATTCCTCTTCGTCGTCCTGTCCGTAGCATTGAGTGATGGTGAGACCGTAGTCCACGTTATCGAGCCACATGGTGTCGTAGGTCACGTTCTGTACCAGGCCTCTGCCTCCACCGCCGACCAGATTTCCGCTCTTCTCTGAGTATGAATCTGGCCACACCTTGATACGTGCGCCTTCAGAAGAGTTGTACATGGCCGCGTTGAGAACAGTAATGTTCTGGACGTAGTCGACCCTTTCCGGGTACTGGCCTAGACTTCCGATGGAAATACCGTGCGTCCCGTTGCAGCGCATGTTTTGCACTAGGATGTTGGTCGAGTTCGGTTTGAATGATACGCAGTCTAATCACAAAGCTTTAGTATATCTGATCATGCACACACAATGATATGAATTGTATTTACCATCTCCATTGGTCACGCTTGAGTTTTGAATCGTGATTCGATCGGATCGATAAATATCCCACCCATCAGTGTTCTTCTCGAAATACTCGTTGTTGCTCACAGCCCAGATGGAAATGTTTGTGAAGGTGACATCCGTTGAGTTGGCGACAAAGTTCGTCCACATGGGCGAGTTGTTCAAACTTATGTCCGAGATTGTGCCAGTGTGCAGGTCATCCGTCATCAGAAGCACAGGGCGCCGATCCTTTTTGTGCTCAGGATACCAATCCCACCACTTCTGGCCATTTCCGTCTATCACTCCTCCTCCGTAGACGTTGACGTCTGTCCCACCGATTTTGAAAAAAGTGGTGCTGTTTTGATAGTCCATATCGAAAGTATGCCCGTCTCTCCAGTAGGTCATGTTATCGCTGAATGTAACAAATGCTTGAATATCGAGGTCCACACGCTCCAGGTGGGTCAAATCCAAGGGATTGCCGATGAAATATGACTGCGTTTTGGGAAATATAATGTGGCCATCAGGGTTGCAGCCATTGATGGCGTCCTTGATGAACTCGGAGTCGTCAGTCTCGCCATCGCCATGGCTTTCCACAATACATGTACGATTTCGCGCCGGTGATGCCTCCGCTACTGCAGGACGAGCGGACCGGATGCTGAATAGAAACGTCTGTGGCACGGTCGTGTAGGCGTAGTCTGCCACTACAGCTGCTGGGAGCAGCCTACATAGGGCTGCGACACTCTTGAGGAGACTCATCTTGACGCTGGAACCCAAAGGTGGCTCGAAAAAGGCGGAGGGTTCAACCTGAGGACTTTATCACTCGTCCGATCGCATATTGGGTATTTACTTAAACATTCGGCTTCGTATAAATAACCTTTTGTAAATCTTGGCGTCCCTCTCTCTAGCCGGGATTCCCATCAGAAGCTCCACGATTCGGCCGCTACTGAGCCGAAGGAATCCTTCCAGCTGTTTATGCTTGGCAGTGGTGCTAACATTGCCATCTCGGATCATGTGCCCGGATAAGAGGTCCCAAGAAGCCCACTTCCCAAGATTCGCTTTCCCAGATATTAGTCCCGGATAAGCTTCACCTCCCCACAATCGCTCCTGGGCGATACCCTATGATAAGTGGGAAAATTTAACACTTTTCCGGGGTTCCGACCAGTGGATCACGGAAACCCCGGTGGTCATGATACTACCACCTGACCCAGAGGGCTGGTAAGTAATGTGATTTGTGTGCTCATAAAAGAGCATACAGATTATTAGGACATACTTCAAATCACCAGGTCTGTGTGGCAAACACATTCGAGAACATCGTGACGCTTTATCAAATTTTGACCCGCATATGTCCTCCTGCTTGACACTACATTGTATGCATTCTAGCCTGTGAATGAACCCCTGGCTATGAATTCGGAGCCATAACATTGTTGCCAATGTTTGCTGAGAATAGCATACACAATTGCCAGACTTTGCGAGCTTGAGATTCACCAGTAATATCGGTAGCCTCGCCCCTTTTCATCGCTAAACAAGATAACCGGATCGGCTTGGGGCCGCACATGCGAATTGCGAGCACGCTGGTTGAACCATTTGAACGTCATCGTTTGCAGGACCAGAACAGCGAGCCAAACGGCTCCTAAAGCTATGCATGTTGCCCAGGCTTTGCGGTAGAGGGGTGCATCGCTCTAGTATCTTTGTATCAGTTTTCCGCTGTACCTTATGCCAGATGAGCGGGAACTTGAACCTACCCCTCGGAACACCTGGTTGCCGTAGGTTCCGCCAAGGTTGGAGCATCCGACTACGCACTGGTTAGAGTTCACTGCACGTGCATTGACTCAATCTAGCTTCCACCCACTGTAAACGGCATAAGCGATAGCTCTCTTCTGGGGAGTCTTGAAGTTGAGAGCTAGCCATGACACATTGAGTGGCTGCCATGTACTGATTTGGAAACTTGATCAGTCTATCGAACACCAGTCCTCTCAGTAACGGACAGAGCTCACGGAGCGGCTTGTGTGACAACATAGGCAGCATAAAATGACCACGAAGCCTTCGCAGTCACTGGCAAATGCTGCACATAAGGGTGTTAGCACGAGAACTCGTCATTACGTTGCGACAATACTTACGTAGAGTGCGATTAGACCAGCCAAAGTCCAAACCGCGGCAAAGATGATGGCGTACCCAAAACGCTTGTATCGGTCCACAAAAGAAGATAAGACAAAACCGGTCAGAGAGCCAAGTATTGGGCCAGGCGCATTGAGGAGGTTCGCTCGCGTCCTATTGAAACCCAGGGATTGAATAATCGTTGCGCCCCAGGTCGATAGGCCGTTCACAGACTGTAGTCCGCTCAGGCATACTATCAGGTATGGCCAAATATGCCAGGTGAGTAGGACATCGTTGCTGCGAATAAGGTAGTCAGTAGAAGCTCGAGGTCCAAATTTTGACATTTCCACAGGATACCAACATATCCTTGAATGAGATCTTGAGCGTTGCGTCTTGGCCCTTATTTGGGTCACGCCGGATGATCCTCGCCACGAAGACGTCTGCTTCTCGCTCAGATAGCCAGCCATGGCTAGGCAACAGACCTCCAAACAGACGATTTGTGTGATGCGGCGACTTCGGCACAAATGCAAAGGCCAAGATGCCGACGGCTAGATAGCGAAGTTAGCTTGGTTGCACTTGGCCTTGGTTGGCACAAAGAAGCTGACCTATCGTCGCTATACCGCATATTATAAATATCCTATTGGAATTTTAGCACATTGTTGGTGAGAGCCTTGCTTGAGAAAGTCACCAACCACTGCCATCCTTTTAGCCCTCCTGCTCCCTCTAGTCGAAGTGCACCAGCTGAAATTAACGATCCAAAAGCAGCCGATATGGACGGTCCTAGGAAGAATATCGTGGTCCTTTTCGCGAGCTCGTCTTGTGTATACCATCGAGATAACGTGTAGAGCGCCCCGGGTATGAACCCACTCTCACCCAGGCCAAGAAACAGTCGTGCTGCATACCAGCCACCAGCATTCTTGACAAAGGCCTGGAGCACCTCAATGAGACCCCACACCACGACCTGTGCCGGAATCCAGTAATGAGCTCCTACGCGATGCAGGATGACCTGACGACATCCGGTTAGGTGGTAAATGGATGCAACGGGAATGAGAAGAACTTACGTTCGAAGGTATCTCCAACAGAACAATGCCAAGCCAGAGCAGTGAGACGCCAGTGTTTGCTTCATCTCTCGTCATTTTCGTATCGTGTAGAAAAGTGGAAGTCAAGACGCCAGAGACATTCGTACGGTCAATGGCCATCCAGGTGAACATCAACTATACTTGGGTGGTCAGACAGGGAAACTCCAAGTTCTAACCAGTCCGCGTACCGAAAACAGTGGGAGGAAGAGAAAGTCAGCCTTGCGGACTACTCGGGCCTCTTCATCCTTACTCCAGAGAACAAGAACTTTTTTGCCATGTTTCTCAATGTGTTGTCTGAATATCCCATCACCAATATCATTGCTCTCGGTGTCAGATTCTGGTTTAGATGAGTCGTTGGCCACGAGCGTGAGAGAACCCTGATCAGCAACGTCCGTCTTCAAGTCATGTGTGTTAACAGCGGCCGAGGAGTCTACGGCCGGAGCCGTGGCGAATTTTCCGATGGTTTGGGTGGCCATATCATTGCTCCCGATGTCTGCTCATGCTTTGGCCTCAGATGTTGCATATTAAAGGACCAGACAACGATACTCGAGGATTTATTATCACTCATTACATATGCTAGAGGGAAATAATACCATCGAAAGCTAAAAGTAGCACTCATTGGAACGATGTATGGCGTAATGACCCTTTGCCGGTTACAAGGGTGCCAATCTTTGCAGCATATTGCTCGCTTGTGTGATCTCATTTGCCACTTCCACAGAACACGCTCAACTGGGTACCCCTCAAACACCAATTGATGTGTGTATATTACTTATCTTATCAAGAATGCAGTCCTCTTTCCGACTACTGTCAACTACAGTTAGCACCGAGTGTTGCCTTCTGCCCGCAAGATGTCGCCATTTCGGAGCGGGGCTGAGGCCAATACACTGTAATGGAGATGCCATCATCATCTTGATGACGGCAAGGATCGATACAACTTAACGATCAAACGAGATTCTTAATATTTCACCAAGAATAAGATCAAAATTACTTTCTAAAATGCCTGCCACCATCAATACCTCCAAGCCGCTGCCTGTGTACTTCATCGGCCATGCTGGTGTTGGACTGCTCTTCAAAGAGAGCGAAAATAATCTCACAGTACAAAGTAATTTGAGGGCGATCGGCGATGAGATTTTGGAAATATCGCCGCCTCCAAAGGCAATTTTGGCTTTCAGTGGACATTTTGAAGCTGGCGAGATCCATGGCCCCAATGTAATTGAGGGTTGGTGATGGCTTATAAGACTGGTAGTTCTTGGCCCAGGACGGCGCTAATGGTGTCGAATGCTGCAGTCAACGTTAAGAACAATACATACATCCAAGTCAGTACTCTGCAGCTTTTAATTACAGATGGCATAACTCACTCAGTCGAATGCCTTAGCACGATTTTGTCAACGACTTTCATGACACTCAGCCATTTGTCTACGAATACGACTGGCCTCATCAAGATGCTCCTGAGCTAGCGGTGGATGTGTGGAATCATCTGCGTGAAGCGGGTATTAAGGCAAAGAGAGTAGAGCGCGGTGTGGATCACGGTATTTGGGTGCCTTTCAAGGTGATGTTTCCACCTGAGAAACCGCTCGAGGTGCCTGTTGTTCAGGTATCCACATTCCATGGCTATGACTTGGAAAGCCAGATTCGCCTGGGTGAGGCGATAAGATCCCTGAGGTAAGTACTGTTGAGGTGTTCGCGGAGTATGGAAAAGCTGACCTCAGGTCTTTAAGGTCCGAGGGATATCTCATTATAGGGTCTGGCATGGCTGTACACTCCTTCGCATCGATCGCAGAGATTTTCCAAGCAGGACCAGAGAGAGAAAACGTCGTCCGAGAAAACGTCCTGACCGAGTCACGGAAATTTGACACAGAGCTCAGGAACGCCGTGACAAAGCGAAATGCCGCTGAAAGAAAGCAGGCTTTGCTGAAGCTGGAGTCACTGCAGGAGTTCAGGCGCTCCCATCCTACTGTTGAGGTACGGACCATAAGTAGACATCATTGCATCACGCCACTTTTGCTAAGGCTAGTTGTTTTCACCAGCATTTCACGCCTCTTCTTGTAGCGGCTGGAGCTGCCGGGGACTCAGACGTTGAGCCCGTCGGTAAAGACATTGTCGAGCCGGGCATGTCATATCTGAATATCCGATTCATTTAACATGCTTGTAAGGCGTCGGCCCAAACATTGAAGTAGTAACGCAAAGCGGAATCTTTGTCCATGTCAAATTGAATCTGAGCTCTGAGTCATCATGTCTGCAACACTTGCAGAGAACGCGACAGTTTCGTTCATCATGAGTTTGCTGGCCGTTAGCTGTCCAAAATTGGAAAGGCCTGTTGTCCAATGCAATCATCACCCTTATGTGCTTGTCTTTATGCATGTGGATGTATCCCTGCCCTTTGCGCTGCAAGCTCACAGATGTCGCCATATATGAAGCCTTTCAATATCTCAAGCATCATCCTCGCTCTTAATTCGCGTCAGACCAAGTGCCGCCATCCGGGCGTCACTCATCTCGCCCCTGGTCTGGCTCTGAGAATCCCATTCCGAGCCTCCTCCAACTACTTTGCCCTGCTCACTCTTCATGTTTCTATTGCTAGATGGCTCGGTGAGAAATTCGTCAATCATCTCATCCTCGCCAGTGGGAGAGTCGCTGTACGGTGTGTTGGCATCTGGGAATTCGGGCGACTCAAGTGGGTATGATCCTGGCATCACCTGCGCGGTGCTTGCCCCGAGGAGATTTGTAGATCCTGTAGGTCGAGCTGTAGCCCCACCGTAAAGCCGCTTCTGCCTCGCTCGTTCCTGGCGAATTTTGCGCTCCACCTTGTCAGCCTCAATGCGGTGCAGCACTTTCTCCTTCAGCGCGTCGTTCGCCTTCTTCTGCTCCGCCACTTCCAGGGCATGCTTCTGCATGTCATTGAGTTCGTCCTTGGCATCGACCCTGTTCCCCTTCCCGGCCGCTGGGTCGGGCCGATCTCTCGGTGTCAGGGTCTCATTGCCGACTTGTTCCTGGTCCATGTCGGTAAAGCGTTGGACGCCGATGCTGACCAGGAACGAGGCAAAGTCATCGATGCGCTTCCCGTCCCATGTCATCGTCTGGAGCTTGTAGCCGCCGTGGATAAACTTGTGAGGTGTGTTCTTTATGATCGTTGAGTTGATCTTTTGCTTTGCAGGAATCTCCTTGGACATCATTCCGAAGTTCTTGACGTCGCGAGTAAGTTGGCCATCCTGCACATGCATCCCGACGAACCCAGCAAGTTTCAATTGCTCCAAGTCAGTGTAGTCTTGATGAAAGTGTTTCCGAATGAAAGCGGCCATCTCGTCCTCATTGTCATAAGAACTGATCTTGGTCTCTGGAAATGAGGACATGGCTTCGTGGGCTGCCTCGGCAGTCTCACCCTGACCGCCCAGAATTATTTTGTCCAGCCCTTGAGCTCGTTCAGCCTCCTGCAGGATCACCTGGGTGACATATGGCAGGTTCCCTAACGTCATTCCAACCGCGACCCTGTCGTCTGGGGATAAATTGTTCCATGGTCTCGCATGGGCTTTGCAAAAGGGAAAGACCCATCGCACAGTAGGGAATTGCTCGCGCAGAGTTTTGTGATTCCTTGTCAGCTTCTCCGAGAGGACCTTGTCGTGGAGCTCATGGTCGGTGGTTGGCTCCGGAAATCGGTGGAGGAAGACTACCGTATGAGAATGGCCTTCGGCGGGGTCAACCACGAGCGGCCTGCTGAGCTTCTGACGAAGAGCCATCTTGATGGCTATTCTGATGGGCAGCTCGATGCAATGCAGTATGGGTAACTGAGATTTGGGAAGTGAGCCGTGGGGGCCATCTGCCTTATAGGTGACAGTGTCAGGTCATTGTTGGTTTGCAGGTAGCCAAACACCGCAATTGTTCCGCTAAGGGAGCTGTTTTACTTTCCAGGGCCCGAACTGGTCCGTGCCCCAGTGGGCCTCCTGCAGATGTCTTAGATGTCTCGTACCCAAACTTTGAGCTGCTACGACACTTATATTCAATGGAGTCTGGGTTTCCAGGCGTCTTGAAACGGAAGAACTATCTGCATAGATTTCAGAAAGAAATCCAGAGGACGATTAGATAGGGGATCTCTGAATGCATCACGCTACCTCGCCACAATCGAGCCTCGCAAATAAGAGCAGCATTGGAATCACTAGATGAAAGTTTATTAGCAGGTGTGTCATCAGTCACCGCTAGTCATTCAAACATTATGATGTGGAATTTTCCTGTCTCTCACTCTGTAATCAAAAGTATAGACACATGGTGTGCCAGGCTTTCCATTTGCAAACCTTAGAGTATAAATATACAATGATTCGTTCACACATGCATCTTGACCTTCTCGGCATCTATAGCCGAGGTATGGAAGAATTTCAATAAACAGCTTACCATTTGAGGAGTTGAACCCGACAAACATCAATTTTCTTTTCAGTCAAAGAGCATCAGAAACAATATGGAGGACTCAGCCTGCACTACGGAGTCACAGGGCCAAGATCGCATAGAGCATGACACAACAGAACAGCAGTATTCGACCCCTCAAAATATAGCGGTGCAACCATCAACACCACAAGATGAGGTCAATCAGCGAGGTGGGTACGAAATGCAATACATGTGCGCGGATGAATGCTATTGTCTCGGCTTTATTCTCACCTTAGGCCTCATCGCGTGTTGCTGCTCACCAGAAGACATGCATTAGCCGGCCGTAGACACTTGTAGTAGACCAAGTCAGCCGTGAAATGTAGCTTGATTGACAAGTCATATTACCAAGTATTTTTGAAATCAATTGGTCATGCCATTCAATGTTAATGTTTACTGCTGGTCCAGAATCTACGCGGGTCTCTTCCGGGCCGAGCCGTCTGCCTGCGAGCAATTTCTAGGCTGATCGGCTGCCACCGGTAGGCCTCCGGCCTAAACGGCCTTTTCCACTTACACCGAGATAAGAGGGCAATCGTACCTTTTGCCGTCTCGTGCTATTCTGAGTAGCCTGCACGACAATTTTAGAGCTCTTCATCTTAGAAGATCAGCCGCTACATCATGGAGACACTGCCAGTATCATCAAGCTCGTCGCAGACTCTGGTGCACGATGGTGAGTCAGTTCTATTTCGTGAAACTCGAGAGGCTGAGTTGCTTGATCTTGTCTTTTCTGTGATCGGTGCATGTCCTTGAATCCTAATCAAGCATGTCTAGCATCCCCGAGACCCCCGTACCAGCCTGATAGCCACAAAAACAGCATCGACGACAGTCCAGCGCCAAACGATATTCAGCCAACCACAGCTATAGAATGCTTTGTAGAAGAAGACAAAGAGGACGGATCTGAGTCTGAGGACAAAAATGAGTACTATCAAGAACAACACGGTGACCATTGGGATGAGATTGTATATTGGAGTCCATGGACAAACTGGGTGCACGACGGAGATGGATGGCCACACAATTTCATGCGATCTCGGGAGCTGAGCAAATCAAACGACGAACTCCTGAACGATTCTGATAACAAGCGCTGGCTGCGAAAACTCTCACAGTTTCACCGAAAGGATCTTCCATCGCTGAAAGTCTGGGCGAAAGGCAACCCCAAATTACCACTCTTCAAAGATGACGGGACCGGAGATGAGTATCAACTCCATCTTCAACCAGGGCTGCTCGCTGGCCTGGCCAAGATCAATTGCCCCAAGAACATGGTCCCAAGCCCTGAAGACCAGAATCCGTGGCAACATAGGGCAGACCCTCTTTATCAAGTCAGATACCGACTGCCATCGGATGGCGCCGCGAGGCGGGAGCCAGCTTCCATTCCCAAGTTCATCATACCATTGGGCAAGCTAGCAGTGCGAACGTCCCTGCGAAAGCAATGGCAGACGTTGTGCACCAAGCAAGAACCTCCCCCAACTGAGATTACAGACTACCTGGTTGTGATAGATGCTGGACACGAAGATCTTCCTGTGTGGATCCTCGTCTCACAATCCATTCTGAAAGATCGCATGGAACACGAAGGCAAGGACTACCCGCAGCTACCCATATTCAACAATGCGTTGAGGAATGAGGAATACGGATTCGATACCGCATGCATCTTCAGATCCATCCGCGACCTAGCACAGCCTGATTTTAGCGAGGCCTGCAAATTGGTGGGAAACACTCGCTCTGTTGCTGACCCGAGAATCATGTATGTCGGCGAGAAAAAGATGGCAGAGCTTTCTGGGGTGGAACTTCCTAAGGATTGGAGTGTCACAAAGCCAGATGAAGAGATTCTGCCGGAACCAGTTGAGGCAGATTTGGATCACTAGTATTCTGATATGGCCGGGAATAGACACACCGTAATTCCTTCATTTACAGTACAGTCCGAAGTCGCGTTCTGTTCAAGGGATGTATGTGGCACTGGCAATGTGGACCTGGATGGGTCGCCTATGTGTAGGTAACCATCGATCATAGAACATGAATCTTTTGAGACTTGTCTTCGGGTCTTTTGACTACTTCCAGCGGCTATTCTCACCCTGCCTATCCTGTCCGATAATTAATGTGCGTGCCGATTTTAAGCCCAGCTGCTTGACGCCTCAAGATTTGCCCATATTTTCCCTCAAGTGCCTTTCGAGATGGAATTGACACCGAGTGATTTTCAATTTGAAAGACGGCTGCCTCTAATGTGTTCTTGCTGAGTCGAAATGCATCCTGCCGTACAACTTTGATCGGATCCTTTTCTCTGTTGTTTTGCGTGTGTCTAAGCGTTGCTATCGTCCAACCGCTCCTAGGGCACTATCTAGTCTCTTGTCATTCTGTGTATTACCCATACTGTTCGACAAAAGGAAGCATCTTTGAGGGTATACCGGGCGGAGTACATATATGTGAACAGGTCTAAAGATAATATTTCACAGTGTATATCGCCAGAACATTTCTTGTACTCTCACTGCTTGGAAGCGAATTAATTGATATGTTTCTCATTCAACTCATATTCATACAGAAAGTTATAGCAGTGACAATCATAAATACAATTCGTTAGTCATACCAAGGAAATAGGAGTACGACACAGTAGAGACCGTTCGCATCCACACCGGTGCAGCTAAGGAGCGTGATCCGACCCACACCTGGGCTCGGTCGACCTCACCCCAACCACCCGCCATTGCAAAGGAATGACAGCCAGCCAGCATCCTCTGCCTCTCACCACTTGTTCGCTTAGGCGGCGAAGCCTCGCGCGTGTCTTCTGGCAGTGCCACCTCCAACATTCGTACCAGTCCCTGCACCGCCATTCAGGGTGCCTGAGCCTGCTCCGGTGCCAGTCCCGGTGCCAGTCCCGGTACCAGTACCGGCACCAGGCACCGGTGTCCCAGCAGCAGGCACCGCACCAGCAGCAGGCGTAGCACCATTTGCCATCTGGAAGGCAATGACACCACCAAACGGTCCCGCAGCATTGTTGTTGGCAATCTTCAACAGACAGACACCGGACTCACCGTTGGCAGTCCCCTGGCAGGTCGTGCCCGAGGGGATAGTAAAGGCCACGTTGAAGTCCTGGTTGACATTGGTGGCCCGCTTCTGGATGACACCCGTGGTCTCCAGGAGGGAACGGATGTAGGACTTCTTTGTGATGCTGCGCGGGCAGTTGCCCCGTGTACCAGGCACGTCAGACGTGGCCTCGACTACGGTGCCGTCGGCGAACTGGCCCGTCCCTGTGGGGTCTACAACGGCCTTGACTGGACCGCAGCCGTCGGAGGTCACGACATGGAAGACGCCAGTGATCGAGGTGTTGACCTGGGGAAGGGTAGCGCCGGAAAGTTCCTGAGAATTGTCAGCTGTTACTCATTTGCATGGAGGCGGTGCCTATTATCTATCTTTGTTCATACCTGTGCTTGGGCAACCATGTCGACAGTGTTCTTGCCACCGCCCTCGGTTCTGCCGAGACCGTTTGTCTGGATATTGGTCCTGCCAAACACAGTAGTGTCGACTTCGGTCTGGTAATTGTCAGGCATCATTGTACGTGACTGAAATTCTTGAAGGCGGATATATAGAGACCACTTACAACTTTGTTCTTTCCGGGCCCTGGAACAACAGCACCTTGGATAGCCAGACCCGTCGTGTTGCCAGCAACATCACCTTGCATTACGGCCACCTTGCCGTGTGCGGCGACGAGAGGCACAAGACATAGGATAAAAGCCTTGCAGAGCATTTTGAGTAATTGGGTGGGGCGAAGGTGATGGCTGTAATCGAGTATTCAAATATTAGGTTGAATTATCTCGGTAGAGAGGGTAATCAAGGCACTGCCTCGAACCTTGGATAGAAAAAGACGATGAGGGAAAAGACTGCCACGGAGAAGAAGACTGGTCCTGATGCCGATTATATGTGATGCCAAAGGTATTGAAGGGCACTCTTGCCGTCTTTATACTTCAGGCTCGTAGATACTCACTGAATATCATCAGTAATCACAGCTGCCGAAGGACGTAGTGATTGTCATAGTAAGCTCACAACGCATTCTGACCCTGATGCATGAAACCTGGTAAGCTTTCCCTAGTGCCTGGAACTGAAGCATGATCATGTTTTCGTGATAGCTTCACCGACATCCCACTCGCCACAGCATGCGTGCAAAACCCAGTTGCTATCACACTATACATCTGCCAAGGCGTATGGACCGGGATATAGCCCTCGAAGAACTAACGAGATCATTGGACGTGGTAGGTTGTGCCGAAGTCAAATTCAACTAAGCATAATGACAGGCTTGGACTTCTTGGTGAGAGATGACATCCCACGACAAGCATCAGGCATCGTAGTCCCTCACGTGGTCATGTTCCTGAATACGCGTACCATGAACGCCTGCCATCCTAGGCTTGTATGCTCATTATTTCGCGACGGAGAGAGACCGGGCGAAACTGATAGCAGAAGCTACAAACCTAGATGCAATCAAGCGCACAGCTTTCTGGGACAGGAAAGCTTATCACGACTCACATCGCGTTCGATATTTCAGCGAGCCAGTTGGCAGCAAGAGGGAGACCGGGCGAAACCGAGTAAACTGAACAATGTGAACCTTTAGTGCCACATGTAAACTTTGTGTGTGAGCCGCAAGGTAGCAATGGGCTCGCTTGGGCCTTCGCCTGGTCCGACCCAACGTCGTGAAACCAGGGCTCGGCGACAGACGAAACAATTAAGCCCGGGCGTTTTTCAACACCACAGACAAACACAATGAAGGTTATTAGAGTGAAGAATCAACCTAGTACTATGCGGCTCCCGCGCTACTACGCTCCCTAAACTGCAAGATCCTTGTTCTGATCTTGCGAATCCTCCGATCATGGGGATCATTGATCACCGCCCAGGCTTAACTCCCGCATGTCATTTCTTGGTCTCCTCGGCACCTCGGATCAACCTGCCGTACCGTTCTTTCAAGAGGGCTGAGAGTGTGGTTCGTTCGGTTTATCAGTTGACACTTAGATGTCAGCGGGTGTCACGTCTTGACTATCACACATTACATATGCGATGGTTTGTGCGCCGACCTCATCGAGCCGCTGCAATAGGTTGTCGTTGTACAGAGAGCCGACATCAACAGTGTAAAATTTCCAACCACGCTCGTAGGTTACTAAGCGTCTACATGGTGGCATTCCAACCTCCCGTTCGTGAAGTAACCACATTAGTGGTATTGTTCTCTGAATGGCTTCCCGCTTCGAGAAGCGCCGGCGTGTTGGGCTGGGAACGTTTCACCTTTCGCTGGGGACTCGTGGACGTGCCTGCACGGTCGTGCTCAGCATAATGGAACCTTAATTCAACGTCGCAATTCGGCGAAGGCAGCCGTAGAGGAGGTCGAGTGAGTTGAGCCTCCAATAGCAGAATGGTTGCGATAGGCGGGACCACAAGTCTCTCAGCGTTGCCTCATCGTCAGGCAAACAGATCACTCCAATCAAGATTTGTTACAATGGGGCAATATCATTAGCCGTAATACCACTCCCTGGTTTCATTAAATGTCTAGCCCTATGATTCGCTGCGACTCATTTTCAATTGCCGAGCGTTGACTGCCCACCTGCATCGTTGACACTCCCATAACCGCCAACGAAGTAGCCCGCCGGCACTTCCTTTGACCCCGAGCCACTGCGATTCGTCGGTGCTGCAGGCCACTCGTCCAGAGTCTTTGCATCGCCAGTCAAAGTAAAATTCAAGCTTGCCAGGCCTGGTTCGATGTCGAGCAAAAGGCTGTAAGAGCCGGGGTAGAGAACTCTATTGCCGCTTTCATCGACACGAGACAGGCTGCCAAGTGTGAGGTTGAGTGTCAGATCCGCGGAGTCGGACGCAGAAATATTGTGCGCCCTTCCATACGAGACTAAAGTCTTCAGAGGATACGGCGACGGTCCAAACTCGCCCTTCAGGAACAGGAGGGCGCTGTAGTCAGACGTGGCATTGCCCGTGTTGGTGATACTGGTGGGAACAGAGGCGAATGGGCACAAGTCCAGGTATTCTTCTGTGCAGTTCGAGGTAAGACTGCCGATGTCGAAACTGTTCTGTGACCCAGTCAGATTGATCTCGGCGGAGAAGGTCGTGTAATGCAAGCCGAAGCCGAACTCAAACACAGCGTCGCCATCGTACCACCGATATGTTCGGCCGGGGAAGCTCGTCCCTGCATCAGGCCGCAGAGCCATGTCTGTCATTGGCACGGCGGCGATGTAGTTTGCTGGGTACTGCGTCACCGGCAGTCTACCAGCAGGCGCCTGCTTGCCCGTGATGATGTCCAAGAGCGCAACGCCGCCATCCTGTCCAGGATACCCTCCCCATAGCAAGGCACCGATGCCTGGGTTGTCTGCAATAGGGGAGCTATCAAGCTGCCCTCCTCCTAGTTCGACTACAACCATAGGCTTTCCCAAGAGAGCCAGTTCCCCGATCACGTCGAGCTGCGAACCCGCCCATTCAATGCTTACTCGGTCCATCCCTTCTGATTCCGTAGACTCGTCAATGCCTCCGAAATACAAGATGACATCCGCAGCATTGGCAGCCTCCCAAATGGAATCCCAACTGTTGGTGGTTGGGTCTTGATAACCTGGGCCGGCGGAGTAAAAGACGGAGTCGTTGCCCAGGAGCTGCTGCGCAGCATACAATGGTGAGTGCAGGTAGGGAGCCACGCCATGGTAATTACCCTGAAGCTGTGCTGTCGCCGCGGCCCAGTCACCAATGACTGCGACTTTCTTTCCTTCGAGGCTAAGTGGCAGTGTGTTGTTGTTCTTGAGCAACACTGTACCTTCCACTGCCGCAGTGTAGGCAAGTTGTTGTGCTTCGGGGGTACCAACATCGTTCCAGCCCAGTGAGCGGTAGGGCTGTGACTCTGCGGGATCGAAATACCCGAGCTTCACCAGACTGCCGTAAAGACGAGTCACTGCTGTGTCAAGATCTGTGTCATTGATGAGGCCTTGGTCATATGCACCCTGCAGATGGTGACTGTAATATGTCCCGCAGTTGAGGTCTGTCCCGGCCTTCAGGGAGTCAGCGGCAGCGGCTTCGCGTGTGGTCGCCCATCGGTGAGGGAGGAAGACGTTCTGAATGGCGTCGCAGTCCGATGTGACCCAGAAACCGTCATCGTTACCACCTGTCCAATTCCAGTGATCACGAAGCACATCGTTGAGAAGCCAGTCATCCGCACACGTGGGGACCCCGTTGACGGCGTTGTAGCTGCACATGAACGCTCCAACCTTTGAGTCTCGCGCACATGCCTGGAACGAAGGCAGGTAATACTCCACCATGTCTTGTGTGGAGATGGACGCATCGAACTGATATCTGTAGTTCCCGTTCCAGCTTTCAACGTCGTACCCCGCAAAGTGCTTGCACGTCGAGACGACTTTCTTGTACTGGCCACCCTTGTTGCTCGCCGAGTCCCCAGTGCCCTCCAGCCCGGCAATAAGTGCCTTCACATAACTGCTGAGATGGAAAGGATCCTCGCCAGGCGTCTCCTGTCCTCTTCCCCACCTTGGATCACGGAAGGGGTTAATGTTCGGCGTCCAAAAGTCGAGACCTGCACGGCCGGCATTGCTGAAAGCCCTGGCCTCCGTAGAGACGACTGTTGCGACTGCGTGGACGAGCGCGTCGTCAAAGGTGGCGCCGAGGGTGATGGGCTGCGGGAAGGATGTCGCATATCCAAATTCGGACCCGTTGTCTGGGTCGAAGCTGACACCTGGGGAGTTGGCGACACCATGCAAGGCCTCTGACCACCACTCATATGGCGGGAGACCAAGTCGCGGTACACCCGGCGATGTGCTGATGGTGGCGTTGATCTTCTCCGCTGTGGTGAGGATTCCGACGAGCGCTTTGGCCCGAGTCACAGCATCTGGAAGAGGATGTCAGTCTGGGCATAACATTGACCTTTCTCCCGGAACCCAAGAGGCTCACCTAGGGATGTGTCACACACTGAGTTGTTTCCCAGTGGACCAGAGCTACTACAGTCTGGGAAGTTCGATGCTGCGAGTGCCGAGCCGCTGATGGCAACGAGGCCGCTGAGAAGGACAGTAGACTTCGCCATCGTGAAAATGGAAGTCTCCAAACGAGCCTCTGGCAGACTAAGTAACATCTGTTGAAGGCGAAGCTGTCCTTTAACTCTTATATAACATTCGCAAATGACATGCAAGGCACCCTCATTATCCGTAGGTATTTACCGGCGCATAGTCCTTCACCATTATTACACGCGAGAACCCCAGATGCCCTGCGGGGATAGTGGAGGCGGGATTCGGGGAAGAGCCGTGCTCGTTGGGGAGACTGGAGAAGTTCGCGCTCGGTGTTTAAACGTGACATCGCCCTAGAGGTTGTCGTCCATCAGAAGCGACCCACTCATGGTTCACGAGATCGTTCAGTCTCACCACAATCGATTCAGACCTAGGAAACTTAGTCCAGATCCAGCCTCACCGACCCGAAGTTGTCCCGAGTAGGGCCGACAACGGCGAGTCAACATCGTGGGTTCCCATGGGGTAGATCGCCATTTAGCCGCTGCCGCCATTTTACCCGCTGCAAAAGGCCCGGTCCTAGACAGATCGGCCGATGATGACATACTGCACAGCTGTGGTTCCTGGCATTCACAGGGGTTGTATTCATTCACCCCATGCTCAGAGTGAGACAGTCTTGGAAAAGGCAAGCAACACACATCAACACCAGTAAGTCACTGCAGGTACTTGGAAATCATCAATAGAGACCGGACTAGATAATCTCTTAATGTCTCGTCTGTTTTGGAATATTCCTTTGTTGTGTCAACTTTTGAGGCAGACCATCCTCCACATAATCAAGTCGTCGCACCAGTATGATTCACTCAATTGCCACATATCAATCAACGCAGGTCACCTAGACACATTCAGCTCGCTGAGATCGTAACGGCACGCAATCGATTATGGACAAAGCCATAATCTACTTGCTTTGTCTAGTATTTACATCTTAAATTCGTGTTGATCGAACTAATGGTTTTAGGGCTGTCACTTGAATTCATTGCATTGGCGAGGGGTCTATTAGACTACCCCGCCGGCTCGAATCCGTGTCATAAAGTTGAGAGTCCAGACGACCGTGCCTTGCCGATACAAGTTTGGGCTGACGCTAAATGGCCGCTTCCATACAATGTACACTTGGGATTATTAGTGCGCTCCCAGAGAGATGCTGTCGAGGGCGCACAATTGATTGGAGCGGAAACAGGTATACTTTGACATAATTATATTGGACTCTGCGGGATGCGTGTATCGATGGAGGTGCGATAGGCAATATAATTGGCCTTCGCAGACGCGTTCGCGTATTGGCCGCTTGTTGCAATAGTATACTCTATCCCATGCGTGAGACTAGGTCTGGCCTGACAATTATCATTCTCAGTGCGATGTGGGATAGTTGACGGTGGAGGTCGTTCCTGTGTAGATGTGAGGATAGAACTCTCGATTCACTTGTATAAGAGACGACCCTATCACGCCCCCAAGCTCCTGCGGCTTCTCATTCTCAACACTGAAGCATACATAACGCAATGGCTCAGGTTTTGGCGCAAGATCACAGGTCGATCGAGGCAAAAGCGAGTACTGTGCAGAGTAAATATTTACCTAAGCATGCCTCAGGCCGACTCTTTTCAGTATGTTCTCTTCTAACGTTGTAACCTGACGGCCTCTCACCTTTGAACCATGACTGGACCTGCTAGTCCACCCGTCGCTTGCCCACTAGAGGACCCCAATGAGCCAACGTCGTCTAATGACTATGCATAGGTATCTCAAAGGGACGCCCACAGATTATTATTCCTACAGTTACACAGCAATGCAGGCCTCCGTCCTAGTACCACCTTAGGAGCTAACAAACCAAGTGCGATTCTCCCACGTAAAACGAATATTAAAATTAAGATAACTACCGCTTGGATTTCTACTAAGGTGATCACCGAATCACACGTAATGAACACAAAACTGCATGTCCAGCTCAGAATTTCGGCCTCCTTACTTTTACCCACGGCCGATCAACATCATTTTCTTCATTTAGGTCCAAACTGTTTATTCGAGGACCTGACATGGCTCCATCACGCCCACACTGTCTCCTTGAGAAGCTACCTCCTGAGATTCTTCAGATGGTACTTTCTCAAGTGAATTCTCCCGAAGAACTCTACGCAATGATTCGCGCCAGCCCTGCAGCGTTTCGTGCCTTCTTGGGCTTCCGTGAGCAGATCCTCATAGCGATCATCCAATCAGCGCTGGACCCAGACATCTTCATGGAACTGTTAGGACTGTTGCACGTGCCAAACTGTGCCAATCTCCAATACGTACCCTGGTACAATGAAGTATCCATATTCCGTGCTGCGTCCTTGGGACCCCTTACCCATATTGAATGCCAGCGTATTCAAGATTGGGCGATATGCGTTTTCAAAGCAGATTTTCGGAAAGCTCATTTGGCGCGCATCGACACGGCACGACTTACCCACACTCAACCGTTCGCCGTCCCGAGTCTCCGGCGACCAGCCGACAAGGAGCAAGCAGCCGACTTCAAAGAAAGCGTGGGCACCATCGCCAGAAGTTATGGTATTCTAAAAAGATACACGCAAGGCGTATGCCTCCGTCTCAACGATTTCACCCTAGGTCCGCGACAAGAATTCCCTCGCGTACGGTATCCTTGGGGAAATAACTTCACCATGATGCCACCAGCACCTTTCAGAAAAATAGTCGTGAACCTGCAACGAATTCTTCTCCGCGAGAAGCTACTGCCGATCAAATTCAGCAACACGGACCTCCACGATATCATCTTAAGTCAAACGAACCAGCGAGACTGCATACTTGATTTGGTCCTGGAAAGAGCTGGAATTCAGCAGACTAGCCGCCTTACGAGGAGGGTGGTTCCTATGGTGTAAGACGTCCTCTGCTATTCAAAGCTTGGAGCAACCTTCCATATCGAGTCCAAAAGTCAACGGTCGAACTTATGTCTCCGATTCAAGCGAGACGAGCCGGCCGCCTGAACCTCTACCTATTCCCGATCGGCCAGCGAGTCCAGATCAAGGCCACTTTCCTAGCAGCATAGGGGTCTCTTGGTAAATAAGAGCAACTGCAACGCTACCCCAAGGTTCCCGTCATGATCAGGTGAGGTCGCCAGTTTGCTATCGACTGTGTGACAAATTGGACTTACAAGTGGTCACAGAACTGGTGAACCAATCCGCGCACCGCCTAGAGGTCACAAATCGAGATCTCAGCGAGAGCTTTTGACCTGGGAAGGGCGTGAATAAGATAGGATGGGTGGAGTATATATGGATCACCAGAGCGGACAATGTGGACGAATTGGGCACGCAGGAGATCATCCTGTGGTGGTAGCTACAGAAGCTTCCGTGGACGTGCTTCCGTGGACGTCTGAATGATGTAAGGTTTTATGACTGAGTTGGCTTGAATGTCTCATCATTCAATAGACTGACTGGAATTAGCGAGGAGGAAGTGGCAGTGAGACAGGCCAGAAAGCTCATTGGCTACACCATTAGCTGAGACTTGGACACGTCGCGTCGCGTGGATTGTGTCTTCCGAGTCCTATTTGCCGCGCGGTAAACTCAATTTTTGTACTTTGGTGGTAACTTCCAGAATAGCTGTGAATATCATTATGAATTGAAGCTTGCTTTTGCAATGTTATACGGCTAATTAATCATCCTAAGTCGTATCGTCATTCTCTCCTCTCTCTCCGCCTCTGTGGGTCATTGTTTTAACTGAAGCGCATTGCAGTAACTCAAGTGGTGGGCCGATTTTGCCGAGACCACTCGGCTGTTGTCCACCGGCACAAAGAACTTTGCTTCGCTGTCAAAACATGTGCCCTCTCAGGCGAGTTCCGTCCCCACCCCGATTAGCAACTTAAGCACAGATCGTCGCGTCCAGGTTGACAGGCTGTGGGCAGCCGTAAACAATCTTGTGCGCGGGGGTGCTGTAGCAGGCAGTCTGGCCAGGCGCGCAGTCGAAGATCTCGCAACCGTCGCCAGGGGTCAGAATGTTGTGCTGGTCAGCGAAGGGGTTGCCCCACTCTGTGCTGAGCTCGTCTAGAGAACATTACGTTAGCTGTCGTCTTTCTAGAGTTTAGGGCTATTGCAGGATCTGGACGCGTGACCTACAGTATGCGTAGTCTGGGTTGCTCGAGAAGGAGTAGCCGAAGAACAGCGGGGTGGTGAGGGTCTTAGTCTTGGCAACCTTGACGGTCTGTTTATGAGAATTAGCTTTGCTCCAATTGCATCGAGGTTTGAGGCAAAATACGAACCGAGCCAGACTTGCGGAAGTCTTCCGAGAAGGACTGTCCAGGTGCCACGGTGGTCAGGGCACCAGCTGCCGAACCGTCGTATGGGAACGACTGGACGTAGATTGAGGTCGCACAATTGTTCTTAACGACGGCCTGTTGGGCAGAGACGCCGGTGGCGAGAAGGGCAGCGCCCACGATGGTAGCGAAGAACTGCATTTTTGTGTTGATGTCGAGCTTATTCGAATTCTGGACTGTGAGCGAGCGTGTGTGGTCAAGACAAACATGCCATTGAGAACGTGAACTGGGCCTGGCTTATATAGTCGGAGCAGGCATGGTCCTGGGCGGAACGTATGGTTCCTGGAATGGGTAACATCTTGGCGGGAGGAGTAAAGAATGCGCCTCATCGTCACTTGCGCGTGTCTCGGGGTCGATCTTCGTATACCATCTAACGTGAGGTTCCAACTGTCGTGTCCCGTGGTCGCGCCCACGGTCGTCGGCCTGCCCGTTGCAGCTGTGGGGCCTGTAGTAATGCTACATCATCGTTTGCTCTCGCGCCAAATACGAGGCTTGCTCCTCGTATCACTTCTGATGTAAGGGCGGGGTGGTTGTCTTGGACCCAATCAATGCCGCATTAGCTTATAGAGGACATGTAATCCCCGCAAAAGGATGCCAACGGTGGCGCAGGAACGGCACGGAGTTCTCGGGAGTCGGGAGAAACAGCTTACTTCAACGTCCCATGTGGTGGCACTTGTGGGTCTTGCCAAGTCTTTATCCTTACAAGGCTAACCACTAAAGACTAAGCGCTCAAGTTACAGTGTAGCTTAAAGTTATTCTGGGATTTAAAGCCTTCGCCAGCCATTGCAGAAGGAAACGGGAAGAGCAGAAACGAACTATGTGCTTCTGTTGGAAAGTAAACAACTCAAAGATAAATTCGTCGTATTTTTGTTTTAACCTTCATCGCCCGGGTAGGCCGCGCGAGAAGACTGCGCTGCCCAAGTACTTGGGGTCTCAAGACAGACGAATTGCTTGTTCACCTACTTTGAGCCTCGCCCTGCAGCGAAAGGAACGCCATGATAGGCTGAGCATCTTACAGCCTTTCTGGGCTCTAAGATTCAAAACAGGGATCGGTTTTAATAAGATCATCTGGATTGTCTCTGCCTAGGTATAGGACACGGAGGCAGGGGATCGAAAAGTTGCGGTATGACCGGAACTAGAAGAGCCCGAATTGGATCCATTGATCGTACGTCAGAAAAAGAAAATATCTAATGATGGCGCACAATAATCCTGCGCTGTGGTATAGTATGCCCGATGCTGGTAATGGTGGATATGTCACAATGTCTCTAAGTTGAATGGGCCATGTTGATCCACAGTCTCCCACACACCGCTCAACGAACTAGCCTCGCGCTTGATGAACTGTCCATATCCCTTGTTGCCTAAAATGCCGCCATTTTCACGGTCCCAGACCACCTCACCGCGCAGGATTGTGTACCTTGGCCAGTTCTTAACGAGTCGCCCCTCGTATGGTGAGTAGTCCACATCGTGGTGCAACATGTTATTCTTCAATGTGATATTCGGTAGTTTCCCGTCCGGATACCAAACCACCAGGTCTGCATCCGATACGCCAGGGATGATCGAGCCCTTTTGTGGATACAGTCCATACATTTTGGCCGCATTGGTAGATGTGACCTCAACGAACTTTGTAACCTCGAGCTTGCTGGCAGAGAAGGCCAGTGGCATCCTCGTCTCGATCCCCGGAAGACCATTGGGGATGTACTTGAATCTTCCAACGGGGTGCTCGTCCGTCACGCAAGTTTTCTTACCTGTCTGGGCGTCATCGTACCGGAAGGGGCAGTGGTCCGAGCTGAGGATAGAGAACGTCCCGTTCCGAAGGCCCGTCCAGATCGCATTCTGGTCCTCGGCATTGCGAGGAGGAGGCGAGCAGACGCACTTTGCACCTTCAAAGCCGGGCTTGTCGAGGTCATCGCGGGTGAGGAACAGGTACTGTGGGCATGTCTCTGCAAAGACCGGCTGGCCGTGAGTCTGAGCCTCGCGAATCCGGGAAGCGGCTGCTGGGTCGCTGACATGGACAAGCAGAATCGGGGTTTGCGCCACCAGGTTCGCGAGTGCGATGGCGCGGTTGGTCGCCTCGGACTCTAGGATTGGCGGGCGAGAGTTGGAATGGTACTTCGGGGCGAAGAGCTTTGCTTCCTCGAGCTTTTCGGTCAGCCAGTCTAGAACGTCTCCGTTCTCTGCGTGGATCATTGTGAGGATCTTGTTCTCCCTCGCTGCCAGGAGTACGGATAGTATCTCCCCGTCGCGGAGTTGGAGAGCCTGGTAAGTCATGTAGATTTTGATCGAGGTGATTCCCTTTTGCCTCAAGAGTTTCATTTCCGCTAGAGCCCTTGGGCCTGCGTTTCCCATAAGAAGGTGGAAGCCGTAATCACAGTAGCAGTTCCCTGCGGCCAGACTATGTGTGGCCTGTATTGCCTCAGTCGGAGACTCGGATTCCTTCTGCAAAGGAGCAAATGAAATGAGCGTGGTACACCCTCCAGCAATGGCTGAACGAGAGCCAGACTCGTAGCTGTCTGCTGAGCTGCCTTTCCCGAACATGCTTGGCTCTTGCAAATGGACATGGCAATCAATGCCTCCGGGCTGCCAGATGATCAATTTCAAATTTCCATGAGTTGAAGAGAACTGAAGGAAGGGCAAGCCGACTGACCATGACATATCCCCCCTCAGCATTGATGACTTTTGACGCGTTGGCCTTTCCGAGAGAGCCTGAAGGGGCAAGAAGAACTATCTTCCCACCTGCGATTCCAATGTCCAAAGGCGCTGCATCAGCCGCAGTAACGCACATCCCATTCGTTACAATGAGATCATATTCTTGAGGAAGAGACATGATGACCGACGGGGCTTCGGCAGGGGAATATGCTGGTCACCTGAACCAGATCCTGTAGGTCGGCGTCAAAGCTCACGAGATCCAGTGAAACAATAAGCAGGTGCTGTTCAGCTCAGACGGCAATGAGCAAGCCACGATAGGTTATCCAAAGTGGCTGGCACGCATATACGTAGAGGGGTTGACGCCAACATAAAGAGAAGCCAGGATAAACAAGCATCGTCATCGACATCGTTCCCGCAGCTACTGGTGCCCCAACCAATCACATTCAAGGGGCAAGCTTATCTGCTCGAGAGGCAAAGAGGGCGATAGCTGCATTGAATTGCACTCAAGCGCCATGCAATGGACTGAGTTGTAGAATTTCAAGTCGACATCGACTAAAACGAGAAGATATTTTAATAAGCAGCCGATGGCGAGACACCCACGAAAACCGGCCCACTTCTCTCTCTTGACAGCGTTCACTTCGAGCCCTCCAACTGAGCACAATCTTCATGAAGCTCAAGATTGCGACCTGCGACGTCTCTCAATAGCCAGAGCGCATACACGAGGCACAGATGCAGCCATCATAGGTCTTTATTCCCTATATCTCTCCTGAGCAGTATTGATGTTCGGCAATCTGTTCTTAGTGAACTCGTTGGCAGGCAGCGGCACGCTGTCAAACTCCGAGAAGGGTCGGTAGAAGCACTCCAAAATTGAGTTATGTCTTGCAGATGGCTTTTCAAGAATATTCTTCCTCTGTTTCCCGCCACAGACCGACAGCCTCATCTTCTCTCCGCAGATTAGCCGTTACCAAGTGCCCCTCATCGACAGCCGACACCTGTCGGAAGGTGGGATGCGACAGTAGCTTCAACACGATCAGATCTGTGACACAATTGCCGGGCTACTCTTGCAACATGTTAACATTGCAGATATCGGGACCATTCAGTGCAGCAGTGACACTGCCGCGACCCGGGGTGGGGGACCGTACCGTATATACCAGGCTGTAGGTTTGGCCAAGTCTTACCAAAGTCACCCAAGGACAAACAATCACCCAGTACTTGAGAACGTTCCCAATGTGTGGTAACTCAGCAGACTTTGGCTTGCGAACCAATGACTGTGTGAGAACGCGGGGACCGGGAATCCCCCACGTAGCAATCACACCACGATGCGACCTCCAAAGCGCAGCGAGGGCCGCTGTCTCTTTGCCCTTGGTTCATCATGACACAATCCACCTAGAAAAGACAAGGTTTGCAGCATCTTGGCATACTTGTCCTGCAGCATCTCGCCCTTTCGTCTGGGTGAGGAAGCAGGCGGGATTCAACATCACACGAGGCTCCGCATGAGCCGGCAGATTGACCCTCCAAAGAGCACTTGAGCAGGGACGCCTCCCACGGGCCGTACCGAATCTCCGAGGGCGGCTCTTCCTTTCTCACAGCCAAGCTTGTCGTTCACAAACCTCTGGGGAACGAGCCCACTTTTGTGGGCCTGTTTTCACGAGCACGCTCTGGATGGCTCCCAGTTGTGTGAAGTGTCGAATCGTGAATTGAAATTCCTTTTGAATGAGCACAAGAGTCTCCGATCAGTGTATCGCGCAAGTTAGTGTCCCAAGCCCGTGAGCAAGAGGGCTGATCGCCGCCGGCAGTCAACGATGTCAGTTGATCAGGCCCCGCATTGCCCCGTAGCGAACGTTCAACAGGCACAGACAAGTCGTTGGGCCTTCCGCGCTGCCCGGACCCAGGTGCCCAACGAGAGGCTAGCCCGCTTGCACTGGCCCATACTACGCTGTTGTATACTGCAACGGTGACATTGTTTCACAAACAGTAGCCGAGCCACGTGAGCAACAACTGAGCGGCTCTCGCCTTCTAGGACAATCGACTGCATCCTTCAGGGGCTGCCTGAACATCCACCAGCGGCCGTGAATAGAAGTCTCCTTGAGTAGGCATGATTTTGTAAATGACAGGCTGTGCAATGGCTGAGCGAAGTCGTAGGGACAAAAGCAAATAGGAGACGAGGAAGTGCCGTGGCCTCGAGGTTTGCCAAGCGGCTCCCCTGACCAGCATCATGCAGGACCGAACTCTGGGCACGCTACACCGAAATGCTCCTGGCAGGCTGGATGGAATCCAGGCAAAGATGTGCGCCCGCGTGGTAATTACTCACACGTTGCTACGGAGTAAATTCGCACAGAATACCTTGGCACATTCGGCTGATGCCACCACTGCCATCAAGCATAATTACGAAGAACGATCGGTGAGGAGCGACACGTCGCAAATCTACCCATGGGTCGAAAGGTACAAAGTTTACCCGCTCGCGGCTCTGTATGCCCCATGTGGTCAACATTGATATGCTATTAGGTCGACACATGGGCCTGTCCGCCAGATGCGGTCACCTAAACGCGTTCGCCCGATCACAGTGAGGCGACCCGAGAACGCCGAGTGCCGAGTGTTCTGAATTGCAGGCCTCATCCATGACTAGTCGACGATGGAATATACTGGCGCCCAACAATCTTTGGATATGGGCAGCAAAGAAAATACTGCTATTCCTTTATCAGATTCTAAGATGGTAAAAGTGGCAAACACTGATGCAGAAGCCCAAGTCATCGGGAGTATGTGATTCAACAATGCTCATGTATTGACATTGTGCAGGCGAAAAATACTATGCTGCCGCTCCTGTTCTATTCAATGAGAGACATTGAAGTTTCCATCAATTCAATTTGTACCGGGCAGTGCTCCAGTGTTAGCTCTCGCATCGCACCGGAAACTTCGGCAGTGCCGACGGACTGCTGTTCGGGTAAATCGGTAGGAGGTCTCGGAACCCCCTCCGGAACGAGGATTTGCATCGTTGATATCCCAGGCGACGGGACGAGTACACCACACGCCTTCGCCGGCACATCGATCCTAGGTCTTGTCAAGTTCGTTCCGTTCTGTACAACATGCCACAGGTATTAGTGGGCACTTTTGTGTTGTGGAGCTAGATTACGATGTGCCATATTGGATGGATGTCAATCGTATATCCCAAGTTTTCATTTGAGCAGGCTCGTCGGCAGATCTATCTCAACAACTAGAACTGCTACCTTATTTTGGTCTCATCAAGTATGTACACAGATGAAAACCTCAACGAATAAGTCCGAAATTGACACGGGGAATGAGAAGGATCAAAAACATGGGATTTAGCATTGATAGTTCGAGCTGGGGTTCACAGTGAGACATGCTATAGTCTACCACTGTGTAGTACACATCAACAATAATGTTGCAAAGCGTGAGACTACCTGATTCCGCCTCGCCAACTGATGGCGGGATGCAGACCTGCTAGTCTCAACCGAGCTGAGTTTCGTGTAGCCTATGCTATTTCGATCACTTCAATTACCGTGGCAGAAGCGCAATACTTGCCCAGCTAGTCTCCCTTGAAACCATGCTTCATCGAAATTAGAAGCCATCATGATGGCGGATGAAGCCGCGACAATATGAGGCTGTCAAAGGGTCCCTGTAGGACCACAGGGGTCAGCTCTGCGGAAGGTAGCGCCGATCGCAGGAAAGGCTTCGAGGAAGGTTGTCCCTAGCCACCGCCGATCGTCATGTGGTCTAGAACAACTGGTCCAGGGACGTGATCTTGAGCATTCAGCTTACCGCGGTTTGATTTGAGTTGGGAACCAGGAAAATGCTGCCTGCGGGTATTCCTCGCCAGTGCTACGGGTAATCTTCAACCTTGTGGATGGCGGCACCCGCCGCTCAGACCCGCGCTGACCGTCACTTAGACTTTTTGGCTTCCTCGACTATCACACATTACGTGCATGGGACCCAGAAAGATTTGGACGAACGCTGGAAGCCACCAAGCTTAGTTTCGCCCTGGCCTCTCAATTCCGGACTCCGCCCACAGGCGCCCCGTGTTTGTGTGGACGACTTGGCCGGGCATAGTGGTTTGAACGCGCGGTACGGAGCACTTGAGTGGTTTGGAACCTTATCCAGTGATTTCTGTTGCGTGACGGCCAATGCAAACACTATTGCATCAGGGCAACTCATTGGGTCGGACGGCCGATGTCCAGTCGGATCTCAAGCAGTCGATCATTCGGTCTCGCTTTCCGCTGTGTTGAGAATAGTGGCGAATAGTAGGTGTATCATGCATTGTGAGCTGAGTGGAAATTCTTTGTACGCGGAACCCATGGCATTGGAAGTGGTGAACAAGCGGATGCCCCGAGGGTTCCGAGTTCACTAGACTAAAGGCCGTATCCAGCGAGTGAGCCTTGCACGAATGTCTGGTGGGGGGTGGATTAGCCTCGCTCTTGGCGGCGAAGTATATCCAGCTGATTCATCAACAGCGCTTACGTGCAATAGCTGGCCCTGAGTCCTCGGCCGGAGGTTTGGGAAGCGCCGAGGGTGGCCACCATCGCGGGCGCTGCGTGGCATCTGTTATGAGGGCTTTCTTGGCGAACAAGAGAAGTGATCAGCAGCTGTGTGAGGTTATTAAGATGAATCAATCAGATAACAGCATCCGGATAAATTCTCCGGATTCGATTGGGCCGCCGAAGAACCGGTCAAAGTGCCCGTTGGGAATAGACGCGCCGTGACGAGCATTGCAATCCAGCATGATCCTGGTCATTTTGAATGGCCATCCCGTGACAATGCAATGCCTCTAGACGGCTTCAACAATCTTCACACAGCTACCACTTCTGACTTTGACGTTACTGCTCGTTTCTGCCAAAGAATAGAACAGGTCCTGCTAGCGCTCGTATAAAATAGTAATTCGTCACGGGGAAGGAAGCATTAAAGGCTCATGACGCAGGAGAGGCTGTTGACTTCTCGGCTGCAGGTCATAAAGTTTACTCATCTACCGTCGGTACAGGATGCCAGGGGTAATTTCGTAGGTTCGTGGCTCTCACCTCGTATGTTTCATTGCCTCGGGGCAGGGGCTTTGGTAACAAACTTTACCATACAACGTGCCTGAAGTAGCGGGAGGGTGGGACGGATGAAAGTTAAACTTTAATGAGCCCAGTCAAAATGAGTTCGCTGCCCACCCATCCCGACCATGAGTGGAGTCTCATGAGTGCTATTCTCCGCCCTCAGAACACAGAGTCGTCTTACACCATTCCAACTCTGAATGTCCCAAGACAGTCAACATGGCGGCGCAAGCCACTGGGGCCTTTGACCCGAACGAATACTATCGACTCACAAACCTCGCGCTGGGCGGCGAGTTTTCTCTTGATGTCGACGGTTCTAAGGCGATCCCCGATGGCAAAATGGGTATGGCAGCGTCAGGGCTGTACACGGGGCAGATTTATCAGATTTTGGAGAATGCAGACGATCCAGGTCACTACTGGTTCGCAAGTTCCTGGCTGGGCGCGAAGGAGAAGATGGACGCCGTCATTAACGATAGAGGGGACTACGCACCATTCTTGAGGAATATCACAACTGATTACAACCAGACGTGGGGGCTTACACCTCATGTCGATACCGCAAACAATCGGACAACATGGACAATCATGCCGGACTGGTTTGGAGGTGTAGGGTCCAGCCGAGCTATGAGCGTTTACAACGACACCAAGCAGCCCTATCTAGCTACACCGGGGCCGAACCCGGATCTTGGGCATGGCGATGTCAACCAAGCGTGGTTCATCACGAAGGAGGGAATGACTATTGATGATCCCACTTTCTCATCAACAAACTTACCATCCCTGGCTACCGCGGTAAGTCATCCAGATCTACGGTCGAATGGTCTCATAACTGATGGATGATTTTGAATATTAGGCACCGATAGTTCCTGAAGGTGTGACGCCTAGCGCTGTAGCCGCAACGCCAACATCAGATTCAACACGTGCTGCTGGATCAAGTGAAACTGATCATCTCGCGGGCCCACTGATTGCTGCTGCCGTGGTGCCGACTGTAACCGTCTTCATTTCTGTCATCGCTTTCATCACTTTCATCTGCATGCGCCGCCGCAGGGCTAGGAGGATGGCTCGGAACATGCCATACGGAAGCGGTTCGAACGCGGCAGCATCCAAAGATGGACTCGCGTCCGAGATTCTCGATACCTTCAGCGCAGAGACCCTAGGTCACTGGCGGCGACGACACTCTATGCGTGAGAAGAACCAGCCTTTCTCACAGAGCGTCGCAAGTAGCCACCTGAGCGAGCCTCGACTTGCACGTCTACCCGAAGATAGCGTCATGTCCATCAACCCGCGCGCAAATCCATTAAGGCCTCCGCCTTTGCGTACGGGGTCATCTTACCGTGGTGGAGCTCATTTTCATGGCAGACATGCATTCTTTGGGTCTTCGGCTCTAGGACTGTCCGACACCGACACGACCCTTACAAGTCAAGACTTATATCACATGCAGATCGAGGAGCTGAGTGGGGTGTCACCGACGAGAAAGCCACCATGGATGGAGGAACGGAGCCCTAGTGTGATGGAAGGAAAAGGAATGGAAGTTTTAGATACGACGTCTGGTGACCCGAGACACAAGAGGAACAACAGGCCATCAAGCCCGTTCGAGTTGGAGAATACCCGACCACAGAGCAGATATGAACTGGAATGAACCAGATATCTGCTTCGCAGCATGTATATAAAAGTTGTTTTTAGCGTTGTTTTCCTATTGTATCGCCAGAAAATCAGGAATATTGTGGCAGCATGCCATGACTCCACACGGAGGTAGCTTCTATAATTAAGTGATAATCCAACAGAATGAACATCTCATTCTTCAAGAAAATGTACATAAGCCAGCAAACCATCTGGACATCTGTGAAATTTAGAAATTTGAGGCTAGCCCTGTTCAGATCTGCGTGTCTCCCATTGGTTTCAATGCTCCAGATCCAGAAAGCTCCGAACAGTTTCACATCTGTGAAGTCACATCTGTGGAGCCTAAACAACACCTGGCCTCTTGGCCTCGTGGTATTGCAGTATAAGAAGGTAAGCGTGTGTTTTCAACAAGCAAGAGACTCTTCAATGAGCATTCAAGGCCGAGTCCAGGCCCGGCTCCTCAAAGCACACTTTGCCAAGTCGACTGCAGCGACTCAATAATTTACCTCATGCTATGTAGCACACGAGACCCGCTGAAAAGCACCGGGTGCTCTGAAGCTCACGATGTAGACCAACCTCCTCATTGAAGCTTCTCTGAACTCTAGAGTATCACATCACGTGATGTCACAATGATTCCTCACCGTGATATCGGTGTTCATTACAAAAAGAAAATGCTGTATAAGGCATATATATACATATACATACATACATACATTAAGTAGGACATTACTCGACAACACCCATCAGTTGCGGCCGTATCCACTATTCTTCTCCAAATAAGTACCGAAGTCTGTCAACCCAGGATATTCTCTTCTCAACTCCTGAACATTGGCCCTGAATCCTTCACTATTCATCCACTTGAACATAGTGCCGACATCCTTCAGAGCCCATAGCGTCAGGGAACCAACCACACCATAGGTTGTTGGCATGTCACTGCCGATCTTCTGCTTAAAGACTGCGGCGGCTTGGTCAAACGTCAACTCGTCGCCTGCAAGCGAGATCGCTCGACCTTTGTACTTCTCCGGATACATTAGAGCCTGGGCTGCGAAGTAACCAATGTCAGCGCAGGCAATCAATTGCTGCGGGCGGTCCCTGTCAATGGCTACTTTCCAAGCCGTGAAGAAGACCTTCGCCATTGAGCCGGGGACGTAGTTGTCCATGAAACCGGTCGGGCGGAGTATGGTCCAGTCCATGCTGCTGCCAGATGCCTTGTCAAGGAGATACTGCTCCAGCTTGTGTTTGCTGGCAAAGTGTGGAACCGGTGTTGGGTTTTCAAACGACTTTTTCTCGCCACCTCGGTCCACGGAGCTGTACACGAAGTGTTTCACGCCGTTCCTCAATGACTCGTCAATGAGTGCTTTGCCCTGCTGAATTTCAATTTCGATTGTCTGGCCTTTTTCCATTGGGTTCTATCTGGAGTCAAAGACTGAAACTGCAAGCCCATAACATGTTAGTGGACGTAGTTGTATGCTGTACACACCCCATATTGGGCCAGGTGCCGCTTTTCTGGCATTTGCAAAGATAGTCGGTGCGTCACCGAGGTCTCCCTGAATCAGTAAGATATTTGGCGATAATCTTTTGAGTCCCTGGGCCGCTGGTGAGCTGGGATTGCGAGTGATGGCGAGGATTGTGAAATCTGCTTTGGCTTGCAAGAGGCTCTTCACTACTGCACCTCCTTGCTTTCCCGTCGCACCGGTTATAAGAACGGCTCGAGACATACTGGCTGCCTGATTGAATGATTGAGGTTGCGAACAAACAACTGGAATTTTGAGATCTCTTCCGTACAGAGTCAAGCATAAATTTATATACATGTTTATACATGGCTATCGCTTTACCAGCTGGCTTCTCTTACATCGTTAAGTCCGAATGCCGGGGCCGCTGTGGCGGCAGAGGCACCAGCCACAACGTGCTTCCGACTAGACCGGTGCAGCATCAGGGCCGAAGTAAAAAGAAGTGGACCGCGTCGTATAAATACGGCGGAGCTGGTGAGCCCGCTGAATCGCGCAAGGATGGTGGAACTTGCTCCTGCAGGGATGCGGTCAGTTTGTAACAACCGTATTTATACGAAGCGAATTGGGGGCAGCTTGTTGAACCTTCTACTGGACAACAACACATCAGACGCGGAGACTATTTTCACCATGAATATAAGCAGACAGCGGAAGGCCCACCGGAAATCTCACGAGGGTTGCGAGCAGTGCAAAGAAAGACACGTCAAGGTAAGAAGAAGACAACGGCGCCGTCTCATCCCGTTATCTCCGGTCGGGATGGCAATAGCCTTGCATAGCATCAGCTGGCTGAGCCACATGTCTTTAGTGTAATGAAGTCCATCCCCGATGTCGAAGTTGCGAGCGCAACGGCCTGACATGCAGCTTCTCTGCGCCGGCTTTAACAAGAACGCCGCTTAATGAGGACAGTCTCGCGGATCTTGAGCTACTTGAGTTCTGGCACCGGCATCCTCTAACAGCCGACTTTTCGGATGGAGCCCGGAATTTCCAATACGACTTTGTTCGTCTGGGCTTCTCGCATCATTATTTACTGAACAGTATCCTCGCCCTTGCAGCGCTTCAACTATTTGACCAAGACCGGTCTATGTCAAGATGGTATGTTAGAGCGACAGCGCACCAGCATGCCGCTTTGACTCGAGCGGGGCCGCACTTGCAGCGCCTCGAGGAGTGTCAGCACAAGGCCCTCTTAGGCTTTGCAGCCTTTACCACATTGTACGCTGTAGCAGAGCCCATACTCCGACCGATCCGCCGAGACTGTGAGCCGGCAGACTTTGATCCTGTGAAAGAGCTCCTGCACGCCATTACGCTCGGCAGAAGTACGACGACTTTTGTTCGAAACCAGCTTGCATCACAACCCTGGTTGGACTCAATGGTGGTGTCGAAGTTCAGTACTGTTCGAAACGAGCTTGTGGACAACCTAGAGCTGCGGTTTCCACAGCTTGCTCTAATCCGGGACCTGGTAGAACGCCACTGCAAGAATGAGCAGAAGCATGCATGTCTCCAGGCCATCACGACACTTTTTAACGATATTGCGTTTCTTGTGGACAATGCAGGAGATCCTCAACAGATGAAGGTTATCTGGGGTTGGGGCAACGAAGTTGACGCTGTGTTCCTGGCTATGTGCTCGAAGCGGAACGCAGTGGCCCTTGTAATTTTGGCGCACTATGCTGTTCTCATCAGTCTAAACACGGGCCTTTGGCACTTGCGGGGCTGGCCAGCGGCGCTTCTGCGGCACATCGAGACCCTTCTCATGGGAGAGTGGGACGAAGGACTTGACTGGCCTAGACAGGTGATATCTGGTGCAGCTACCTCATGGACCAGCGCCTCCCCTTCTATTACAGTGCCCACTACAGCAGAATGCTAGCTTAGGTGCGGACACAATATCACTAGTTCAACAGAATGTTTTCCTTAACTAGACACATCGACTAGATTCGTTGCATGCATATTTTACACGACAGCGGCACGCCTATACTATGTGATGTTCTATACTCACGTCTTCAAGTTGCACACCCTTTTCCCATACTCCTTAACATCAATCACTTGCCTATCGCGCACGAAAGCTTTGGCAGGCAAAACATTTCATATTAATTGATACCAGGAAATGTAAAGGTCTTCTTGTTGATCATATTGATAAGACGGCCAGCTTTGAGGTGATCTACGGCAACTGCCTTCGTCGCGAACGCAACAATCATGTTTAACTACACGGTGCTAATTCAAAGCCAGGACTGTTATCATAGAAAGCAAGCTGGAGCTGCATCAAACTCTGGTGGCCAAATAGATCAAGCGTGACGGTCGACAGAGCTCAGAGCCCTGCAACATGTGAAAGCGCTTGAGTCTCCTTGAGCCACGTTGGTTGGATGTCAAAATGTTCCGCATGAAGACATAACACTAACATCTCAAGCCTTTTCCCGCGCGACAGGAGAAGAGTCCGGATCAACCGGTGCTTTGATGTCATTGTCTTGGACCAATAGACTTTGCTCGGCCTCCATGAAAGGAGGGTTAGTCCTTGTTGCCGGCCCCCAATGAGAGTAGCAGAAGCAGCAAGGGCACCTCAGCAGTATGGAGGTTCCCCCTCATCCGTTGCGACAAGCATCACACACTTTTCGGCCGCCCGACCGTTTGCCTCGGCTGACCCACATTTCGGGCATACCTCATCTTTATAAGTCAGTGGAAACACATCAAGCGCTTGCTCCTCAACGCGGATAAGTCTTGGTACAGATTCAGAAAATACTCCCTTCATCAGATTAAAAATTTGTACACGATGGTCTACCAATATGAAAACGCAGGCAACAACCAACGCATTTACAAGGAGGTTGGGTCTGATAAGAAATTGAAATGGGACGCTGCACAGGTCGATCCCGACACCAAAAGGTTGATCGATGAAGTCGTAGCCCAGGGGTACGTGATTATCAAAAACGCATTTACTGATGCGGAAGTCGACGAGGCGCTTGAGGAGCTGCGACGCCTGTCCGCCTCTTCCGATGCTGGCCCAGCAGCTACTAGGGGCCGGAACACATTTGAGGGCTTCAAGACACAGCGCATCTACTCTTTGCTTAATAAGTCAAGAGTCTTTGACAAGTTTACTATCCACCCCAGCGTTGTCGCTCTTAACGACTACTTCATGGACCCGGGCTGGCTTCTCAGCGTCATCCACAGTATCAGCATCCAGCCAGGCGAGAAGCCGCAAACCCTGCACCACGATGATGGCCAAATCACTATACCGCGGCCCCACCGGCCATTGGGATCAGTAGGCAGCAGAGACCCTGACAGCATCTGTAGAGTTCAACCACATGGCTGACAGCAAATTCCAGGCGATAATGGTCGCGCTTGATCCATACACCGAGTTGAACGGCGCGACCGTTGTCGTACCTGAGTCACACACTTGGGGCGCTGATCGTGTGCCGCAGGTGTCCGAGGCTAGACCAGTGGTCATGCCTCGGGGAAGCCTGGTATATTTCATCGGGACTTTATGGCACGGCGGAGGCCAAAACAGGTCTGATGCAGCTCGACGCGCTCTGACGGTTCAGTACTGTCAGCCTTGGTTGCGCCAGCTCGAAAACTACTTCATCGCTGTAGACTGGGAGAAGCTTCCGCAAATTCCGAAGCAGATTGTAGACATGATGGGATATCAGGTCGGCTCTCCTTTCATCGGGTTTGTGGATGGAGTGAACCCTCGGAAGGCAGTGGAGCAGCGTCTGAAAAGAAAGGGGGAAGAAGAGAAGGCCAAGAGGAACAAGCTATAGCCTTTGGGATAGTTGCAAATCACGAAGCGATTTCACCCATTTCCGGTTCGCCACCCTTCCACAGTGACGGCTGCTCAGGTCTCGTAATATCCCCTCTTGCAGCCTTTGTCTCGCGTGGTGGATCAGTCCAAGCACGTCACAGAGATACATGCGTGCTTTCAGAAACCTTCTTCTTCATGAGGCTAATTCATAATCTCATCGTGCATCTATGAGTTGATTTCAAGTTTGCCGTGGAAGCATCAAAATTGGGTGTTCTGTAGACATGCTTTGGTTGTGTTGTAATTGTAGAGGGTTCTGGCTGGAGTCTCCTGCCAAGCAGATCTTGGGATTAGTCTGAAAGTCACCTTACAGACCTATTGTTTCAAACCTCTCACTGCTACAAGTGTGAAGAATGACCAGAGGGTCATTGATGACACACATGCCAGATTCGAGCAGCCTTAAAGTTTAATTTTGGTTGACAAAGATTCATGTTATGCAGGGGCAAATCTACCAGCTATTCAGGATGAAACGAGAGATTCACTTTCCAGACGTCTCATTTCCCCTGAGTACCAAAGCTGGCAGCGCGCGTATTTGAGCAGGCTTCTTGCGAACAAGAACAGCAGAGCATGGTGGACTAACTCAGGCATAGCTTTCGAACCCGTGTGGAACGAGTGTAGCGCCGGTAACTTTGGCCGCATGCTGAACAGTGCATTGGCTCGGCCACTCCGTCCATCCGATCGACACCCAAGGGGTGCTCCCCGGGGCTCCCCGGGGCTCCCTCAATTTCCCCAGACTCGCTTTAAATATTATGCTTGATCACAACTTACCCATTACTATCAGAATGATTATCCGATGCTCATAAAATTTGAACTTTGACAGTCTGGGATGGCTCGTTTGATGCCATTGGAGAAGACATGCTCTACGCGCCGAAGGTCTATTAGCAGCCGCATAATAGGCATTGCGGAAGCGGGCTCCGGCGAAAGCGATGGAAATTCCTGCATAACTTGAGTAGCTGATGCCTTGTTAGTACATTCTTGCGGCAGAAATGTCCTGCCGAAACAATATCATGCGACTGAGTAGCTCGGGGAAGTTGCAAACCCAGGGCGCGATGATTTGGGTAAAACATGGCTGAAATTAGCGAAATGAGTAGAACCTGGATTTTTCTTTGAGGGCGCCTAGAACAGAGGACGTAGTGGAAAAGTTCCCAATTTGTTCAAACTTACAAGTGCTCAATCAAATACCCATTTTTCCGTCAGTAATATAGGTACAAGTAGCTTAATTAGAGTAAAGAGACATTATCTGTGAATTTATGGATCAGCCTCTATAATATTATGATCGTCGGATTGATTCAGGGATGGGAACTTGAAGGGAACGCTCCTGATAACTAAGTTCTGGGCGCTTGCATAGGTCGTCAATCTTATGAGATGGTACTGTGCATATCAACGATAGTAATGCCATTCCCCTCATGAAACATATCAAAGTAACTATTTTCTTTGTTGGAGTTTTGGACCATTCAATTTCATACAGCAAGATTACACTTGCTTGGCAAGTCTTCCTATCTCTTGCACGTCAAGCTACTGTAGCCTCACATTTAGATGGGCTCTTGCGCCATTTCATACTAATGCACCCATCAGGGACCAGATTTTAATGTCTGAACGCCCAATACAGAAAGTTATCGAAGGTGAAAGGAAATCTCAGGCTGGAGTCATCTAGATGGTCAAGTCTGAAGCTTCAAGTAAAATGTCAAACGAGCAATGCAAGTCCGCAGACGCTGACAAAACAGTGAAGGGGTTTCTAAATTTATGCAGTTTACCTATACTTACTTTGAGCTCCAATTCTAATATTGAGGTTCTTAGAAAGTGGAGTTGACTCGAGTGCTTTTCATTGACTTTTTCCTGTTGGGGGGGGGGGGACACTGTCTCTTTGCTCTTGCCGAAGTATCCTTAAAGCTAGCGAAGAATTTCACTCCCCACCAGCTGTGTTTAGCAAGTGTCAGTAAGGCAAGACCAATGGACTCTAGGGACTTGAGTACAGCATACCCGTCAAGATCGGACTCGCACCTCTATTGGCAAGTATCTTGGGAATAATGATGGGCAGTTCACGACATTCAACAATTCCTACAATTGTGTACAGAAATCTGCTGTTTTTCCAGAAGACTTGCACCTTCTCGATGAAGCCATGAAGCCAATACTTAAATTTATTTTTGACTGTATGTGAGTGGCGAGCTGCCTGATTGCCGCGACATCTCTGAGTACGCTCATGAACCAGCTGGCCGTGACGAAGTCAGATCGGTTCAAACTTGGTGACTTTATTTCACTAGACACACACCTAATGACACGAATGCCGACTAACAGGTGCAAGTTTTCGGATTCCTGTGCCTTCAGATCGCGTGACATGTATTCAACAGCGATCTCCCGGGAACAACTTCAACACTTGGCACAGCGTGAAGGTTACGTGTGGAACTGGGAATGAACACGACTAAAACACTTCTAATAAATGTTGCACTTTTTACAGCCCAGATTTCAAAACGAGCACCATTTTTTTGGTCAAAGTTCACGATTTGGCTACTACTTAAATACAGATACAATCTGGTTTGCTTTCCGCAGACCTCCTCTCGACAAGTCACCTGACAGGAACTTTTGGTTTGAAGAAAACGATGATGCATCGGATTGGAAGTACTTCCACGTGATGAAAAGTAAACGTAAATGACAGATGAAGGAGTGACATTGAGGTCAGTTCTGGCATGTGATGTGCCACACGCGCCCAGCATCATGCACCACACTCATGCAACGCACCGTGGAAGGACCACTCTTCAGAGTTTGAGTCCTACCATGCATCAAGTAGTCACTTTGCGCAACCCATGTACTGGAAGCACTCCTTGAAGGCGCGCGTGTCCAGGGCAAAGAGGCCGCCCTGGTCGAGCAGCTCAGCTGGCTGCCAGATCTCAGGGTCCATGCGGGTCAGCAGGCCAGGGTAGCTGGTCAGACCAGCCGGCTCAGTGACACCGAATGGGTTGCGGAGCACAATGTACTGCCTGTCGCCAACAACGGCGTACCCACAGATGGAGTAGGCGTGGTTGGCAACGAGGTTGCTGCCGCGGTACATGGGGCCAGTCGCGTGAGTCCAGGCGCACATGGGATTGATGGTCTAGAGAAGTGATTAGTACCAGGCTTTTTCAAAGTTCATGAAACAGCGGCGAAGCTTACCTTGTTGTTCACACAGTTCTGGCGAACGACGCCGAGAAGCTCGTTGGAGCTGTGGTTCTCGCAGCGGAAGTACTGTGGGTCACGACCGTTCATCTGCGCCATGGCCTTGATCGGGTCACCGGAGTGGGTGCAGGTGATGTCAGGGTGGTGCTCGTTCTTGCTGCTGCTGCCCAGGATCCACTTGGCAAAGGCCTTCTCATACAGGGACGGCCAGATGTCCGTGCCGTCAGAAGCACGAGCAAACACGGGCTCATTGTTGGAGTTGGTGATGGGGATTTCGTAGTTCACCTCCACGGTCTCGGTACGGTTGTTGTTGTTGCCACCCTTGTCGTGGAAGCGAACGCGGAGAATGTGGCGTTGTGCACGGCGATCCTCATTGCCGTCTTCCATGCGCTCATTGTGCGGGTGGACACGAGTCGCGCGGTTGATTGTCGCAGGGCTAGCCCAGAAGACGGAGAACATGGCGGCGATGAGCCAGCTGTTGGTGGAGGCACCTTGGGTCGGGTCATCGAAGAAGTGTGTAGGACGACGGCGTCCGTCGCCGATGGAGAAGTTGGTCACATCGTTGACGAGGCGGCGATTAACGCTCTGGAAGAAATAGTCGTACATGTCACGCCAAGAAGCATTCGGGGGTGAATATTCATTCTCCCGACCGGGCATGTTCTCATCGTCCTTGCCGCGCAACCGGAACGGAGTCATAAACTCATTCATGGTCCGAGTGAGCTCGCGGTTGGACACTTGACGAGCAACGCGGTTCCCATTGGCGTTGGCTTGAATGACCAAACGGATCTTGCCGTTCTGGATCCGAGCATGCTTGACGCGAACTTGATTGAGGTCTTTGAGGCCGACTTGCTCCAAGTCTTGCAGACGCTGGACCCGGGATAGGTCAGGCGTCATAAGATCGCGCTCACTCAGGAGGCGGATGTCCTTCTCCTGGAGCTGTGTAGCAATGCGCTCTTTCTCATTGAGCTGAAGGCCGGCAAAAAGCACGGACTGGTTCCTCAAATCAAAAAGCTCATCATAGTCGGTCTGCAGAACTTGGGAGATCAGAGTTGATGCATTGACCGAATTTCGATCAATTCGTCGACCAAGCATGGCCTCAACAAGAGCGTAGGGGTTGGCGCACCCGATCCTGACGTTCTGTGGCTGGTTGTCAGGACGAGGGCCACTGTCATCGAATGTTGAGAGCATCATGTCGCTGCGGATGTCCGGAAGGTAATCGTAGTCAAGTGTCTCGGTGCGGTCCGAGTCACTCTTCGGTTTCTCAGCCGTACGACCGAGAATTGCTTGGACAAGAGCATACGCGTCAACTGCGACGACGTTGTTGTCCTTGGGCGGCTCAGAGACGATAGAGCGTGCGTCACCCATATTGCAAGTACTTTTTGTTCAGTTTAGAAGTGTATAAAATTTGTTTGGGGGCTAAGAAGTGATGGGTCGACTTGTGTTTCCAGGTCTAGATACAGTTCCAACTCAAAAGTGCGTCGAAGGGGACGTACGCTGTCTTTATATGGTCTTCGAAACTGGCTTCCGCAGCTCACGCCTCCGGATATACCTCGCTCATGAATTGCCTGACGAATGAATCACCACTCATCCACATTGGTGTGTACGTGGTAAGTTAATGGACCGATTGCAGGAGGGGTCCAAACCATCTCCAGCAAGGTGCCAACGCCCGGCAGACTAGGTCCCAGGATCTCGACCTTCTTGCATGTGGTCTCCGGTCTTCAATGGCGTTTTCTTCTCCTCCTCACTGACACGTAAAACTCCCAACAAAGTCAATTCATTAGATCTCAAGAGACTATTCGTCCACGATACGATCTCGAAAACGTTGAGCTGCGGCTCGATGCTTCATCCCTCGCTGCACTTCCGCATCAGGGAACACTGTGGTATTCTGAAAAAGCAATGGTGAGACTTCACGGCATTGGTTTCAATATGCAGTAATTAGCTCGACACTATAGCACTGACGACGCTATCAAAGTCGCTCGATGACGAGTCCGGCATGCCAAAGATCGTACCTCGTTGCGCAGCTGTCCAGCAGCCCCTCTCTAGGCATTCTCTGAGTGGTTATCGGGAGCGTTCGTCCGAAGAATCCACTGCAAACCTCACTGGTCGTTCGAATCACGGTGCTGTAGACACACGATGGTTTGTCAATTGTCAATAGGTCCTACGACATAACCTCGCCAAGAACTGTATCGATCGTGTAGGACGATGTCAACAACGAGGTGGTCAAGTCTTGGACCCTGAAGCTTCACATGAAAGGGGTTCCTTGTCATGCAGTCACCCATTTCACAATTAGGTTCTCCGCCATGCCCTTTCCCCACAAAAGCATGTTCGGCTCGATGCGGGAGCCATGGATCAAGGGTGCGGCTCAAGCTTGGATTCGTATGGGTGGTGGTAACGAGGAGCTGCCAAAGTGCGGGAACCAGGGGCATGATCGACAAAGCGCCCTCCAGTGCTACACCAATCAATCGAGATCTCCCTTCCTGAGGTATCATCATTTCTGCAGAATTTTACCAGTGCTGCCCATGAATGGAATGAGTTGTCGATCTAATGATATCCATGTGCCTGCCGTGGTTGAATGCGAACCTTGCTACTCGATACTCAACCCCTGGGCACTTCAGGATGGATGGTCGAGGAGGGAAAGACCATGTTCAATTCCAGAGCTCTGCTCCCAAGATGAGCTAGCTCTATAGGCCATGTTCTAGATCGATAGGAGTTGGAGAACTTCGCTATGTTACTTAGACTTCACTCCCCTCACAGCTTCATGCGCCATCAATTGAAAGTTCAAGCCGCCATTACTTAATTGGTTGCCATCGGAGATGTCTGAGCCCCCATATATCCGAAGCTCGTGCATCACCGAACATTGGAAACGAGAAAGGTGTCGACTGCGACCAATATCAATATGTGATGCCACTGACCTCGGTGAGACGGGTGCTGGGTAGAGTCCCATGGGGAAAACCGGTCGATCGAAATACGGGTTTCGAGATACTTCTGCTGGGATGTGCTGAATCCTGCAGATGTTGCAACAACTATGCTTGTGTTTGCAATTGCGCATTCCGTACTTAATCCGAGCGAGTGACGGCAGATTAGGTCGTGGAATCAAAGCAGCCATCCACAGCCCGTCTGGGCACTGACCGGTATCCGACCGATGTTGCAAATGAGTTGACTTTGCCTCTCAGCCCAGAAACGAGACGGCGTTGACGCGGTGATACGCCTTGCAGCATTTCCATATGCGTGAACAACATAGTATGCATGTCCATCAAGCTCCAGGACATGTCTCCGCACGGGTCGGGGGTGTACTCAGCTCTTGCCGCCAATGGCATCTCATGAAACTTCTCTAGACCACAGGACGGTTGAATCGGAACCTTGATGGTCAAGGCACGTGAAGCTTGGAGTGCACTCACTGGTTGCTGAGCTAGTCGTCGTCTTAGTTCCTGGAATGTCAGATCCGAGCCAGCCCGGACGCGAGAACAGATCTGATTAGGGATGTCCTGTCGAGCCATATGCGGACGTGCCAAACAGAATAACAGCTCACTGACCAAGCAAAGGGTGTGTTGCTGGCGCTTGCGATAGTTGCATGATGTTCTTCAATGTCAACACGGAGTTCTCTCCATCACATGCGCCATCTTGTAGACTCTCCGTCCCAATCACACTTCAGCGGACTGCAATACCTCGCGATTTCAAGGATCTCCGCCCGGCCTAGAATCCAATTGACCCACTTCTATCCTGGGAAATTCAAAGACTGGTAACATTGCCGGGTTGGAGCTGTTGTTTCACAGCATGCACGCCGAGCTGCTACAGTTCTGGTTCTAACTCCTCACTTCCCCTCGCTGACGTTGCCATGCAGCCTCTGCAGCCGCCAACTCAATTCTCTTTGTGCAAATTTCACGTCTCGTCAGGCCACACTCAGGTGCTTTTCCTCATTCACATGGACCAGGGAAGGAATTGGGTTTGGACGTTGCAGGTCTGGGTGTCAGGGCAGAGCAAATTCTCATAAACGGATTCCGGCTCGATCGGATTTCTCCTTTGGGACTGGCATTGAGCTAGGCCATGCGTGATTACTCATGATGGCTTCGTTCGGTTATACCTGGCTTCGGGGATTTACTGGATTCCACATTCAGAGGTGCCCCGTCTCCATTTGCCTTCAAGCCTCGTTGTAGGTGATTTTATTGGGTCGGACGAATCACTGTCGTATATTGAAGAAACCTTCATCAGTGCTATGTCCATGCTTAGGATCTAGGCAGGCAGATAAACGGCAATAGAGCTCGGCAAAGATTTTATCACTTATTGCACCGTGGCACATCACATGCGCAAACGCCGTTGTGATCTTGGACGAACAAGAACGGCTTATGAAACACAGCGGACGCCACTGACGAGATAACACATATGGAGTCCACCAATAAGTTCCAGGTGGCTTGGGTTTTCTGAGATGTTCAGAGTAAAAACTTACTTTGAGTTTGTTCCCTTGCTTCCAAGCCATGGCTCTCACGCTATGAGCATGTTCCGGCGAAATTGTCGTTTTGTGTCTTGTTGACATGACGATCGCATACTCTTTCCGGTTGAGCTGCTTCAGGAAGCTTCTTAGTACACTGGTCATACGGAATTCAACTGAGATCCATATTACATTCACCCAGAGCTATCTCATCAATGCTCATCTGATAGGCTCTATTGGCCCACCAAATCCGACATATGATTTTTCAATGACTTGAGCGACGTAAGTTTTTCCCCTTCCAATTTAAGAAAACAGTGGCTCGGGATCTCTTCGCTTAGCAAATCCAGCAGCCAGGTAGAAAATGATCAGAAGTATTTCACCTGTTTTCAACTCAGTGAGAGAAAGCGTAGGTCTTCTACAATGTATTATTTCAACATTTGTAGATCAAGCGTACATCGTAACACTCACAATGAACATATTCACCACACTGATACATGCTTGTCCGTGGACAGCATTTTCGCACTTGCGACCGAGCCATACCATCCCGGTTGTGAATTTCGGCAGCATTGCGAGCCTTATTATCATTTCGTGCTTTCCTATTTTGTAGCTGTCTCAAAGAAATTGACGCTACGGGTCAGCATCTGCCATATCCTGCTTATACCTCTGGATGCAACGGTCCTTGCTTTCCTTGAAATCGACATGTGGCGTTGGATAACCGAGCTTCTCGAATTCCTGTTTGCTAAGCCGGCTGTGAGGGTCGAAGATCGCCTTTCCCTTGACGTCCTTGAGCTCTGACACCCACCTCCTAATATAGTCTCCATCAGGATCACACTTCTCTGCCTGCACTACAGGGTTGAACACTGTGTAGCTGGGCTCCCAGCCCTGTGTGTTGTTGCTCAAGTCCCAGTCTACCAATGTCTCAGCGAAGAATCTCTCGCCCTTCCTGTAGTCGATGAGCAAGTTTGTGCGCAGATAACTGCTCGTGTTCATCCGCAGGCGATTGTGCATATAGGCCTCCTCTTTAAGCTGCCTCATACCAGCGTCGATGAAAGGCATGCCAGTCATTCCGTCGCACCACTTCTTCCATCCTTCCTCGTCATCCTCCCATTGCACGAAGTCAAATTTGAGGTTGTGGGGAAGGTTCATCGCGTCGTGAGGCGTAATGGCCAGCATATGCCGGTAGAACTCGCGGAAGACAATCTCACGAACCCAGCTTGAGATCCCGATATCACCTGAAGCGAAATCATCGCCATCGTTAGCCTCTGTTGCCGCTTTCAGTGCCTCGCGGACTGAGATGACGCCAGACGCGAAGTAAGGTGAGAGTCGGCTGGAGTTGTCCGTGGCTGGCGTAGATCTGTTCTTTTTGTAGGTTTTCACCTTCTTCTTCAGGAAGCCTTGCAGGCGCTTGATACCGGCCTCATGACCCGCCGGCCAGAGCTTTCGGATACGATTCCTGTCTTCTGTCGACGCAAACTGTTTTGACGCTGGTAGTGTAGGGGATTTAGAGCTAAACAATTCTTTCAAATCTGTCTTGGCTTTTTTATCGTTCGCGGCCGGCGTGTCGACTAGGTCGAGGAGCTTTGGATCATCGGACACCTCAGCCAACCAAGCCTTGTGGTAGGGAGTAAAGACCTTCATTGGGCCACCCGAGCCAGTTGTCAAAGCCTTCGGCTCTATGACCGTCTGATCATGGACTAGATGAAAGGATGCTGCCAAATTCTTGTCGGCCAGTTGGTCTACTAGGTGGATGTCTCTTCTGAGCTCATCGACCTCATATTCGAGGTTGGCAAACACGTGACTGACATTATGCTCCTGGAGAAACTCCAATACCTTCGTACCCTTGTCGCCTCTTTTCTCAGCCGCCAGAACCACCAATGGAATGTTCAAATTGTGCAGCTGTTCCTGGAGTAGCCTCAACGACTCCAACATGAAGTCTGTTCTCGCCGGGCTTGTGCCGTGCCACTCGAGGTCCTTTGGCGACCACAAGAAGCAAGTGATGAGATTTCCAGAACCTTGCTTCGCTTTCTTGGACGCCTCGGACAGCGCCCGATTATCTTCTGCCCGGAGGTCCTTACTTCTGAACCAATGCAAGACATTTTGAGCCTTTTGATCGCTCTTCTGCTTCTTCACCTTGCCCAAAAGTTCCTCCAAAGGCGGATGCGCGTCAATCTCCTTGGCTCGTTTGGTTGAAGGATGCTTGAGCCCGTCTTCATGCGACGGCGAGCGCTCCAATCGTTTCGACATTGCTGAACACCAGCGAGAGATCGCTGGAGTTTTAAGACCGGATAATATCCCAGGCTGCGCGGCGAGAACTCTACGCGTACTTGAAGCTGCGCTTTGCCGAGATAACCGAAGCAATAACAAAGACCCGCTCCTTGCCTGAAGTTCTATCAGCCGGGATGCAAGATGGGACATAAGTGATTCTTGTTCAAGCCGGAAAATCAGAACTTGATTGATGCTTGGTTTTGAAACACCAGGTTCAGTAATGATAGGAGTAAAATTCGGCCACCAAGTCTATGACGCAAAAGCCATCGAGAAGCCCGGTACCTGGTACTAGATCATAGTATCCCGGCGCCCCATGAACGGACCACAAATAGCGGACGCCACACAGTCTATACCAGGTGCAGCCGTATACACATCCAGGCTAATTTTTAGTTTCCCTTGGCAACCTTTGATAACGCTGCCGCTTGTGTTTATCATTCATCTAAAAAACGCCGAGAACTCCACGGTGCACACCAACCTCGACATGTTTCCAGGGGTCAAGACTTGGCAGACGCGGCTCCCTCAGAGCAAGATAGACGTGTACGAGGAGTACTTCATAAAATCGTTTTCGTGCGACTCAATATGGCTTGTATTACTAGGACTTCGTGATGATAAAGCAAAATTGTATCTATGACTTTATCACCTCGGTGGAGCAAGTCGTGACCAAATTCCCGTGTTTCGCTGGATTGTAGCCATGAACATTCGAATGCCTGGCAAGGCTTTGCTTTTGCTGGTCGAGTTTGACCCTGTTACTTACCAGGGTCCTCAAGTCAACAAGCTAGATTTTCAAGCTCACTCATTGCTCAAAATACACAGTTTCATCGTCGATATTGCATTTGAGAGTGGGTAGGGTGGACTTCAAAGGCAGAAACTTTGGATGGTGCTGGCGCATGCAGGCTTTTCATCAGATCGGAAACCCTTCACGCATTCAACTAGTCTTGCGTTCGCGCGTATGCATGAGGTAATGGCTTGAGATGGGCCGTGAGTAGGGATTGGATGCGAGGGCACAATCTCGAATTTTCTAATCTTTCCAATCTTATTAGTGAGAGGTCCTCTTGTCATGCAATTGCAATACCTAGATGGCCCATCTGTGGAAAAGCTGTGCGATGCCATGCAGAGACGGGTCGATAACTTTGTGAGGAATACGATGCCGTATGCCATGTAAGATAAGAGGAAATTTCCAAACTGGGACTTCGTAAATCAAAGGGCCAATGGGTTCTCATCCGAACCTGAAAGCGACCCCTTTCACGAAACGCGATTCCGTCGTGCGCCATTTGGTGACCTTTGCTCTAAGAGACTCAAGGTCAGCTAACAGAAAGGGCCATCTTCCTGCTCCATCAGCCAAGCAAAACAAAACCCGCTGGTACCCAACAATTTCTGGACAGTTTTCCCCGGTCGAAAACTTCAATACCAGCGGTTGGAGTGCTTCCCTCAATCGTGCCGCCCTCCTGAAAACGTCTTACGCTTCCATCTCGACGAATATCACTTTCCCTGGCTTTGGCCAGACAAGAGACGTCCTCAGGTAACGCCATATCCCAGTCTATCACTCCAACTACCCTCGTGCTTCCACTTAGTACCAATTGCTGACAACTACTCAATTTGCAAACCATCAGCGTGCCCAGCCCCGCCAACACTCAGCACCAATGACGATGGATCGAGACGCATCCCATCTCGCCGACGCAAGTATCTCATTCAGGCAGCTCCTCCTGGCAGAAAAGACATCGCGAGCGGTTCAAGTAATGATTCAGGAGAAGAAAGATGAGATCCGCTACGTCAAACAGCAGGCAGTGGCGCAAGAAATGTCTTACAATGTTGTCTACGGAGACATCAAGTTGTTGGATTTGGACATTGGCGTTTTGAACCGGTTGCTAGAGTCTAACGAAGGGTCACGACATCGTTGGCGAGCAGTTCACATGTCGGCCTGGAGAGCAACAATCAAACCTCTGAAGGTGGTAGATCTGCCGAACGAGATCTTGATGCTCATCTTCTCTAACTTTCGAGACATTTCAGCTGAACAAGTCCTACCTAAGACTTTTCCTTCGGACGAACAGGTTCCCAACCCAGACGTCGAAAACATCAAGAACATTCGACTTACTTGTCGAGCCTTCTGCGACGTTGGCTCATGGTTTCTAATCCCTCTTGTGGACATATTCTTCACGCGACCTTCCCTTAAGTACCTCGAACAGGTTTCAAAACATCCAACCATTTCAAAAGGCGTACGCATGATTCGTGTCCATACACATACTTACAATCCTTTACTCGCAAACGATCGCAGCCGGTTTGCCAAGGCAACTGCCCGCAAACTTCGTTCATTCGGCCGGAAATTTGATGACGAAGCGACCAAAGTTGAAAAGGAGATAACCGAAGATTTCTCTCTGCTTGGGCTCTTTCCAGGACCTAACCATTTCAAGATCGATGGTTTTGATATTGCCCGGGAGGAAGCTCGAAACGTGATGACAACATTGAAGAGACTGAGACAACAAGATCCTGAAACTGTGACGTCGCTTGATCCATTCGAGACCAAAATTAGCAAGGCAATCACAGAGGCCCACGATGAATATAGACGGAGATACCAGGAGCAGAAGAGCCTCATTCAAGACGGCCACCTGCACGCCGCCATCTCCGCCGCCATTCGTCAGATGCCTTCCGTCCGGAGACTCGACATGAGCGATGAATGGCGTTACCAGTTGCACGACGTCTTCACGAGTGGGTGGGACAATCGGCTGGATGCGCGAAAGTACAAAGCCATTTTGCAGGGCCAAAATCCATTTTGGAAACTGATGGTTCACGCTCGTGAATGGGGGGATAAATCATTGGAATGGGCTGTAAGCCCACAATCTTGTTTGGGGCACATGCTGCCTTCGATTGTCCATGCTGGCAGTGGAAGTCTGACGCATTTGGAAATCGACATTACGCCAACCTCAAAGGCTCCCTTAGAAATCGCAGCTGAAGAGCTTCAAAACCTACGATACGCTTGCCAGCAGCTCAAACTTGTCCAGGTCTACGTTGACCTGCGTTTCTACCCCGTCTCGACGGCCCCGACCTGTGCACTGCTGGACGCAATGCTTATTTCGCCTGGACTGGAGGTTGTCAAGCTTTCCCTGTTACCTGGTCCTGAGTTCCAAGTTCTTGATTCAGCTACAAGACTAGGCCCTATGCTTGCAAATTTACCTCGGCTCAAGCTGCGAAGTATTTTCCTCGCGAATTTTCCCGTCAAGAGTGCAGGACTCAGGAATCTTCTGGATAAGGTGTCCGGCAAAATTCACTTGGATTTGAGTGGTATCTACTTAGTGGAAGGCACTTGGGCAGAGGCTCTTGAACTTATGCGAGGCAAGGTAGACTCCTCGTCGCGAGTTGTGGATCCCCGGGGAGGTGAGATGATTCGTCTGTCTCCGGCAGAGATTGGATATTTGAAAAGGGAATTTAGCAGCCAACATCGGGACGGCTGGTACTCCCATCAACGATGCCCAGGACCTGCATCATTCTACATCCGGGGTGGAAACATTCCAAACCCATTGATTTAGGGCATACGTGGCTGACGAAACTACGACGACCCATGAGACGAAACCATGTGGGCGACTAAGCGCATGGACCCAAGTTCAAAGGTGGCTTAACTGCTGTCTGCTTGGAGCATGCCTTACGGTTGGCAAGAGGTGAAGACTCTATGATAGAGAGGCTGTGCTGCTTCGCGTTTTGGACGATTCCCCCCAAAACATACATCTGTCGCTATTATTGGACTTAATCCGTGTCAACGCTTGAATTCGGAGACCAGCCAACGCCAAAGCAGTCAGGAATCTCAGCTCCAGGTAGTTGAAAAGCCATTGCTTACAGACCGTAAACACAATTTCTTAGTGTAATATCGTGTAGAGGTACTCTGAGACCCCAGGGGAATCAGGAGGGAAGCATTTGGAACCCGCCTGCGTATCTGAACCGGCAATAACACAATACTCATCATACTCCCAGGGTCCCTCCATACCACTCAGCAGGGCCGCGATGGCTTCCAAAGAAGCTCAATATGATGAGACTGACCGGCCCAGTGGAACCATTCACAAACAGCTAAGTGACGGCTTTACACTGTCTGCTAGTCCCGAACAGCCTAACAATACACCGTGCGTATGCCCGAAGGCTGTAGTACAATTCTGCCAAATAATATGTTTTATGCGTAGTTCTCCAGATAATTCAAATCCTTCAACCATTCTTTCACACGGGAACGTCGATGATGTTTGTGACACTTGCTCTGGTACCAAGACAACACAACCCCGCACCCTCACAAGTTGAGGGAGACAATTGTGCGCTCGAGCTCAGTGCCACACGGCGAGGCCAGAGGCGAAGGAATCATGTCTTACAAACCAGTAAGATCGGTCCCTGCGTGCAAACATGTCACATAGGATGACCATGTGTTGTGTTGGATATGGCAGGAGTGTGGGACAGGCCATTCGCGAGACAAATAGAGCCAATAATTAGCAACCGATGCTTTAATTTGTCACAACGGTATACTTGTTGAACAGCTCACCGCCCGCCAACTTTCACATCCAAGTACAACGCACCGTATTTGACGGGGTCCTTGACGGGGTCCTTGACCTGGCCTTGACCGGGGCTTGAACAGAAGTAAAGTAAATACGAAGAGGGCACCCATCTGATCTGGGCGATGACAACTGGACTGGCATTCACCTCGAGCGACTGAATATCATAGCCAAAATGCATCTCTCAATGCCGCCACTGCTCTTTGGCCTCCTGGGCACTGTTCATGCCTTCCACTTTCTCCCGCGGAGGTCCATGTCAGATGACAACGCCACAGATAGCTCTGAGTTTTCGCTTGCCATGAAGTTGAACGGCACGTACGCCTCTCTAAATGCCATATACCTCTCGGAGAAGGGTATCCTCCTTCAGGCTCAAAATATGAGCGACTATTCCGGCACTCCTAGTATGTGTTTCAATTCGTTCATTATACTCGAGACGACCCAGAAGCTAACACCTGACACAGCGTACCTCAACTCGACGGAGTCCGATGATCCTTCGGATCACTTCCCCGACTCGCTGGTCTTGAATCTTACAAACACTCCGGACATCTCTGCCCCTCCTGGAGTCTACGGAGTCGCCGTGGCTAGCCTCGGGGACGCGCATGGGGCGTGGGTCTTTGTCTCTGCCATTCAGGATGAGCAAGAGTTCGACTTTCTCGTCACGGACGGTATGTCACTATAGTTGATAGACGCCGGTGAGACCGGATCAAACTTGAGCTGACCATGAGGTGCAGGGTCTGTATACCATGAGTTGACCGCTGCCCCTCAGAGCTGGTTTGCCTGCTCGCAAACTGTCGAGAACGTGACGGGTACTTTCCTCAGCTGGGGAGTGTATGACACTAACGGATCTGCGCCGTTCGGCTGTGAGGTGACAGATGTGGTTCAGAACTTCAATGTTCCCGGACGTGCCAAGCTGGAATTATTCTGAGAATCCACCTGAGACATTCAGAAGATTGGGGTTGAGAAGGAAATGGCCGTGTGGGTGACGCTACAAAAACTCCCACCAGCAGGCTCGGAACAAAAAAGGCTTGAAGATTCAATGACGCTCATATACACATCAAAATTCTGAGCAGTGGACATTGGAGGAGGACATGTTATGGCGCAACCAAGTAGACTGCCAATCAGAGCAGATGCAAGCACATTTTTTGCCTATGGCATGTTTGAACCTCTTTCGCTTTCATTATTCCCACCAAGTCTTCCCGTACTCGCGGGACCTGGATGCATCAATGCATACCTGTCCCGAGCTGAAGGTGAGTATACAATGAATGGTGTATAACAAAGAAGGGCAAGACTTGTGGCAGCCGACTGCACGGATGCTGACTGTTGGTACACAGAGTCGGAAAACTCAAAATTCGGTCATTGTACATCCAAAGAACCGACTTCCTGACCGAGAGGTCCCTATGATGTTTCCACTCAGGCGAACCACTAGTAGGACCATCACGACTGTCAACGCATAGGCAAGCCGCATGTGATCCGCCTGTGCCGTTCAGCCTCATCGAATCACGAAAAGCCAAGAGGTGCCTGAGTACCACAAAGATTGTCAGCCAGGTGTTTCAATACGACGGCAGAAATTTGTGTCGCGACTCACAATTGTGTGGAAAGTTGTGGCAGCGCATCCTGCGGGACTCGAGCAACTACATGTGCTTCATCAAGTCCCCTTGGCCCGCGAACCACATGTCCTACACATCATTTTCTCAGAGTGGCGGTGAAGCCACACAGCATCACGCAAAAAGATTCTCTCTTGGTTCGCGGAAAGAAGGGGGCCATTTGACGGTTAGAAGCAAAGCAACTTTAGTACGGCGCCTTCGTCCAACGTTCTAAGCAGGGAATCTCTGGTCCAGGATGCGATGAGCGTGCCACGGTTGATACCAGAACAAGACACGAAGAAGACTGATCCACCGGCTTGTTTGCTGTGCATAGCCGTCCCGGGAAACGTCTCTGGTATGTTGAGAATTCGTCGTGATGGACAAGGCATGCTGACTGCCTAGGACGTGATTTCTCAGGGCTTCAACTGACACGCAAACTTTGCAAGTCTTCCAGAGCATCTTGTTCCGGGGCTTCGTCCTTGACATCTTGCTTCTTCCAGTAGATGCATGTGCTGGAGAAAGAGCTGTAGTCATCCTGTGGGAAAGGCATCTTGTCGAAGGCGGCGTCCATTTCTCGAATCCGATCAAAGTCGGGGCTCTTATCGGCACCGGGGTTCCTGATACGGAGTCAGTGTTTTGACGTCCTCGGATGGTTTCAAGGCAGGCTTACTCCTCCCAGACGTCCCAGCCTGTGCCCACGCACATTGCTGGCAGACTTTCCTTGAGCGCCGCTGCCCATATATCTCGGTAGAGATGCACGCCGAAGATCAGTGTGCTTCTGTCAATAAGCTCGTAGGCACCGGGCGAGTCTACAGTCTTTCCACCCAGACCGGTCAGGAATTCCTTGTCTGGTTGAGTAAAACGTGGTTCTTGATAGATTGTCTCGATCTCTTGCCCACTTTCTGCTCCTGCCAGGAGCTGTTAGCCATTGACTGTCAAAGGAACGTCTAATTGCAAGGATACTAACTAAGAGCTTCTACAATGGCCAGGAAAGCCGCCAGCTGGATGTGAGACCGCCGTTGAGCAGACCAAGAGGCATCCTCAGGATCGAAGGGCCCTAGACCAAGACAGACAGCACGGGTGATTGTGTCATGAGAAGCAGAATTGTCTTCAATGATTTTGCAAAGCTGCTCGTGGCATTTTGTTGCTTGCCACTTGGACCCAATCCTGTGGTGGTCGGCCTTGATGTCGTCGACGGTGAGCTGTGGAAAACCGTTTGGGTGGAAGTTTTCAGCTGGGCCGCCGACAGGCAGGCGTAGGACCTCTTTCTGGCGGCCAACCTTTTTGCCTTTGCGTACGATTCGTGTCCATTGGGACGGGTCATCCCCCTGGTCTGCTGAAGCGGCCATTGCAGCCGATGATCAAAATCTCAAGATTCAAAATTGCTGCTTCGGGCCTCAGAGGTAGTGAAATTCTTGAGCTTCAATGTTCGCGTGCATCGGCGATAAGAGACATGAGAGCTCCGATAAGCTCAAGCTGTGGTCGACTTTGCTGAGTCATTCAGTTCGGGACATTAGCAAAAGTGCCCTCCTACTCCGCCCAAGCCTGTCTACGACGATATCTTCACTCTTTGTCTGCGTCTCCCGGGACTCTCGACCACTCATCTCATTATCTGCTAAGCGGCAAGCACAGATCTGTCGTCGGATTTGATGACATCGTGGCACAAGGAAAGACAAGAGACAGCATGCAGGTGCGTCTTGGAAAGGCACCAGGTCCCAGCCGTCACTCGCCCCCTGGAAACAACTGCGAACTATGCTGAAAACGTGGCTCGCTTATTTTCAAGCCAAAAATATGACGCTCATCTCTTGACACGACTTGGCTCATCATCTATCTGGGACTCGAGAGCAGCGAGATAACCAAATGCGTTCGTTGCTACTTCGTCAGCTTACCTTGCAGCTGTTCCTGGGAGGTCGCCCTGAATGCAATGCCAGAACGAGGCCCTCACCACATGTGCATTGCACTAGGACTTCTCGAAATAACTTCTAGCGTCTGTCGACCGGCATGAGAACCATCAAGAGGGTGGCATTGTCTCCAGTTTTCCGGCACGGTGCGACGATGCGAGGAGGCATGCGGACAAATCAAGTCTGGCGTCGACGAGCCTCGTTCCTTGATATAAGGCTCCAAGAGATCCATCAGAAGCAGCGAACCCTCTAGCAGCGGTGCCCATCGGCTGAGCATGCTGCCACTATCCTCCCTGCCCCCTCAACGGTCGCACTGCATCGTTCCATACCAGTGAATAGGAGGCAAATAACAGTAAAGCCATCTCAGCAGACAGACGATGCTCCCCTCCCCTGCCAAAAATAGCCCCCACCTTTACCCTTGGAGAGGGCTTGCAGATCTTGGGGCCGCGGGTCTTCGTGTGCAGGTACGTACCGACTGGCGAGGATGTTGGGCGCTTAATCGCCGTCACCAACTGGTTCGCCGGATGACCCGCCACTCAAGCTCCCGCGACGGCTCCCGCGGCGTTAGCTGCCGCAGCAGCCTCTCCCAGGTGTCGTGATCAAGCTTGGCTCGAGGGCTCCTTGATCAGTTCCGGCGCCTTCGAGCCGAGTTTTGAAGTTATCACGGCTTCTCGAACGTCCATGATACAAGCCTGAAGCTGTCTCCACGAGCATCAATTTCACAGCCGGTCCCTGAAAGTGGCCGTCACACAGGCCGGCCGCTCGATTGGTCGCATGCCCGCTCGTTGGTGATGGGGTAGCTGCACGCCCTGGGCACCCTGCACGCCGCGGCGGGGATTTTCACTCTGGGCGGCCAGCGACTCGCCCTCCCGAGGTGCTGGAGATGGCCAGCCCGGTGATGCAATTGGCTGGTCCTCACTTTTTGACAGGGGCAAGGGTCGTCGAGCTGCAGCTGCTTGCACACCTCTTCTGCGACCTGACTGGCCCACGCCTCGTGGAGAAGCCGCCCGGGTGGCATCTCTACCAGATTGCCGTCCAAAGGCGATTTGCCCTCGCAGCTCTCCCCTCTCCCCAGGTGCTGCCAGGCATCCTCTCCTCGCCCACCCACACGTCGAATTGGATGGCACGATACAAATCAACTTCGGCGGCTGGATGCGCGAGGTGACAGGGCTAGACCTGATGGAGTCTTGTCCACTGCTACCGCACCATGCACCTAGCCCCAGCTTCGACGGCTATCACTGGATGGCTATTGTGTCCAGTCCCCCCCGATGGCCCGGATTTGTCCATGTGGGCAGGTGAGAAGAGGTGAGTGAGATTCGTGTATTCTGCGCCTAATATTATCCTTGGCTGCCGCTCTCATTTTCTTTCTGCTTCTCTTGTTCCTGCTTTCAATTTTCCAACTTCAAGATACCCCATCATTACAAGTCGATACCGTAGAAAGAAGTATTTTTCTATTTCTTCATCAGCAACTGCCAAGACTCCACTGGCAACCTCTCCCACGGCATCGCCATATCTAGGAATCAGGGACCACCGGTTCTGGACAGGAAGGCTGGGACCGAGCTTGTCTTGAGCAAGGGAATCAAGACTCGAGTAATCGACGCATAGGAATACAGTTCGGGGGAAAGCTCAAGAAATTTGAGGGTCGACGGACGACAACAGCACACAAACCCACCTCCCGAGGTCTCACATCCACACACAATCATGATGTTCTCCTCAACATTACTAGCGCTCATCAGCGCAGCAACACTATCGTCAGCACACACCGTCCTCACATATCCAGGATGGAGAGGTGACAATCTCATCACCAACGACACATTCCCATTCGGCATGCAATGGATGTATCCATGTGAGTTGCCAAGTCCATGATCCATATGAACCTTGTTGCTCCTCCCGGTTGTGCGATACCGGCTCAAGCCCAGCTTCATAGCCAACGCAAAGTTCAAAAGTTCAAAGCTGACAAGACATCTCTCGCAGGCGGTGGCTACCCAACGACAACAAACCGGACTTACTGGCCCACAACGGGCGGCGCCATCGCCTTCCAGCCAGGCTGGTTCCAAGGCCACGCCACAGCCTTCCTCTACGTCAACATGGGCTTCGGCACCGACGGCCCCGGCGGCGGGCCCCAGAACATGAGCTTCCCTATGGTGCCGCCCTTCCAGATCCTCGGCCCCAGCAAGAACCCCTACCCGGGCACCGTCTGCCTGCCCCAGGTACCGCTGCCGAGTAACACGACCGTCAAGGCCGGCGACAATGCTACTATCCAGGTGGTCGAGCTCGCCGTGCACGGCGCGTCACTCTTCTCCGTAAGTCTCACCCCTATCCTCCTGGAAAAAGGAAAAGAAAGAATTTCAAGTGCTAACATGGATCCTCTCCCCCGCAGTGCGTCGACATCACCTTCGTCGAGCCCGGCGACGAGCGCCTCGGCGTCGTCAACGAGAGCAACTGTTTCAACAGCAACGACATCGGCTTCGCCGACGTCTACACCATCGTCACCCGCGAGGTCAACGCCGACCCCAACGTCACGTCCGACGCGTCCGAGACCCTCTTCTGGTACTTTGGCCGGCACGGCGGCCAGCGCGCCTCCGTCTGGAGCTACCTCAGCTTCGCGCCGGTCGCGCTGGGGCTGGCCTGGGCTCTTTTCTAAAGCAGACGAGGGACTTTTGATGGTCCCGCTGTCTTGTTGTTGTATGCATTTGGCGGGTTGGAAATTGTCTCTTGTTCTTGGGGCACACGGCGTTTTTTGGGGAGTTGGGAATGGAAACGAAATGATATCTCACTGGAGCTACCTATCACTGTTCAGGCCAGGGCTCTGATTTATACGTTTAATGCAATGCAATAAATGCAATACCAAACTCGATACCGTTTGTCTGGCATTTTGAAATTGGGAAAGCTCTTACTGAGGATGGCTCACGATTCCAACAGCCCATATTTCTTTCTGCAAAGTAGCGCGGATGTCGTGCCACGCCTCAAGAGCAAGGATGCGCGGGGCTGGTCCAAATTAGGAGCGAAAGGCACCGGACATGATGCGATAGTGCCCAGACCCATTCTGGGAGGAAGCTGCTCGCCACGCAAGAGAAGAAGACCGCATAATGATTCTGAGCAAGGGACGCAAGATGGTCTAAATGTCTCTGTCATTATGGTATTTACTAACGACTCCCACCATCTACGATCCTGCTATCTGGTTATTCACTCGACAGGCCTCTTAAAGGAGTCCAAGCACCTCCTTCGCGAGGGTCGTTACCCTTTCCTCAGCACCTCCCCTCGCCACCGCCTGGACAGCCGAGTCCACACCCAGCGATCGCAGCACCTGGGCATGCCCAGCGCTAGCGATGGTGCCAAGGGCTGCCAGGGCGCGGTAGCTGACCTCGGCGTCTGCCTGGTCCTTAAGTATCTTCGCCAGCACGTTGGCCAGCAGGCCGAACACCTCGGGTGTGATACTACCATCGACCCTGACTTTCTTCTGAGACACAAGGTAGGCGAGGACGGAGTAGTTTAGCGCCGCGGTGGTGACTGCCACCAGGACGTTGCGGTTGCGTGGGAAACCCACAGGGCCCTTAAAAGGCGTGTCGGATATGCCGACCAGGGCTTCTAAGTAGTCTACAACCTTCTCAGCGTGGGTATAGGCTACTTGCCGTCCCTGCTCGGTGGCGAAAAGGTTCGTGACAACTCGAAATGCCATCATGGCGCAGTTCTCGTTAATGTTGGAGCCGCTGCTGGGATGGAAGGCGGCACGAAGGGCGATTTCGATGATGGAGTTGCCACTTGGGTCGGTAAATGCTGCTGCAAGAGGCGACGTGGCCACACAGCGGAGGAGGTCAAGACCGGGGAGTCGGTCGTTGTCGGGCCACTGGCTGACGAGCTTGAGCACGAGACCGATATCGTGCTCCGAAATACTCAGGGGTTGAGATGTCGCAGCAGTAGCCGTGCCGGGAACTGCTGCGGGCACGCTTGGGATTGTCTTGCTCAAATTCTCGGACAGTCTAGATAGCGTGGCTTCCTCTGTTGGGTTGAGCGCGAAATCCTTCCTGCCGGAAGAAATCATCGTGGCACTAATGGAGAGTATCTTCTTCACCACCGGCTCAAACTTAGCTGTAGCCAAGGTCAGATATTTATCTTGAGGTAGAACCTTCTTTGCCGGCGGTGTTTGAGATGCGGATTCATCTCCAGGCTGGTATCTGCCCGTGCCGAATTCGTCAACAGAAGGGCCAGAGCTCTGGCCAATTGTTGCGCCTTTGGTATTTTCGACAATGAAGTTTGTGACCTGGTCGAGGTACGTTTGTGGGAGCTCATTATCGCTAAGGAACTTTGAGGCAGCCTCGTATGGGTTCTGGGACAGGTTGAATGGTAGCTTCAGCGCTGGAGCACCATCCTCGATGGCCACGTCGAAGACATAGTCGTAGGATTTCCCCATGTACTCGACCTTCTTCCCGCTGCTTCCGACAGCATCCACAACTGTACCGACCTCGATCCATTGCTGTTGAGCTGGTGATGCAGTTAGCATGGCGTCGAGAATCCAGAATCAGGGATTGGGGGAGTAGGGATGTTATCTTACCACCGGACCACTGATGTGCAGTGATGGAGCCGTTTGGCTGGTTGATCATTTGGATCTGACCTTCTTTGGTTCCGGATTTGGAGGTCAGGAATTCGGGGCCTGGCAGCTTCTCCTTGTTGATGCCACCCAGCTGCTGTGCGGGTATTGAAGAGGCCTTGACCGAATCGTCGAAGCTCGCGAGGGTCTCAGCGTCCGCGACATTCTCTCCGTTCCGCGTGAACACACGCACGACACCATCACTCGAGCCAGCGACAATGTCACCGGTCTGTTGGCTCACAGCCACTGACCAGACCGATATTGCTGGTACCGTGATTGTTTGCACACACTCAAGACCCCGCCACACCCGGATGGTCCGGTCCTCCCCCGAGCTGACCAACTCTCCACTGGGCAGTGCCGTCAGACTGTAGACGAAAGACTCGTGACCGTGTAGCTCGCCGACGGATTGTCCGTTGAGCTTCCACAGCCGTATCACGCCGTCGTTGTGTGCGCTGGCAATATCAGCGCCAGAGGGGTGGCCCTGAGGAACCTTGCAAACGGCTCGTACAACATTAGAGGTGTATATAGTAGATCGAGGCTGGACCTCGCCACGGGAGCCAGTGCGCAGGTCATATATGTTGATCTTTTCATCGGCGGATCCCGTCACAACAGTGGTCTCGTCCAAAGCCAAGACACCCCAGACGCTCGCCTCATGACCGGCCAGGATCAGCTCGGGCTCCCACTTTCCGACGCGCCAGACAATGGCCTTTTGGTCCCAACTCCCTGATACGATATAGGTGCCTTTGGGTGACACGTCCAGGGAGCAGATGTTATGGGCATGGCCTATGAGCAGGCGCTCAGCATTATCGGAAGGGGTGGACAGCGGCTTCTTAACCTCGATGATGGTGTCCTTGCCGCCGGAGACGACCAGGCCATCGGCATAGTCCGAGGTCGGAGGAAGGAAGGCGATTGTGCTCAGCCATTCCTGGCCCTGGGTAACGATGGTGGCCTCGAAGGATGGTGGTTTCTGGGAGGACCTTCGCCAAAGTCGTAGGGTGTGGTCGCGAGAGGCGGAGATGAGGACGTCGGGACTAGGGAAGAGGACGGCGCGGACCTAAGTAGCAGAAGATGGATGTCAGTATGCAGTGTCCACTGTGCCGTTAAACCAAGCCCATCAGGTACTCACATCGGACTCGTGACCAGGCAGCTGAGCAGAGAGCTTGAACTCCATGGTGAGGACTGTGATGTGCTTGTTCCCACTAGAGCTCCCAAACGGCCCACGACAAACGGCCAACGGTCAAGGTCAGGACGTCAGTGAGATGGGTAGTGGCAGGAAGGTAGACACAATGACACGGAGCTGAGGCAAGGGACAAGAGGGGAAGGGGTGGTCGGCAGTGAATCTGGTGGGTTTCTGTCCCTGTGCGAAAATGTTTGCAGGAGGTACGTATTCCTGAGGTTGTTGTGATGGGAGAGCTCTGTAAGCAGTCCAACACAACGGTCTTGTTGGAGTACTGTTAGAGCTGGAGGGGAGCTGCCTCAGTGGTAGCGTAGCGCCTCGGTACGTACCCCAGGCTGCTGAGGTCATCGCGGGGCTGCTCGGTACGTACCGGTGCACGGTCCTTTCATCTTCTCTGCCCCCACTGAGTGGTCCGTGCCATCAACATCCCCAGGGAGAAAGCGAAGTTGAGGTGAGGCAGAGATGCTGCTCGAGCATGTCCACAGATGGACATTGTCCTCAGCCTTTATAGTGATATTTCCCTGTTGAGTTCATATCTGCCCAATGGTTGCATTTAGATGAGTCAAGTGATTGGTCAGACTGTGTCTGCTGTAGCTTTGGTTATTTGCTATGATAGATTTCACGGCAGAAGCTGACATTGAGCCCTTCCCATGTCTAACCTGAAAGCTGATCCAAGCCATTGGCTACTCAATATCACAACGAGAAGGAAAGAATATGATATTCTCTTCACTAGCCAGCTTCTGTCTGTCACAGCTGGATGCTGTTCCAGAACAAGATTGTAGTACAAAGGTGGTTTTTTCGACATCAATAGTACCGTCGCACACAGCACTAGAGCCTCAGGATCTCTCCCCGCCCCCACTTCTGCACCGATAGTGGGATTTGATTTGCGCAGGGCTGGTGGGCTGCTCAAGGGTCCCTCTTTCTGTTTTCCAGACCAACCCGCCAAGGCCCCCCCGATCTGTCACTTCCACCCTTTTGGCAGACTTCGACGGCCGATCTACAGGTGCAACCTCAGGGACAACCAACACCTCTCTCCCGCCTTCCACCTGCAGCTCCAAGCTCAAGCTCACCATCGCGCACCCTTCAGCTCCTGGGTTCACTCCTCGTCCTGGGAAAATCCCATCAACAAGACCTCTTGACGATCGATACGACACGATTCATGACCAAAGAGTGCTGTACCGCATAATTCAGCCCTTCCATTCTCTTTTTGTCTTGCTGTCTTGTTTTGGTAACAGCAGCCTTCGTTTTGTTTCTTTGACCTCAATTCCATTCGAATAACAACCTGCAGCTCCTCGCAAAGCTTAGGAGCTCTTAATACTTCCATCCCACCGCTTCGCCACCGCTTCGCCAACGCTTCGCGTCGCATCGAATTGCGCCCGACCTGTTGCGCCGTCTTCGACTTCGCATCCACCGTGATACCCACCTGTCATTTCGAACTCTGCCTGTCTAACTAAGCTTCGCCATCGCAATCAAGAACCACCAGCACGTTTGTCTCTGCTCGCAACCACCATGGCTTCCAACGGTGCCTCTCGACAGTATTTGCCCCTGACCTGCCACGGCCATTCCCGCCCTGTTCCCCACATCAGCTTCTCCAGTCTCGAAAAGGATGGAGAGTATTTCATTGTCTCTGCTTGCAAGGGTATGTTCACTTTCTCCCGTCTGGTGCGCCAAAGGCGGCCGCAGCAGCAGCTCTGGCCTAACAAATGACCCAACCTGCAGACGGCAACCCCATGCTCCGACACGGCCGCACCGGCGACTGGATCGGCACCTTCATCGGGCACAAGGGTGCCACCTGGCAGGCAAAGCAGAGTCCCGACAACAAGATTGCTGCTTCTGCCTCCGCCGACTTCTCCACCAAGGTCTGGAACGCTCACACCGGTGAGGAGCTCCTAGTTCTCAAACACGATCACGTCGTCCGCGCTGTCGCCTTCCCGCTGAATATCTCCGACATTCTGGCAACCGGTGGCCACGAGAAGATCCTCCGTATCTGGGACCTCAAGTCTGAAGATCATAATGACGAGAGAGTTACTGCTACCGTCGATGAGGAAACCAAGCACACGACCTACCACATCCCGCCCGAGATGGCCCACCAGATTGGTGACGTTCACCCTGACACCATCAAGTTCATCGTTTGGCCCCAGCAGACTACAATCATCACTGCAGCAGGCAAGACATTGCGATGGCACGACGTGTCCACGCGGAAGCACGTCAAGGAAGAGGTGTTCGACGCGGAGATCAAGGCCTGCGAGCTTGTCTTTCTCGCTCCGCAGTACACTTCGCCAAACGACGTCGGCGGCGGCTTGCCTGTGCTGAGCATCGCTGCAGGCAAGAAGGTCGCCTTCTATGGTGGTGCTGACTGCACCCAGAAAATCAAGGAATTCAACCTCTCGCATGGCGTTGCCAGTGTTGGACTGGATCTCAAGAACCACAAGTTCGTTGTGGGTGAAGAGCCCGGGACATGGGCACGCGTCTACGACTGGCAAGGCCAGGAGATCGATATCATGAAGGGCCACCACGGTCCTATCTGGAGCATTCAGTTTTCTCCCGACGGTAAATTGTACGCGACTGGATCTGAGGACGGAACGATTCGCATGTGGAAGAACTGCGAAGAGGACTACGGTCTTTGGCGCGATCGGGCAACGGCTACCGCGGAGAGGGTGGAGTAGGATCACCGGCCTCTCGCGTGGAGCCCCCTGGCGGAGAACGAACGGCCGTCAGGGGCGGTAGCCGACCACCAACAGCACCCGTCGGCGCGGATGAGCGACACTGGCGCAGCTCCAATCACGCCGTTGAGCGAAATATCTGTCAACGTCGCAAAAGTCCCAGCGGCGGCTTTCCGAGGGCCTCAGCCACCAGCAGAGCCCGAAATGGACTGCGACCCGTCGGCACACTGGAAAACCATCTTGTCTCCGGTGGCGGAGGAGTCCCCCAGTCCACGAAAGAAGAAACGCATTGATGATGACCTCCTCGTCAGCTATTCGCCTCGCAACACCCCGAGCCGTCCCGTGAGCCCTGGCAGCCTCAAGATGCAGAGCTTCCTGCGGAGACTGGAGCGGCAGGGTCTCTCTCACGACTAGCTGACTGGCGGGACAACTGCATCTCTATGGACCATCGTCGCATTTTTGGCAGCGAGCACCCAGGAGGAAGTGACGGAAGTCCGGCCAGCTGCCACCTTTTCAGGACACATCTTAGATCTGTAATTACGTCTTGCTTCGCATGAATTCTCATCTTCGCTGATGAGCGAGGCTATTCTTACGGACCTTAATCAGATACTCGAAATAGAAAACAAGAAACATTTTCCTCAGTTCTGCCAGGTCATGGATTGTTATGATGGTTGTCTTCTCTTAGTAGTCTATCCTCTCAGCTTTGGCATGCTTGTCAAGGCGTCTGGGCTGGAGTCGGTTTATTTCTGGCTGCCCATGGATCACTTCTTCTTTTGCTATGTAGGTGCCCTCCGTGGCTTCCTTCTTTCGCTGACCTGAATGTTGATGGTGCTACTTTTGAGTTTTAGCAGCAGCGGTGAGGCACCTGTCAAACGAGAATCAGCCTGCTCTTCGGTAATCCACCCCCTCTCTTCTCCTCTATCAACAGACCGATCTATGGCACTTGACTTTTACTCAATTGTGGAAGTTCAGACATTCAGCAACTCCTTTTCTTCAGACTGAAACCTCAATTGCCAGATTTACGTACCTAAGGTGTTCAGGGAGCCTTTTTCCATCAGTTTTGCGAGTAAACAAATCTTCCCAGTTAATTACTTGACCACTTTTCCTTCCAGTGGGCTGCCTTCCAACCTTTTTTCCTACCACCAGTTAGGTCAACTCTGCTTTCTTACCTCCCAAAGTCAGAATCATCATCGCTCCTGGTCGATACCAACTGGCCAATACCTTCCTCATCTAGAGAAATCTGGACCTTCCACCTTCCAACTTTCGCCAGCTGTCCTGGCTCCTTCTCTCAAACTTACCAGGTCCTTCTTGTCTTGAATCAAATAAAACGCGCAACTATCCGAGCCTCACTGTCGGTCTTCCTCTTTCAGTCTCCAGTCTACAGGCTTCAGGCCCATCTGGTCATAACCTTCCTTCCGTCACGTAACTGGGGATCCAACCGTCTCCTTCCCTGGACCTTCCAGGTAAGCCTCTCTCGCTCTCTCGTGATTCTTAACCCCCTTCTGGGTCTCCTTCTGGGGTTGACTTTCCAGTCCGACATAACCCGGTCCCTTCCTCATTCCATTTGGATAGTCGTCCACCTCGTGGTCCTGATCCTCCTTGACTTCAACGTTCCGTCCTCTCACCCAACCACTCTCCCCACCCTTCTTCTTAACTTCAACTTTCCATCCTCTTACTCAATTGTTCTCCCACCCTGTTGCCTGTTCCACTGTTCTGACCAGATTTGGCTCTCACGAAGTCGACTGAGCTTTCTCTGCGTCTCACGACTTTTGCTTGATCATTTGCTCCACATCCAACTTTCTCTGCAGCTCCAGACCTTTCCCATCGCTGCACTTCATCACGAGCAGTTGACACAATGCCATTCAGCACCAAGGCTCCCGAACATTACTCGACAAACCCAAACACCATCAAGGCACGCCGTCGCAAAATGAGCCTCAATGGAGCCAAGAAGGTCGAGGACGCCGCACGCACCGCAGACTACAAGGCCATGCTCTATACTCGCAAGGTCGTCCAGCTCAAGCCCGAGTATGGACGCGCTTCCGAATCAGAGAAGTCAGCCATGCTCGAGGAAGCCATGAGAGAGACCATGGAGAAGCGGTAAGCCCACCATCCCAGTCCTATGAGACACTGGAAGATCAACCGACTGACTAATTTCGCCCAGTCGTGAACGCGGCCAGGATACCATGTCCAAGATGGCCGCCTTCAACGCAGGAACCTACCGCGTCCGTGATGGTATCACCGGTCCGCAGACACGCGTTCCCATCTCTGCGTTTCTCCAGGACAACGGCTTCGTGCCCTCTCGCCCTGGCAGGGCTTCACATCGTGGTGTCGCTGCCCGTCCCAGCGGCCCAGAGTCTGCCAGCTGTGGTCCTCTCACGCCTGTCTCAGTGGGTTCTGCGCCTATGGCTGACATGGACGGCGTGGGCAGCGCGTTTGCAGGGGCAAATGGCCTGACGTCTTCTGCTAATGGACAAGGCAGTCGGGCTACTGCCGGCTTCAGTCCTCTTAACCGCCGCGTCTCAGCTCCTGTCGGTCGTCGTCTCCGGAGCAACAACGACCTGTTCTCGAGCCAGAGCTCACCTTCCCCCTCACTCAACGGCGTCAAGGCCTCCGGAACGCCCGCACCCTTCGCGAACATGACCCCCGAGCCTATGCTTGCGTCAGTCGAGGGAGATGTCCCGATGGCCAACGGCGATGGTTCTCTGTCCAGGATTCAGACTGAGATGGGCCACCTCCGCACTATCTGTCAAAATGTTGTCACCAGCAACAACAACATTCGAGAGCTCGACTTGCGCAATTTTGCGGCGGAGATGGGCATGGAGAAGAACCGCGTGACCGACTTGGAAGTCAGAGTCAGCCAGTTGGAGGGCGTGGTCCACGCCCTTCAGAACACCGCTTTGGGTAATGTGGTGCAAAGGGTCAATGAGCTAGAGAGCATCGTCGAGAAGCTCAAGGACAAGGTCGGAGGCGGCTGCGATGCTGAAGTTGCAAAGATGAGGGAGGTCATGGGTGGTCTGAAGGGTGCCCTGGACAAGGTCGGTGGTTTTGTCTAAGGCGACTGACCCTCTGTCTATGCTTGTCTGTCGGCTTGTCGACTTTTCACCAATTTCCGTCATGGGTACTGCGATGCTTCATGCGATGAGTTATTTATCGATGTTTCACGCGATGCTTTCATCCTCACTAAGCTCAGGAGACACATTGTCCTAGCTTTGCGATGCATTCAGGTACAGTCGAATCATTCATATTTGACTTACTTCCGGCAGCATTTTAGTCTTGGCCAACTACACAAAAGTTCAACCCAGGCTCATTCTAGGACTAGGTATTTTCAGGATTTGGCCAGCATTATCTGGTTCTGAAGTTTTGGTGGGAAAAAAAGCGAGACGTACGGCCAGTGTCAGAGACAGGACACACAACCGGTAGACTACTCAAAATCATAATCATTGACTTTAGTCTCTCGCAACCAATCAATTGACAGATTTCTAAAGGTTCGGGATTGTGGAACCTCCAGAACGAGCAGACATCAGGACATGATCTCCACAAAAAATTCGCCAAGCGTAAGCAGATTTGAATCCTTCGTCAGATGGCTTGAGCTGATCCCAATCTCACAACGTTTTCCACTTTTCCCTTCCGCTCTTCCCATACACATGAACATCTACGCCTGACAAGGTAACACCTTTGCGTCCGACCTTCGCTTGACGAACTCTTCAGAGCAGCTGGGCTACCTGGGCAGTCTTGCCGGATCTCTACACCCTACCCGATGCACACAGGGACTCCTGGTGTATATAGGGACTTCTGGTGCATACAGGGGCTTCTAGGCAGTCGCCCAGCGCTGCTGCTAGTCACTTTGGGCACGCGCCAAAACCACACCAGAGACGCCACACACGCTCTTTATACACAATATGGCGACTCCGGACCTCCAAAACAGCTATGGCCCTGAAATGGCTCAGGCAGGCCACGACCTTCCTCAGGCCGTGGTAGGTGACGGCCCTGAAGCGGTGTACCCTGGCCAACAGCACCCAGTAGCATCGGCCTACAGCGAGCAATACGCAAAGGACAACAACCAATACAGCAACAGTCCTCCGGGAGCTCCAATACAACCACAACAGAAGAGGAGAGTCCTCGGTCTGCCTGTTGTGGCATTTTGGGGCATTATTATAGGATTGGTGCTCGCCCTGGCGGTAGGGTTGGGCGTTGGACTTAGTGTGGGACTTGGCCAGAGTAGGGGAGGAAGTTCAGCGGCGGTGGAGACGACCAGCAGTGCGAGCGCGGGTGCTGCGACAACATCTGCCGCAACAGCAACGGCTTCGAGTACAACGGCGAGTAGTAGTACCACAACGACGTCGTCGACGACCTCTTCCACATCTGCGGCTGCCACGGCGAGGAATGTGGAGATTTGCAACCAGGCCTCTTTGGTCTCTGACTCTTGCACGAATCTTACTGTGCCGGTGAATACGTGCAGTATGTTTTCTATATCCCTCTCAGCCATTGCAAATTGCGAATTTTTAACGTATGTGGATGCTAACGTTTATCAGTCGACTTTCCATCAGCATATAATGATAGCGTTAGTTCTGTGGATACAGGAGGACCCGAATGCGATTTTTACACGTACGTGTATTTTCATACCCCCATTTATAGTGGATCGTTCAAAGCTTTACCTTGCTACTACTACCACAGCTAACATGATATGGCGGACTAGCGGCGTGACTTGCTCAGGCGACTCTTGGACTGCGAATGGGACGAATTACCTCATCCCTGGAAAATACAATGATGCGTTCAGTTCGGTGGCTTGCATGATGAGCTAATGAAAAGGAATGTAATGTGTGCCAAAGCCACATACGTCGGAGATGGGAAGGGCAAAGGGCATTGTGGATGGGTAGCTGTCCGTCGCCTTTCGCGAAGCACTTTCTATCACAGGGCGCCTAGGTGTTCGATATGGTTGGATTGATTGCTCTGTATTACTCAAAATGGGCCCGGAAGCATGGGATACTGACTTTACGACTTCTCCAGGATACACCATGTCTACTCCGACTGTGTTCTTTGGGATAACCTTAACTGAGCTAGATGTCTGCAGGAAAGTATCTTTGCTGGACCGATTCCGGAATTAAAACTACTATTTAAGGCCAAGACCAAAGCAGTCTATCCCAAAATTAAGGATAAAGCCGCTACTTATATAACGATACCCGACTAGTACTATTGTAAAGTAGATTACTTTCAGCCCTCTAGTTTTCATTTGCAGGCTTTTCAGGAAAACCCTTTTCCTTTAAAATCACTACGCTTCGACCACCATTTGATTCCAATTACTAGGGTGAATCGTAAAGAGGTGCGAACATAAAGGTATGTAAGAATGTGCTTTTAATTGACAGCCGAGGAACGTTTAGTGTATGGAGAATCTGGGCACAGCTGAATAAGGTCTGTCTAAAGTTCGGAAGGGAGTACGAAGATGCTACTTCCGTTTCATTGACTACTGTTCCCCGCAATTATCAAGGGGGCATTGAGAGTCATGCGCATGACGACTCCAGTAGCACAGCTACGGACTACGGAATGTACGGGGTGCGGACCAGTTCCCCACCGCATCCCATTCCGTTTACATTTCTGTCTGCTGGGCCGACAACCGATGATCTTCAACGGAACCTTGGTCACAACCTAAAGGATGGCGGAGATCGACGACGGTTCGAGAAGGTACAAATGTCCCAGCTGTTTGAGGTCCTTCAAACGGAGTGAGCATTGTCGACGCCACTCCCGGAGACGTGAGTATTTGATGCATTCCGTCTCTGTCATGACTAGGAGCTAATTCTCTACATTTAGACACTCAAGAGCGGCCGTATGCGTGCCGCTACTGCGATCGGCGTTACAGTCGGAGGCAAGACACTCAACTCGTTTTTTGAAGCTTTGGGGATGGTGGCCGGCGGTCGAGATTTTTTTTTTTTTAAAAAGATTAAGTCTTGCTGATGAGTATTCTGTTACCAGAGACCTCGCCACACGGCATGAGAAGACACTTCATGTTGACCAGTACGCCCCGCCAGACCGCACACACCAAGAAAGTCCCCTGGCTGGATCACGGCTGGTGTCACCGCCGTCCGGTCCTACGCCGTCGCCGTCGTCGTCGCAGCTGGCAGTGGAAGTCGAGAGCCAGACTGGCACAGTGACGGCGTCTCAACCAGCCGAAGACCACCCAGAGGCACAAGCATGGACTTCGCTGCTTGGTTTGGATGGGTTTGACCCCTTTCCTAATGACTCCTCTCTCGACGGGCTCTCTTTTCTCGGCTCCTCGGCCGCGGATGCTTTCCCTCTGGACGCCATGGACTTTTCCGTGCTGGATGAGCCATCCGCTGCTCGTCAGAGTCTATCATCAGGCAACGATTTTCGCATCCCGCCCACATCCGCGAGAAACAGGCCCTGGATTCCACCATCTCCCGAGACCGAGGGTCGTGTGGACAGTCCCCAGCCCTGGCCTCCACCATTGCCAAGTCTGGGACCGGAACCGTCGCCAGTCCGCATCTCCGACGCTGTTGTTTCGAGTATGAGGAGCCTGCTCGGCGAAGAAGACCGCCAGGCTCCGACGCCAGCAGCGCTGCGTCTCTTCCTGGGGACGTACTTCGAGGTGTTCAACGTCCACCTTCCCCTGATACATGTGCCATCTTTCGACTGCAATTCCCAACCGCCGGGGCTCCTCCTCGCGATGGCTGCCACTGGGGCGCTGTACCGGCTGGAGCGCCGTGCCTTTGCTCTTCTGTACAGCGCGGCCGACGAAGCGGCACCCATTGGCGCCACCATCCACGCCGGCTCTTTCCACCGCAGTGAGCGCGGCACCTCCTTGGAGCCTACAACGCCCGGGAGGTGGAATGGCCTGGCTTACTACCAGACGCGGCTTCTCCTGCAGTATGTCGGCATCTTGGGCGGCAAGCCGGAGCTCGCCGAGCGCTCCCTAGGCATGATCGCAGAGCTACCACTCAGTGTAAGCACACGCACACGGGGTGGGTATGTGTGGGGCTGTGTTATTTAAAACTGACAGGCACTTTCACAGTTATACCGGACCTCGGCACGGCAGTTGAAACTTTCGGGCGGCATAAGTGACGCAGACCTCACATGGGCCAGCTGGCTGGATAGAGAATGCACGAAACGGTACCCAACCATTGATCCCATTTACAAGACGAGATTAACAGACCTGATCTAACTTACACCTATCTTCAGGACATTATATGGTGTCTGGCACCTCAGCGACTTCGTGGCGTCAACGTTTGGCATAGCGCCTCCCCTGACGATAGGCCACGACGGGCAGCTCGAATTGCCCTGCTCGGAGGCACTGTGGCAGGCCCGAAACGAGACAGAGTGGAAGGAGGCCAGACTCAAAGACATCGACCACGGCAGAAGCGCTACCACGACTGTCAGAGAGGCATGTGCACTGCTGGTGGGCGGCAGCGACCAAGAGTCGCCGCCGCCGATCACCGACATCACCGCGCTACAATGGTCGCCGTTCGCAGTCGTCTCGATCATGCACATCCTCTCCACACAGCTCTGGCATATGAACCACGGGTCGCTTTCGGGGCTCACATCTGCGAAGCCGGGCTCCCCCCTAGCCCCCGAGTCTGCAGAAGGGGAAGCACAGATGAGTGTGGCCAAACTCTTTGCCGTCGGGCGCCGCTGTCATGACCTCATCAGGGCATACAGCGATGACATCGAGCAAGGCGGCAACAAGAACGCAGGCCGGCACGCCAAGGACGCCAAGTGGCAGCTCGCGAACGCGGCGGATGTGCTACGCATCTGCTACGGCAGGACCATGCCGGCGCTGGCGCACCTCGACTGTGACTCTCTGCTTCGAGGGGGCCTTGGCGATGTTACTCTGGCGATCCAGGAGTTCGTGGCGGTGCCATTGGAGCGGAACGCCGAGTTCACCCTGGCTGCGTCCATGGCGTATGAGGGGCTGTGCATCCCCCTTCGATATGGTGCACACTTCTTCCGCAAAACCGGGGCTCTGAATGGGAGTCTTGAGAATCTGGTTGCTGGATGGGACAGTGGTGAGTTCAGCCCTTGGAAGTTGCCGTCGTACATGCATATGCATGCCGGTGCCCCGAAGCTAACCCTTGCTATCAAGCATTGCTGGTGTCAAAATGGATCCACATCATCTGTGCTGCACAGGCTCTCGGCACGGAGTTGGACAAAAAGGAGCGAGAGCTGCTCCAGAGCATCTCTTCCATGCTGCGGCAAGAGGAGACGGAGCCGGACGAGAGCTGCCCCCTCGCTGCGCGACTGCTGCGGTACTGGGCCGGCTTCTACGATGATACCTGGGTGTGGGGAGGTGAGTCTGACCAATTTCCCCGTCAGGATTGTGTGCTGATACAGAACCTCAGTCGCGCCGCGGATGGCCGTCGTCCTCCGGAAGCTCGCGAGCGCGTACGATTCTGGCCGGTAGTTGGAGGCGGATTACAGGGGACGTTCTCTTGATGGAGGGGCGGCTCGGGTGCCTCAGACGGCCCGTTCGAAATTCCCGGACTCCCGTCTATGTCAGTGTGGGGATAGTGTGGGGATGTTACAGGGACCTGAGTCAGTTTACTGCACATTGGCTGGACGACTACGGACGTCATCAACATGGGCACCGCGTTGCGAAGGCAGGCCGATCTGTCAATCAGCTTTTGGATTTCGGGAAGGGAAATTCGGGAATCTCGTGTTGCATTCGGGACACGGATGAATCCGCTCCTTGGTACGTTGGTACGAACTTTCCAAAAATGTCTGGGGAATTTGCGGACATGAGAACAATACACTTCCTTCTCCGGATGGAAGCGCGGGAATCGAAGGAAATTTTCCAAAGAGAAAGACGTTGAAGAACGTGATCCATCAAGCACTAAGATGAACTACTTGCGAAGAGAGGAATTGACGTCTGATTTTACCCAAAAAGATTATTCGCATATTGTGGCCATAATATGCTCCTCGACATGGGCACTCCAACATAAAATGAGAAAATAATACAGTCTTGCGCCATGTGAAATGCCCATGCCAATGCCGCGGAACCAAGTATGAAAGTAACTCGCTATGATGCCGCAAACCTCCATAACTGCGGTTCTTGTTTAATGGTCTCTTATTTTCAGACGCACCCGGAAGTTTTCCTGCAGACACCACCACTGCGACCTGCGCTGATATGGACTGGCCTTGTCCACCGGCTCAAGTTCGAATTGGCGCACAAACTGGCCCACGAACTTGATCATCTCCATGGCAGCGAGGTGTCGGCCGATACAGACTCTGGATCCGTATCCGAACTGAGCAAGCAGGGGCGACATGTTAGTCGTGAACCTTTTAGTATATATATTGGAATTTCTGCACCACTTACAGTGACATTGTATTTCTCCATTTTCCGTTGGCGATCGCTTTTCGTGGCCACACCATCGCCGTGGACTTCAGCCGGCACCCAGCGCTGCGGCCGCCACTCATCGGCGTCATCGCCGAAAATCTCCTTGGAGCGGTTGTGGGCTATCGGGCTCATGCCCAAGGTGGCACTCGGAGGAATATAGTGTCCGGCGATGGTGATCCCCGCCTCAGGGGCTTCCCGTGGGAGCTGCCACAAGATGCTGGGACACAGACGAGTGGCTTCTTGCACACAGGCGTTGAGAAAGGGCAGCTTTTCCAGCTCGCGCACGCCCAACCCCGTGGAGTCCTCACTCGAGAGATCCACCTTGGCATACGCATCGTCTATCTCCCGCCTCAACCTTTCGAGGTCTTCGGGGCGCTCCATGAGCTGTGCCATGACCACGGCGATGCCCACAGCCGCGGTGTCGGCGCCGGCCCCGATGAGGTTGCCCACCTCTGCCAGGACGCTCGGCTCCGTGGCACTCTGTCCGTCAGGCTCCTTCATGGAAATGAAGTGGTCCAGCAGGTCCCGCGGGCGCTGTGAGCTCTTGGGCGGGCCCTCAGCAATGCGGCTCCGGACCTGTCCCTTGCTCCACTCCTGGAAGAGCTTGAACCCCTGCGCGGCCCCGAAGAAGTCACTGATGATTTGGACGAATGGCCACTGCAGCCATAACATCTGCCCGGGGAGGTATCCCGATGACGCCGCAACGTAGAAGATTTGGTGGACTGCGTGCAGAATCCCCTTTGTGTCCCCGCCCTCGATGAATCCAATGGGGCCTCCCATTCCTAATTTGCCGACGACGTCGAAGGCGAGGTAGTTTGCCCAAACTTGTAGGTCGATTTCTTGTCCGTCCTTTGCGAATTGGCGGAATTTTCGCCAGAGGTGGTCGAAGACTTCCTGGACCGAGGACTCCTGGGTCATTATCGCGGACTTGGAGTAGGCCCCGGCGACCCTCTTTCTTAGGAACGCATGTTCCTGGGTATTGGTGGTGTTGAAGAACTGACGTGCAAGACAATAGTTGTTAGCCCGATGACAAATCCTTGCAGGGAAGAAGAATAGATAGCGAGAGTGGTGATAGCTGTAGTGAAAACTTACACCAGTCCCGGCTCCCCTGAACGTCCATGTATCGTACCACGAAGTCTGCACATTCATGTCAGCGTCGTGTTGTCTCAAGAATCCAAATTGAACTCAGTAGTCACCTTCTTGGTTCCTGTAGTGTGGCTGTAGACCTGCTCAAGGGCCGCCTGATCGACGAAGCTGACTTCATTCGGTGAAATCCGCACGACGGGGCCGTACTTGCGATGGAGATCCAGAATGTCCTGGTGCCACTGACCCGAGGCGTACTTGGTAGTCCTCCAGAGCTCTGTCACCCCTGCGAGGAATGGGCCTGGGATTTTGCTCAGAGGGTGAAAGTATGCATTGTAGACGACATTGGTGACCAAGGCCAAGGTGATGAGTAGCACGGCCTCACGCCAGCCGACGTTCGATAGTATTTCGTAGTACCGTGGTGGCGTCGAGCTTATGGAGGATGTATTCCTCCCCAGTATTGCCTCCATATTTGCGTCGATTGGGTCAATTTCATTCAATAGATTATTGTTACAGACAGGCACTCGGCACTAAATTATTCAGATATTTGAAAGCTTCCAAGACATTAGTTTCTCTTTCATCTCTTGTTACCTTTATCTGTATAAGGTAAGGGCGCAGTTCACTGCCCCCTGCCCAGCATTACTGTAGTATGTGGAGAGCAAAGCGGTGTTCTCCATGTGGAGAGGTTGGCAAGTCTTCTTCCGGTATCCGGCAACCAGAGTTCGTGTGGAGAGGCTGGATGTGGGTTGATTCATCGCGTGGGGAGGCCCCTGTGCGCCAGGGTCTAAATGCACGTCATTGTTAACAATTATCCAACACTCCACATCACAGAGCTTACACTTGCACAAGGGCTTCATTATAGTACTTGGATACTTAGGAAGACTTACGCCGTGGAAAAACATGTATCTTTCTGGTCTTGAACGAATACCCACCAAGTTCAGTTCAGTAAGATTAGTTTATCAACCATGCCAATCAACGAGGTGAGTGACCAGGTATCTGTGTCCGTACATACCCCAGTCAAGAACTCTTTTTGACATCACCAGATTGTCATTGTAGGTGCCGGTCCAGCAGGCCTGACATTGGCGCTCTTACTCGCGAAACAGGGAATACATGTCGTGGTCTTGGAAGCAAATGACAGTCTTGATGATCAGCCTCGGGCAACCCACTACTCACCACCTGCCTTGCATGAGTTACAGCGCGCTGGGGTTCTCGAAGATGTGAGAAAGCATCCCAACGCATTCATCCCTAATGGTCTCACATGGCGAAGACTGGATGGATCACCTCTGGCCACCCTGAATATGCCGAGCATCCCAGCCGAGTACCAGCAAGTTTGTCTCCCTTTGAATCAGCTTACGCCTATCATCCTGCAACACCTGATGGAACAGCCAACCGCAGAGGTGCGGTGGAAGCACAGAGTGATGGGCGGTCGGTTGGGACAAGATCACAATAGCGCTTGGGTTACGGTGCAGTCTGCCTCAGGCGAGGAGAAGATAAAAGCAGATTACGTGGTTGGCTGCGACGGTGGAAACAGTGTCATACGCAAGTCTTTGTTTGAGAAACGATCTGACTTTGCCGGGCACACATGGGACGCGCAGATCATCGCGTCCACAGTGAGTATCGACAAAATGCTAATATTTCCTTCCCAATTCATCCGCTCATTTTTGACTCCTCTACAAGGTGTACTACGAAGACTACTATAAACACGCCCCAGACTGGACCGATAGCAATTTCCTCTGCGATGTGGAGAATTGGGCTATGGTGGCCAAGATCCAAGCTGATGGCCTGTTGAAAATCACTTACGGCGAAGTCCCAGGCCTGACAGATGATGAGTACCTTGAGCGTCTCTCGTCGAAATATCAAACCATTCTTCCGGGTCATCCAACTCCGGAAAAATTCAATCTTGTCCAAGTAAGCCCATACAAGGTCCACCAGCGCTGCGCACCTCGTCTTCGAATTGGTAGATTCTTGCTCGCGGCCGACGCCGCTCATCTTTGCAATCCGTTGTAAGTCGACAAGTCATTACGCCACACAGAAATTGAAAGAACATGTTGACACTAATTTGTACCGCAGTGGCGGCCTGGGTCTCACTGGAGGTCTGGTTGATGTCGGCAATCTGTTCGACTGCTTGAATGGTATCCATAAAGGACTCGCGGACGAAGCCATCCTCGATCGGTACGACGAGGTTCGGAGGCAAAAGTGGCGCGACATCATAAATCCTGTCTCGAGCGGCAATATTACGACAATCTGGACGGACCCTGCTCAGCTGCAGGATAGTTCGCTCATCCGTAACTTCAAAGAAGCAGAGGGCAACTCTGCCAAGCTTGTTGAATTACTCAAGGTAAATGACCCTATGAAGATGGACTGCCTAGTATATAGGGCTGAATCAACAACAGGGAGGGACCGCAATCATGCATGATTTCACCAAAGAATATCACAGTGCAGGAGGTATTGGTGTCGAGGGCATAACCTAGGCTAGGCACTTTAGACTAGATATGCGTGTCATCACGTAGACTCGGTATTGTTTTAACCCCAATATTACCAATTTTTCTGCATGCTTTCGCATTTCAAACCTGAGCCTGTAATTCAAAGTCCAAAGATTGAGAATCAAAAGCACCTTGCTATTCAAAGGTTACCTTAAAAGATCGTTTCGAAAGATAATCAAATAGGAAAATCTTGTAGGAATTCGTGATTCTCGGCAACTAGACAATTTCTGGGGCATTGATAGGCTTTTTCCTTGTTGCAGTAGGCAGAAAGACGAGGTGGTGGTGTCAAGTCAAATCAGAGACCTATGACATCGGACAAACACCTGCCTCAGTAGGGGGGCATAATCAGAGATGATTTCGCCAGTGCCAGCAAGTGGAGGGGGGGCTGGCAGCATAGAATTTGTTACCCGAATAGGATGTGGGGTGAGTAGGCGAGAAGTTGTGGACTTGGTTCATGCTTGTTCTACCTCTCCACACGTTCGCGGCCCAATGAAGGATCCACACACCCCTCTCGTGTGTACTGGTACAATACATCGTAAATACAGTCATTATAGCGAGCTTTCCCATACTCCTTCTACAATTGAGAACTGGTCGTAATTACATATGCCCGTTACCTTGTGAAGATGACGCAAAACACAACCCTCAAGCACCCGACCCTGGGTTCCATCCTTGGTGTTGACTCAGACCAGACTATCCAGTACAGGGGAATTCCATATGCAACGCTTGATCATCAGTTCGCGAATGCCGTACTTTTCGAGAATCAGGGCCAGCACCCCATTGACGCGACTCGCTATGGGTGAGACCTGAGCCCGGATAAACGCAGCGCTGTGTTGAATTCCACATTCTGCTGCTAACCACGCCTGCGAAATTGCTGACCTGTTTGACAGACCACAATCTGTCCAGCCGAGTGAGACTTGCGACATGGAGCATACGTTCATCCAGCATGCGCTACCGCATGAAGAACTAAAAGACTCACCGACGGAGTGTCTAAATCTCAACATCACCGTTCCTAAAGGACAGGGGTCAGGTCTTCCAGTAATCGTCTTCGGCCACGGCGGCGGGTATTATCTGGGCGCCGGCTCGTGGCCTCAATTTGATATGCAGCGTCTTGTCGCCTTGTCTGCACGCTGTGGGAAGCCGGTGATCGGAGTCACCATCAAGTAAGTCGGGTCGACTTCCAGAGTCCGCTCTGTCCATGGGAGTGCGCAGCAAGGTTCTGACATTTTGTGGACTACCAAAGCTACCGGCTAGGAGCTCCTGGTTTTCTTACGTCCGAAGAGCTTATCAGTCATGGTATCAAGCCCGATCGAGGCCTACAGGATCAGGTTGCCGCGTTCACCTGGATCCAACGCTACATTGGGGGATTTGGTGGAGACTCTTCCAGAGTGACGGCTTCAGGAGTGAGCGCGGGAAGCAGTAAGACAATTTGAGACATGAACTGAAGGAGTCACCCAGCATCGACTAATCAATGACTGTCGACTAGTCTCATTACTTCTCCATTTGACCAAGAACCAGCCCCTGTTCAGCCAGGCTGTTTGTATGGGAGGGACTCCAGCTCTCATGCCGCTCTTGCCTCTTGAGGTCGCCGAGAGCACTTACGCGACTGTACTGCAAAAGCTTGGCATTGACGATCTTCCACCTGCAGAGCGCATCAAGAAGCTGAAGGAAACGGACCGTGAAGGCTGGGTCTCAAAACTCGGCCCAGGACTTCCCCTCAGTCCCGTCGCGGACAAGAACGGAAGCAAGCCCCCGTTCTACCAAGCTGGAGTGCCCGACGACGCCGTTAGCCCGCCGGGCAACGATTGGTGCCCTCGGATCATGATGGGGGACTGCGAGTTGGATGTGAGTTTCAACTTGTGCAGTGGTGACTTCTCCCTGCGTGTTTCGCATGGCTACTGACGAATTCCTAGTCCTCAATCCTGGCCTACATGCTCGGCCCTGGTGTGGAGCACATCGGGACCAAATTCCGCGTCGTCCTCGACAAGTCCCTGGCCGATAACCCGGACGCCAAGGAAGCCGTGTTGAAAGCGTACGACACGCGGCCAGAAGATGACAGCCTCGGCTTCCTACGATTTGCGCACGACGTCGTCCAGCTAGCTGCCACGAGGCTGATAGCCAGCCGCTGGCCGGGTTCGGCGTACGTTTTCCACTTCAACGAACCGAACCCATGGGAAGGGCGTTTTCAAGGCGTGGCGTGCCACTTGCTAGATACTGCCTTTTTGTTTCAGAATTACGAAGAGTTCCTCAACGAGGAACAAGCCTCATCAGGGAGAACTTTTGGTCGCCACTTGATTGAGTTTGTTAACGGCGAGGAGCCTTACGCCCCTTTCAAGGCCGCATCTGGGAAGGTCCAGGTCTATGGGCCGGGAGAGCCCAGGTCACGCCAGGTCGACGCGGAGGATCTTGTCGCTGCTGGGCGGAGGAATTATGTGTTCTCGTTGGCTGAGGATTTGGGACTCGACAGGCAAACCCAAATTGTGCACATGACTCTGCATCCGTAGATGGTGACTCTTGGTCCCTGAAGTTCTCTGGTGCCGGGGAACTCAAAGCCTGAATATCATAAGAAAACCAAAGTCTTGAGCTATCCTTCCAAGTATAAGTGTATGAAACGACATTCTTTCTACTACGCGTTTTATCCATGTCGATGTGAACTGAAGTAGCCTTTCAGGACACATCGCCCCAATTCAGAGATCCCAAAATAATCAGCTCCTTCAGCCTTCCGATCTAAAACAATGAGAGACATGTATACAAAAAGAGAGGACCTGAGATGAGCGTGACAATGTGAACTGTACAAGAGAATGACGTGTGAAATGCAGACACATGCAGGGGAGTTTTGGTGCAAAACATTGCCTGTGGCGGCAGAACGATATTCCTGGTGGAGGCCAAATGCCGTCAATAGCATATGATCTCATCTCATATGGGACTTCTGAGTGTGGAGTCAACCGGCAAGGCTCCGCGGTGACAACATGTGGAGAGGTGGGGAATGCGGAGGAAGGGCGTACGGACAGGACATACGAGGAGCGAGGCTGTATTCCAGGCGTCCAGCGTTGAGAGAATCTGGGGTGCATCAGACGGGATTTTAAGCTTAAGTGTCGATGTGGAGAAGGGAGTTCCAGGCCTGTGGTTTGCCCACCAGAATATCGATATATAACACGGTCTTGCTTCGAGTACCCACTAAGCATCTTTAAGAAAACAATGTACCTATCTGTATCTATAGATACTTGAAGACGAAATCTTAAGACCGATCCAAAATGATTAATGACGCACCGAATGGCAGTTCTGCCTCCTCCTTCGCAGCCCAGTATCAAGACCCAGCCTATCAGAAGGCGCACGCGAAGGTGTTCTTCGAGTCAGGCACACCATCAATCCCACGTCTGCTTCCTCCTGGTGTGTCCGAGGCAAGTTTCAACCGGGCGATCGAGGAGTTCAAGAACGTCGTTGGCGCTGCCGAAGTCGTTACTGGCGATGGGCTCGTCGAGTATGTCGACCCATATGAGCTGAATGAAGATGGTCCCGAGAGAAAGCTCCCCAGTGCCGCTGTCCGGTGAGCTCAACCCTATACTATACCGTCGTTCTGTACGGACGAGTCTTCTAGGCCGTATTCCTTGCTGAGTTGTCTCATCTACCAGTCCTCAGTCAAATGAGGAGCTTAGGGGAGTTTTGAAAATAGCAAACAAGTACTCGATTCCGTTATGGACCTTTTCCAGAGGAAAGAACTTAAGGTTAGTAGACCAATGCCGCAGCCTGCATCCCCGTTTCCATTACATGAGGATTCAGACAGAGGCGGTGTGTCCATAGGAGTACTGATCTCTCTACAGCTACGGAGGGCCTGCACCAAGATTAAATGGTGCTGTTTCGTTAGACTTGCATCGCATGAACCGTGTAATTGAGGCGAACGAGGAGTTCTCGTACGCCGTTGTCGAGCCAGGCGTCTCTTTCCAGGAACTGTTCGACTACTGTCTTGAGAACAAGCTTCGAGTGTGGCCAAGTGTACCATCGCTGGGTTGGGGCAGCGTTGTGGGTAATGTAAGTGGCGAGATGTCGATCTCCTGCCGAGTAGAGTGCTGATGCTGGTCTCACAGACGGTCGACAGGGGCGTCGGCTACACGCCTACAGCAGTGCATCATCAGAATATTGCAGGCATGGAAGTCATGCTTGCGGATGGCGATATCATACGGACAGGCCAGTTCGCCCAGGATGGTAATCCTTCGGCTCATCTCTCCAAGTTTTCTTTCGGTCCCTCGGTTGAGGGCCTCTTTCTGCAGAGTAATCTCGGAGTTGTAACGAAGCTGGGAATATGGCTCTCGCCCTCTCCGGAGGCTTACATGGCATGCTCATTGGACGTGTTCGAGTTCGAAGATCTCGAAGCACTCGTAGATCTACTCAGCCCGCTGCGACGGAACGGGATCCTGCCTAACTCGGTCTGGGTAATCGACTTGGTGGAGAGACTCGCAAACTTTGGGAGACGCGCTGACCACTACGACGGAGAAGGACCAATCCCTCCCCACGTGCTAAAGCAGCTTCAACAGAAGTACGACCTTGGTTACTGGACAGCCCTGTGGCCCCTACAGGGTTCGAAGGATGTCGTCGAAGCCCATTTCAACACCGTGAAGCGGCTTGTGGAGAAGAAGTTGCCAAAAGCCCGGCTGCAAGGAACCTTGTACACCGGGGATGAAGGTGTGGACGGCGGGCTCTTGGCTGCCACGAAAGTGAAAGGGCCGCACGGGGGAATATTTGTCGGAGTGCCCAATCTGGACATTGTCAATATCATGGGCTTCATGTGCCCAAAAGATGGATCCGGTGTCGCGGCTCATATGGACTTTTCTCCGATCATGCCGTCGTCGGGCAAGGCGATCATGGAATGGGCCAATCTCACCCGTGAGATCTGCGAGTCGAAGGGCCTTGACCTCTGTCTCGACTTTTTCATGCATGAGCGCCATGTCGTTCTGGTCAATGTTCTGATCTACAACAAAGCCGACAAGCGTCAGGCCAAGGTTGTAGGAGAAGTCGTCGATAGGCTGTTCACCGTTGGAAGAGAGAGGAAGTATCCTGCATACCGCACGCATATCAACTTCATGGGTAAGGTCTCTTCTGAGTCTTGGGAGGTCTCTTAAAAGCTCTGTTCGACGGAATCTGACATGAGCATGCAGACAAGAACGCTGCCTTCTTCGACTTCAATGACCACGCTCAAAGAAGATTCATAGAGACGCTCAAGGTTAGCGAGATCACCGCGCAGGATTGTAGCAGACTTCTGGACTTGCTAACTTATCTGAAACCAGGATACGCTTGATCCGAAGGGTATTTTGTCTCCGGGCAAGATGGGCATTTGGCCGCGTGCTTTCTCGGTGTATCGAGATCATCATGATGATGTCGACGTCAATGGCCTCGCGCTACCTACACGCTGTACGAATGATTAAGATCTCAAGTACAGTTCTATCAGACAATGCTTGCTCTCATGAAGCGAGGGGAAGAGTTCTTGTAGTCGAGTGTGAATGTATCTGGTCCACATTGAACTCGACTGCTAGAAGAGAGAGATACCCATAGCTCTATGATGACGGATTGGTGATGACTCAGAAAACATTATAAGCCTGGATTTACCAGTGATGTAGTTTAGATTTTGCATCTTACTATTAATTATTTCCGACCGGCTCCACCCCAAACAACCAGTTGCTGTGGCACTCTACCTAAAAGAAGCCGTTGGTAAAGGAGAGCGAGGGCGAGCAAGAAGGCCATCAACCATCGTCAATGAGATGAAAAGATACAACTTCCCGTTTTCAGAATCACCGAGGAAGTACGAATAGGCTGAAAGGCATTAGATGATAAGTTTTACTCATTCGCTGCATCGGCCGAAATGTAAAGTCTCATCATGGGCCACTGGGGCGATAAGATAAGATTAGATCTTGCAGCTTCAGCACGGACCAGGCCGCAGACAACCTTGCTAGCTCTGACGACATGCGACCTCAAGACGCGGTCGATCTGCAGAAGCTCCGCGAATCTTCTGCCCGTCAAAATACATCCACTCTACCCTCCTTGGCCTCAAGGCCGATGCCACTAGTCTGTTCGCAATCAACTGCTTCTTTTTGGATAATTATAGTGTATTGAGTAGCAATTGAGACATACTTTTTGTTCCAACAGCCGGTCCTCGCCCGCCATGGACGACTACGACAATGATCATGACCACGATTCCAATGCGAGCTCCGACGACCAGGAGCACGACCAAGAACAACAAGATGATAACATGACCATGGAAGATGCGGATGACATGGAGGGAGACGAGGATGATGCATTCAACGAGGAAGACGATGATCAAGATGAGGGCGACAACGACGGAGACGGCGACCAGGACCAGGATCAAGACCAAGAGCAAGACCAAGACGCCGAACAAGATGGGGATCAGGATCAGGATCAGGACCAGGACCAGGACCAGGACCAAGATCAAGAACAAGAAGGCGATCAAGAGGAGGATACCACCACCCGAGTCGACAGACCCTCACATTCGAAATCCAACTCGATAGACTCCCCTCTCACCCCCAAACTGCGACCAAAGGTGCGACCAGAGGCCATCACAGCGAGGCTGTATGATATCGTGCCGACCATGGCCGCCCCTCAAGCCACGTCCATTAACGCCATTGCGATTACGCCCGACCTGCGATACTGGGTGACGGGTGGGTCGGACGGATATATCCGGAAGTACGACGGCCCAGGCACCATCAACGGCAAACAGCTGTTGACTGTTGCCCAGCGGCACCCCTTCGTCGACACCGTCACGAAAGCCGGAATACTCATGTCATATTGGGAGAATCTTGAGCCGGCTCCGCCCAATCCCAGGGGCGGTGCCAGCGATGCTGATCGCGTCCTGTCTCCTGTTTACAGTCTGGCCGTGCACCGCGACGCGTTGTGGCTGCTCGCTGGTCTGGAGAGTGGTGGGATTAATCTGCACAGTGTAAGGCACGATGAGGGTAAGACAATACACGTGCTACAAGAGCACAAGAACGCGGTGTCGGTGTTGCAGCTGGCACCGGACGAGAAGAGCGTACTGAGTGGGAGCTGGGACAAGAACATCCTCGATTGGGATCTGAATACTGGAAAGACGATTCGCGATTTCAGAGGCAGTGGAGGACAGATCTCGGCTATTGAGCCACGACCCTTGAGCGGCGCGCCGATCCCCCCAGAGGCAGCGGAGGAACCCTTTCAGAGCGACACTATGCGGACTAGCACTCGTACCAATGGCTTTTTCAGCAGCGGACCCGACTCAGGAATACCCAATGGAGGGAACATGACCAACGGCGATAGCATGGGAGATGGTGAAGGATCCGACCATGAGTCACTGTTTGGGAGTCCAGCTGGGTCACTCTTCGGTGATGGCAACAACAACTTGGGCGCGGACAACCCATTTGGCGGGGACAACGATAACGACGGATACTCTCACGCGATGCTGGAACCTCTAGACGATGCTCCCCACGGAGACGGTGATGTCACGATGGGAGGAGACACGATCATGGGCGACGCATCTCACGAGACGACAGACCAGATGCAAATAGATGGTGCGCCGAGCACGGCACAAGACGCAACACAAGGCCAGCCGGATCAACCAACCACTTCTGACACAGGAAGCAACCAACAGAAACCACAAGATGCGTCGCAAACTGATCCTCAACGGCCGTCAACGGCCCAGACCGATGCTGACTCAAAGCAACCGTCGATACACTCACCAACCCTGGTATTTAACAATCCTGCGCCAGCCCAATTTGACCCCACACAGACCTCCGACTCGACCTTCCTCTCAGCTGCCATGGATGGTACAATTAGAATCTGGGACCGCCGAATTCCCGCGCCCCTCGCCCGGATAGGCACTCGCCCAGGCGTTCCACCCTGGTGCATGGGCGCCTGCTGGTCCCCCGACGGTAACACGATCTATGCTGGACGGCGTAACGGCACAGTTGAGGAGTTCAACATCCACCGCGCCACGTCCAATTGGCAGCCCGAACGGACACTCAAGTTCCCCGCCGGCAGTGGTGCGGTCTCCGCGGTGCGGACGATGGTCAATGGACGGCACCTTGTCTGTGCCAGTCATGATATCCTGAGGCTGTATGACCTACGAGACAACCGGGCGTTCAAGCACGGCGCGGTGCCGTTCTTGATCATCCCGGGACCCCCTAGGGCGGGTGTCATCTCGCAGATGTATGTCGATCCTACGTCGCAGTTCATGCTTACTGCCGCTGGAACAAGGGGCTGGGAGGGGAGCAGCACCGAGGTATTGATTGGGTATGAGATCGGGTGTGTCAACGATTAATCATCTATTTTTGGATAACATTTTGTATCATCGCTTCTGTGACGTGGGGGTGGGCTTCGGATTGAAGGAATTTTGCTCATGTGGCGTTTACCTCGTCACAGAAACGTTAGTGTATGATTTTATCGATGCTGCAAAAGGCGTTGGAGGGACAAGAAAGAAAGGGCGGTCGTGTCTTGAGGCCTCAAGGTGACAATTACTGGTCACGAGGATGGAGTTGGCAAAGGCGCTTCGTAACCGAAGCTTCCGTATCAATACCCCCGGGTTTATTATTGTTTAGGAATGACATGTTTCTGTTGAGACGTGACTCAACTCAATCTATGTTGCGAAGTGTGGCTAGCCATCACCTTGACAGCCTCGTCCTTACTGCGTGGCAGGAGTTGCTCATCATCTTAGGCTTGTTGCCGAGGTAACACTCCGGGGAACAGTCATCCAAGTTGAGCTGGGTACATGAGGGTACCTAACCTTTCGTACCTGTTATTCATCACTGCAAATTGTCAGTCAATCTCGTTTCACTCGCATTCACCACTCACGGAATATCAGGTCTTCATTTCTATCGAACTATCATCTTCTACTCATGTCTCACATCACTGGCCCAGTCATTACCTCCACTTCTTTAGTCACCGTACTCTCTGCCGCTGGACTTCCCATGCGACATCGACTCAGCTGGGCAGTGTGCACTGAGTGAATCGATGCGATGAACTCGTGGGCCGAGCCCCGGCACGACGATGACGAGCACATGGAATGCTATCAAGGCACTCTTCCCAGTCAGGGATACGATGTCGTTATGTATTGAAAGTTCAGATTCAAGGCGGAATATCCGTTGGGCATTTGAATGACGCGGTTGCATGGTGTCGTTGTGTCCCGCTCACTGGACAACTTGGCATGAAACTGCATCATTTGGTCACTCCAGAATTCTGAATTTGACTTCTGTTTCCAAAGGAGACCGGATTATGTTTGGTGTAATCTGAGCATACACTTCTCAACATAATTTTAATTGGTTTATAACGTACTTGAGCGGACTTGTAAGTCAAAATGAGCTCCAGTCATCTCTGGAAAGGTCTTGAAGCTGACTTGAGAGCTGAATTATGTGGCTCCTGTCTGAAAGAGGTGCTTCTCGGGTGCCTTCTGTCCTGCTTTGTACATGCACTGAGATTCCCATTACAAGGAGAGAGGGACGGCTCGAGGGCCAGCCCTTCTCATTGACAAAACGTTGGTCGTGAATAGAATTGTGACTCGGGCGCGGTCTGGTCGACATATAAAACCCAAATTCATTGTGATATTGCGAATCAGCCATTCCTCTCATACAAATCAACTGGTTGACAGCGAATTTACATATTTACGGAGGCTTGGGCTGTTCACATGTAGTTTATTATTAGAATTTCCTGGTACTCAGTGACTCACTAGCTCGCCTCAGATGCCAAAGATCACAGACCAAGACGTTGTGCTGGATGACCTTCTTCTCGTCTTGACACAAGAAGACCCGAGCATTTCGCACTAATATTGTGCCACCCACAGAGACCGACCATCGAGACCGTATTTGACAAGCTCCGACACGCGATACAGTGACATGGATGAAGAGAGTGTGGCTACTAGATTTTCACAGCCATTTCCGACCGAGAGTTGTGTACAACAGATTGACTTCGATCCAATATACGACACAAAACATTATGTAAGTCAACATGTTCCGGCCCTCATCTCAACAAATCTTGGATCAAATGGCAAATAAGGATCTCCTATATAATCATCCTGCCTTGTTGAAGCATTTATTGAAATCGCGACCGAGGCAAAACATGAACAATGTATCAGATGATCATCATCGTCTCACTCCAAGGTTTCGAGCTGAAGCAGCTTTTCTGCTTGTCCCTGCTTGCCCCCCGCTATCTTTTCATACACCCTTCCTCGATAATAATTTGTGCTCTTACCTACGGCTAGATATTTATTCTGGCCTTTCATGTACCTGGAGGCCCATCACTGAACCATAATTTGGATGCAGCCTCAGCTTCACGTTCACGTGTCCAAGAGTCGACGTGGCAATCGCACCTTTCTATTAGCTGGTGCCTGAGTAAAACAAGGGTAATCAATGTCAACCCGCCGTGTAAGTTGTTCCTCCGCAGAGCTTTTTCACCAAATAAACTATGGAAATGCCTTAGTATATTATACTTTTTCGACTTTTATCCGCATATAATATAATAATAAAGAAGATTACGGACAATATAATTACTGGGCGTTAAGGCCCACCTTTCTACGTCTAATAGTAATTATTCCTCTCCAAGCCTGATTAGCTGTAATAAAAATATCAAGGAAACCAATTTAGGACTATACACTTCCTTTATCAAAAATCCTATTTGAAGTGCACACGAGCAGAAATGTTACTCTTGTTAATCTCGTTATTCGAAATTCGGCTCAGGAGATGGAGTAGTACACTGTCACGCTTAAGAGTCATATTTGGATTCTATTAAAACTGTCACAGTGTACTACATAAAAAACAGCTTTGAAGACTTTTCCTGTTGTTAAAGCACCGCTCTCACAGGTTTAGACGGTCCCACGGGTCCCAGGCCCTCGGGTATGGTTGATAGCTTGCGACACAGAACTTAACAATCTCTCTACTCTCGTGTTCCGAGGCCATTGAGAAAGCAGTACCCATGTCCTGAATGGCAACACGGAGATCGGCCCCTGCCTCAATCAAAACAACAGCAGTCTCGATCTGTCCATACTGCAGAGCTGTCAAGAGGGCTGTACCAATGTCACCAACGTTGGCATCAACATCTGCTCCATAATCAACAAGGAACTGCACATTTTCTGATCTACCCCATCTTGCGGCCTCCGACAGTGCACTCCCGATGCCCGCCACATGAGCGTTAACGTCGGCCTTCATGTCGACCAACACTTGGAGAGTCTGGGGTTTGCTATGTCTCGAAGCACATATGAGCGCAGTACCGCAGTGGTTATGTTGCGCATTTATGTCTGCTCCCGCCGTGGTCAAAAGTTGAGCAATATAGCCAAGGCCCTGAGCTGCAGCTTGCTGCAAGGCGGTGCCTTTCCTTCGAAAGAGCGGGCTAGATGGGATTTCAAGAGATCTGGTTTGAACTTGCTGGTTCACATTGGCTCCATGTTCAAGCAGTAAACGAACAGTATCCTCCACACGATGCATCCATTGGAGTTGGCTGTCTGCATGGGATCGTAATGCTGCCTGAAGCTCAGTGCCAAATGAAAATCCAGGCCTATTAACCTCGGCATCATTGTTCAAGAGTCCCTTGATCATCTTGTGGTTATTCATGTACGCAGCGTATTGCAAAGCTGTCGCGTACGAGAAACGGGGACCGCTCCACCATAAATCAAGTTCAACGATACCTGGAGCATTGATGTCGACGCCCAATTCCACGAGTCTTGAGATTATTTCCAAGCTGCCCCCTTGCACAGCAGCCAGGACTATGTTGGGGCCATCTCCTCTGGTGGCCGTAATTGAGGCCCCTCGTCCGAGGAGAAATTCGAATATGTCTGAGTGTCCTGCCCTTGCTGCCTCGAATAATGCGCGTGAGTAGGTGTCGGCGTTCAGGTCGGTGCTCTTTTGAACTATAAACTCCACAATCTGGAAACACCCACTGCGTACCGCGGCCTGCAATGCGTAGTCGGCATCAGCTCCATTCTGAAGAAGGAATCGAACTATTTCTAAATCATAGTTGTGTGCGGCGTGTCGGAGTTCAGCATTGGCATCGATTCCATGATCAAGAAGGAGGCGCCGAATCTTCTCCTGCCCTCTCAATACCGCGCATCCAAAAGCGGTTCGGCCATTGTAGTCCCGGACTTTTGCATCCGCTCCGCTATGTAATAGCATCTCAATAACTTTGTAGCTCCCTTGCATCGAAGCCATATGAAGAGGTCAACCCCATCTGGAGACATGTTGGTTCACATCACCGCCTGCTTTGATAAAATAATGCGTGGCATCCACAAGGCCCAAGCGGCATGCATAGAACAGAGGTGTTTGGACGGATGATGCATGGGCGGTGACTGTGCAAGGGCTCCACATGAACTCCCCTTCGACTGGTTCGTAGATTTCCATCCATGTATGGAAGTTTTCAGAGCCCGACCCACGGTCAAGGAGCTTGTATACGCCGGATGACAACCGTCGTGATAGCTTGTCACGAGTTTCAAGCTGCTCAATATGGAAGAACCATGATCCTGCGGCGTAGCGGAGAAGAGAATTGCGGTTCACAAGGTCCTCCATTTCTTCAGTCTGCAGCCGCAAATGGTCAGCTTGGAGTAGCATTGAGACGCAACAATCCCCAATATAATTATGGGATGGTATCAGTATTCCGGTAAATAGGTTCGACCTGCCGGATACGAGATACTCCGCGACAGAAAAGTGTGCGAAGCGGACAACTTCACCCTCACGCGACCCGCAGCCGCCATAGAGTGGGCTGAGCTTCTCATTCGACACTTTTATAAAGCTCCGGCAGATACGCAAGACTACAGTATGCTGGGTCAAGCGGTCCCTGGAGGTGAGCATAGTGTCACCAGGCCTGAATACTGCTGCCTCGGCGACTTCCTGAAGAGTTAGAGGTCGTTTCGAGAACAGGAGCCATGTCAAAATAGCTCTCGCCTTCTCGGCACTATTTCTCCACATGTTTTGTAGGACTCTCTCGTACGTTTCGTCTAATGTTTTGGGTAGGTCGTTGAGCGCCTCTTCGATTTCGGTGACTGTATCGCATTCTTGTATGGTCTCAATCTGGCAAGCAGCCCAGCGAAACCTTGTGAACGCCAATCTCAGTAAGCATACGTACACGAAGTTGAAGACTTTGGCAGCACTAGCGTCCGAGAGGAGACAAAATCATGAAATGTAATAGTACGAGATTAACTCACCCTCCATGGGCTTTTGAACCGACCTTATCCTGAATGGCTGTCTTCACTTCTTGAGACAGATCTGTTAATTCCTGTAGACATGAATCAACGTACTTGCTGATATCTTGATCCACTTTCCAGTTTTGTATCGATATGCCTCC